CAGCAAATGACCACCCAGAAGAATACCTACATGCAGCAGCTCACAGCATCTGTTTTCACAGACAATGAAGACCCAAAGGTCATGGGAATACTATCAAGCACACCCTCTCACTTTTGTAAAGCCCATTCAAGGCCAATTCACATCATGAGTTGCTACCAGTGTTCCCATGTCCTTCAGTGCTGACCTGGCTACTAACAACGTATCTTAGGCTACGCAAAAAGTATAATGAGATCAATCTACAACTTGGTCAGACTGGTGCTGGATTGTCATTTGAGGGGCTCAATGAGAATGAGAAACAAGGACTCTTCTTGGTCAGTACACTCTTTCTCTGCAGGCATACACTCTAACAATCTTGTAGATTGCCTCTTTCAGACATTCCTGTGGTGGGTTGATCTCCATGGGTGGTGGAGAACCAACCCCACCTATAATATGTCATATTCAACCACCGACCCAGGCCAAGATTTTGCCACTGAGGCAATGTATGTCTTTGGCAAAGGGAAAGGGAAAGAGACTGCTCTGGATGATGCAGATTGTGAGGATGACGAGGGAGGAGATGCAGGTCCTCTCAACAAGGACCTCAAGCCAGGCAAAATCATGGATGACGCAGGCCTATAAGGATGATGATCCTCCTGCGCGAGCTGATAATTCTGGTTTATATAGTTCTGTGATGATGAATATCTAGGCTGGGATAGCCCAAGTGATGCCTCTGACTCTCTGTCTTCATGCCCCCCTTGCCCTCAACTTCCCAGGTGCCATCATCCACTTCTTCAACCCATTTTCAACCATCTGACCTTGCTGTCCTTCACTGCTACCAACACCCGTTTCATCACCCATCTCAATACAATGCAGCAAAGCATTCCACGACTAGAACCCAATGATATCTCCCTCAACTCGCCTGAACCAGAGGATAGGCCCAAATATCCCTTGCTATTGTGGTGTTCAAACTCGGGCTAGCCTTGCAGAACCCCTTTTTACGATAGAGGTCAAGCATCCTAGAAGTCCACATCGCATCCATACATTACTTCCTTGCAAAGCCTTGACTCACTCGACCCTTCCATGTCGCAGCGGACTATGTCCAACTCGGCCGATACGGACCTGTTGCCTCAGCTGCTTGCAGGGAGCCAGGGTTGCCTGTACTATCCCTTACTTATCATTTTGGTCATCGCGCACCTCGGCCAACCATTCCGTCCCGTCGGTACCAAATCCTTCCCATGTCCTGCCCATGTCCGCCTATCTCCATTGGTGTGTTTTAAGCTTATTTTACCATTACTGAATGAACAGCAGGCGTTATCACATGTATTCTCATGGCCACAGCACTCGCAAGCCTTATTACATATTGATCCAAATACCCTGTGTTTCGCTACTACTCTTGCCTGTGCAAATTTTGGACATTCATGTAGTTAGATAAATAGGACTCAAGTTTCATATTATCACTTACTTCCCTTCTCCGGACATACAGTGGCTCAAAAAACTGTCCGCATGTTTTGACAATTTTTCACTATCTATGATATTGTGTGAGAATGAACAAATTCCTCAAGGACATACTTATACCACATTGTAGTATGGCTTCAGGGCTTTTATTTGAGCCCTACACCGTGGGAATCGGCGGAGATATGGTGGAGATATAAGGCTTATAAAATGATGACTCATGTGGACAGTTTTTTGAGTGTATATTAAAACTATATAAATCATTATTTATGACACCATAAAAATCATGCCACTATTATATAAATTATAAAGTGGTGTCATTATGTTATTTTATGACTATATCTAACTATATAAACCAGAATATCTCATGTATCATAGTCATAATCACCATGAAAGCCATCTCCTCTGCTCAAAGAGATAATATCCTCTCTCTGTCTTATGCTGGCCTCTCTGCTCGCCAAATTTCCTCTAGAACTGGAATATGCAAGTCCACTGTGGTCAAGTTCATCAAAGAAAGCCACCCAGACAAGGAAAACTCTTGTGGAGGACGTCCATCCAAGCTTACCTCTACTGACAAAAGGGCTATTATCCAACATATCACTACAGGAAAGGCTGATAATGCTGTCCAAGCCACCCATTATATCAATTCCACCATCACTACCCCTGTCTCTTCACAAACTGTGAGGAATGTTCTCAAGGCAGCTCATCTCAAGGCAGTAACAAAGAAGAAAAAGCCTCTTCTCTCCATCAAACATAGGCAGAGAAGACTAGCCTTTGCCTTAGCTCATCAACACTGGACTGTAGAGGACTGGAAGCATGTTATATGGTCAGATGAGACCAAAATCAATAGGATTGGGTCAGATGGGAAGGTGTATGTATGGAAAAAGAAGGGAGATGGCCTAACAGACAGAGAGGTTAATGGGACTGTCAAGTTTGGAGGAGGTTCTTTAATGGTATGGGGCTGTATGGGATGGAATGGTGTGGGAATGCTTGCTGAGGTTGAGGGGAAGATGAATGCTGAGCAGTATGTGGACATTTTAAATGACCACTTGCTGCCTAGCTTGGCAGAATCAGGGATTGATGAAGAAGATATCATTTTCCAACAGGATAATGATCCCAAGCACACATCCAGAAGAGCTAGGGAATGGTTTGAAGAACATAACATCAATGTTCTTGACTGGCCAGCACAGTCTCCTGATGTCAATGTCATTGAACATCTCTGGGGAACACTCAAGAAAAAGCTTCAAGCCTATGAAGACCCCCCTAAAGGAGTATGGGAGCTTTGGGAGAGAGTAGCAGTGGAATGGGGGAAGATCACAGCTGAGGATTGCCAGAAATTAATTGAGAGTATGCCTAGAAGGATAGAGGCAGTAATTAAAGCCAAGGGAGGTCATACAAAATACTAGAATACCTGGTTATTACTGTAAAATACTTGAGTCAAAAAACTGTCCGCATGAGTCACCATTTTGTGAGCCTTGTATCTCCACCATATCTCCACCGATTCCCACGGTGTAGGGCTCAAATGAAAGCCCTGAAGCCATACTACAATGTGGTATAAGCATGTTTTTGAGGCATTTGTTTGTTCTCACACAATATTATAGATAGTGAAAAATGCCAAAACATACGGATGGTTTTTTGAGCCACTGTACCTGCTACCATTGTAGGAGTCACCTTAGTTAGTCTTTGATTGTGCAATTGATCCCCTTGCTTCTTATCATCGGACGTGCCTTGACCACTCTAAGTGTACGCTATCTAAGGTTTCTATACCTAGGCCTTTGTAAGATCCGGACTGCTACTGGTAGTCTTGCCTCAGCAACCTATACCTAGTTTTACCTTGTCATACCTAGTTATACCTAGACTCTCCTTACCTTGGCCTAGCCTTACCTGCCACTCCTGTCAGCATCGGACTTCTCATCTTGCATTAGTATCCCTCATCAGTATCTTGCGTCGGTGTTCCTCATTGGTATCTCACATTGGGTGTACCATCGGTATCCCATATTGCATTGGACATCTTCGGACTTGGACCTTTGGTCAGTCGGAATATCTCAGGTCACAGATCATAACTCCTTCCCTTCTCTTCCCTTGCACAATTAGAAGGAAGTGCTTCAATAGCAGTCCCCTTGGGTCGATGTACTGCACTCGCATCCATTAGGATTTAGTAAGTTTGTTGGTATAGCTAGCTGACTACTATTTCTTTCACTACACCATCCACCAATACCACCGGTGGCAAAGCCAGAGCTGCATCTGTGCAGATGGATACCTCTGAGGACTCTGACACGGCTGCAAGCCGCATGATGAAATCGCTTACCGTGCACTCATGCAAAGCCAGCCTTGGTGTTCGTACTTCCGGTGGTCACATCTCATCTGATCAGGACTTGGATCAATTGCCAACCACATCTCATAACCGATCAGCATCTCGCAAATGGCTATGAGACCCAACAGCTGAGCTCACTATGAAGCTGAATGAGGGTGTCAGATACACTCGTTCAGCACATACATGAGGCATCCACATTCAAGGCCAACCACAAACACCTCAAGCTGGAGACCCAATTGGCAACCAGAGAGCTGAAGATGCGTGAATCTCATGCTGAGCGTGAACACAGACTCCGGAGTACAATTGCTATTCAAAACCACGAGCGTGAAATGGTGGATGAATGAACAAAGCAGCTGAAATTAGAGATTAGGCTTGAGCAAGTGAGGTTGGAACACTTGATTTTGGAAAAAGATTTGGCTCGTCAGGATCCTGGCAACTAATTGTTCAATGTTTGTTCTGCTTTGCTTCTCTTCCCTTGCTGCTACCATTTTAGCTCACAAATTCTTTACTGTGTTATAGGCTCATTGTCACAACCCCTATAATGAATAAATGCAAGGGCAGAGACTAGGACTCAAACAAGGTTATCACAACAAAGAAGATAGAATTGAGCAGTGACGTTCAGGCTGGTACAATAAGTACAGACAGAAGGTTTGAACTAAAGAACTACTAACTACAAACATCTAACTATATACTACTATTCAAGCGGAGATACAATCTGAGTTCTAAACTACTAGCCAATCATTAAATAGAAAAGAGAATTGTATGATGATCTAAATATAACTACACTATGATGTCATGAAACATGTGGCTGCTGCGGAAAGGTTCTGGAAGGTTCTAGTGATGTCACATGATTTGATAGCTTGTGACAGGAAGTTGTAATCAGGAATATCAGAGATAGAAGTAGTGGGTGCTAATGGTATGAAGGAATTCGGGTTAGGGTTTGTGAAGGTTATAGGTACAGATGCTGGTTTGGGCGCTTTTACAGGCGCTTGTTCTGGGCACTTAAAGAGTGTCTTACGAGTATTTAAGAAAGAATAATGGTTTGTATTTGGAACTCATGACACTCGTTTTTCATTATCATAGGTTCAAACATTGTGATGTACACTAGAAGAATTCAATGTGTGTTGGTTGAAGTCACTCTGGCCGCTGTTTTTCCTTGAGTTTGAATTGACCATAACTTTCCTCGCTTCACTTATTCTAGGTCCTTGGGTAAATTTACTAAAGTACATACAGTGGCTCAAAAAAGTGTCCCAATATTTGTGGGTTTGGATGTAATTGCTTCATTGTGAGTCAGGGTGTGGGAATCTGACTAAGCTATAGGGAGGTGTCAGAATGTGCTGCCTCTTGGCTTCATCTCTGGCCCCTGTAGCGTGGGAATCCGATGTTATCGTGTGAAGATATGGACATTTTAATTTGATGACTCATTGGGACACTTTTTTGACTTTGAATTTGACCAATATAATCTCTATAATTCTAGTACTTAGTGTTGCCTCCTCTTGCTCTAATCACTTCTACAACTCTTATAAACACACTATCTATCAATTCCTAGCATTACTCATTAGTAATATTCCCTCACTGTGCTATAACTCTCTCCCATAGCTGAAATAGCCCCTACTGAGGATTCTGATACACCTCCTGAGTAATTTCCAGAGTTGTGCAATAGGTTTGAGGTCTGAAGACTGTACTAGCCATGATAGAACAGTAATATCATAGTTTTCAAACCATATGGTAGCCAACTTGAAGTATACTTGAGATCATTATCTTGTCATCAGATGGTGTCTTCTTCATCAATGTTTGATTCCTGCATGCTTTTAAGCAGACACTCCACCAAAATTGAGATGCACTGCTCTGCATCTATCCTCCCCTCCACCTCACAGATAATTCCTCCCCTAAGCCACCTCATACAACCCATACCATCAAGTTTTCTCCCAAAAACTTGAGTGTTTTCTTGACTCCTCCTTGTCCTAGTAGTTCTTCTGCCTTTTTCCATACATATTCCTGGCCATCTGACCCCATTCTATTGATTTTGTCTCATCTGACCAGAGGGCCCTATTCCAGTCCTCAAAGTTCAATACTGGTGCTTCAGAGCAAAGGCTAGTCTCCTCCCTCCATAGGCTGAAGATAGGAGAAGCTTTTCTTCTTAGTTATAGCTTCAAGGTTGGCTGCATTGAGAGCATTCCTGATTATTTGAGTGGAGACAGTGGTGTGGATAATAGAATAAATGAATTTGATGGCTTGAGTAGTATTAGCAGCCTGCCCAGTCAAAATATAATACCCAAAAGATCTTTTGCTATATGGTATGAGCTTAAAAGTGTGATTTAATTTGATATTTTTTCTTATCTTGAATGGTCTTTTTGAAGAATCTAGCAATAGTATCCCTGCTCAGGCCAGTTTTAGTAGAAATCTGCCTGTTAGACAGATAAGAGGAGGTAAAGATGAGAATAGGGGCTATTTCAGCTATGGGAGAGAGTTATAGCACAGTGAGGGAATATTACTAATGAGTAATGCTAGGAATTGATAGATAGTGTGTTTATAAGAGTTGTAGAAGTGATTAGAGCAAGAGGAGGCAACACTAAGTACTAGAATTATAGAGATTATATTGGTCAAATTCAAAGTCAAAAAAGTGTCCCAATGAGTCATCAAATTAAAATGTCCATATCTTCACACGATAACATCGGATTCCCACGCTACAGGGGCCAGAGATGAAGCCAAGAGGCAGCACATTCTGACACCTCCCTATAGCTTAGTCAGATTCCCACACCCTGACTCACAATGAAGCAATTACATCCAAACCCACAAATATTGGGACACTTTTTTGAGCCACTGTATCTACTACTTGTCACTGTTGATATCACAATAACTGGCCCGTCAGCATGTTTTGAAAAATCTGTCCTTCTGACCCAATAAAACCTTCATCCCCAGCTCCTTGTTCGGCATTGTCTCCATCCCCCTCTCCACTGTCCTGCACTCTACGTCTCCACTGCCTTGCTTCCTGGGCAAAATGATCAAATGTACCAGTACCACCAAGCTGTTCCTCAATGTCAACAATCATATTATGCAATATCAAACAGCAACGTGTCCACATGTTCACTTCGTCAAGGTCTTTTTGTGCCTGGATTTGAACTCAAAGTTCACGAAGCAATTGAAATTGACCTTTCAAAGATCCATAGCAATGCTTGTAGTGAACATGGACCTGCAGATGTTGAGTCGACAGTTGTGACTAAGAGAACGGTTCGTACTACATTCGACAGGTGATGATTAAATTTTTTTGATTGCCTGTTGATCCACCAGCTGCCAGTCGCTTAAAAGGTATGACACACCATGGGCAAGCACCATAGGCTGAATCTGCCCAGATCCACTCGTTTCCCCCCAAAAATGTTTGTGGATGGCGTGCAATTCGAGCTTTTTCAAATGTGTTTGAGTCATGCACACTCCCAGGGACTCCAATCACATAATCAATGATGTGCAGGTTGTGGGGCATGAATGACCTTCTGATGATGCACTTGGGCTGACAGTGAATAATTCGATTTACGGTCATAAAATCCCTCACCATACCACCTGGGCTTCTGGAACAGGTTGAATGGTGTGCCGTTGACACTTAGAAATCCACCCCTCCACTCCGGACAAGTACATTCTTCAACCCAGTCTTTCGCTCGCTCTTGCTCATTTTGATCATTGTGATCACTGGCAAGCGGATCAAAGTAAATCACATCGTTGTGGTGCTGAAGGATAGCAACCATGACACGATAGTGACAATTGTATACTGTCCCAATCAAGACACCAGCCCAATCTGCAATATCTTCTGTTGTTGCAGCATTTCCGTAGTGGCCAGCGCTATTCAAGAATGTAGCAAGCTGTACAGGGACTGGCAATTGAGGGTTTTGTGAGTTGTTATGGAATATAGGATGATTGATAATTTTATTGACAATCTCCGTGAAGACTGGAGGATCAATGCAAAGTTTACGATGGAACTTATCAGGTTTATCTAGTGCCCATTCCTCAAGAAGGTGTAGCTGCAGGGCATGTCTAGATTTTGGACGCGCGAAGAGGACCTGAGACTTTTCCGCTTTGTCAGCTAAGGCTTGAACCATGTTACTGAATTCAATGAAGGGATGTGAGCATGTCAGTATCTATGTTGCATCTGTGGATGTCACAAAGGAGAAAATCAACTCATTAAGTGAGGATTCTGACACTGATGTGGACATTTGATCAGAATCAGAGTCATTGCTATCATCTGAGTCTTCAAGTCCTTCCATGGCGAGTTTGACGAGTTCAAAGTAACGAGCATATTGGAGATCAAGCTGCTTAGCACGCAGCGCCTGCAAGATTTGTTGTCGAGCTGATGTGCAAGGCATGATGATTATTATCGTGATCATCAATTGTACTAGAACTGATACCTAAGATCATATTCTTCTAGCGAGTAGAGGCGAGCACACACAAAGAACGGAGAGCTTAACAAATATATTATCTCAGTATCCGGAAGGGAACTCTGTGTAAGTAGGTAGTACCTTAACAAATATATTCTAAGTGCACGTTAGCTCGTTGTGAGAGACAGGGAAAATAATAGAACGTACATCTCAGTATCCAGAAGGGAACTAAGATGTCTACTGCTAAGGTGTAGCTTTTAAGTATGGGTGGAATAGGAATAAAAAGAGATATTGCTTCAAGACATTTGGAGGAGCGCACTCGGCCAATGTCACAATGGATGCGCTTGTACTCATCCCGACGTACCCGACAGCACTGCTTCTAACAATTCTGGTGGAGCTTGAATACCTTTTGAACTTTCTTTCGGTTGGATGTTTCTGAAGGTTCATAAATTTAACTTTGAGACCCATTGTTCAATGGGAAATGCACAATTTTCACTTATTGCTGAATAGCAACACAACAACAACACACATTCATATTGCATCTACTGTAGTGTATACCTTTGGTCTCTACACATTAGGCCCAACAAGAGTTTTTTTTATTTTGTTGCAAGCTTGTTGCAGCAGCAGCACTGGAAGTTGGGATGTCGAAAACACAATAGAAATGCACAATTTTGTCAGGCTATACTGTCATATTGAAGCATAAAGGTATGTTATAAGAGACACACCTTGATGCACAATGTGTCTAGTTCCTTGACATCTGTAGCTTGATGCATCATGAAGCATCAAGCCTTTTGATCTCTATGCTGAAGCTTCATGCTTTCGCATGGCGCTTGGCTTAGCCCTTTTTGGGCAGGTACGTCCCTTTCCTGCTTCTTTGTGTCTCTGCACTGAAGCTTCATGCTTTCCCACAATGTTTCAGATCTTGGAGTTGGGCAGGTATGTCCCTTTCCCGCTTCTTTGTGTCTCTGCACTGAAGCTTCACACTTTCCCACAATGTTTCAGATCTCTGATGTCACCATTTTTGGTAGGTACACCCCTTTACACCCCTTCCCAGCATTTCTGGCCTTCCCCTTCTCGACCCGTCTAGCCCTTTACACCCCTTCCCGGCTTCTCATCTCCATTTCTGGCCTTTCCCCCCTTCTTGACCTGTCTAGCCCATCAATTTGATGGTCAGGGTCAAGATTGCTTACCACATGAGTTTTTACAAGTCCGTGTCAAACAAGGCTTCGACGAATCAAGCAAGATTCACCACCTCAAATTTTCACTAAGTCTCCTCTGCTGCATACTGTACTATACCATGTAATTTTTTGCACTAAGTCCATGATGTTCCGAAATTCAAGATGTTTGCAAAATTCACCACCTTGAAATTTAATTGAGTTACAAGTGTCTGTGTGCATGAAATTTTTGCGAAGTCTATCATGTCACACCGTGAATGTACTTTCATATGCAGAGTACTTCAGCAAGAAGTCAATGTGAATTAATGAGTCAATGGTGCCCCAAGGGGTATTAAAATACATGCAGTGTAGTATTACGAGCTGATAAAATGAAAACATGACAGCATTACTACAGTATCTTGATGGGCAGGCAGGCAGGTGACTCAGGCATTGGATCTGCGCTTCCTGTTTCAAAATTAGTGCTGTCCAACAGTGACCGGAAGAGCACATACTTCTTTTGAATGGTATTCTCTACCTCATCTGTCCTAAGTCTCTTTGCGCTCTCACCTATCATGTTTGCTTGCACCATGCGTGTGGACTCCTGGCAGACCCAACCTGTCTTTCAAAGAGGGACATTGACTGAGGGGGGTGGATTAGCAAAAGTCTGCTCAACACCTTTCTCACCGCTGTGACAATCATATTGGCGCTAGGCATGTATACCTGCATAAGCCTTCAATAGGTGGACCAAAGTTATCCCTCATATTATTCACTACTCCCCTATCAGCAGTCTTCACTTGTCTCAGCCATAACCCTTGTCCGACGCTATTCCACACTTTCCTGCACTATGTGCGCACATTCCCGCAACGCTATTCATACTCCCGCGACTTATCTGATGCTATTCCCATGCTTATAGTGCTATCAGAACTACCAGCAATGTGTCTATAGGAGCATTAGTGCATGTCCGCTCTATCTAGCGCTTGTTCCCACGCTGTTCTTGTGCTCTAGGATCCACCCGAAACGTCAGAATCCATCCATGGTCCATCCTACCTCATTGGTATGTAATTTGCCTTGCCTCGAGTTTGTAAAAAGTGCTACAGTCTTATTACATGTATATCCTATCCCTTCCAAGTCCAAGATGGTATAGTTTACTAGTATAAGAAACCTATGGTGATTACTTGGACATTACTTCCCTTCAACTGTATTTCCTTTCCCTTAGGTTTTACTTAGAAGTAGTCACCCTTTAGTTGCGCTCTATGGCCCCTATTTGACTTTCCCTTACCCTTGCAATCAATACCTTTGATCTCACTCGCTATCCATTACCCTTCTTTGACTCAGTGTCCGCTTTCTTGACTTCCACTCTTTCCCATGCATTAGCGCTCTATCTTGCGACGTGCTATTCCTGCGCTTTAGCGCTCTTTCGGGTCTTTCAATCTTGAGTTGTCCTTAGTAGCTTTTCCCTCGGGTCAAACGTTCTTGCATCTTTGTTGCAAGTATAGCAGCATAGGCAGAGCATTAGACATATACTGGCTGAGTACCTTAACAAGTGCCTAGTCAGGTTGTGTTTTTCACACCACCCTTCCTATTCCTCACAACGCCCTGATCTGCTACCACAGGCTCACCCTCTTCAACTTGCGCTTCAACTTGTGCAGCAGGTGCGTCCATGGTAGTTGTGTCCCCAGCAGTGACTTCCAAAATGCAAGAGGCGGTGCTGCTGCCATAGATGTGTCCATAGCAACGAGATCAGCACCAGCAGAAACCATGAGCTGAGTAACAGTGGCGGTGGTAGGATGGGCAGCAGTAGGATGGGCAACGAGATTGGCAGCAGTAGCAACTGGGAGCCAGGTGGCAGTGGCAGCGGCAGGAAGTTGGTTGGTTGCTATGGGGTGAGAAGCTGAGATTTGAGAAGCCGAGATTTCCGGCAGATTAATGCTGGGAGTGGAAAAAGAACAACCATTGAAGTTAAACATCAGCAGCTGTGGTCAAAGGCACAGTGGGAGGTGTTGTCAGGGTCGAATCCCTCATGGTGCTCCAAAAATTGGACTCCTTTCTCCATGATGTGATGGGTGTTTTGGGCAAAGTTAATTGCAAGGGATGTGCCGATGACATTGATGGAAATGCAGGGAGTGTGGGTGTTTTAGGTTGAGGTTGAGGTTGAGGTGCCGATGATGAAGGTTGTTGGCTGAGAAGACTGGCATGAAAATCCCAAGAGTACAAGTCATTGAGTCCTTGAAACAAGTCATTGAGTCCTTGCAAGCTAAAGCTCAAGGGCCCTGGTAGCAACAGATTCTTGGGGACTGCAGGTGATGAGAATTCCACCTGCAATGAGGTACTCAGATCTGGCATCATCGGAGCCTCGGCCACTTGATGCACGGAATTCTCTTCTTGTTCTGCAGGGGGCACATAGTCCAATGCACACTTCTTCCTGTTGTCCTCATCTGTACAGTACATTAGGGGATAAGTCTTTAATGGAAATGAAAATATGTACTGAAAACCATCCCAAGATAACTCAGGTATGGGTTGAGATGCCTGTCTGTAAAACTTGAAGTCGCCTGCTTCCATGTAAGGCCAGATTGATTCATGCCTGTGTGGTAACTAAAAACAACCAGTGTTAGGAACAGAGAATGTATGTATCAGATTCTACATACCTCAATACATTAAGCATGCCACCGAGACAAGGATCAGGGCCTCCACCAATTACTGTCCACTCCCAACCTGTTAGCTGTCTTACCGCGTCAAAAATTGTGATATAGGGCCAATGCACTCCTCCAGTGCCCTAATTAATGTGTTAGTGTGAGCAAGACATAGACAATTCTCACTCACTTTGCATACTGCGCATTGGTAGGTGTTGCAGTTGCAGCTTCGGAGAGCATGACACTGGCAGAAGTCTTAGCTTTGTGTTCTTCGGCAGCCTTTGCCTTGCACAACAACTGCATTTCAGGCAGTGCCACCTCGTATGCTGCTTTTGTCAACTCCCTGACTGCCATCAATTTCTCGTTCTTAGTCACAAGCAACCCAGACTCGATTTTCTCCTTCATCTGGGACCGTACAGCAGTGTCATAGTTCATTTTCGAAAATATCTCCACCTCAGTGTGGACCCAGTGTGACAATCATACCAGCGCTAGGCGCGTATGAATGTCATAGGCATATTTTGACTTGCCTAGAAGAAAAGAGTAAGACGCTAGTCACCAGCACTATTCAGCTCCCAAGCTATCCGCTTTGGAACCACTTTTCTCCCATAGCGCGCTACCCGGTCCAACGTCTAGGTGTTCCGCCCTCCCATGTCCTGCCTATGTCCACCTACCTCCACTGGTGCGTTATATTTCCTTAAATGTCGCTACTCATCAGTCGCAGGTCTTATTACATGTGTCCTCATGCTCCGCAGCGCTGCATGTTCTATTACCTGTCGCTACATCGTGCCCTCACCAGTGTCGCTACTATACTCGCCTACACATCCCGAACCCCTATGCAGTATGATAAAATGACCCGTCCTACATACAGTACAGTACTTCTCTTCCCTGGACCTTTGCTGGTGTCGGAGTCACTTTAGTCAGCTATATCTTAGTCTTGGTCCAATCGATTCCGCTCTTGCCAATCTCTCTGATCGCGTGTCGCTTGACTTGCTTTGAGTGTGCGTCACTAAAGTTGCCTCATAAGTTTGATTTTCACAACGTCGGGATCGCTATCGGTAGTCAAGCTATAATCTAGTCGCTATCAGGCATTCCACTTACACTATCATACCTTATTCCTCGCTTTCCCTTCTTTTGATTTCTTCTCGCTGTCACTAGTCAGACGTCGCATAGCGCTATCGCATAGGACAACTTGCATAGTGCTACTTACTTATACGCACGTTTCTCTGTCGGAACTCACTTGTCGCTAGTCGCTGATCGCTACAACGCTACTCATTGGTTTTTGGTCTTAGGTCACTATAGGTTATTAGCCCTTCGCATCATCGCTACCCTTGCATATTTGAAGGGAGTTGCTTCAATAGCAGTCCTCTTGGGTCGAATATTACACTCGCGCCTATTTGGATAAGTAGCGCTAGTTTCTAACCAGCCTAGTCGCTATTTCTCTTTCACACCGGGTTCCTTTGGCCTTGTTGCCTATCATCTTGGTAATTGATTTCATCAGCGAATTGAGTTGTGACCGACCGCCCTTGCGAGATCTATAATTGAACCAGTTTTTGATTGCTGGTTGTTTTTAAATTAGCATTGTCTATGAAAATCAAATTTGTTGTTGCAAAATTTTAACCTTCTTGCACGCTGAGGCGATCTCAACCTGGCTGGGCTGATATGAAATATCTAAAAATGCTCAACCAGTATAAGTGAGTCTTGGCTCTGCCTAGCTGCTATACTCGCAGAATGCAAGAACGTTCGACCCTAAAGGGGACTGCTACTGAACACAGAACCAGATGAAAGAAAGACCCTTGAAGTGTGATGGATGCGCGAAAGCACAAGAAGAAAAGCGAAGTGAGCAGTGAAGCGCGAGAGAGCGCACTAAGGTAAGCGCGAGCGTGGGAACGTGAGCGCTCAGGCGCTGCGTTGTGTGGAGAATACCGGATAAGGAAACGGATAAAGAAGCGGATGTGCAAAGCGAGTGCAAATGCAGAGCGAGTGTTATAACGAGCGCGGATAAAGGTCTAGTATAGGCGGATAACGATAACCATTGGAAACACAAAGTGCGCCCAAGTGGTGACTACTACTCTAAGGTAAAACCCAATAGCGAGGGAAGTACAGCAAAGGGGAGTAATAATGATGGAGTAGTAAGTCAGCCACTTTATACTATGGTGTCATATCCCGTATTCTGGACCTACGTCCGATGATGTTCCCACGCCTTCCGGACGCCTTCCGGATGCACATCCGGACCTCCATACCCTTATCCATGACTCCATACCCTTATCCATGCCTGCAGTCCTCCAGTCCACTATCGGTTCGGATCCGTACACCTTCGTACATCCATATATCCATACCTTCGGACCTCCGCAGCTAAGCCTGCTTCATCCACCCTTGATCCCATCGGATCCGAGCTCATCCTACCTGAGACTTTACCTTCCCTAGACTACCGGTGAGGCGTTCTCAACCTGGCTGGGCTGATATGAAATATCTAAAAATGCTCAACCAGTATAAGTGAGTCTTGGCTCTGCCTAGCTGCTATACTCGCAGAATGCAAGAACGTTCGACCCTAAAGGGGACTGCTACTGAACACAGAACCAGATGAAAGAAAGACCCTTGAAGTGCGATGGATGTGCGAAAGCGCAAGAAGAAAAGCGAAGTGAGCGCGAAGCGCGAGAGAGCGCACTAAGGTAAGCGCGAGCGTGGGAACGTGAGCGCTAAGGCACACGTTGTGCGGAAAATACTGGATAAGGAAACGGATAAGGAAGCGGATGTGCAAAGCGAGTGCAAACGCAGAGCGAGTGTTATAACGAGCGTGGATAAAGGTCTAGTATAGGCGGATAACGATAACCATTGGAAACACAAAGTGCGCCCAAGTGGTGACTACTACTTTAAAGTAAAACCCAATAGCGAGGGAAGTACAGCAAAGGGGAGTAATAATGATGGTGTAGTAAGTCAGCAACTTTATACTATGGAAATCGCATCGGAAGCGGAAGGGATAGGAGCAATAAGTGCTATGAATACGTAATGACATGTAATAACGCTGCAATGCTTGTTACAAACCACGAGGCAAGGGATATGACGTACCAATGAGGTGGGTGGACATAGAGGGACGTTCCTGGATGATAGGCGATGCAGGGCGCTTAAGCGCGAGAAAGCGCGCAAGGTGCGCGTGTGGGAATGCATGTGCGGAGTCCGCGCTTGTCGCTTTCGCGGAAAGTGTAACCGGACATGATGAGTCAATACTGATGGTGCGAGTTCGCAGCCATTGTCTGGTGTGAAAAGGTGCGAATGTGCCCTATGTGCTAAACGCGAGTCTCTACACGCATCAACTGCTTCCATACCCGTTTTCCCCTCACTGAAAAGGTCTTGTCTAACCATTATCGTTAGATCGTGATCGGATCTCAGATCCGCCAGATCGATGAACATATCATGCCGGATCCCAGATCCGCTTGATTCTATTTCATTTCTGTTATTACTCTAACGAGTTCAACTGGTAACTGTACACGGTTACGGTATCCTTACTTCGCTGCTACTGATCGTATGCTTACTGATCATGCTTAGACCCTACCTACGAGTTTACTTGTACTTCACCGTTCATGATTCGTGACATCAACTTACAATACGCTCCACTAACTTGCTTATCTTTCGTACTAGCTCGCACCTTTGCTTATTGATTCATTCCGTTACTATCCGACCTTTGAGCGCTGTAGTAATCAGTTCGAATACAGCTTGATGCACTCTTGCCGACTCTCTGAGTCCCTCCGTACCATCGGACTGATACGTACTCTTTCTACTCCGAGACTTAGATTTCATAGTTACATATCCGCCTTGTCTCGGACGTCACCGTATTCTAGTCCGGAGATCGATTGCCGTTCTATACACGCTAACTCCGAAAAGGCAAATGGGAAGGGGCCACGCACGCGAGGCGAGCCTTCGGATCCGATAACTTGAGTACAGCTGAACAGTTCTTGTCTGGTACAGCAATTGATTTCAGGCATCATCTAAACTCCTTGCTACATGGAAGAAGTTCACAAAGTACCCTGAATTGCGTTCAGGAACTCTCTAGGTAATTTTTTTTGTTCAGTGCTCATCCACGGGATCCAACCATCTGTTCATCATGATAGCATGAATCAATGACAGCAGCTTGCCTAGGCATGCGTCACTGCTTACCTTGTCTTTTTTTGGTCTGGGTCTGGTAAGTCGGCTGGAAAGGCTTTAAAGTGCCGTTATCGATCACAGCATATCAGGTAAGATCTTGGACATTGCTTCCATTATTTTTTTGTTCTGGTTGCATCTCATAGGCTAGCTGTAAGGATCTGGGTGTGTTTAGTCATTGGGTCAGAGTTAAATTTAAGATCCTATATATAATCCATGACAAGCCCAAAATGAAAGCCACCGCCCTCACCCCCATTTAGTAGCAATATGTTATTGATCGTTGGTTCATTTTCAAATGAGCAATTCCAATAACAACACTTGTGCAGTCTGCATCCAGCCATGTACTCCATCCTTGGTGGAACCACTTACCTTTACTATCAATGAACTCGCTGCTGCTCTGCAACTCATCAGGGATCAAGATGGTGGGTAAATTTCAATTCTATTCCTTGACACTCACTGTTTGATTATCTATGCAGAAATCTTCCAAGCGCATGAGAATTCTGATGCAGAACTGCCCTCTCCCCATACAAATGATTGCCCTGCTTGCGTTTTCCATGCACACTGCCACCAGTGTTATGTCTGCCATGCTAAAATTCTCGATAGCCCTTGCAAATCTAAGTCTCAGCCTGGTACCGCTGGTGAGTTTTTGCTCTTCACTACAAGCTTTGATTTTGATTTTATATTTAGCACACACACCTACTCAAAATGACGGCTCATCTCCGAGTCTCACTGCTACTACTCAAAATGATGGCTCGTCTCCTCTCACTGCTATTATAATAGATTGAGTAGATGGGTTGATTGTGATCTTGGCCAGTGAATTTATTGTAGCAACTTTTTGGCCCGTACTGTACATACTGTAAAGATATGTATACGTTCAGGTCATTTTGAATTTGACTATGTGGCATGTTGGTGCATTTTTCTTTGGTCATGTGAGGCTCATGTTGTGATGTGTGATGAAGCCAGTCTGTACAGCAGTAGTACTGAATGTTAATGTTCGTGTTATCATTTGACCAATTGATATGTAGTATAGTTGTGAACACAGAGACTTTAGAATTGAATTTAAATAGTGTTTGAACCATCTGCATGTAGTTGTGAACTGTGGACACTTGAAAGTGTTTGCTCTATCTGTCCTGAAGTGTCCGTGCGCACAACAATCCAAAGCATGGTCATGTGCCATTACATGTCAAGTAAGTCACACGCACATTCTGACAACATTCTGATACACTTTCCAATGATTTTCGAACAGCACTTGTTGCTTGCTAGTGCTTATACTCTCAACTGACACATTACAATTCTTTGCATTACTACACATGCCGTCTAAATACAAAACTGAACAACAGTGCCTTGAGGCTCAACAACAATCAAAGCAAAGGCACTATGAAAGGTATGTCCTCTTCATCAGTCAATTTTCATAGGAATGAATTGTGTCTTTGTAGGCACAAGCTCACTGAATGCTTAAAATCTAGAGGTCACTGGTGTAAAGGTCTCAGAGCCACATATGTATGTATATATCCTACACCTCACACCAACAGGCTAATGAATGACTCAGGTTACTCAACAACTTCTACAAAAATTAGACCGCCTATGTGTCAATCTAGGGTATCAGCAAGGTCCTTCACAACATGCAGTCCTACAGTGCCAGAGCCTCGAGTTGGCCTGTGATGCTGATAACAAAGGATGGCAAGCTGTGAGGCCACGTTGCGAAAGAATGTTATTCGAGGTGCAAGGGCTTCTCTCCAAAGCCCACGAGCTGCTTGCAAGTTCACTGCAGGTGGATGGTGCATGTACAGAGTATCTTCTTATATCTTCTGCAGCTGCTGTTGATGCTGTGGAATTGCACTGTGATGCATTGGATGAAGGACTGACATTGATGGACATTAGTACAGATCACTACTTCGAGTGTCTCCAGCATGACCAACTTGTGTGGCAGAAGGTTTTAAAGTAGCAGCAAATTTTATCTAGATAGCATAGTATTTTGTACCTACAACTTGCACATGTACTCTTCGTTGGCACCATCAATCACATGAGTATGTGATGCAGAACACTGCCCAATTGATGCTTCAATACTCAAACTCTCAGCTACAAACATGGGTGGCGGGAAATGTCGACATGAACTGGACAAATTGAAGAGAGACTGGTATATACTCAACAGAAATAACCAAGCACAGCAAGCACGTCAGCAAGCACATCGTCAAATTGTCATCCTCATCTCGTGTAGCTGACGATTATGAACTTTATCATAAACACTCAAGCTTTTCTCAAACTGCACCAGGCAGGATCTCCACTGAAACAGAATATTTTCATGTAGCTGAAAGCACCACTGTCCACATCTCACATGAACCTCCATTAGTCTCCAAGACGCTTATGGAGGAATTTAACTTCGATTTTGACTCATGCACACCTGACGGCGACTTCATTGATCCAGCATACGAAAGCTACTTGGCCAAGTCTACACTGGGGCCTAAGAAGCGCGTAAGGCTAATAGGTGTATGTTAATTTCTAACTGTACAACTTGAATGTTTTAACTGGTATTTGACAGGATCGCACAATGGCCCATTGGGTTAATGACCGAGAGAAATTTCTTTTGGAGTTGATTAGACTCGAAGGCTGTGGGCATTATGCTACCCAAGAAGCTTGCCGCAGACATCATGAATGTACCTTTGAGCCAGAGTATCGCTGCAAGGACTGTTTTGGCACTGAGCTATACTGTAAGGATTGCACAGTGGAAAGGCATCATGATAATCCATTGCACAGGATCAAGGTATGTGACCTAGATTGTCTATCTTTAAGTGCGCTAACTGTTGTTTTAGCGCTGGAACAGTTCTTACTTTGAGGAGACTACCCTCAAACATCTTGGACTCCGCATCCAGCTTGGCCATGCAGTTGGCGAACGATGCTTCAATCAATCCAGAGCGTTTGACAACGACCGTGTGATTCTGGACATCAATTGTGTTCATGAGGTCGCACTAGATTTTTGCGGGTGCTCATGCGCACAAAGTCATGCAATGCAAATTCTCCGCACCCGCTTGTACCCTGCAACATGCTCTGATCCCAAGTCAGCTGCTACCTTCCGACTTCTGCAACACTTCCAGATGTTGACTTTCGAGTTGAAAGTGTCCGTGTTCGAATGTTGGCAGACACTCACCTGTCTCACAGATAACACAGGAATAAAGCCCTGCAAGGTATGCATGTTGTATGTCTATGAAAGTTAGAATTGCTGACATGAAATTGATAGGATCGCTATGAAAGCTTACTGCACATGATCAAGCAATGGCGGAACATCACACTTCTTAAACACTTTGGCCGAGGTCATGATCCTGCCTGGTTTCAATGTGACTGAACCTGGAGGATGTGTAGTTCTTTGTCACGCCTGCCCTCACCCTGGCAAGAACTTACCTGATGACTGGAGAATGGCGCCCCCTGACAAGCAATGGCTGTACACACAATATTTTGCTATTGACACGAATTTTTGTTTGGTACGGAAGAATGTGTCCTCTGACAGTGTTGACCCTGGTTTGAGTAAAGGGTGGTCTTATTTTGTCGAGGAGACTGGCTTCAAACTGTTCCTGAAGGATATTGGAAAGGTTTCACAAGAGGTATGCAAGCACTTTCCTTTTACATTGCTATCGCTGACAGAACAACTTAGAAAAGCACTTGCATTAGTCACAACGCTGTGAACCTTGCCAAAACAAAAAACTCACAAGGGCTGGCTGTGATGGGAGCAGGGACTGTAGACTGTTCTCATCACAATTTCAAGCGGCCATGTGGAGTGGGGGATCTTCAGCAAGGAGAAAAGTATGTATTTTATTAAATGATCTTTCTTGCATAACTTACAACTTCGCACCAGGTATGTGAACATGGACTATCTCTTCTTCTTGATCCTGCAGCACTCCAACGAAGTCCTCACACTCAATGTGTCTTATGACATTGCTTGTCAGTGGAGCAAACATCTGTGGACCCGCATGTCAAAGTACCCATCGCATCTACACTTCGAGTGTGACGGAAAGACGATGACATTCCTCATTCCCAAGTTTCACTTACCAGCCCATATCACCACCTGTCAGATATCATTTTCACATAACCTTATCAAGAGGATGGGACGCACCGATGGCGAGGCTCCGGAGTGAGGATGGGCCAACATCAATCCCATCACTACAAGCACATGGGAAATGGGTCCTGGTGCACGCAGAGATACCCTCGATGATCATTTCAGTTACTATAATTGGAAGAAGGTGACTAACTTCGGTATGTGTTCATCATTGTCTCAGCACAGCAAACATTGAAAATTATGGCCAATAGGTATCAGTTTATTGAGCAAGATCAAATCTGCAATTCCCGAGTGTGAACAACACCAACGTGACTTTGAAGAATTCAACTGTGTGCTGACCGAAGAACAACCGAGTGAAGTAGCTCAGTGGAAAGAAGTTGTTGAAAGCTGGGAGTGCGACCTTTCGAGCAAAAATCTGTTTGAGATAACGACAGTCTGTAAGTGCGACTCACTCTGTATGTTAGATTTTGACTGACCACATATAGCCATGATGCTGGCTGCCGTGCACCTCAAACTGTCTCAACAGGAAGCCGAAGACCTTGAAAATGGGCTCAACAATTCACTGCATATGGATATCTCTCCCAGCATACTAATATCATCTGGAATGGACCTCAAGGAACAACAGTATGTGTTTGAAATTTGTTTCTTATTCATTGTATCTAATGATCTACAGATACCGCCTACAACAAGATCTGGCCGCTCTCAGTGCCCATCCAATAGATCTGCAAATGATGAGGCTGCAGGAACATTCAAATGCACTCCTGCAGAAGATAGAGCAGTGGTGCAACATTCAGTTGCTCTACATGCCTGCAGTTGGCCACCTTCATGCAGTTGAAATTGCGAATGGACCATCTATCTGCAAGGAAAGGCACATGAAGTCAAGCTGTGGCTTCCATCAAAGGTCAAGGAGACCACTGAGCTATGCGAGGGGCCGCTTTGTGCATATGAGTGGGAGTTACGGTGTGCACAGGCACATGAAGCTCTGGATGAGCTTTGCCGACAACTTCAACTTCATACTCACCTCTACAAGTTCAAGGACATGCACATCTGTGGTCAACAAGCTAATACTAGGGCGACCATGTTGCTTAACAAAGTGGAACAAAGCATGAAAACCGCTGTTGCGTGGTATTGTAGAGCCTGGTCAGCCGTCAAGACACTATCCATGGTCCTGGGCAACCCAAACTGGGAAGTTGAGCTGCCAGAGTTATGACTGGCTGATGTTCGGGGGATGGCGGAGTGAGAAACCGGGCAATCTGAAGGCACCTGCACCTTGTCCTGGATCTGGAAGACCCGCAGTGTAGCTGGAGTTGGCGAAGATGGCGAGGCTGTCCTATCTGAAGGTAGGGGTCCTCATCCTTGACAGGCACAGAATGGAGAATTGACCTAATCCTTCAAATAGGATTGCGTATCGAGTGGTGCAAGTCTCAGGCCCAGCGCTAACTGATGGGCTGAAGAAGTCAAGCTCCTGCAAGAGGAGATGCGCCGTGTAGCTGACTTTCTTTCCTGGCATGCAGGGTGGTGGGAGGAGCAGGCAACTTGGAGGGCTGCCCTAGTCGCACCTGAAGAGGAGGGGATCCAGGGATATGCGAAATGCCAGGCTGCTCTTCAGAGGGCTATGCGGGACAGATTCCAGGAGGTGTGGAGTATTGTGCCTGCTCTTCTCCAGTCTCCATCCCCCGCTATAGAATTCGCCACGCTGTAGTGGATTTTTGATGTTTTCTGTTTGTATTCGCATGTTGGCTAAATATAGTAATTTGATCAGTGTACTGTGAATGATGGAGAACCACCAACCACCAACGACAAAGAACCACCAATGACGGAGAAGCACCATCGGGCACTGAGATCAGGAACTGAGATCTCTGGCTTGCAAGAATACCAATGGGGGCCTTATGTCAGCCTCGTCTCTAGCTTGATGCTTAAGGCTTGCAAGCTGAGGGTTTTGTACTAGGGCAGCAGTACTCCCTGATTTGATGCTTCACTGTCAATGGTTTAGAGTGTTTTGTGCATCAAGGGCTATCTCTAATCTGATACTTTGAACTACAGGTACAGGTGATTTCGTCTCGCTATGTCACACACGGCGTCTCGGCCAAGACAAGGTGGTAACCAAAGTCCGACAGCGCTCCAAGTGAATGAGTTCCACACGCCACCGATTCTGTCAAATGCAACAAAGCAGAGAACTCAACCAAGCCGACAGTGTGATTTCCTGATTGTTACTCCCTTCTTAATTGCTGTTTTTGTTGGACATGGCCCAGAAATCGACAGCAGATTACTATCCAATATCTGTAACATGTCTATTAAAAATTCGGCGTGGAACAGAATATCTCCTTGTGCAATGCTAAGCAGGGTCAGTGCCAGCTCGCAAAGATCTCCTGATATCATGAGTTTTCTCCGAAACTCAGAAGAACTCCGGGGGAAGAACTCCAGGGGGGGTAGGGCAGACAACGCGGCACTGCTTACAAAGCATGAGTAGCGGAATTCTTCTGAGAGATATACCGCTGCAGGAATTAATTAAGACGCGGTGCTCTGCGAGATGTCCTGGGGTATAGCGTACGAGATAAGGGGAATGGGTATGGCACAAATAGCCGATAGAGTTTGTTACTGATTTTGGTATTTTCTAGCTTGCGCTTGGATCCGGCTGAGGGCGACCATGTTGATTTGATATGATACAACCCCTCCCAATTCGCCCCACCATCCTTCTCCACTCGTCAGTTCTTCTGAGTTTCGGAGATATCAGGAGATCTCCGAACAATTCAATGTCATCTTGCTCTCCTTTGCGAGCTGGCACTGACCCCGCTTCGCATTGCACAAGGAGATATATTCTGTTCCACGCCGAATTTTCAATAGACTTGACAAAATATTGGACGTTATCTGCTGGCTTTGCAAGGTGATCTTTTGCTCCACGCCAAATGCACTACTGGCAATCTGCTGGCACAGGTGATATATATGATCATATGTTCGAAATGGGGTTTCAGGTGGGTAGGTTCTTCGTACCGTACATCGCCATAAAGAACAATATTCAGCACATAAAAGCAAGGCGTCTTCCTACTGTCCCCTCCAGAATCATTTGATCCCATATCACATCCTCACAATGCGTCTCTCTTTTGTCCTCGCAGTTGCAGCTGCTTTGACGGCATCAATATCTGCCAGTGACGCTGACAGTGAGGGATGTCCTATTTTTTGCTGGCATGCAAGTCATTGCCATGGCTGCCCCAAACCGCTCCAATGCGTGAGTAGTATGAGCAATTTGCATCCTAGATTCAACTACTGACTCACCAACGTCATAGATCCTCTTTATATGTCATGACCACACTATTCACATTCCTGGATGACGATGTTCGATTTCAGATCTTCATTTTTGTTCGTAGTCAGGTGAGTAAGAAGCACGACTATATATCTAATACTGACTGAATTAGTGATCCACAGATACACCTTAGATATCATATGCGAGTGCCCATTCAATATTCAAGCCTCCTACACACCAGAAGCCACAGTGGCATGTAGCTTGTACACCTCGTGAACATTTGTCCAGTCATGACAAACAGTCTCGTATCTCTCGACGGCGGACCCAAGTTTATTCACGACCGGCTCGATTCTCATATTGGGGTGATATAAAATCGATCGGCGAAGATGATTCATGCAATGATGAGTTATCGGCGATGATGGGGGTCACATCGGTGCGTAGTCGTCACAGATGATTCATAAGCACTTCAGCTGGTGCAAGAGAGTCACTGTGTGTATGTGACTTTGGCTCGTCTCCCTATCAGTGATGTTAATGGTGTTCTTTGCACGGAATGAGTTTGGCAAACTCTTCTCCGTATCTGCGTGGTAGCGTCTAACTCCGTAGGGGACACTGAAGAAGTGTTCTAATACCATGGCTGAGATCGACACTATTGAAGTACCCACTGTTGAACGACCAATGCCGTCGTGCAGTAAAAGCAAGTTTGCTAAGGTGAATACTTCCACCTGCGACGAGTACCCCTGTTTCGAAGACAGTGGCAAGTTGTCCCAGTCTCTGATTGTCGTCTGCATGTCATGCTGATAAAAGCGTGCTCAAATATACTTAGACCTGTGGTGATACTGACTACGGCCCATCAGAATCATTGCACAGCTCGAGTATACTGATAAGTACTCATTCCCCGCCCCTAGCATCTCGGTTTCTATTATGATTGCACAAACTCAATTCGACATACATACCAGGGCTGGGTGATGCATTGATGTTGATTCTCTGTGTCCAGTCACAATGACTCGGCTGCTCAATTATGGTACTGCGTCGCAATCGCGATCGTCATTCGGTATATGATGACTCATGAGCATCGCGTCGACATGACAATCTTTTGCAAGGACCTGCGAGTCCGTATACCAGAGCGACTCAGAATATCGAAGAGGTCGGCGACGGCGGTGACTGGCTGGGCTAGGTCGAAAGTCGCGAAAACAGAGGTGAAAACGTTGATCATTTGTCTCCTGCTCAGGCATGGCTGTCAGGATTGCGAGCTCACAGCAGTGGTCGATGCAAGAGATTCCTGTCTCCCTGATCACCGTCGCTTACATAACACCTTAGACTGACTGGGCTCTGAGGAGTTGTATTTCCGATTGTTTTTGTCGTCCCCGCCTTACATTCTCCTAGAACATCATGTATCAATGTATCAGTTCAGACACGAGCGAATGGACATGTAAGGTACACTAGATGACCAGAACAGCACAACGCCATTGCAAACTGCGGCAGTACTTACACGATATGAATGTCAGACGGTGCACCTCAGCGTCGTATGAGTCGATGGATAGTGAATTATTGCCATAGATATGCGTTACATACGAGCCGGGTGATCCGCTGTGCCCCCTTAACCCCTGTATAATCTCGAAAACCAAAGTGTCGAGCAAAGTAGCGCAGCCGCAAAGAGATAAAATACTCTTCCTTCCTTCATTGGATCGCCATTTGCAAGAAAATTGCGCAGCGGAAGAAAGACCAGACCAATGACAAAATTGCTCGACCCTTGAAAATTGAAGCTGGAGATAGACTTTCGAAGGCACAAATAAATGCTTACAGTTCAGCGATAAACCCACTGATGAAATAGCGGACACAGCCTGTATAGGGTCAATGAAGGAACAATGCACTTCGTGAAAAAACTGACATGGGGTGGTGCCACCTCGGGGATAATGACAAACGGAATGGGACCTAATCCGAAGGCAAATGACCTTCAAGATAACATGAGTTGCGTAGAGGAGTTAGATGTAATCCACGTACATAACAAAGGTGGTGATTGCGATACTAGACAAAGTCACGAGGCCGTTATTCAGCCCATAACCAACAGCCAGATGAGACAGAAGAGCGCCAGCAACTGATAACTGGATTAGTTGTTTCCTGCCCACTCGCTAAGTACCCGTGTTAAATTGTTGCAAATACTTGAACACGATCAAACTTGCCTCAATAAGGAAGATCGGCGGAAAAGTCATGAAAAAGTTGACAATTGTGATCGCCAGAGAAACATATGATGCTAGTTCGGGGAGGGATTTAGAGAGTATATCATTACTGTAGTACAAGACTACGATACATTGAGAAATGTTATATTGTGCAAGTGAGCGTTCTTCTTACCTGCGTTGATTCCTGATATTTGTTGGGATGTCATAGCAGCAATAATTGTCAATAGAGGCTGGCGAAGTCCAGTAGAGGCGAACAGTTGGGGAATAGTCATTGCAGGCTGGCGGCCAGTTGAGAGGCGTTCTGTGGCACGGTCGCTGTCTGGCAACAGAGGTTCCTCGTGGTCTCGTTCTTCAGCTAAAGATAAGATCAGAGACTTGTCTCAGCAAGCCAGTATCTGCTCACGATCTGTACGCGAAACATCATGGATTCCGCCCCACAATCTGCGAATAGCTAACTTCTCTTGATCTACCAGTCCCTTTCGGTTGAGATATGAAGGGGACTCTACGACAAACGGGCTGACGAAATACTGGAAAATGGAGATCGCCGCTGAGGTAAACAGTACCAAACGCCATTGTCGGGGAGTGGCGAGACCGAAACCCATTCCTTGGGTGACCATGATACCGACAACTATAGCCAGCTGTGTTAGAACGCCTAACGAGACGGTCAATCGATATTACTGGTGATTGATGAACTAAGAAACAGCGCGAACCCAGATTTCCCTTGATTTTAGCTGGTGCTATCTCAGACAGGTATATTGGACAAAGGCAAATGCCCAGGCCTGCTGCAAAACCAACAAGAAATCTGTGGGCGTGGGAGATTGAAGTAGGGGATATTGCTAGTATGAAGTACATACCTGCCCAGAATCAGTGGACCTACGGAAGAAGACAGTCCGAATAAGGTAGAACCAGCAGCTGTGAGCACAGCGCTGAGACGAGAAGCGCCTTTCCGCCCGTAATGGTCCATAACAATGTTAGCGCTCAGACTGCCGAAGAAGCCTCCCAGGGTATACATGGACGTAACTACAGAGAATGTTGCGTCGGACATGGGGATACATGTGGGCAGACCATAGTACACTGGGGCAGCTGTATCAGTGATTTTACACGTCAGGACAGCTTGTAGCTGATTCAAAGCGGACGTGTGATAACCATACTTGCACAAGGACGTGGTCAGGGCATGAATTTGCATCATGATTGGGTAAATACCTGGAACGAAACAGTCAGGACCCATAGGCATACGAGCCAGCCGTACTTGGTAAATGTGTGAGCGTCCTCAGAAGTCATCTGAAATTTATAAAGACGGTAGTATTGAGAGCACAACTGCTACTAGCACGGCAGGGTTTCCCACGCATCAATGACATAATGCAATACTTAATGTACGTTAGTACTTATACTATAACCTTATGTTATAAAGTAATCGGACTTACGACTCTGATGGGCTACCTCCGCTCGCCGTTCTAATGGACTTTACAAATATGTATGGTGAATCTGGCGCTGCAATGACCTGAGCCGCCGGATTGCTTGGAGAAGGTGTGCATCATTGTGTACGTACTCAAGCTCAAGCTTTAGATTACCTCCAGAGCCCATATGATCATGTTGATAACGAGTCGGAACCGTCATTCACTATGCAATGACGGTCATTCGGTACCTTCACGGTTCCCGATTTGGGTAAGCCGCACTACAAAAAGTTTATCAGAACGTTGTATTCCACCTTCTTCCAGCTTGCCAACTGTGTCCTAAACGTTCAGCACCTTCACTCTTTTTACTCCCAATTTTCGCTGGGCCATCCTCTACGCTCCTTATAACTCACGCTCTTTTTTCGTATCATGTCACACGCTGCGTTTCTTGCAGTTGCCCTTCTCGTGTTTGCCTTGCCCCTTGCTTATGCCGCCACTCCCGACCAATGGCGAGGTCGTTCAATTTATCAGTGCGTACATCTGCCCATTTCGCAAAGTATCTGATTGACTGATTTTTGTAGAGTCATCATCGATAGATATGCTTTGCCAGACGGCGCTGACCCTAACCAATGCCCCCCGGGGACCCGTACATGGTGCGGTGGGACCTGGAATTCGTAAGTATCGCAAGTACTCATTTTTGCCTCATCCTGACCTCCCACAGTCTTCGCCAAAATCTAGACTACATCCAAGACGCAGGTTTCACCGCAGGTACGTACGATTTCACTCATAGCCATTAAGACGTCTGACTTGGTATTTTAGTCTGGATAAGTCCTGTTTCCCAAAACTACGAGGGTCCGAGTACGCCATATGGAGACCCCTACCATGGATACTGGATTGCAGATGCTTCTCAACTCAATTCTCGGTTTGGCACGTCTGATGATCTCAAGGATCTTTCAGATGAACTGCATCGTCGCGGAATGTGAGTGTGTTCATAGACACCGACGTTCACATTGTTGAATTTTTCAAGGTACTTGATGGTTGATGTCGTTGTTAACGATGTCATGGCCACGTCAATGACCCCCGATTTATCTACATATATGTTCAAAGAACAGGTAAGGTTACTTCTCTGCGTGTCACATACATCCAATTGCTGAGTCGTTCACACGTAGTCGCAATACCATCCATATTGTGTCATAGACTGGAGCAACACCACCAGCGAGGAACAATGCTGGTTAGGCGATACCGTCGTTCCTCTTCCTGACCTCAACACGGAAGACCCAACTGTTGTTGCCGGGTTCAGTGGCTGGATTCAGTCCTTGGTTAAGGAATACAACATTGATGGACTCCGAATTGATGGTAAGTGTGTTCAAGCAATCTTATTATCACAATGTAATAAGTATTTTGTCAGCTGCGAAGTAAGGCTTCCCTCATTCCCCTCACTCGTGCTAACTGAGGTGTAGACATGTCGACATTGGCTTCTGGCCCGTGTTCTGTGGCAATGCCAGTGTATTTTGCATAGGAGAAGTCTTTGGTTCAGATATCGAGTAAGGTCTCAGCGGTCCATCCTGCTCTGCTTAACATGAGTCTGTATTGCAGCGATACCGCTCTCTACCAGGGACCCAATGCCCTTGACTCGGTTCTGAACTACCCCATGTACACTGCGCTCCTTGACGCGTTCACCATTCCTGGGTCACTGAATACCAGTGCTGTTGCAGATTTGATTGCGCAGGAGGCAGCGAAGTTCAAGGTATGTGGTCCACACCTATTTCTGGATGCAATTCAATGGTTGTAGGACCCCACACTTCTCGGGAACTTTATCGAAAATCAGGACGTTCCTCGCTGGGCGAATCTCTCTGTCGATCCGCAATCTTTATAGTCAGTTCTTTCCTATATTGTATCTTGCAGATCCTGACTCGAAACAGCAACGCCATGGTGTTCAACTTCATGACTGATGGGTGATTTGTATCGTCGCTTTTGCCCATAAATCGCTGACGTTTCACAAGCATACCTATTGTGTATTATGGCCAAGAGCAGGGCTTTAGCGGGAACAGCGATCCTGTAAGTTGACCCTGCTGGTTTATTTTGATGCGCCTTTACGCCGCCGCAGTATAACCGCGAGGCAATGTGGCCTTCGAAATATGCTAACACTACGACATACCAACTCATGACCACATTGAATCAGGTATGCCATAATTTGAATTTGAGGGCCTAATGTTAAACATCGCGCCTCACAGTTCCGCAACTTCTTGGTTAACAACACGCAATGGGCAACTACGCCAACGCAGGTGCTCACGACATCACCATACGGCATCGCAACCTTGAAGGGGGATTGTGTCTCCATCATGACTAATATCGGATCTCCCGTAAGTCCATGTGAACCTTTATCCGCATCTTCGATCTTTTCTGATCTTACTATACCCTATTATTAGCCTCAAAATATCAGTATTCCCGTGTATACCCCATATCCTGCAAGCACGTCACTTACCAAGTCAGCTGCTTCTCAGATTTACCTCGAACATCAGAACTCACATCTTGTCATAGTATACTGACCTGTCAACAGTGGCCAGTGGGCAGCAATGGCACCATCGACGCACAGTATAGTTTAGGAGGCGTGCCTCTTATTCTCTATCCTACTGCTCTTCTGCAGAAATCTGGTTTGTGCGGAAATTCGGGCACGACGGGTTCGACCAACTACATATCGTCGGCCTTGCCCATTCATCGTCCTGTTGTATCTCTTTCGGCTGTGTTGTTTTCTCTGTTGTTGGGCTCTCTGTCTTATTTTCTGTGATATTTAGGATGTTAATGGATCAACTTTCATGTTGACCGAATTTTTTCGACCAACTACATATCGTCGGCCCTGCCCATTCATCGTCCTTTATATCTCTTTTGGCTGTGTTGTTTTCTCTGTTGTTGGGCTCTCTTTCTTATTTTCTGTAATGTTTAGGGATGTTAATGGATCGATTTTCATGTTGACTGAATTTTTTCACATCCTCGACCACTCTTGGAAGTTGACGGGCCTTAGGAATGATCCAGTTCACAGCATACTGTGACCAGCAGGCTTCGACGATGTCCTGATAATTAGGTAAGTTGATCGACTGGTATGCGGTTTCTAATGTACAATATTCATTGAAACTAGTGGGTCACGATTACATCGCCGGGAAAATCGAAACGCGCAGGGAGTAGAGACTCTGCCCTGTTGGTGTGCTATTCCGATAGATTCATAGACTTACTAGGTCTCTGAACGGTAAGTGCGAATCTACCTGGCCAAATGGTATGGGGTCCAGCACGCGACCTGCACAATTCGATCTCGCCGTTGACTTGCATGATAAGTATTACTTAGCACCCTGAGTATCTGGTGTGATGCAGAGATTTCACGAAATGCAGTGCCCGCCGATTCAGTTATGAGTAGACTGGCAGGGTCGAACACATGCGCTTCGAGGGAGACTCCGCTTTAGGCAGCGCCTTCGATTTCAAGTATTAGCGCCTACGTAGTACGTACTGGCACCTTTCTTGATAACAGGAATCATTTGTATTACCCAGGCCGTCGAGCCCAAGCTCTGGGCTGTTTGTTAGATATAACATTATTTATGACCCGCAGCAGTTTTTTTTCGGTGACCGCTGCTCCAAGACCTTGACAATAGCTTTCGCGAATCGCCATTACATAAGACCTCCGTCGTGTAAATCTCGCTTCTCCCGTGTTTGTTTGAAACCGAAGCCATCACCAAACAAACATACGAGATATCCATTTACGGCAATCAAAGTTGAACTTAGTCTTCACCGCTAGGAGCAAACCATTAGGCCTTTAGTCCACGAAGCCGTCATTCCCTCGATCGAACTCATCAGACTAGCTAAGTCTAAGTGGAGGCTGTGCCTATCTGTATATCTTCTTACTCCTTCTGGAGTATGCTGCTATCTGTGAGTGTTGCTGAGTCTAGTTACATTCCAGTAGGACGATCAAAGATATATGGCACTGTTTCTGCTTCAAGCTGAAAGTGCCTCGCTAGATATCTTAGAGACTCTCCTTTCATACTGAGCACGTTTGAGGGTCATAGAACTGATGGTTGCGATTGAAATTTCAGGTTGTTTGTTTCGCACATCATTCCTTGGACCTCTCTCTAGCATCAACATCAAGCTTGTCGACAAGATGTTTATCAGAAACACACTCAATACCAATCTCACTTTTTGGCGCAAGAGTAGGGGCTCTGCTTCCAGAGTCAAGTCACCTGCGGATACAAAGCCTGTGATCGAGTCCAACTCGCCAACCTTTGACGATGTAACATCCCCTCCTTCATCTTCTAAGGCTCGCAAATTTCGCTTCTTCTCCACTCTTACGCGCTTCAAAAAGATGTCTCTGGCTAGCGTCTTCAAGAAGGGCCCTGTAAGTTCTCTCTCGGCGTTATGTGCTGCAGTCGACTCACTTGTTTTCAGTCGGTCCAAATACATCCCACAGTGTTACCTTGTACAACTTCTGCCGTTCCAGACCTATCCAGACATATCCTGGCTGTCTCTGAGGATGGCGTCTTACAGCCTGTGATGCCCTCGCCAGCTGAACATTGGGATGGCGGTGCAGAATTTGGGCTTATATCTTCCGCTATGGACAGATCTTCAAACCAGGAGGATATAAAACCCGATCCTCCTGGTAGTCGCATAGCAGATCGCGTTACCAGTCTGCGAATGAGAACTGCCGCAGTTTGGGCCAGCATTCCAGCCACCGTGGAAGGAATACCAGCTTCATGCGCATCTAGCGCAACATCTACTCCAGTCAAATCCAAGGCGAATTCCTTAGAGCATGATGAGACTACAACCGTCGCGTCTGCAACGGTGGACAGCCCATCGTTTTCGTCACCTGCTACTTCTGTCACGGCCGTGTCAGATTGGGGTCCGCGAGACTCTTTGGCCAATCTCAGCATGATAGGTCACAAACAGGAGCGGATACGCGTAATGCCAAAGGTATGTATCGCGTTCTTGGTTTAACATCGAAGCTTATGGCATTGTGAAGGTCTTCCCTGCGTTGGATGTTATCTCCCTTTCCCAGCCGCCAGAGCTGGGTTTGGCACACACTAAACCTCCATCTAAATGTCAGAAGTCCAATGGGGATAAACTCAACTATACCCCCGATACTCCTACGTCTGGTTGGGAGTCATCCCCTGAGATGCCAAGTAGCTCATCAGGACAGCGTGCCAGTTCCCGTGCAGCTAGGCACCTGGACTCACCTTCTCCGAGTCCTCGAACAGCTCGTACTGTACCGAGCATTGCCGGCTACCCCATCACTACCAAGCGATCCTTTCACAGGTTACCGGTCGTGCAACTTTTCACGAATTCAGATGAAAACCTCGCAACGTCCAGCATCCGAGGCTCTCTTACTACTCTGTTCCAGAGACCGCTGGCAATGGATATGCCCCTTCACCCATGGTCGTGCGCTAAGATCGCGCGTGCTGAAACTAAGCGAGCGTCTCGTAAGGAACAGTTGAACAAGAGGGGCTTCTTTACTCGCATGTCTCGCTTCTTAGAGGCTGGTCCTCAAGACAGTATTCCTGTCTCTCTCAAGAGGTGCGCTTCTGCAATGTAGTCTTTTGCTTCGGAAACCATGCTGACGATTCCCACAGGTAGAAACACTTACTCTGGACTACATAAGATTTCCATTCATCACTGTTACCTGTGTTTTTCATTCTCATTGTCACCCCATTGTATCATCTTTCATCGATGCGCTCCGGAGTATATCATCGGCCTAGTTTATGATACATCGCACACATATCCATTTCCATACCTCGCATAGTACTCATCGTCACGTTCTCTCGCTCTCGTTCTCGAGTCATTCGCTTTTTCGTTGCTTAACTTTGGAACAAATCATCAAATCTGACAATAGGAAATTATATGTCTACTTCTGGTTCTGGTAGTGTATACATGTACATCACTCTGTCTGTGATTGTCGACTCTAAATATTCAGTACTGCAGCTAATTAAGGTTAGGAGGTGTATATTTGGTGCAAGGCATTGAGGCGGTGGCGCGGAGTTTGTATATGGGAATTCGAGTCCGACATCAGTGGAGTTAGAGTGGAGTCACTTCGACCAGAACATCATAATGTCTTCTGGAACTACTGCACAAGCGAGTACTTGGCGAAGCAGCTGAAGCAGACAATTGACATTCAGTATAGGACCCTACTTGGGGATCAAGGGAGCAAGGTGAAGAAGCGAAATACATTCGTGAGAAGGCGAGGCTTCCCAAGGGGCTATTACATCAACCATGGCACGCATTACTTACTAGCTCTCTATACAGGAGCAAGCCCAGCTTGCTGCCCTCCGCGAGGAGCAGGAAAAGCGCTCTCATGACAATACCACAAAGGATGCCGCTTCATCCACCAAGGATCGTGATTTTGAAGGTGGCTTTGGAGGCCAAGAGGACTTGGAAGATCGGTACGCAACGACTAGCGGAGAGCACTAGCTTGGGGCTGGCAATGTTGCAGCATGCAGGCGTCGTTGAACAAGCATAATTAAGTGAATCATAAACATGGCAACATGAGACACGACGACAGATGAAACAAAATGCCAGCTGGATGGTTATATGAATGGACGCCGTTGTATGCCCTATGTATACCTGCAGAAAAAATAATGGTCCAACAAGTGCCTATGTACCAGTAAAAGATAGCAATATTGTCCAAGGAAGGGAGGGTACGATATAAGTAGAAAGACCGGTTTGAGTGTAGCAAGGGGGTTATTCAACAAGTCAACTGATGAATTCATCGTCCTACAGATATAGCCAAAGAAAACCCAATATTAGTAAGTCCAGTCAAGATAAAGGTGCGCTGTCCCAAAATTAACGAGCGGCGTTATGATTGACGAGCGAAGGGGGTGATCAGCGATTCAGGAACCGCTCGTGCAGTGGCTCCACTACTGCAAAGGGGCGAAGGTGGTGCGGCGGTCCCAATCCATGGATTGAGATAGCTACACGATGCAATGCCAACCATTCCACTTGCAGTGTCGGAAGGATTCTGCCAGCCATCGCCAGCACTGGCGGTTTTATCAGAAGAACCAGAAGAGTATGTGAATGTAGGAGGAGGAAGGGTTGCTACAGTTCCCGTGGGGGTATAGGAAGGTAACAAGGAGACAGCACCGGCATTACTGATCTGAGCAGGCGGCCAGGTGTACGACGCAGTAACGGTCGCAGGAATCTGGCCTGCACCTGCACCGCCTGTTTGCCATGCCTGGAGAGGAGGATTCCATATGCCTTGATTTGCGCAACTTCCTGATGCAACGCGAGGGTCCTTGGGCATCCACCCATTCTGCAGACCGAGTTGGTACGACCATTGCGGTGCCTCAACGACACCGGAAGTAGAAGAGTTTCCGATTTTCCATGTCCAGAAGAACCAGTTCTATACACATTAATTCATATGGAACTAACGAACTTTCAAAGCTAATCGCTTACCTGCAAAGCGTCCATGCTGGCCAAGGCAAATTGCTCAATGCTTGATATCATGGTCGAGTTCCAACTCTGCCAGTCCGTCCATGTCGTGCAGTTCCCTACAACAGGCCAGGTTCCGGGAGTGTATGTACCCTCGTAACGTGTTCCAACTCCCACACCGTTCACATAAAGACCACAGTCAGTAACAGCATTGCTGAATTCTCCGGCAGTTGTAAACCCGAATGCGCTCATGGAGGTGTTCATCATGCCACCCCAGGCAGTGCATGGAGTCTGAGCGTAAGATGACATAGGGGCAGAAGACTGGGCGTCAAAGCAAAGGTAAGGATGATCATCGAGAGCAATGCGGTCAGCATTCGGAAGAAAGCCAGCCCATTGAGGAAGACCGAGGAATCCATCATGGTAGGAAATGAAGGGACCATTGCCTTCCCCAATGCCCGAAGCCTCACGGACGTCATTGTATGCCTGCATATAGCTGCAGTGCACATTATGTTACCATTACGGTGCGACAGTCCACAACCATTGATACACTTACTACCGAGAGAGAGCATCCTGACCGATCGGTGTCCCTTGAGGCTCGTTTGTAATACCGAAAATGGGAACAACATCCTTGTAATCAGGCTGAGAGATGAACTCCGCAATAATCCGAATATAGTCTAGTGACCGCTGAGCATTTGCAATGCCCATCGGGCCGTAAAGAACGTTAATCGACCCAAACTTGCCGGAGTGATTCCACCCATTCTGGCTTCCAGGCAGCGCATGGAAGTCGAGGTTGATGCGAAGACCATACTTACGAGCCCACTGGATAGCCTTTAAGAAATATCTAAAATTTGTTTCAGCGGGGTAAAGAGATTGAAAGATGATGTAGACATACGTCCACGAGGTCTTGGGGAGGAACGGTTCGCCTGATCGTACCTCGATCGCCCAGTATGGAAGGGGAATGCGGACGAAGTTCAGTCCTGCTCCAGCAATTTCAGCAAAATCTTGTTCGGTCTAGTTAACACCTTCAGTTCCAGCGCTGGCGACGTGAAAAAAAAATTACAATGAACGTTTGGTAATGCGTTTCCAGCTGCGACAAACCGCCGCCTGCTGATGTGTCAGCGGCCATGGCTTCGCTCAGCGTCCACTCATCGATAGCTTGAGGGTATTTCTGATAAAGAGCGGGTGCGCTAAGATAAAGATAAGTAAGGTACGAGGTTGCCAGCAGCGAGGATAGACTTGCATAAACTACAACGGAACTTCATCAGTACAATGTGAGTCAAACTGATATCAACTCACGGGTTCCGTATTAAGCCAACCACCCAAATTGACGCTGGAAAAAAATGATGTGTCATTGGAGGTACAAGGAACGATCGAAAAAAAAAAATACCCAAAAATTTTATCAGTGCCGTAGCTGAAAGTCTGGTTGAGGGGAGGCGTCCACGACTGAGCCTGAGCATTGTTGTTGAATGGATCTTCAGGATCCCAATACCAAGTACCACCAAAAGGGTTCAGTACGTGAAGGTAGTACCATCCTCCATAGTGATCGTGCTGCCATTGCCACCAGTGACAACAGCAGCGGATGAAGGTTGACCGGACGAGGTCGAGGTGGGGTTGCTGGGAGAGACGGAGCTGTTATTCGACGACGATGATTTGGGCTTGATCACAACGAAATATATGGGGACAACGATAGCAATGAGTACTATCACAGCTGCAAGAATTGAGCCAGCTATGATAAGTCCACGCTTTGATTTTACACTTGGGACGGTGTATGCTGACCGCTTCTCAGCAAGGTAACGAGGGGAGTCGAAACCCACACCCTGACCAGAGCCTGGGTTGTACTCGGGGTCATGGGGGTCATCACGGTAGGCACCAGAATTTTCTGCTTCAGAAGTGTCAGGATTCAAGGCGTAGACAGAGGAATTGACGGCGGAAGGTGCGGTTCTAAAGGTATTTTGGGTATTTTGGGACGCGAAAGAATCTCGATATCCGTTAGAGGGATCGTCGTACAGAGCTGCACCAAGAAAGCGTGGTTGGGCTGCACCGGGGGGTATGGTGTCAGAAAGATTAGACATTTCGACAGGAGGAGTGTCGAAGCCCGAAGCATGGGGAGAAGGAAGATCGGAGTAAACAGAGTCCCTAGGTGGATCTTGAGTCAAGGGCAAAGGATCGTAAGGAATATTCTGAGAATGTGCGCTGTTACTGGGATACATAGTGGCGTCGGGAGGAGGGGAAACGATGATTTCAGGGTGGGAGTCCTGGTTGTCCATGGAAGAGCGTTAGTTCGGTACAACAGGAATGAAGGAGTGCTTTAAACGTAAGGAAGGCTGCGCTCGATCGACTGATTTTTATAACAGCCTCATGGCCAAAACGGATTTGATCATCCTAGAAAATAGACTCACCGTTGGAAATAACTAAGACAAGAGTCTAGTCAAACCACCACCAGGTACACAGCTATAGCTAAACGAGAGAAGAGGTGGTGGCGGGGCTAGAAGATGAAGGTATTCGGGCATAGCGTGACCCGTGACAGCCTGAATTTTGACAATGATACTGCCTCCGAGTCTCGAAGTCTCAGAATCATTACGTTTATGACAACTGTCAAGGCATGCGTGATAATATTTTTACCCGTCGCGAGGTCGGACTGCGTTCGAACAGTATTACTTCGAGTGTTACTCGTACGCACGTCGCAAGTTCGTTCAAAAATACCATCCAGTCACGGCCTCCTGCGATATCAGTCTTCCGAACAAGAGAACCGGTCATTGACCTAACCCATGCCGCCTTATAGACGCGCTATTACACAGCATCTATCCTCGTACGAGATTGCTGGAAACCTTCGAGGACGGACGGGTTCTCCACGGCGTCTGACGCGGACAACGACGAAGGAGGTATTAAAGTTCGTGACCTTGACCCAGCTGCAGTAACTCGCTTTATATTGCGATTCGCCATAACTATCTTGGTGCTTGAATTCGAAGCATCGAATTTTCGACTTCCCTTGGTATTTTTTCAACTTATTGAAGACTATTTTCCTTCTATGCAGGACAAGATCACCCACCCTGTCATGCTGTGAGGTTCTTCACGTCATCAATCAATCGGCCGTAATTGTCAAAACACCACACTAACCACGATCGTGAACTTCAGCTGCGCAAGCTCAATTATTACTTGGTATTGCTTGGTCAGGCCCAGGTTCTACATTTTTGAGCTAGCTGCACAAATGCAGGCGCCAAGGGACCACCTCCTATCTGCTCAGCAGAGTACAAATTCTAAAAGGCTTCAAATTCGCCATCGGGCCAGGGCCCGGATATCGTGGAGCACGTCTCAGTAGGCAAGTCACTTGAAATCCTGCTCGTCCTAGCTCTCCTCTCCTGTATATCAGTGCAACAGCATGAACCTGTCACATTGATAAGGTCGATCTTCATTCTGTCTGGACTGATATGATTGCGCTGTACATAATCGATAAGGCAGTCCAGTGGCAGTCCGTAAGACGAGTTCAGCCCGATGCCGGCATGTCTTTATATAATCTGTTATCAGCCCTGGAATGCCAACTCACCACATAACGTGATTTCCAGCTGCCATTCTTGATGCGTCCTCCTCGGTGAGTTTGACCATTTTCACGGAGTTGCCCAAGATTGGTTTCCATGGTATGATGAACAAGTAGTGCAGAGACCTGGCATGTCAAAGCCGCCTGTATCAACATGCATCCTACTAGACGGAAATCATGTGCGTGTCAAAGTCTCATGCTCAAATGAACACGCGTTAATATATGTTGCGGCAGCTGTCGCTGAATTCCGACACTGACACACTGCGAATACCCAGGATCATGACAATTTATGGTAGGGGAACTCTTCTCGAATGTCGCCTGTGAACTGTGAAGCCCCATGATATACCCCCGGGCCTCCACCATGCGCCCGGGTAGCCTTTGGGCTCCGGTCTATGAACTTGTGAGCAGCAGCCTCGTGTGTTACATAGCTACGCACTCGGAACACCATCACCAACGTGAGAGCTTGGGCATGTTGCGAGGTTTCACATACTTGGTATCCGTTTCAAATTCAGTCTTTGAATTTTCTTTGCGACAAACATTTTCGGATGCAGCGTCGCCATTAATATTGCAATCACCTTATCCACAACTGTCCTCAGAAGGGCAGCTTCCCAGGTGTGCCACCCACTGATCAAATTTGAGGGATATTCGTGTATTCGAGTTCGCCGTGATCTGGGATCGCTAAACTTAGCTATTGCGTCACTTTGTAAATATGATAACCAACGGAAATGGTTCGGACTGTGATCATCAACTGGTTTTGTGACACTTTGCATAACTTATTGCCTGATCCGATTCGCTGCGCATCGAGTACTGCATTATGAAGTTCTCCGCCATCCGAAGATCTGACGCTTTAGCCCCCAACTATTGATGCACTGAAAGTCGTGTGAAGAGCGGTTCCTACCTACTTGAAGGGGGAGGAAGGACCCTGTGATCATAGGACAGAGCCATTTTCTAGCTTTTGTACATCTACAACTTTACCCGCTCATTGGGCTGCTCATTGAGCGCTCAGTTTGGGATAGTCCAGGGATTGATTACGGACTTCAGTTTTTTTGGAAAATATGGACTAGCCGAGCCACCGTAACGATCCGAAGAGCCAATTCACCGTCCGGCAAGATGAAGATACCAGATTATCAAGTGCATCAGGTTATCAAGAGCCAGATTACTGATCAGATCCACGGATAAGATTGAATTTTGTGACACGAAATAATACAGTACGGTTAGACAAAATCTGCGTGAAGTGTGTGGTACCACTCTTTATCAGAGAATGCATTGAGATAAAAGTTATCGTAGCGTTCAAGAGATGTCGTTGACGAAACAGAGCGGTCCATCGTTTCCCCATAGATGGGTATCAATTCTACTGCATGTGTAACATCAACAAGCCGTACAATCTTCCCGATCCTTGTGCGACTCGGAGAACCATCACGCGCACGGTAAAATGAACGTCGAACACGGTACATGCCAATGTGTGGCTCAGCTTCAGGGGGCGCAGCTATCTCGAATAGCTCAACATACAGAAGAGGCTCCTTGAGCTCTGTTGGTAGCTGCGACCCTCGCGGCGACAACATAAACACCATTCGAACTTGAACAATGCATGGTGCTAAAGCTCCATCAGTAAGTGAGATTGACCACAACTTGGGAACTTACTGGACTGCGGGTTAGCACTTGTAGGTTGGAGGAGAACCATATCGCAGTTTCCAAAAGGGTGCGTCTCAGACGGCGGATACGCCTGAACTTGCTGGCTTGGCATAATGTTGCATGGACGAAGTCGGGAATGAAGTTGAAGCCTAAATTTGTACCATGTTTTGAGGAGGCGACCGTGAAAAGAGTGAGTTCCGACCTGATACACCATCGAGATACTGTGAAAGGACATTTGGAAATTGTGAGAGATGATAGAGTTGAGCAAGTGCAGTGGGCGAACGATCAGCAAGATCATGAGCGATGGTAACATGAAAGGCAGCGTTAGCCTCGTCAGAAAGGAGGCCTTTGAGAAAGTGATTGTGAACGGGGCGAATCGCCTGAAAACGATGCATATCTTGTGGTGCAACGCGCGCTATCCAGTTAAAGGTTGGATCTAAGTCAACGACCTCATCAAACTCGTTGTCCATGACGTTGATGAGAGATATCCGTCGTTCACGCAGGAGGGCATACAAGTCAAATTGTCTCATCACCTCCTCGCGATTGATGATATTGACAATCTGCTGCGTGAATGTGCCTCGTTGGTGACTTGTCCGCTGGAAAGGTGTCTTGCAATGTGTGATCAGTAGCCGTTCGCTGACATCCGCAGAAAATTGTATGATGGCACCTGATTGTCGGATCGAACGAGCGAATGAATTGAAAGACTCGAGTTTGGGGATCTGAAAATGACTGATAGGGCCAGAAGTGCCTGTGCGAGCCTCCGCCTCTAAAATGAAGTGTTTGTAGGCATGAAATTCATTCAGGGATGATACCATGCTGTCAAGGGAAGAGCTTGTGAAAGTGGGAGCTTGTGATTTGTATATGAAATCAATGAGTGCGCGGATTGCACGAGTGAACCCAGGAGATGTCACACCCACAATGGTGGGGACAAGCGTTCGCTGGATATCACGATGCTCGCGTCCGGTCATCTGGTTCACATGGGAGACACCATTAGTGAAATGGCGTGTACCCACACGTTTATGCTGGCTGCGGAACCTAGCATCAAGCTCGCTAGCGCCTATCACCTCCTTGCACCACTTCAGAGGGTGATCGAAGAAAAATTTATGGCATGCATGCAGTATCTCTGGGACAAGGAAAATTGAAGGGTCTGCACGCCCCCAGTTGCGCCAATATGGCTGGTGGACGCCACTGAGAGAATACTGCTTCGCCGACTCCTGAAACTCCCGGACCTTCCAGGGATCGGTTATCTTGCAAAGCTCGTGTAGCTTTTGTAAGGTGTCTGAGCCATGGCGCGGGGGGTATGTGGTGCCGTCGCCGAACTGCGCCTGTGTGGCTGAAGTGGTTGGCGAGACATTTTTTGAGACACATGCGATCATGATTTGCTCGGGAAGATCAGCGATATGGGCAGCAAGTGGTGTGAATGCATAACGGCGGCAACCCATGGGGTCTACCATGAACTCGCCCACCTCGGCAGCGACCTTCAGCTTCTCTAAGACCAGATCCATGCATTTATGCCAGACGCGCGCTTCCAATAATCCACAGAATTCACTATTCACTATGTATTCTGGGACTGGAATGTACGCGATGCACGCCCATGCGTGTGAGGTGGCCTTCATGCGAACTTCGGAGTGGATGTTGCCGAGCGTAAGAAATGTGGGGTGCATCTCCAGCGAGCCTGTCTGTCGAGTTACTGGTGTCTTGTCAGAAGCAAGAATGATGGGCACGATAGTTGCCCCGATAGGTAAATCATTCTAGAAACCATTTTGCTTGTCAAATGACATTGATGCAATGATGAAAGGCGCTTACCTGAATTTTGGACGCCTGTTCACAAGACATCCATTCTCCATATTCGCGCTCACCATTGTCTTTGATTTCATAAGGGTCGTATTCCATATGGTTGGCGAAGATTGGATTGCCGAAAATGTGGTGCACGACCTCCAGGGCATCACGCCAGATGAGATCCACAGGGTGGGTAGTTGTATATCCATCAGTATGGATGGGCGTACACTTCCATCTCGGGGCCACCGGTAATGCATCCATGAAAGTGAAGAGTTGTTTGGCATTCTTAAAGGACAGCGGCTGCCTCGCCTCTGAAACCACCTGGAAGGATATCATTAGCGCAGTTCATGTAACTAGTTCAAACATACCCAGAGAAGCTTCAAAAATCGAGTGATCTGCCCCTGATTCAAGTTGTCGCATAGAAACTTTGCAAGTTCCCACTCTGCTCTATCTGTAAATGGGTAATATGCGTTATGTTCCCGCATCGCCTCAAAATCATCATGTTTCATTCGTTCAAAAGTGTTCGATTCGCCAAGATTATGAATGTAACCTGACTTGGGATGGAACCGCCCTTGTCGCGGCTGCCCCTCTGATGTTTGGGGGATGCGAAATGCGACTGGGGGGGGGATCAGACGCCGATAACATCCTGGATAGAGGTACTGGGGCTCAGCCTGTTTATTGTATAGAGAAAAATCTTCGCACCTGGATCATCAGAAAGATGAGCACAAATTTCTTCTGCGGTATCAAAGACATTAGAACAGATGGGGCATTTGACTGATTTGTTGAGACTGGGTACTTGTCAATCTGATTGAACACAGAATACAGTGTAGTCAGAACTTACTCGATGCCACTGAATTGATTACCGTCGAAGATGTTAGGACCAGGAGGATCATTTAGGTTCATAGTGCCCGTACTGTGCAGTGTGCACGCCTTCAAACCTTCAATCAAAAGTTTCTAAGTCTTTCAGACTCCGATGCGAGTTGCCACTCATACTATCGCACACAAACCACCAGCGACTGCAACGCTAGGACTCAGTAATCCATGAGAGGACACCCCCAAAGCACTTTCAAACCGTTCTTCTAGCCCTGCAAGCTCTCAGACTTGCATCGAATTGTCATCCTCCTTTCATAAGGACAAAGCGGACATCACATCTGAACACATCATGGATCTCTTTAGCTCCCCCAAAAGATACTCTAATATTCCATCATCCCCTCACGAATTCACCTTTCCAAAATCCCCTTCTCATTCTAATTTCCGAGAGGGAAACAATAGATCCCCGCTATCATCCCCCACCAAACCAAGGTTTCACCCATACATGAAATCCAGGGGACCCTCAGCTGCCACAGCTCAGTTTGCAATGGATTCCTTGCAAGGTCTGACTGCGCACGAACTGAACCCAGGCGCTGCACTGATGGTAAGCAATATTATTCTTAAATATTTCAAGCATTTCATACACAAGATCCACAGGCTAAGGAGATTTTCACACGTGGTCTCGCAGACCTGCCAGATGACATGCTACGTGAAGGTGCAATGGCGCAATATGCCACTTGCGAAGTAGCTAGACAGGAGCTCGTTACGGCGACGTGGAAAGTTGAAGCAAGCACCCGCTGGTCAAAATTCCTTGCCAGCGCCTCACAGCACTTAAAGATGCAACATGATTACTCCAAGACAGATCTGGAGATTTGGGAACAAGCATGCACTAATCGTGGGCTGAAAGATCTCTACCACGACAAAGCCTTTTTCGAGCATTCAACTTCTGAAAAGACCTTGACTTTAGCGGTCCTGCAAGAACAAGGTCGTCAAATAAAGGAGCATATCGAGGAACGAGGGGCAGATGGTGATTATTTGGATGGTAGCTATTCAGGCGGCAGTGACAATGAAGCAAGCGAGTACGATAACGCCCCTTTTCGCAATGACCATGCTACTTTGGAGGCTTGAATGTAGTAAGCATGCATAATTCGTTGTACATCATTTTCCTCATTTTCCAGAAGCTGTTCGATTACATATGATCCCTTACAGCGTGTTGTTTGACGTGTGCATTACATGTACGCTTTGTATTAAGTTGGCAGTGCATCATTTTGAATCAATTATCATTTTTGTCTCGAGTTGATCATTAAACGTTTGCGCCCGCATGTTATTGGTGAGTAAATATTCCCTGCCACACACGTAGCTAATTCTCGAACTTTATCATGTACCAGTAGTGCCCTCGTTTGCGATCTCCCTCATGCCGCCGAAATCCACCCAAGGCAAGAAACCACGACGAAAAAAGCCTCAAAACTCCAGGGTATGAATTTCTTACAGTGTTACAATGGTACTAATCCGATCAATCAGCAAATTCGCAAACCAGCGAGAAGAAGCAACGAGAATCCCTGCCTGAACGCTGATGACAGTCAAGTGGGACGCGCAGTAGAGCAAACAGAGCTCCCAGAGTCAGGGTGTAGCAGAACGTTATCGGTCATGCACGAAGAAGAAATAGTGGATTATGGGTCGGATGACTTCGACGATACAGGATCGCAATACGAGCAGCCCAATCTGAACCACCATCAGCCCCCACACGATGATCGTCTCGAGGACGGGCCCCCCCACCCTCCATTCCTGCAGCGCGAGCCTCAGATGAACCATGCCCCGCCCTTCCAACATCAGATGAACTATACCCCACCCTTCCAGCCTCACATGCATCACCCTCAAATGAACACAGGCCTGGGTTCTTTCCGACCTCCATTCGCGCCTCAATCACCGCTTCCCTCAATGAACCAGCCTCATATGCTGCCTCCACATGCACATCAAATGGACCACAATCCGTTTCAGCAGCACGGGCCTCAGTTGAACTGGACGCCATCCCAACAGCACACCATGACCGCGGAGGAACTCTTTCTGAGTTGCTCCGTCAATCAACCGCTTCCTCCCCCTGTGCGTGGTGCAGACCGCCTTAGCAGACACCTTCGGGACCCGGAAGCACGGCCTGCGCGTTCATCGCCGTATGCCCTCCCAGGGCTACGCAAGGTGATGGTATTTGGCCCTCGTCGTCAGGACGAGCGGTACCGAGGCGAGTGGCAGAATACTGGTGTAGTTCATGTATGTTTCAATTCCTCTATACCTCGTCACTCGCTAACTCTTTGTCTAGACTGGTAACAGCAAAGAAGTTGCGCAGAAACGCCCCACCGCGAAAGATTTGCCGCCGCGCCCCCTACCTCCCCTTAATGTGTCTGTTGCCAGTGCGCAACAAGGCACTCCACCACAACCCCTCCATTCTCATGACAACGGCAGTGCGGGATCTCGTCTCGAGCTCCCTCAGCAGGAGGTGCAACTCCCTCCTCAGCCTGTGCCTGCCGAGCGGGTGGAGGAGGTGTGCGCCACTGCAAGGTCGAGGATGCGACGGCAGGTCCTTTCAGTGAACGGGATGCCGTCGAATGACGAGAACATTGCCATGGCACGTACTGCGTTAGCAGACGCAATCGCACACACTCCCAACATGCCTGCAGGCCAGCACTATCTCCCAGACGCCGATACATTTGTCATGTCACTCACAAAAATCACTGGGACTGTCCGAACCGTGGTGAAGTCCGCTGCGCGCGCCATCATCCAACACAAGTACAATCTCGAACTTGGCATATGGGACGCGTCGTCAGAGGTTGCGCACAAACTGCGGGTCGTGCCTGCCCTCACGACACACCTGCAGTGTCTGTTCACAACTGTGAAGATGGTGTGTCAATTCGTACTTGTAGGGGGCATTACTAACTAGTGTTTAGGTACTTGACGGTACTCTACAATCGGTCGCTGTTCTCGAACATGACGGACTCGTTAGCCTCGTTATCGAGATCTTGTGGACGCACGGGTTCTACAAAGATCTTGATTTCAATGATCCAACTGCGCTAGATGGTGTCATTGCTCTGGCTGGCGCCGCACTGTGCTCAGCGCTTATGGAGTACAAGACAGGAGTATACAAGCGCGTTGAATTTTCAACAGCGAAATCAAAGGATACTTACCAGAATGTTACTGCCTATATTTCAGATAAGATTTATCCCCGTGTTGAACTCACAGCACGTTTCAAGGCATTGAAAGACAAAATGAAGGAACGAGGAGAGGTCAGATTGGGTTTGTAGAGCTTACGGCCAGTGGTACTGTTTCAACAATAATTCATACATCGTGTGGTATTACTATCTCGCATCGTGATAACAATGATCAATGATAATCGTGATGATTGTGTTAATCTATAATCAATCTCAGTCTCTGGCATCTTAACGACGTTTACCTCACTGTTGCAAGATCTCAACCAATCGGAAAGCTGCATCACTGAGTCGTAAGCATTCGTAACACATCAAACTTCTTACACTACTAAGCGAGAACTGGGGTGTTTTACAGATGTACTTGGGGCCCGATCCAAGAGGTCAACCGGTATTCTCGACTTCCGGCGTCCGTGCACACGGTAACACTCTCAGCTGGATCTACCCCGTGGCGCACGAGTATTACCACCTGCCGCATGCGAACTATGTAACTGGGGAAATTTGCAATTAGCTAATGTAAATTCTGTAATAAATGACCCGGCGAGCCGGAGAACTTGGGTGTCGACTGCAGGCAGATTCCGAAGGGCGCATTTATGAAGTTACGCTGTGCGGCCGTGTGAAGTCCAGGTCAGCGGGTGGGTAGCAGCCCTAATGATATGTTTGTAGTGCGAGTTTTTAGTCTGTAGCTCCAGTAAATATTGTACTATCTTTGGCCCAGAGTTGCAAATCGCAATGTAGCACACTCATCTTCTACTCATTTCCTTCGCACAATGTTTCTATAGAATGATTAGTACGTAGCTTGCTGTATATATTTTTTATTTCATGAAAAACGGGCTGGAAGTGGTTGCGGCAGCGAAATACTGCGCAGAACATGCGCTTTCCACGCTAATCCATCAGAGGGAAGCCATTACATGCACCGAAAAATTCATAAATTTTACTAGTGATTCCACATTGCCTTCTAACACTGCTCTAAGTTGTTCTGACATGAAAAATATGTTATGTTGAGAGCCATAAATGTTGTACTATCGAGATGCAAATCGTGACAAGAGGAGCGAGCTTGTGTTCGGAGTTGCAAAAAGCCAAATTTGAATTTGGAATCCTTGTCAAATGCCCCCAGTTTCGTCGGAGAGTTAAAACGGCAGTGTGACACAGTGAGACACGATGACTTCTATGCGGGTGAGAAATTTTGCAACTCTGTGCTTAAACACTGTTTCGCAACGGCTTCTCTCTGGCAACGTAGGCTTGGCAGATTTCTTAATTTTTTTTTACATAGCCTTAGAGTCTGTACTAAATTCTACATGCTCCTGGTGTTTTCTGATTTTAATGTTGTGTAGTTGTTGTGTTATGAAAAACTGGTCGGAACATTTTGCAACTCTGGGTCCCTGAGGGATAGTAAAGTATATTTGTATATATTTTTATTTGACACATCTATCCACAATCACACCAGTTGCTTTCACTTGCTTTTGAGGAAAAAAATGTGTTGGATAGCAAGCGGGTGGCTGAGCGCTGAGGACGGGTGGCGGCGCTTTGAGGCGTCGCGGATGTACGTGGCGACGCTGTAATAACGTACCCATAAAGTGTTGGTGTGCGAGGTTTATCAGAGGGCATGGGAAAAATTACAAGATTTACGGTCAACTTTGTAAATTTTCGACGTGTCGTACTTATACGCTGCCAAAAAATTCGTTGGCACTTTACGGCACTTTACACTAAATTACAGTTTATCTAAGGTCAGTCGCAGGTGCAAACTTGCGATCGACCGACGCGCCTACATCTAAAAATCCAACTTGGTGGAAATGTACTTCAAAACTCTTGCAAGAGTCGCTGTTTTGGTTAGCTCGAAATTTAGTTCGTAAATACCTGGTTTTGGATATGTTTGGACCCTGAGTCAAGTTTCACACATTTGGATGCGAGATTTAAAGATTATCGACGCGACATGAGATTATCAGTGTGGTAAATGCGTTATCATACTAGTATTTAGTAGTAGTAGTACAATCAAAACTATCAAACCGTGTCTAATGGTCCAAGTTGTGGTACAATATCAAGGGTAGTAGTATTTATGAGGGTGCCTGTGTTGGTCCAACTACTAACACATACTGTAGAAAATCGTGAAATTCTGCTAGCTCGTCCTCGGTGAGGTTTCTGATCGCGGCTAGAATGGCGTCGAACTTGCGACTGTACGCCGATCCACCAAAACGATCAACTTTCACATGAGCGTCTGACTGTTCGTCTAGACTGCAGAATGTCGCAGCGCTGGCGAGCGCCCAGATCACTTTCAAACGTTCGATTTGCTGCTCTTCTGTGTCACCAAGAAATTCCTGGTGGGACCCAAACCAAACAAAACGGATGGCGTTGGATATGACGAAAGGGTTTTGGAACTTCGCCTTGATTTCAACTTGCCCGTTCTGAAATACAATGAGTCACCTCCAGCAACACACAAAAATGAAACTCACTTGGTCAAAAGTGTAGATGTGCATGAAAACAAGTCCATCGGCATCGGTTGTAATCTTTTGGATTACGCGTTGGCGATAGGTGATGGGAGGCGTGACACTGTGCCGTGGAGGGAAAAGTCGGTACCCGTTGAAGACGCCCTCGCGCGCGAATTCAGCGAACTTCCCGCGCATTATCGACAATGCATTTGCTACGTCTCTACGATGTTTGTTACAGATAAAATCTTCAAACGTAGCTAATAAAACGAGTGTCAGACTGATGCCTAACAATTGGGGTATAGACTCACCATTAGGCCCAAAACAACGTGGTACCAAATCCCAGATCACCCGGGTCAACATATCCTTCTTTGCGGTTTTGTCATTCGACATCACTTGCTCCCCGAATAACTCATGCGTGACCAATTTCATGGCTGTTTTCACGGTCTGGACAATAATGTCCTCCGTTAGCTTGATAGGCGAGGGTTTAGCTATCGATGACTCAGACATCACAGTCTGTGAGGTCGAGGCTTCGGCTGTAGATAGAATGGATCCGGAAGCGCCCTGTGGGCGCATTGTTGGGTAGGGAATCATGCGTGGCGTAGGTGGCATTGCTCGTCGACTGCCTCACCTCTTTGTCTCCCTTGCCGGGCCCGCCGTCTAAATGAGCGGATCAGCGTGAATTTGATTGAAGAACAAACAAAACGTACGTGCATCACATTCGTGTGTGGAATTTCCCCTCGTTGTATGAGTGTCGCCTCCGATGCGCTCGTGTCACGGTGATCATTGAAGCCGGCGTCATCCTCTAAAGACGAAGTGCCATGAGAGAAACGGCCATTGAAGTTGGTGTCCTGCATGCTCCAGCTATGCATCGCTGCAGAATGGTAAGCGATCAGTGAATGTAAGTATGATACACTTACAGGCGCTCATCTGAGTGGGAAGTCCACTATCAGTATCACCTTGCCAACCTGCACTGGGCGCATGCGCATCGAAGGTGAAAGAGCTCATCTGTGGTTGTTCAGTAGGGATACGAAGCTGGTCAGTCGCCGGTTCGCCCGATGGATTGAGGCCAGAACCTCGCGGTGGTTTTGGAACCTTGGCCTTAGTTTTTTGCTGAGGGCCACGGTCTCTAGGCATTCAAAGTGGGGGAGGATGTGAGAACGCATGCATGCATTTAAGTTGCCAATCAATGTAATAGTACATAGGGGGAAAAGAAACACAAACTTTACATGATCTTTACAAACTGGGAACGCGTGGCGGGCTGATAAGGTGATTTACTAACAAAGCGTAAAAAGAGGGGGGGGGGCGTGGTCCGATAAGGCGATTTATGAACAGCAGAAAAAGATCTATGAACGGCTGGAGCGGGCGAAGCAACTTATTGAACGGTCGAAGCAGGGCGGTACCAGTTGATAACAATCTATGAACAGTGACACGACTGAATTGAATGTCACTGATATGGATCAGTGTGAGTACCATGAATCACTTGACAGTCACATACCATTGATATGTCACAACTGCACACCGCACGAGCGCTGCTGGCCCGGCCGCCTGTTGTAATCATCATCTTCGCTGAAATCGCTATCGGTGTCAGTATCGGTGTCGGTACCAGCATCCGCGAAACCACTACGCAGCGCACGTGTGATGCTGTCCCTATTATGCAAAGCATCCACAAAACGAGGGAGGTAGGGAGCTTCGCCAGTAGACGCTAATAATTCACGCCCAGTGCGTGAGCCCAGGCGTCTTGAGATTATCTCTGCTTGGGCGGTGATGGCACGAAGCATTTCGCATTCATTGTTGTAGACGGCTTGATTGTAATCTGTGTTGTCGTCGATTTCTGTGGGCTCACGCTCGGAAAAGTAGTTCCTAATCTTCTTCAGCTGTTTGTCCTTCAAATTAAGTCGGGTTTTGTTCTCCTGGTGAAGTGCCTGATTGAATGCTGTCATGCGCTCTGAGGCTTCAACCTCCCATAACGATGTTGCTACTTCATGGCGAACAGCCTTGTGACTAGCAAATAGTGCCTTGAACACTTTGTACAAAGTGTCAAAGCTCATCCGTGATAGACCACTGGTTATCGCGTCCTCGTGCTTTTGAACATAGACCATGTGAGAACTTGAGAACCTCTTGAACAAAGAAATAAAAAGACAAATACCTCTTGCAGTTGTTCAGGCGTAAAGTCTGGCTGGCATACTCGCCCTGTCATGCGGTTTGCAAACTGAAGCTCCAGTGCAGATGGCCTGTGAGGGTATGGGACATGTCTCTTGGATGACTTCTCACGCAAGTAAGCTGCCCGAGAAGGCGACTTTGGTGACTGTGAACCACCAGGCTGATACAACAGGCTCTCCTTTACATCAGGAAGGTACGGGATCTCTTCTACTGGGGAGAAGTGAACCTTTGGAGAACCTGAAGGGCAGGGGGACAGTTTGGGGGAAAGTGAACAGTCGGAGCCAGATAAGAGCTCAGTGGCCATATGGGGAGAGACAGGGTGGTCGGCCTTCTTAAAAAACTCCAAGGGAGTGAATTCTACATGGGTTGCACTGCTTGATGTAGTGCTGGTGAAAGTAGGACTGCTTGGTCGAGCAGGAGATGAGACCAGTGATGAAGACGCAAGTTCCATTGGCCTGGCGCGATGACTGTGCGCTGTGAAATGTAAGGTCTTCGGACTTTGAAAGACTTGTTGGTTTTTGCAGCTTCCTGTGCACTCACCGGCTTAAGTCTAAGCAAAGTCTACACTACAATGTGAGTACATCCGTTGCTCACTTCATGATACCGTACATACCTTTGGCAGGCTATGTTCCGACTGCAAATTGGGGGAATATCCATCCATCGAGGCGCTTATCTCACATCTCAATTCTCCGTCTACTTGTTGGCCATTCGAAGTACGACCACAAACGTTACCCGTCCCTTCTGTATTCAATCAAGGTGGTCGGATACCCGTCACTGGTACATGTCACCCGCAATCTGGATACATCTATGGTGTCGGTAGAAATATGCTGGATAAGTTAGAAGATGATCAATATGCATATCGGCGGAAGATAAATCCTTACTACCCTTTCCCTGATGAAGGCGAGTGGGAATTAGGGAGGTTTTTGGCGGAAAACCTTACTCAAACCCAAATAACGAAGTTCTTGAAGTTAAGATGGGTAAATGACGAATATCGATCTAAGCTGTCCTCCTAACTCTGATCTTACCTTCACAGTTCGACACTCCGGATCGCGCAAAACCATCTTTCACCACAAAAGATAACCTCCTGGACTGGATGGACTCACTGCCTTCTTTTACCCCGTGGAAAGTCTCCAAATTAGAATTTAAAGGCTATAAGACTGTCCGTCCCGTGGAGCTCGTTTGGCGCGATGCGCTGGAGGTTGTCAAGCAACTATTTAGTGACCCAACTTTTGCGAACAACATGACCTTTCACCCTCACGTCGCTAACGTCAACAATCAGCGTGAATACGGAGACTACATGAGTGCCGATATGGCATGGAAGATTCAGGTTTGTTCGCCCTGTTATTAATATACTCTTCACCAAGTGACAGACTGATTTCTAGGACCATCTCCCATTGGGTGCGACTCAAGTCCCGATAATCTTGGGATCCAATAAAACTCCCGTAACACGACTTGCCGGAGGAATTGAGATGCACCCGGTTTTTGTTACCATCGGTAACATTGATTCTGAGGTTCGTTCCAAAGCAACTTTACGAGCTTGGCGCTGCGTAGCCTATATTTCCGTCGTCAAGTTCCGTGTTCATCCAGACTACCAGTCTATTCTCCAAGCCAGACTATGGCATAAATGTATGGACCTTGTTTGCGCTAACCTCAAGGCTGCAGCGAAGGATGGTTGCTTTATGCCCGATCCTTCCCGCAACATTCGTCATGTGTTTACACCGCTCGTCGGTCATGTGTGTGACCTACCGGAGGCTACTATGATCGCAGCAGTCAGCAAAAACGCATCCCCGCTAACTATGGCAATACAAGCGGATTTTGGCGATGGAATTCTCCACCCCCCTCATACCAGGAAGCACACATTGCAACTTATTGTGGAGATATCCCGAAAGGTCGATCCCTGGGATCTCGACAAGTTCCAGAAAGCGGCCAAAGCCATTAATCTGTCCGGTGTTCATATGCCATACTGGCGCGATTGGATGTTTGCATGTCCATCCGTTTTTCTCGCCGGCGAAGTGCTGCACACCTGCCATAAGTTTTTGCCGATCATTCACTGAAATGGATCAAGGAAGCTATGGGAGATTACGAGCTCGACACTCGCTTCATGGTCCAGCACAAGCGAGTCGGAACGCACCACTTTACAAAAGGTATCACACATGTTAATCAAATGACAGGCCGCGAGCATAGAGACATCCAACGCACTATCGTTGCGTCGATCGCAGGGGCTGTTCCACCCAGATTCATTCGTGCAATCCGTGCCCTCGTGGACTTTTTTTACCTTGCACAGAATCCAGTTCACTCGCCTCAATCACTTGAGCTAATGGTTCAGGCGCTTTCAGATTTCCACTCTTTCAAGGACGCTATCATCCAGGCCGAGGCAAGGAGGGGGAAGAATGGTAGCAAAGAAGATTTTTTCGTCCCCAAACTCGAGCTTCTGCAGAGCTTCGATGGTACGATTAAGAAATTGGGCACTTTGATGCAGTTCTCCACTGACATGACAGAGCAGTTGCTCATCACACACTGCAAGGACCTTTTCCCGTGGACGTCCCGGCAAATCAAAGATTTTACGGAGCAGTGCATGCGGATTCTTAACTGCCAAGAGTCTATGGAAATGTTTGGCCTGTACACGCTGTTGACTTCTCGCGGGGCGTCACTGGCTAATGCAATACACGACGAAGATGAGGATGTTACAACTACCAATCCTGCACTCTCCTGTGTTTCCCGAGTTCTCCCTGACGAAGTCAAGTCAATCCATGGTCCCCGACCAGTCCGTAATCACTTTCTCAAAGGTATTCTCTCTGGAGATGCACTTACCACTTTTCAACTCAATGTCGCGCCTGATTACAAATCGCTGTCACCGTCTGACATATGCACAAAATATGCACTCTTCGACTTCGATCTTGCGCTCACCAACTTTATCTGTTGTTCCTCCCTTTCCGGCGGTGAACATTCCCATTGGGACCCCAGATACGGGCGCTTCCAGGCATGGCACAAGTTTCGATTGCAGCTTCACTCAGCCTTCCAGCCCCGAGTGATCATGCCAAGTCGAGTGGTGCAAGCATACCCACCAAGTGATGATTTTCCCTTGGGAAATTACAATACTGTTCTCATTGACACCATGGGCGTTAATGGCAAAATGAGTGTGTCTGTTTCATGCGTTTATATTGTAGCCCTACTGATGTCATACAGCGAGTTACATCGGACAGGTTCGACTCATTTTTCAACCAATAGTTCGACAAGGTTCCAACTTGGAACTGCCATCCTATCTCTCCGACCCACTCCTCTACGTCCAATTTTTCCGCTTCACTTCCGGCCCTGATGATCATCCTGAACTCGCTATGTGGAGTGTGGAGCGCGCGTACACACAGGATGAAAATGGTAACTGCCATAGGGAGGGGGCTGTCGTACGAGTGACAGACGTGACACATGTAGTTGAACTGATCCCAGTTTATGGCGAGGCAGTGGCCAAAGGCGTGTCCTCTGCGACTTGCTTGGAAAGCTACAAGTGTTTCTTTCTGAATAACTTCGCGGACAAGGAGAGTTACCATACATTCAGTACTGAGTTTGTATAGACAGTAGTAGTTTGATCAGTATGTAGCAATTCTATCTATTGCTATCGCATCTATCATATCGCATCTCTGAGCATATCACATCTTATCGACAAAAGACAACTGCGCTTGAGTTTTATCAACCGGATATGGCGTGTAATATTGGTATTCAAGATCTCCACCAATCGGATGAGTTCGCTAGTGAAGTCGTAAGCATTCGTAAGTGTCCGTAACGCGCGTAAGTTAAGCGTTCATTTCAGTGGTTTTGCAGATGGCCTACTCTTGCCATTTTCGATCACCGGGATCCCGATCGGGATGTTGCGATCGAAATCACGTGACGTTTCGCAGTAAATTTCTTGACACGAATAGACTAGACTGCGGCCTGCCACACGTTATAACCAATAGTACCGTCGGATGGGCCAACTCATCAAACTATCGTCAACCTAGAATTCAAGTTGGGACCCCTTGGTCTTTATTTAAACAATTCTGGTACAGGTCACCTGAATGATTGTACCAACAATCTCATTCTCAGTTTGTGCTCAAGGCGATGTTCGTTCGTCACACGACGTGGCCAGCTGCTCAGCGTTGCATGCGGCGCAGGCTAGATTGCCCCATGCTATGCGACGAGATTTATCCATTATTTCTCCATTACGTTTCCACCGACGACTTTTGGTATGCTTCGATTTTATCCTCAGGCATATATAAAACCCGTCCGAAACCTGGCCATGTGCCAGCGTTATTTTCCGTTGTACTTTGCGGATCCCACTTGCTGCTAAGGTATGGCGCTCGCAAGCTTACTTTTGCTTGCCCTCGGCGCGATCGTGAGCCAGATCACTCAGGTCACTGCACTGGGATCAGCATGTGGTGTACCTCTTACTGAGGGAAACGCAGCGTGGGGAGAGCCTTACTGGCTCGAGAACATCCAGCATCAGGGTATGGCACCGTTTGCACCTAATGCGACGACATACAAAGTGTTCCGGAACGTGAAGGATTATGGGGCTGTGGGTGATGGTGTGCATGATGATACTGTTGCTATTAAGTGCGTAATCCTTCGGGTTGATGATCGTCTTATAAAGCTCATCTTCTGCAGTGCTGCAATCTCCACCGGTAGCAGATGTGGCAACTTGACTTGCGGTTCATCAACGTAAGTCACGAAGTTCCCAAGATATCTAGTACACTCTCGATGGCTCGTTAGAACTACTCCAGCAGTGGTCTACTTCCCAGAAGGGTGAGTATTTGTGTACAATGTCAGCCTCATCTTCTGATGCGCTCAATCAGAACCTACCTCGTGTCTACTCCACTTCAGGCATATTACTACACAGTCATGGTGGGCGACGCAAGAACACCGCCGACGTTGCTTGCCAGTGCTAACTTCACGGGAATGGCTGTAATTGGTGCGGAGTGGCATCTTTAGTGTGATAAGACTGACTAACAGCGAAATCAGATGCTGACCCTTACACTAATGGTACGAACTGGTATATCAACCAGGATAACTTGTATGTGTTGTTCAAATTTCCTTGTATGCATGACACTGATGGCCTTTTATTATGAAAGCTTCCGATCAGCGCGTAACTTCGTTATCGACCTCACACGAATGCCTGCGAATGTCTCGGCCACTGGTATCCATTGGGAAGTCTCACAGGCCACGTCGCTGGTCAACGTAGTAGTCAACATGTCTACCGAACCTGGAAATAATCACCAGGGTATGTCGTTGTTATGAAAGATAGGACGATCATTTATTCCTGCTCCTAGGCATATATATGGAGGTCGGAAGGTAAATAATATTGCTACGTTGAAAGACATGATATGTGAACACTAGCGAAGTGGTGGCTTTATGGGAGATCTCGTATTCAACGGCGGAAAGTATGGTATCTGGGTTGGAAACCAACAGTGAGTGTTTGCGTTCATGTTACTCTCCCAGTTCCGTAGCACATGATGCATCTGCCTACAGGTTTACCGTGCGTAATCTTACCGTCAACAATGCAAACACAGGTAATGTCCACGATACATATCAGTATAATAGACTTATATCACTTGCCCCAAGCTGTGTTCGGATCGTGGAACTGGGGTAATATTCGATCTTCTGTTGTGAGCGCGCAATTGATGATGTACAGGATGGACCTACCAACGCGTCGTAATTAATGACTGTCAAATCGGCTTTAATCTGTCGGGTGGCGGGAATGGCGGAGAGGCCATCATTGATGCGGTGGTTACAAACACCCCAATCTTCATCAAGACACCAAACCCGACAAATGTCTCCGTTGCAGGATCCCTCGTATTGAATAACATCCATCTCAACAACGTTTCCACCGCTGTCATGGAAAACGGCACTACCATCCTTGCTGGTGGAACAAAGACCATCGACTCGTGGGGCAAGGGTAACATCTATACAGGAACACACCCGAACGGAACGTTCACACAGGGCGAGATATATTCTGCGTATAAGGACCCGAGCCTTTTGGACCCCAACGGCTTCATTGTCAGCAGAGGACATCCTATGTATGCTGACTATTCAGTCGACCAGTTCAAGAGCGTCAGGTCATTGGGGGCAGTCGGAGATGGGGTGACGGATGACACTGAAGCCATCAATGCTGTGCTCGCAAAGGTATCTTTGCACGATAATCTCACAAGATATATCTATGCTGATTGAAATGTGGGACAGTACGCTGGATGCTACATCATATATTTCGATGCTGGCATCTATAAGGTTACTTCTACTATACAGGTTCCGGCAGGAACGCGAATTGTAGGAGAGGCTTGGACCCAGATTATGGGCGCCGGCCTTAATTTTAACAATCAAGAAGACCCGAACGTCGTTGTACAAGTCGGTACACCGGGCTCGCAGGGCATTACGGAGATCACAGATATCGTGTTCACGACGCAAGGACCAACTGCAGGTGCCATCGTCATACAGTGGAACGTCCGGGAACCCGCTGGTCTCCAAGGATTTGCAGGAATGTGGGATTCGCACATCCGGTGAGTCCCTTTCAATCTCATTTGAAATTCGTTCTCTGATCTGCATCTGTGACAGGCTCGGCGGAGGCAAGTTTGAAATTTTCACGTGCGGATAATGACTTATTACTCTTTATTTTAGCCAATGGGACCCACCTCCAAGACGCAGAGTGCCGCGCAGGATCCATTAGTCCTGAATGTTTTGGAGCTTTCCTTGGTATACATATAACATATGGTGCATCAGCTTACTTTGAGGTATGGCATCATGACCCTAGCAATAGTTCCAGCGCACTGATTTTAAATTCCCTTCACCAAGGGAACATGGGTTTGGCTGTCAGATCACGATCTCGACGGCGTTGACCAGCTAACCGTGTTCAGCGGAAGAGGTATTTTGTCACACTCTCAGGGTCCTGTCTGGATGATTGGTACAGGTAAGTTCGCTCTTCTAAACACAATACAGATATACTGATATCGCATAGCCTGTAAGCATTGTACCTTGGGTGATGCTCATGAATGATTTATAAATGTTTATATCAGCGGAACATCATGTGCTCTACCAGTATAGTCTAGTCGGAGCAAAGAGCCATTACATGGGTATGATCCAGACCGAGACGGTAGGTTAATCCAAACACAAAATGAGTTAGCTTCTGACATCTCTGCATAGCCCTACTTCCAACCCGATCCTGCACCGCCAGGGCCATTCGAAATCTCACAAGTTTACGATGATCCGACATTTGAAAATGGTATGACCATGGCTTGGGGACTCTGGGTGCAATCATCCACGAATATTATCGTGTTCGGTTCGTCTTAATCATGTGCTCATATCATGCTTGCGCTTATATGCTATGCATTTTCCCCAAAGGTGCTGGTCACTACAGTTTCTTCCAGGTGAGGCATAGCCAAGGTGAACTGGGTCGTCACTAACCCTTACCTCTCATCAGAACTACACCGCGACGTGTGAGGCTAACACTACATGTCAAACACAAATGGTCAACGTAGACTGGTCCTCTTCCGTCAGCATCTACAGTCTGGCAACCGTGGGGACAACATACCAGCTTAGCGTAGAAGAGACCGGGATGATCTATTTTGCTAACGACTCGGAAGGCTTTTCGGACACTGTGACGCTATGGAGCCCTGCGCAGGCTATCTACCCGTAGAATTTATATCCTATAGAATCTATATATCCCTGATTTATTCTCTATGTAATCGAGCCAACTTAGGCACGCGCCAACCCGCGTCAACCGACCCGTCGCCTATCCATCCTTTGTTTCAACTTCCACACTTACTGTTTACTCGTACCTACTGCCAGACAGTTTACGATCTTTGCTTTGAAATTTTGATTACTTAGTAGTTCTAGATGGTGATGCATTTGTAGTTGAGCCGTCGATCGAGGTACTTGGGCAGCTGACTCTGAGCTCATACTAACTTGCGTAGATGCCAGTATGCAATGAGTATTGAAGTATTCATTGTCGTCGACCTGTTAACTCCACGGTCCACCAAAGGATCAGCAAAGATATCAAGGAACGTGCTTGAATTCTCGACCTTGCGGTCACGCCGGCCGAGTGTATTTGATGTTTCATCTTCCGTTTGATCATAATGTTATGCAGTATTGCCATGAAGACTTCCATCTGCCGTCGTGCCCATACATTGCGTCAATACGTTGACCCTCTCCTTCAAGTTGAAGCAGCAGTTTTTGTCACGGCATGCAGACAATGTATAGATGAATTTATGTTGTCGCAGGTTTCGTTTATAATTTGGACACATACTACGAATGCAGCTGGGAAACAGATAACACAGCAAATTGTTCCTGGTATTTAGGTTCTCCCTATTTTTCCTACTTATTGGCATGCTTTCCCAAATCGCTGTGAAGCATGTACATGGAGCGCGGACACTTGACAAGCAAGGTTCACGGTACACTCAGTAACTGGAGTTGTTTGATAACCGACAAAGACAATCGTCTCTGTTCTACTCGGCCGGCCTGTGGGCCGTCGGTCGTAGACTGGCTTGTTTTCTTCTATCGAAACCTGGCATGTCCTCGATCGGGTGTGTAAAGAACGTAAATAATACATGTCTGTATGGAGTAGCCATTGTTTTTGTACGAGCTCACTCCAATGTATTCGGGGTATGCTAAAAAAACCACGAAGTCGGAAAACGCAAGAAATTACAACATGTGCGATAGTAGCGATACAGCGAGTGTGATAATAGGAAGGAGCGAGATTGTTGAGGATATAGCGGATCCAGAGGTTTGCGTGTCAGGTCTTTTTGGCCGCAACTGTCAGAAAGTTTTTCAAAAAATGGGCGGGAGGACACATACGGGATGCCATTGTCGTCAGAATACGACGGACAAGTATCATTAGTACTTCCCTAACGAAAAGGGTATTAACGGTTAGATGTAGGATAGCGAACGACTAACAGTTGGATTGTCAGGACAGCATGCACTGTATCCCAAGTTAGCCACGCTCCCGAGAGCAGCAGCGTAATTCCATCCCTCCCAATTTGTACAGGAGACCGACTGGTAACTGATATTCCAGACGCCAAAGTCCTGGTTGCACAATGATTTATATAAACAAGCACAACGGTAATAAGTCACCTCACAGTATAACCTAGAAGCCCGAATTAATTATGTGTGCGGAGGTGATCTCGGGTGCTCACCATAAAGTGATTCATCTGATGGAAAGAAATCATTTGGAATCGAAAGTGATGGCCATGCGAGGTCAAAATTCAAGTAGTGACCACCACTATGCGAAGATTAGGTGTCGAAACCACGAAACAAGTGTGCTTACGCGTTCGGTCCATGAGTAGTTGCATTACACCAACCAGAAAGAGATAGTGGACATAAGTCAGTAACTTTTATGACCACTGAATTTGTAACGTTGGGGTAGAAGGGGGGATTTGAAAGGAAAGAATTTAGCAGGGTGAGATTAAAGCATTGTCCACAAGCAGGGCCGTAAGATGTTACTGCTGCCATATGCCATCTGATTCATTGCAGCAGTTGGATAATTTGTGCTGGTGGTTGTACACCCGCATGCTGCAATGAAGTTTTCTGGAAGGCTGTAGTGTGTCATAGTAGCATATCCATCTGGCGAATAGTCGATCCACTCCGAGTCTGAAGCCCATGATATGTGTGGTAGAAAGGAGAGGAAAGTAAAGATGAAGGACAGAAATTGCGACAAGGGAGTCGCACTGGAATTGCTCCATGGGAGCATTTTTTGGGAGTTAACAGGGAATAGTTAAAGAGGGAAGGGCGGCCTGGGAGCCTGCACTGGAAACACAAGTTGCTCACAGACGTTGTCAACTTGACAGTTAGCTTGACATGCGCTACTTCTGTAATACACGTGATGAGGTCACGTGCGCGTAAGTATATAGACGCGTCGCGCCACGCTGTTTTGTAACTTTTGTTGATCCCATCACCTGCAGAGCCTGCAACAGATGCAATCGATGACCAAAGTCAAACGCACCTACAGCTCGCGCTCGCGGCTGTCACTCCCGTGCTCCTCACCATCATCATCGCCGCCGTCGACAACAAAACGCAAGCGCTTCGGGGAAGGCGCCGAGAACGAGCCCCCAACAAAGAAACGGATAACAACCAGAACGTCGCTTTCGGGGAGGTCGGCAAAGCCAAAACAATGCGTCCTAAGGCAGCTTCATTTCTCTATAGAAACCTCAGTTCTACGAACCTGCACAATTTGTGGCCTCTCATATACACGAGGCGCACCGGACGACGAGTCATTGCATCGTGCCCATTGCTCACGTGTGCAAAGGGGAATGGAGTGGGGCAGAGAGGAAGAACGGGAAGCAGAGAAAGTCGGTGTAGAAGAAATACAATCTGCAGTGAAGCTGAAAGATGGAAAGAAAGGCCGCATTATCTGTTTCAAGGCGAACGTCGGTGGAAGAATTGGATCTAAGGTGAGCAGATCGCGTTATGCTTACAGTGCACCCGTACTATGGACTCTGGTTGACACTTCCGAAGCTTGCGGTATTACTTGAGACGATAAATCTTGCCCTTTCATCTCCTCCGCTATCAACCGACATCCTACAATCATCGAAGGCATACCTCTATCTGATACCATCACTGACCAATGCGCACCGAGAGAAGATAGTCGGCTGCGTCATTGCTCAACGAATATCTACTGCCATGACTGTCGCCGCTCCTTCAGAAACCTTACTTGAGCGTGATTCCAATCAAGCCACTGACCACGACTCATCCCTGTCATCGCCGACTCACAGACTGGTTGCAGTCGACACGACCTCAGGGCTCTTTTGCCATCCAGAAGCCTTGCCTACGCCCCTCGGTATACCACGTCTATTTGTCTCGTCGGCACATCGACGGCAAGGTATCGCTAGCCGCTTGCTATCGGCTGCGGCCGCGACGTTCATCCATGGCTGTCCACTGGACCCTGTCAATGGCGATGTCGCGTTTACACAACCGACCGAAGGGGGGCACGCTGTCATGCAACAATGGGGCGGAGGAGGCGTAAGAATATATGAGGAGTAACATGCTGATCAAGAGGTGTGCAGTTTCTGACAGGCCCGGCAACATTGAGCGCTGAGCGAACTGCAAAAACCATGTATGATTGGGATTGCGGGGAACTGACATAGCAATGAAAACTACTGTTGCTTTGAATCCGTTTTGTAAGCTACCTACGGAAGATATAGTACAGCAACCGATTATTGTGCAATGGCAGGCATAACAAGCGATACGATGAGAAAGCATGCGCGAAATGAAATGATTGTAACTTGTGACAGAAACATCAAGCGAATGGACTCCCACCAGTGGGAGGCTGCTAATTTCTTAATCGCTAAAGAAGACCGTATACAGACCCATACATGCGGAGAAGTAATGCAACTGGCTCGAAATGTATGTTGAGGCATCGAAGTCACTGGTCATCAGTCACCAGCCTGCATAGATCGCCGATGGAGAGAACGCAAAGCAATGACAAGTTGCTGCGCCTCAAACTTGTCGATTCTGCTTTCTCGCACAGAATCACGCAAAAGGATATTGACGTCCTCCTCAGGCCATGTTGCTACAAGAAGAAGACGCGACTGATTCTTGATGCCTAGTGTCATAAGCTCCTCCAGTAAATGACCGAGCGCTGCGTGACCGAGGAAGTTCCTGATAGGTGTTGTATCGTAGGAGTCATTCGACACCAATACTCTACTCGCGGACGACGTATGCCATGGTTTATTGCTGTGCTTGCGCGAGGTGGTATATTCTATTGGCATGGCCGCCAACGGATCTGGAGACGGGGAATGATTCATAGTTTGAGAAGCATCCATTAGGGTAGGACTCGAGGAGTTCGAGATGGATGGCTTGACCAGAATCGGGTGAGTTGCAGAACACTCTTTAACTTAACGGATGTCAATCACCTGTTGCACCATACCTTGGACGCCACCAGAGGTGACTAAACGAGAAGCTCCTGCATTTACCTCGTTCAACTCAGAGGTCGTCTGTCACGTTACTATGAAATGCGGAAGCTGTCAGAGATAAACCCTTTCTTACCTGGGATCTGTTGAGGATCAGAGGATCCGGCAGCTCGTCGGAATTCGCTGGCATGTATTCCTCGACGCTGCCAGCCTCATCATGATCATCGTCCCCTATCCAATCTTCATCTGCACTGTCGTTACCGTGTACCATTTGATAGAAGCGCGAACTCGGCACCGCTTTGGCGTGAAGATATCGATCAACGTATCTGAGTAAATGCGCATTTGCACACTCGTCATCTCCAAAAATCGGAAAAGCATCTTGAACCTAGGTGATCAATCATAAGCGGTGCTCCTATCGTCAATAGACGCCCGTACATCTGCTAAGAATCGCTCTTTGAAAATCTGCTCCTGTTCCCGAGGTTTTCGACCGATCTCGAAGTGCTTCATCGCAAGGGTTCGTATGCGGTGCTGTTCGGAAAGTCAGCTGTTGAGTTCCCAATGTGCGGTGTACGCGGTAGTACGTCGAGATCACTGACCTTTATCTCTTGAAACTGGGTGTCTTGATCCCCGCGCATACCTAGTGCTTTGCGGAAAGCCACCTGGGCTTTTCCTCCCCTCTCTTTGACCATGAGTCTGGTTCCTGCAATTTTGGGCATTTCTGAGAATGTTTGAGTGCTGGCAATGGTTGGTTGAAGATTTACTCTTGATGCACTCAAAGCAGGTATTTATCGTTGGGGGGACTTCGAGATTATCTGACCTCTGCCAGATCACAGAGGAGTTCACACCAGATAATCTCAAAGGTTATCAGATCAGGTAGTAATCTGAAACCGACTGAATTACCAGAGGACTAAAGGAGACACGCGACACGCATCGTGCCCTGCCTCCATGCAACGTTATTCCGTCAAAGTGGTCACCTTGAGTCACACTATATTCCAGGCCAGTATACCGGTTCTTCCATCACAATCCCTGTGCATAAGCTGAGAAGGTGACCCTCTGTGTGAGAGACTGTGAGCCACGAACGGAAATAGATTGCTAGCAGATATACTCTCATGGAATACCGTACAATGATATACATACAAATCTTCAAAAATTCCTATAGATTTATCTGATGAAAACGAGAAGCCGTCTGCCGCGGCCCTCAAGCAGACACTTCAACCGTCTGCGTGACATTGCTGGGAGGAGGCACGAAGGTCTGGTGCGATCAATGTCAGCAGACAATCACAATGATCGTGGGTAAGGGTCCTCCTCACCCTAATTTTAATACCGCCGGCACTAGGTAAACGTGTGGACCCTGCGCTCAACCAAGCATCAACCTCGGCAGCAGCGCCACGTCCCTCACTGGAATAATTTCATTATTACCCGAATTTGAAACAAAAGTCCCACTTACTTGATACCCCATACAATCAACGACTGACCACGGCGACAGTCACCGGCCGCAAAGACACCTTCGACATTTGTCGTGTATTTCTGCAAGAATCGTCGAGTTCAGGAAGGTATAATAAATGTTGCAGAACGAACCTTTGGAGGCGTCTGGATATTTGATCTGACATCCTGCTTGATACCCAGGGCGTCGAGAGCTTGTGACTGCGGACCCAGGAATCCAAGAGCTAAGAAGACCAGTTGTGCAGGGAAAAACTTCCCAGAACCAGGCACCTCCTCCATCTTCCATCGCCCGCTACTATCCTTGGTCCACTCAACTCGGACTATTCCGAGACGCGAGGCGTCAATATCAAGTACAATCTTCGGGAAGTCTCGACGCACCGGTATTCAAGCCCTTGAGCTTCCCAGCGTCGTCAAGAACGAATTCCTTTGTGGAAATAGAGTATTCCCGTGGATCTGAGACAGCATAAGGAAAGATGTCAACCGACGGCAAAGATCACTCACCATTGCCAAAGTGCGCAGCGACTTCGGTATGTCCGTAATCGGCCCGGAAAATTCTGATGGAAGATGAATAAGATCGATTGTTGAATGATGCGAAAATTGGAAACACCGACCTAGGCCATTGCGGCCAAGGGTTGTCTCTGCCACGCGAACCTGGAGGCTTGGGTAGAAGCTCAAAGTTTGTCACGGACTTGGCGCCATGCCGCATGGATGTGCCAATGCAGTCGTTGCCGGTATCACCGCCACCAATGACAATAACATCTTTACCCCTTGCGTTAATGTAGGACCCATCCTGCAGTTCTGAGTCCAGGAGGGACTTAGTGTTCAGCTAAAGGAGGCGTTCGAAAATTTTAATTAAAAATAGGCGATACACGAACCTGAAGGAATTCCATGGCGAAGTGAATGCCGTCTACATTGCGGTTGGGAATATTGAGATCGCGAGGCCACGTTGCTCCCGTGCACACAACAACTGCATCATTCTCTGCTCGGAGAGCACCAGTATCAACACTGACCCCGACATGAGCATTTGGTACGAAGGTCTTTGAAACGATAAGCGAGACAATAAATCACAAGGGTTACGAAGACGCACGATCCCCTCGGCCTGCATCAAGTCCAAGCGGCGCTGTACAATTGTCTTGTCGAGCTTCATGCTGTTGCAGGTCAGGATCGTCAACAGTATTCGATCATAATCGACTCACTTTGGAATACCATACATAAGAAGACCACCCATGCGATCATTGCGGTCATATACAGAGACGAGATGTCCTGCCTTGTTAAGTTGATCAGCACATGCTAGACCAGCAGGACCGGAGCCAATAATCGCGACTCGCTTCCCAGTTCTGAAGCTCGGCGGATTAGGGGTCATCCAGCCCATCTCGAAGCCCTAGTTGTCCAAAATAAGCGACATTAACAAATGAGGTACGTAGGCAACATACTTTGTCAATGATGGCGCACTCGATGCTCTTGATACCAACAGGTTGCTCATTGATACCAAGGACACACGCGCCTTCGCAAGGTGCAGGACAGACACGACCAGTGAACTCGGGGAAGTTGTTCGTCATAAGTAGTCGGTTAAGAGCATCGCGCCACTGGCCCTTGAACACGAGATCGTTCCACTTGGGAATGATGTTTGAGATCGGGCATCCTGTGTCAGACTGACAAAACGGAACGCCACAGTCCATGCATCGAGCAGATTGATACTTCAACTCGCTCTCAGTCAAGCGGATCGAGATTTCTTTCCAGTCCTTGACACGCTTTCTAGGGGGTCTGTATGCCTCGTTCAGTCGGTGATACTTCATGAACCCTCGAGCTTTGTCCAATTTGTGAAGACGCTGTTTTGTGGTCGAGTCGTCAACTGTGGAGTCCTCCAGATCTGTAACAGCAGGCTCATGGCGTTTGGGAGGAGTATGAATCGTAGCTGGTTCCTTCGGGAGGAGGATGTCTTCTAGTCCCTCCGACGCAAGGTCAACTTGACTAGCGGTACGAGATGGGACCAAGTCGATGACACAAAGCCTTATCTTTTCCTCCTTCTCTTTAGCAGCCTGCTCTTCCAATACACGCTTGTAGTCGAGTGGCATGACACGAACGAAGAGCGGGAGCAAATGGTGGAAATCATGAAGGACGCGATCGGCAACCTCAGAGCCAGTGTAGTGACGATGGTCCTCGATGAGGCCACGCAATGCAGCAATTTCACGTGGGTCACTGACCTTTCCAAGCTCTACCATCTCCATATTGACCTTCGACGCGAAAGTGTGAGCGGTATCGAGCACATATGCAATGCCACCACTCATTCCAGCAGCGAAATTGCGCCCAGTAGTTCCTAGGACCACAACGCGCCCGCCAGTCATATATTCGCATCCATGATCACCTGTGCCTTCAACGACAGCGTTTGCCCCCGAGTTGCGAACAGCAAAACGTTCGGCAGCGACACCTCGGATGAAAGCCTCACCCGACGTAGCGCCGTACAAGCAAACATTGCCAATAATGACATTCTCTTCTGCCTTGAAAGTTGATTGTTTAGGGGGGTAAACGATGAGACGCCCACCAGACAGCCCTTTTCCGACGTAGTCGTTAGCATCACCTTCCAGCTCGATTGTGATACCGGGAGCAAGGAAGGCACCACAGGATTGTCCTGCTGAACCGCGCATGAGAATATGGATAGTATCCTTCGGCAACCCTTCTTCCCCGTACAATTTGGAGACGCGATGTGATAACGACGTGCCGAGGGCGCGATCAGTGTTGGTGACGTCACACTCAATATGAACGGGAAGTCCCTTGGTAAGAGCTGGTTCGGACTCGTCGATGAACTTGTTGTCGAGGCGGATGTACAGCTTGTGATCTTGCTGTCGAACACGGTAAGTTGCAGCACCAGGCCGCATCTGCCAAGCAGGTTTCAAAACAGCGGACAGGTCGAGGTGGGCGGTCTTGATGGTGCGCAGCTTCTCATCAACCTTGAGCATATCAGCGCGACCAACCATCTCGTTGATGGTGCGGAAACCGAGCTTGGCCATGTGACCACGAAGCTCCTCGGCAAGATAATAGAAGAAGTTGATGACTTGCTCCGGCCTGTCCGGCAAATTTGCTGCGAAGCTGAGGGTCTTGTGTAGCTATACCAACCGGACAAGTGTTCACTGAAGTAAACAGGTTAGCTACGACAGAGGCCAGGAAGGTAACACGTACGATGGCATTTGCGCATCATAATACAACCCATGGCGATGAGTGGTGTTGTAGCAAAGCCCCATTCCTCGGCACCAAGCAGACATGCGATAGCAATGTCACGACCGGTACGAATCTGGCCATCAGTTTGGACGGTAACGCGACCACGGAGGTCGTTCAAGACAAGCGTCTGGTGCGTCTCCGCGAGGCCAAGCTCCCACGGCAGACCGGCGTACTTGATACCAGTCCACCGGGATGCACCAGTGCCACCGTCGTGACCAGAAATGAGGATGTGATCTGCCTTTGCCTTTGCAACACCGCTCGCGACAATGCCAACACCAACCTCGGAAACAAGTTTTACAGAGACACGCGCACGGGGGTTGGAGCACTTTAAGTCATATATGAGCTGTTTCAGATCCTCGATGGAATAAATGTCATGGTGGGGTGGGGGAGAGATAAGCCCAACGCCGGCTGTAGAATGACGAGTGCGAGCAATGGAGGTGGAGACTTTGTGTCCTGGAAGTTCACCACCTTCGCCCGGCTTGGCACCTTGAGCCATCTTGATTTGGAGCTCGTCAGCATCCGCCAGGTAATTGGCAGTGACGCCGAAACGACCAGATGCCACTTGCTTGATAGCGGAACGCATAGTGTCACCATTTGGGAGCATCTGAGAGCGCTCTGCATCCTCACCACCCTCACCAGTGTTCGACTTGCCGCCGAGACGGTTCATCGCGACAGCAAGCGTGGAGTGGGCTTCCATGGAGATTGACCCATATGACATAGCACCTGTAACGAACCTGCGAACAATTTCATTCCAAGGCTCGACCTGTTCGATGGGAATAGGGGTGGCGTTTTCATAGCGAAAGTCAAGAAGCCCACGCAGATGAACACTCCTCGTTTGCTCATTCGCATTACGAGCGTAAGCATCATAGGCGGTTTGGTTCTTCTCACGAACAGCATCTTGCAGATTGGCGATGCCAGCAGGATCATTGATGTGTACTTCGCCTCCATCACGCCAATGATACTCTCCCGATTCGGGCATTCCTGGAGGTAAGATAGTTTCCCTCGAAGGCCACCCACGCTCATGAAGCTCAAAAGCATCCACAGCAAGTAGGTCAAACGTGGCCCCCTGTACGCGAGACGCAGTGCCAATGAAGCAGCGATCCACGACTTCACTATGAAGACCGAGAGCTTCAAAAATCTGAGCGCCCTTGTATGACTGAAGTGTCGAGATACCCATTTTCGACATGACTTTGAGGATGCCATTATCGATGGAATTGTGATAATTGGTTAGGAGGTCCTTGATAGTCTTCTCGCCCTTGATACTGTGAACACTGATTAGCAAAAAGAAACTCGGTAGACATATCCAACTTACAGACCCTCCCGTGCGACCTTGTGAATCGTTTCCAGCATTAACCATGGGCATATCGCGTCAGCCCCATACCCAACTAAGACACAAAGGTGATGAACTTCACGAGCCTCCGCAGTCTCTACCATCAGGGCGACCTTGGCACGCTGCTTCTGTTGTGTTAGGTGGTGATGAACGCCACCACATGCCACTAGTGCAGATAGAGGGACACGGTTTGGCCCTGTGGCACGGTCACTAAGGATGATGACCTTGATTCCATCCTCGATAGCTTGGGATGCCTCGCTGCAGACACGTTGTAATGCGAGCTGATATCCTGGGAGTCCCCCTTCTTTGGGGAACGTTATGTCAATCGTGATGGAGGGCCACCCCGTATATGCAAGCTTCAGATTCTTCATGGCGTTCATTTCCTCCAAGGAAATCAAAGGAGAAGGTAGGAGAATACGGTGGCACTGTTCCGGCTTCATTTCCAGGAGATTGCCCTCAGGGCCGACGTATGCTTCGAGTGACATGACAATGCTTTCCCGGATAGAGTCGATAGGAGGATTGGTGACTTGGGCGAAGAGCTGGCGGAAATAATCATAAATGAGACGAGGCTGAGTAGCCATTGCTGCTAATGGAGCGTCGTTACCCATGGAACCCAACGCTTCCTTGCCAGTGTCTACCATAGGCAGCATTAGGAGACTAAGCTGTTCTACGGTGAAGCCGAACGCAAGGAGCTTGGGGTCACTGCTCAGAGGCAAATCGTCAATGACTGTGTCAAGAGAAGTGTTGCTACGGATGATGCGCTTGATGATATTAGGGACGTGAAGGACGTGGCTTTCAACCCACGAAGCAAAATTCTGCTTAGCGGCAGTGTTGCGCTTCAACTCCTTGTCGTCGACGATCCTTCCCTCAAGCGTGTCAACCAACAGCATCCGGCCAGGCTTCAAACGTCCCTTCTGAACTACCTTCTCAGGAGGAATGAACACTGCGCCAACCTCGGAAGCGCAAACCATGATATCATCATTGGTGACAACGTAGCGACATGGTCTGAGACCATTTCGATCAAGGTTCGCACCGCAGTACCGGCCGTCGCTGAAGGTGAACAGGGCAGGACCATCCCAAGGCTCCTGAAGACAAGCAGCCCAATTATAGAATGCACGTTTCTGCACATCCATGCTATCGTTGCCTTGCCAGGCTTCGGGTATAAGCATCATGACAGCTTCGGGCAATGTGACAACGCCATTGACGACGAGCAACTCAAGCACGTTGTCAAATGCAGCAGAGTCAGAACCACCGGTCTCGATGATGGGATAGAGCAGGTCGAGTTGATCGCCGAAATGAGTAGATGAAAGTACGCCTTCTCGAGCTCGCATCCAGTTCTTGTTGCCACGCACGGTGTTAATCTCACCTAAGGATTCCACGTCAGGCTTACCTGGCATCGTCAGGTGCAGATCACTAACCGTTGTGAGCAGCCCATCTCATTGGCTGAGCTCGATCCCAAGAAGGAAACGTGTTTGTCGAGAACCGAGAATGCACCAAAGTAAAATGCGAACGATACAGGACGTGATTGAGATCATGATAGTAATTGTACACTTGGGGAGGAGTGAGCTGTCCCTTATACACGATGTTCTTCGAGGACAAAGAACAGACGTAAAAGCCGTTGGCAAGCGTACTTCATACAATAAAAAGAAGGTTCGCAGATGGGTGTTAAGCTTGGTTTATGAACTAAATAAATTAAAAGTCACAAACATGGTGTGCGTCGCGTGCTTGCGCAAAACGTACAATTGTCGCTCGAAATGCTTGGCATCGAAAGGTCCATTTTGACAATCGATTCCATCACCGTAATGGTTGCGTAGGACGACGAAAGGTTGATAAATCTCAGGTTCCTTGCTGCTCGCGGCAGGACCAAGAATCGTGCCATCGGTTGGAACTCGACGCCACCCTAAAACCCGAAGACCCAGTTGACCAGCAATGTTTGCGAAAACGGATTGGTTGTTTTGCAGTTGAGTGGGATCATTTGCCTTGAAGAAGACATTGCCTACGGCATATTCTCCTGGTGTAGGAAGAGTGCATCCAATATCCCGTTCTGCTTCGCGCTTGAAAAAGTGGTGGGGAATTCCAGTCATGACACCGGCACCATCGCCATCACGGCTATCGGCACCGGTGGCGCCTCTGTGCGTCATTGCACAAAGTAACTGACGGGCATCCGAGACAATTTTGTGGCTATGTTCGCCCTTGATATGGCAGATAAAACCCACACCACATGAGTCCTTCTCATTTTCGTTAGAATACAAACCCTGATTCGCAGGAAGAGATCCTGCCCAGGAGCTAGGATCACGCTTCACAGCATGAAACCCATTATCAGCTGTGGACGTCTCGTCAGCAACGAGGGGTAGAGAACTTTTGTGATGATCGTCGAAAAGAACAGAAGAAATTGCCATAGGAAGAAGAAGCGAGCTATAGCGAGAAAAGACAAGAGTTTGTCGAATTTTTAATCAAAGACGCTGAAGGACCAGGGAAGATGGTGGTCAGAGTCAGAGAGTAAAATGATCAATTTACAGCTGACAGGAGTCAGACAAAATTACCAAAATTAGCTAAGCGCAGGGCTTCACGTCAGAGACTAGCCGAAAACCCCCGATTCACTCCGATGGCTTCGGGGAAGTGACATCTGACATCTGACATCTGCTTCCGCACCCTGCTTATGACACTCGCGCAAAGGATACCGTAAAATCCTGAGTTGCAGAGCTACATCGTGCGCATAAACATGGCGGATGTTCAAGCTCCTTCAGATTCTGCTCGACAGTGCTGATCGCAAGCAAGATCAGGATGTTTCTCAGCCCTTTATTACCTCGATGATTTAGTCTCCGCATTCGGTAGGCTTCGACGGAACAAGCCTCCCGTGAGGAGAATGCGGGAGACCGTCTGACACCGTCTGCCATCACCATATCCGCTTCAGTCTAACTCCTCGTGATGTTGTATATGCGAGCGCTTGAGACCTCGCAACAGAAGGTGAAGGCCTCCGTTACTACCCGTAACTGCGGCATCCACTCAGAACCAGCCATTTTTTCTTCTAATTTGCTACCAGCGTAGGTCAATGCAATATGAGCCTTGCCGCAATGTGGGAGGCCCAGGGGTTGGACAATGGAGAGACACCAAGTCCTCGGACAGGGCCAATATTCTGAAAGTGTTGGATCGGCTTTGGGCATGAGCACTCATGCACTGACTGCCAAGAACCGACGGCACTTAATACGAAGGAACGACTATCTTCCTTCGATAGGTCTGACTAGTAGCGGAGACTAGACAATGTAACATACGGTATAGTTCGAACGCGGAGTCCTTGGTCCCCGCCGGAAATTGCCATACCGGTAAGTAATGGTATTCCGATCAGCGATACTGGCCAGTCCTCAGGCCTCGGCCAACGGCAATCTTTGCCTGATCCTTCCCAGTGCGATGCACACTGGCAGCATCTCAAGTAGTATGCAAACCACTGCACGAAACTCTCATGCCTGTAGTACACGAGCTGTGTGGACGGAAATGAATTATGAAGGGCATGATACCTCGGTGTGCGAAAGCAAAACTACGTCCGTGAATAATGAATCCTGCTGCTCTTCGATATCAAAATTGATCAAAACGCTTCTTACAGTGGTACGGCTCGCACCTCATCTTTGCTCACGACTCACGACTCACGCGGGGGGTTGATAGACAGGACCATATGTCAGGTGCACGGCCCGATTGATGAGATCAAAGGACACTGCTCGAGATGGCACTACGAAACCGAAGCATTAAATTGTTGCGAGGAAGCAACCTCAAAGTCCAATGACAGTCTTCGTGTTTCATGTAAGCAGGAAGCAAACCCTCGGACCCGGGGCCGAAACTCAGCGAAACATGAATCCACGACATCGTGTCACGTTTGATCGCACGGGGTCGTACAACGGCGTGATCAAGAGTATTGCTCAAATGACCGGCAGTACCCAATGAAATCACTTCAATATACAATATTGAAAGGAACACAATCGTGCAGTAGTTGTACTTGGTTGTTGATCCGTTTGCTATTGCTGCGGATGGTCATCACCTTTGATCACCGAGTAAAAGATTCAATTGCTGCAAGATGCGAACTTCGACAGTGCCAATCGCTCAGGACATCTCGGCCGAAATGTCCAGCGGCACCAAGGCGGGCCGCGGAGATCAGCCTAGGTCAACCCAAGCTGCGGTCGGCTGGCAAAGTCAATCAAAGGCGAGAAGAAACTTCAAAGGGCGTGTATGATGGTCACACGAATGATTTATTGATTCTTTTCTCGATACCGAGGAGTTCCTCTTCATGGTTGCTGCGGCCCAAAAGTCGAAGGTAACCCATAAGAAAACGCTTGGGACAGGGACGCAATACAGGAGCTTCGTGTCAGTGCCGGTGATAATGAGACCGTCTGTTGACTGATTATTTCCGGCCGGACAATAGTCGGGGGAAGACGTGTATCCACTTTAGGCCCGAGAGAAGCACTCGATAATTTGGCGAGTAGCACTGCTCTGCGGACATGATCATGAGGTAAGAACTGACCAAAGTTATATCTATTGGTAGATCTGATGGTGCCATGTTTTGCCATGCTCCATAAACTCGGATGCCGATGGGCCAGATGTGAATCAGAATTCTGTCTCATCAAATAACCAGAAAAACAACTGACGCGGAGTTGGTGTGGGCATCTTTCCTTGATTGGGTTTTGATGTTCAAGGATGTGCAATTCGTGATATTTGATTTACCAAGAGAATATGAAGCATAGCACATAACCAAGACCGAGGACTTACTTCATTATGCCTTAAGGGACCAAAGGAGAGAGTGGCTCAACGCCAGCGCTGTCTTGCCTGTTGCAGCTCTCTTGATATCAATCTGGGGGAAGCTAGATGTGTAGGCCCGAATGTCGAAGCGAATGCAGAAGTCTGTAGAGTTGAGGAACCGGTCGCATCCCTACAGGCGACTCGGAAACAAGGGCTGCTGAGCAAAAAAAACGGGGCGACGGCACCCAAAAGAGTACTCGCCGACAAAACTGAATGGAGTATCCCGATGAATCAATAAAAATTTCGTAGATTCGCAGGCTGGTGAAACAGAACGGTAGATGTGGATATTGTGTTAGACACATGAACAAAAACTATCCAGCACCATCGTGGAGTGCACAACAAACAGCCGCTAGAGGCATCATTCAGATTTCCTCACAAACTGAGACACAACGACTCACCTTTATGATGACCATTATACTGTCGCACAGTCTCTCCCGAGGCCATCTCCCAAAGCCGGGCAGTGTGATCCGAGGACGCTAAGAGTCGAGTTGGATACATAAGCTGTAGAGTCAACAGGTAATTTCTTACCTGTAACAAGATAAGCTGAATCAGCACTGAATGCGCAATCCCAAACCCATCGTTGGTGGCCTTGAAGAACCTTCTCTTGTCTGAATTCATAATTTTGTGATATAGACCATATCTTCACCGTGGTATCTGCAGAGCACGTGGCAAGATATCTATCTCTCCTTCAGAGACTTTGCCAAATCGGTAGCTCAAATGCGCTCACTTCACATCTGGACTTAATAACACCCTAGTAAGATACTTCTTATGGGCGCTGAACTTTGTCACTGCCTGGTAACGAGGTAGATCTGATTTCTCCTCGTTAATTTTCCAGACGTAGCATTTGCCCTAAGCCAAGAATGTAAACGACGAATCATCCAAAGATAGATAATACCTTGTTATTTCCAGCAACTAGGCAAGAGCCATCAGATGCCAAGCTGACAGACCGAATAGGAACGTCGCCTGCAGGTGTCTCCAACAAGGTGTCAACCAATGATAACTGCAACCTTGTTCTGAACATACCAGCTCGTGTGAGCAAAGATTTTCGGATAAATCCCATTGCTTAATGCAACCCGCTTGATCGCAGGATATGAGCTCCCCCTGATTTGGATGGACACAGACGTCATTCACTTTGGGAGTTTGAGGGTATCAGCAACAGTCACGAAAGAAGAGTAAAACTTGCCAGGGGCGCCGTTATCATACGTTCTATGCACTTGCGTACTTCTACGTGGATGTTATGCGCTCGGGGCTTTAGGACTCATGGTGAGATCACCCACCGAAGATCCCATATTCTGATGGTGCCGTCTTCACTACCCGTCACTAACCACTTGCCTTCGCTGTGGAAGGACACGGAGGTTACATTATTTGTATGAGCATCCAGGCACGTTAGCTAAAGGGGATAAATGAATGGAGATGGCGGTAAATATTAGGACGCGCACTGGTGTCGAGGAGGTGCTGGTAATCTCGTAAATGTAGACCTTTTTGTGAATTGCTGCAGCTAAAAGGCGTTTGCTGAAATAAAATAACATCAGTAAATTCATACATGAAAAAACAGGACATTGGGATTACTCGGGTGAGATGGCAAGACGATTCACTTGCTAAACCTTGTATAAGTCTTGACGACGGAAAATGGGAAAACGTGTTGCTCACGCCAGACTCTCCAGATCTTGCTATAGTACGGGAACAGATTCCACTCCATGCTTCCCAGAACCTGATTTCATGATCATAAGATCCAGTGACAAGAATTACAGACATCTTGGAGTTCTTGAACAAAGAAGGGCTGAAGGTGTGACAGCGTGACCTGTAACAAATGACATCTTACCTAAACACTGGGTTGCCACTGGGTATCAACATTTTGAAGGTTGAACTCCAATTGAACTCTGTACCTTTGTTTGACATGATACTTCTCTTCGTGGCACATTTCTCAAGCTTCAAGATCCAAAGATGAAGGTCCGCTGAGTCCTCGATATTCAACTTCATATTCATAAAATGGAGTTCTGACGGATCGACTCCGAGGATCAACACGACGATCCGGAGTAGGGTGACCCTTGGTCATTTACGCTACTAGTTGATGGAAGGAACTATCCGACATGCATGTGGCTACTTACCTGTGCGTATGTGCTCTGGTATACATTGAGCCCGTGCACTTCCAGAGTCTGCGTGCGCGGCGCACGGATTGTTACGTGTTAGCCGCAAGGCAAGAGGTGCTGTCTTTTGGGTCTGTACCTCGGCTTCTTAGACCTCATTCATTCAAAATTTCATGACCCTTTTCAACGGGGAGGCATCGCATTTGATTTTAAGTTCAGCCTCATCGGCATTCTCGAACGGCGAGACGAATCTCGAGATCATCCGTCCGAATGAAATTAGCAAAGCCTTCGGCAATTGTTCCTTAGGTTGCCAGCTAATTAACGTGTCTGTAGGTTCCCTTCACTGTAAGCGACCTCGCTCATTTCCACACAACCCAACCTATCATGCGTCCATCGTTTTATGGGACAAATTAGACACGGCCTCGTCAAGTTCTCAGAAAGAAGTACTAGTTCCCTATCACCGACCGAAGGTGTTGAAGTAATCTGCATACAGACTCGCATATAAAACAGGAAGACGATATCATGTCTCTCTCAGCCCCCGGCTTCTCTAAACTCGACGTTTGTGTGCGGTATCTACTGTTTTGGCTATGAACGCTTTCCCAGTAAGTTGTATCCTACCTGACTCAACACCCATCCTGACCAAACTTTTAGAATGGCACTCGAGTCTTCTACTGGGCATCCGGTGGTGAAATCAAGTACGGTACTGTGCAGGCCACCAACCGTATGGCCGATGTAGGAATTCTACGCCATTCTGGAAGATATTCTTCTAATGAGCTATCTCACAGGGTACCCAGATTGTGGTGGTGAAGGTAGATGGGGAAGGCCACGCACAGCTACCGTGAGTCTCCTCCGCTGATTCATAAATGATGTCATTTTCTAATAACATATGTTCACAGAGTGTCCAGCCTCGTAAAAGTAAACCAATGAGATTCACGACCTATAGAGCCCACTTAGAGTTATTTATTGCATCCCATATCCCGCACTCCGCATTCATGGACCTTAGGATCACCACATCACTAGTACTACTGTATTCATTCGCACATGTACCTCGTCTGTTTATATCTGGCGATCGATTTCTTGCACTTTAGTCGAGGAGATTGATCCTGGGATCAATCAATCTGTTAGGATCTGCCTTCCGAGTCGCGTGGCATCATGTGAGTTACCAAGGGATTGGGAAGTGATAAATCCGGCGAAAGCATTTTGCAGCCCCAGAAGCCGCATGTCTCTGATTTTCCAATAAACAGTTCATGATTGTCCTGTACAATTGGGGTGACCACTGGTGACCGGTGACCAGGCGGAGTAAGCAGAGGAGGGGCTTCTTCGCGGAAGCAAAAAAAAAACCATCCATGTCATTGCTATAAATCGAGGATAGATCGGGGTTCACGGCTGTTTCCTTCGACAAAAGGGGGTCTCGTAGAAAGAGATCAGGAATCAAATGATATACCCTCTAGGCCTGGCAAGTGACAATAACTAACCTTCTAGAACACCTGGTCTTAAAGATTGAGCCGTTTTTAACCTCAAATACCATTGTCGTGTTCCTCGCTTCGCTGAATTTTTGGGCATCAAGTCCCCAACACACACAACCAGAAATCTGGGGGGCAAATATATATGTGTCAACATCAGTTGTTGAACAGTGGCACTCGATCGACGGGCGGATACGTAGCAGAAGACGACTACGACGCTCAACATGCAAAATTTACAAACACACACGGTTCAATTGCGTCTGCATCACTGTTGTGACGAAGTTACTAACGTAATTTACATATGCATCATTATGTACTAGTAGTAACAAAGAGAAGCAATCGATCCAGATATCGATCCAAGTTCGAGCCTGAGGTCGTTGCTAAATCTGGAAATCTGATTCTCTACGTACTACCAACTTGCTACAAACCGCTACAATGATACTTATCCTAGTAGTACATAGCGCCGCATTGCGCAGTACCAGCGAGACAGGAGATAAACACCGCAACGAGCGTGTGGGAATGATGAGTGTGTATGTTGTAAAACATATGTTACATAAATCAGACGATAGGCCGTGGTTGTATCACTGAGGAAAGACTCACGGTGCACCATATTGTTTTTCTGGGGATCGCAAGTTCGGCTGTTGCAATCCTATTCTATTGTCGACTTGTAAGTGTCCTTTGTGAAAAACTTTCACAGTACACATCTTGATGACAGCATGATCAGATTTTCTGTCCCGCGACGGGACGCAATGCCGTCCTATAAAAATTCCAGCAGCTAATGTGCTCTATCCTCGATATAATAGTGTCAAGTCACTCAGCACTAGTACTGAGCTTATATGCTGTATGTGTGTAAATTGTGAGTAAATGATAAATGATAAACGATAAACGATAAACGATATACCAGTAAATTATGTGTGATGAGATCTTGATCTTGTTGTGTAAATGTCCAAACAAGGTAATTTTCATTTGAAACCTTGGACTACGTTACAGACTATGTACACCAAGCCCAAACTTGTTCCCTACATTCCTCAGTGCCAGCAATTTCGTGAGCCACACTTTTTTCGCAGGGATTGCCGTGATATATCATTATCGTCATCACGATTCCACACCAAAAAACTGAGTTGCACATGCTCCGTGACGAATACTATAGATGGATCTAAAAATGCTATTTCAAAGAGCAGCACCACAATGCCGATTTCATTCGAGCTAAGTATAGTGAGTTTTTCTGATAGTTAGTTTGATTATCATAGTTCTAGCACAACATTAGGAAATTATAATATTTAGATCAAGCTGAGTCCCAATAGGACGGAACTTCCGAAGGAAAGGCTTTAGTTGAATTAAATATGCGGTAAAATCGCTAGTGCCTGTCCATACGACGACACAGTCCCGGATTGGCAAGTATGACATTCATGTGAAGAGCGTGAAACTCGTTGCTCAGTCGTAGAAAAGATAACACCAGGATGGAAGTGCGCTTGCCCCCTTAGTCAAGACCTCAAAATGCAACGGGCTCACTTATGCATTCAATGTAGGTACTTCCTTTCGGTCCTGAGCGTGATGAAATATTATGCGCCATATCTGTGAAGAACACTCGACTTACTCTGACCATTATACTAACTCGTTGACCAGCCTTGATCTCGCATCCAAGGAAATGGCCCGCTTTCAGTACAGAGTGGTTATAGTCGTACCGCACCCTATCCCTACTTTGACTTTTAGCTTCTAGTTGAAAGTATATCGACTGCACTTGCATTTGTAGATAAACACTACCTGATGGGAGTAGAACCTCGAAGGAGTCTTCTGGGTTGCTCGTCGACTCCATCCGTAATATTCTGGCTGCGCCAAGGCTGACGCCGAGAATCCAAGTTCCACTGGCTTCTATATTATCCACATGTCCGAGAATCTCCCCCACGGATGACAGGTGTAAAAGATGTGTTTGTACGTTCAAGGTTGGATATAGCCCTTGCAAACGAGCTAGAATGAAGGAAAGACCCGGATTCTGATCCTCCGGCCACGATGACAAGTGCATCTCACGATAATGTCGTATCACGCCATCATAATGGCCCTGTGATTATTTATAAGCCAAACTCTTAGATGAAGACGATATGCAACCTCTTGGAAATTGTAGTATGCATCAGGAAGGAAAATATCCTCCACTGTACGATGCTCCTGTGGGTGGTTGGCAAGGAAGTCCCTTCGCTGCTTCCGAGCTTGTTTGCTTTCGGTAGAGTCAAGTTTAGAGAGTGCGACGGAGAGCAATGTGCGCTGCTCTGAGAGGGACAGAAATTCCGGGAAAAATTTGAATCCATCTGGAAGGCCAGCGGATCTGCTTCGTATGAAGGAGTGAATTTGGCGTGACAACGGTGCATATAATAATCGTCTATAGCCGGTAGAGAACATCTTCGACTAGGCCATAAACCCCGGTAGATGTAAGATGATAAGTTGGTGTGTTAAATAATTAGACAAGATGCAGTGGATGTTGGTAACCAAATTATGGTGCAGAGTCAACTTATGGAAGTTTGAGCTCCGCCGCGTGCATGAAGCGTCGGTACCTTTCACCCACTACAAATTCAAAGCGATAACTTATCAGACGGTATTTCTAGCGAGGTTCAGCAACTTAGCTTGTGTGAATGTCGACAAATCATCAGGACAGTGCATCCAAAGAACAACAAGGCAATTCGTTGTACGCAGCACTCGCCACGACCACCACAAGGGGAATAGCACTTTACTTCTCCCGCCCGGTACGACTATTTCGACCAGCCAAAGGTTTGTCTGTCTGGATATTTTTATGATAGTCTCGTTGACAACACTCATTGTTGAGTGAGCGGTTGGCACTCTCTCCGTGGTCATGCTAATAAGCATGGGGCGCCTCTAAGTGTCCAGTACGTATCCGCGCTCGTGAAAAAGCAAGGTGTAGTGCTCTCTTGTCGTTATTCCATACCTTTCCTTTAATTTTGATAAGGCTTTGGTAGTTCATGGTGATTCCAAAACATTTTGTGCCGCCGATGGTCGCAAATGCAATGTTGGGTACTGTTCTATGGACGACCTACACGGAAACATCTAATTACCTGGAAGTGCGTCTGGGGACGCATCCAACTTTTATCGCTGCGCTTTCGGGCGCTGCTGCTGGTGGCACCCAAGCCTTGATTGCGGCTCCTGTAGAAAACACTCGCCTTGTTATCGAGGGTGGCACCGGTAGAGGATGGTCTCATGCATGGCAGGAAGTCTTCCGAGGAACCGAACCCCCAAGATCAGCCAGTAGAGCGGACAATATCAAAGAGATAAGACAGGTAAGGCATTGGATGAAGGAGGTTTCTGGAATGGCTGGTCGGGGGTGGGATGGTTGGGGTTGGGGATGTGCCAAAGATGTTTGCGGTAATGCCTCCATGAGTCACAACCCGCACTTTCTGAGATTTCATTGTTGTTCAGGCTTTGCTGCATTCTTTATGATATTTGAAATCACTCGTAGAGTGGCATTAGCTTCCAAAGCTGCAGCGCAAGGCACTGTCCAAAATTTATCAATGACCCCAGAGGAACACTTCTTCGGCCGCCATTTTCCACGAGCCATTCATGGTATTACCTTAGTAGCAGGAGGGGCATCGGCGGGTTTGGCATACGAGATCCTCAGCAGACCATGGGACGTAACCAGGCGCATAATTCAACTAGAACGGACCGTTCATCCCACTCTGAAACATTCGCTATTCGTGATTGTACAGAAAATTCGTGGGGATGGAATAATACATTTTTTCCGTGACCCTTCGACTGCGGGCAACGACACCCCGGAAATGTCTACCACTCGTCGTCGGATATATTCCGGTGTTCGAACGCTTGCTCGAGTCGGCCCATGGGGTTTGGGCTTTTTGGTATGGGAGGCTTTCGGACCGGGTTTGTCCTGACAGAACTACGATCGGCGTGTGGATAAGGATGATCCCAGTACTTATCCCATGCAGGCAGGTTATAGTCGTGCAACGTAACCCCGTTTTCTCACCGTATTTCTCACAACGAGTGGGCACCTTACTGGAGATAGATAACACCATTTGTCAGTGGCAGAGGCGAATCCATGCGCAGATTTTGCCGATAGATGCTAATAAGCTCAAGTGTTCTGCCTACGGTGTTTCTGGCCAAGGGAAGTCCCAACTCAAAAGGTCGATCGTCTTACGTACGTACGATCTTCGTACTGGTGGCTGTACAACATCAGCTTGTGGCACCGGCATCAGTGAGTACTAATTTGTTCTAGCTGAGTGCGTAGAACCGCGTTTCAAGCATGCGTCCCTCCCTTGAAATTTACTTTAATAAATCCGAACTCAACTCGTGAAGATGCAAAATTTCTCCCATTCACTTTTACATCATGTTGCTAACAAAGGGGGCTAATCGAGACCGCTGGATACGAAAATGCGCTGTTTGAGCTGTATCACTAAAGTTGAAAACATGTAAAGTGAGTTCATTGAAAAATACAATATATTTCACCGCAAGGGGCATCACTAAGCGCTGACAGTCTATCCGTAGTCCTGCCTGCTGCGCCCGAGGAGTAAGTGAGTATCCACTCAAGTAGCGTAAACACGCACTGATTGTCGACTCAGGGCGTAGCATCCCATTGCCAATTTGCCATGCTGTTGTTGTTCGATCATGGCACTTCCTTTCCCATGCGATTTGCGGAGCTTCCACACCCTCTCCGGGTGAACTACTAATCGGCAAGGACGTGAGCGTTATGGCAGTTTCGGGGCGCCTTGCGGCCCTTGCCGCACGCTCTGAGAATGTTTGAACCTGGATCTTTATAGTTCTAAGAACCTCGGCTCCAGGAAATGCTTCCATTGTCACAATGGAACTTCAATCTCCAATGGAACAAGAACAGTTACGATACATTGCTTCAAGGCAGTAAAGCTACTACTTAGCAAACCCAAGTTCACGTGTCGATGGTTTCTAGTTTCATGACCGAGGCGCCGAAACACAACGTGCTCCCTGACCACTTTGGATACCCCCGGACCATACGAAAGAATGATAATGTTATACGGATTATGCAAAAAGTGGATGTGAGCCGAGTCTAAACCACATTGTTTAACCTTTGACCCGTCAATAACTTTCGCCACTAGCTAGGACTCGCATGCACTTGGTTGCGAAGTTAACTTTGCAGCCGCCTAACTACTGGTTACCGAACGCACAGCACAAGGAGTCATTTAACCTTCTTTGTGAATAATCTTACTGAGTATAAAACTTACTTTAGTCCACTGTGAATTTTGTTCATCCCGTCAAATTAATGACTCGCCTTTCATGACAGGGCTGTGTTGTCGTGTTTCGCGATATCAGTCCAAGCCTTACCCATATCAGAGTTTCTGCATCTTACCGATAAGTCACTGGGCTTGTTGTCTATGGTGCGGAACCCAGGAATTCCACATGACGTGAACGGTCTCGTCATGGTCAATGATCGAGAGCCTGCATAGATCCTTCCCCCTTTTTGTGCCAATACAAATTCCGTCATCACGGCACAGGAGAGGATAGTTGTTCGTGATTGGCATCCGTTCTATCAACATTCAATGGTATCCAGACCGCTGAGCATTTAGTTCAATGTCAGAGTCATGATATCTGACTCCGCTATAACGTATAGCTTTGATCCGCAGGGTGCGGTAATGCAGGGTGTATCACAGGACCGTATCACATTTCCGTGAAAGGATTTTGACCGTTCTTATTTACCGGTTTGGCACGGTCTCCGTCGACCCTTCCATAATTATAATAATGCAGCCTCTTATGAGCCACTCTTTTCTGCAAAAAAATCGGTTATTATTCACGTGGTTCTGTACCCTATTATGTAGATTGTACATAGCAAAGTAGTCAACTCCCTGTATAAAAAGTCCATTTGGCTCGCGCATTGTATCTGAGGGCGTGAGTTGACACTGTGGGTGTGAGTTGACACTGTGGGCGTGAGTGGACACTGTGGAGCGATATAGTATAAGGGCAACGTGAAACAATCAGGGCAAAGGGGTAGGTGTGCATGGTTAAGTATTCGGGGTTAGAACTGCTCGGCGGTGCGAAGAGACGCTGAGAATAATGAATGCTCAGCGGGCTTGTGCCGGAGACTACTTCATCGAGTCATTTGCATAAATAAGATATCACCATAATTGCGTGCCATATAATGTATTAATCGAACACGTCTGGGATGTAGTACTTGTCGGTAAGTAGCAAGTGTAATACGCGCAAATGGATATCGTAGCACGTCGCGCCGCGCCGCATGGGACAAGACATAGCTTAGAACGGTGTTCTTTGGGTATACCATTTTCTCTCTAGTAGTCAGTGATAGAATCACTAGAAATCACTAGAATAAGCACGGCGATCGATTATGTAAGCAAGTTAGATAGCAGAATGAACCTTGAACGGCGAAGTCGATTCGTCGATCGATACTGAACGTTCGAATAGCGGCGTTGAACGTGTACATCCCAGAGTTCCCGAGTACTTTGATTGAAACTCATATTCGACTCGCAATGCCGCGTTGTACACGGAAAGGTTGCGGCCAGAATTACGATTTAGCTACTAATGATCCGTCCAGCTGCACGTACCATCCTGGAGCACCTGTGAGCCGCTGTAACATCTCAACGTCGAATCATCGCAGTTTAGTTCAGCCTTTAGGTCTTCCATGAAGGCCTGAAATCGTGGTCTTGTTGCTCCGATGTGAACAAGTCAGTCTTGGACTTTGACGAGTTCATGAAAATATCTGTAAGTACTAGTCCGCAGGTCTTCAGTCATCGCAGTGTCCGTTGACAATTTCATCGTCAGGGATGTACGGTCTCGTCACACACAGACGAAGCCCCAGAAGTACCTGTCCCTTCTATAAAGACTTCCGCGGTCGACTCCAATCTAATCATGAAGGAGGCAAAAGACGGAGCGGAGGTTTATTCGACCGGTGCACCGAAGTTTGCGTCGCCTAAGCAATCTATTCCCGCACCTGTGGAAGCTCCTATTGTTGAAGATGAAGATGATCTCGACGCGCCCGTAACCCCTGGCACCGTATGTAAACGCAAAAGTTGTGGCGTTACTTTTGTCAGTGATGAAGTGAATCGAATCGGAGAGGGCGATGAAACTATCTGCACATACCACCCAGCTGCTGTACGTTGATGGTGTTAATGGTGGGCTCGCCTGTCGGCTGACTCAAGACTTCAGCCCATCTTTCATGAAGGAAGCAAAGTCAGTCATGTGGACACCGCACCGATAGAAAACTAAAACCCCGCCCACAGGGTTACATATGCTGTAAACGACGTGTCTTGGAGTTTGATGAGTTCCTCAAGATTGAGGGATGTAAAAAGGGGCGTCACGTGTTTGCGCCTAAGCAGCGTACAGAATCTCAGGTTTGCTCTCGCTGCCACCTTATTGCTTGAGGGACTGGATTGAATGTGTCATTTTAGGTGGAGCAGTTCACTGACTGCCGTGTTGACCATTATCAGACACCAAAGGAAGTCCATATTTCTGTATTTGCCAAACAAACGAACAAGGAAAAGAGCACTGTCTTGATAGAGGACAATCAGATTCACTTCGACCTCTATCTCCCTGGACCCAAGCGCTTCCGCCGTACAATCGTTCTTTTCGGTCCAGTGGATCCCGATGGGTCTTCGTACAAATTCTATAACACGAAGGTTGAAGTGGTCCTCAAGAAACTTGATACCAGGAGTTGGACTTTGCTTGAAAAGACAACTCGTGATCTCGGCAACATCAGCTTGACTTTCGGTGTAGGTGGTCGAACAGGCACAATTGGGGGCAAAGATCTAGTGCTTGATGAGCAAAACACAAATAGAGTCAATTAGAAGATCGAGGGGAATACGCGACATCTCTAGTCTAAATTTCTAGTGTAGGGATAAAAATACCATACCGATAGCTTGAAATTTTTTGAAATATCCCGGATCACAATACGCCAGGTATTTCGATTGTCTGATACATCTGTATCAAGTCGCCGTCGCGCAAATCCTCATAGTCCTGCAAGCTGATCCCGCATTCAGTACCTTTCTTCACCTCCGGCATGTCCTTCTTGTGCTGCTTAAGCGCATCGAGGAAACCCTCATAGATCACTTGGCCATCGCGAACAACTCGAGCCCCTTTCGACTTCTCGATGGTGCCATTGCTGACTCTGCAACCTGCAATTTTCTTGGTAGTCTTCCCTTTTATGTGGATATCGAAAAGTTGTAAAACAGTCGCCTCGCCGGTAACTTTGGTCTCATAGGTGCAAGGCAATAATGCGGTGACGCGGTCTCGGACCTCATCCATGATCCGATAAATGATTTTGGACGAGTAAACTGGGATGTGGTTCTGTGCCGCAGCATTCTCCACTGAACGCGGAATGTTGACCGAGAAGGCAACAATTATACCTATGTGCGCAGTATCAGCATCTCGACCCACAAAAATCATAACTCGGGGTCCTTACCCTCAGCGGCCTTGGCCATCATCACATCACTCTCCATTACATCCCCTACCCCTGTGGATACAACCTTGACACGAGCCTTTTTATTCCCGATCCCTTCCAGCGCGCCCACAACGGCCTCAACACTCCCGCTCACATCACCTTTAATGACCAACCGGAGCTCTTTAGGGCCGCCATCTAATACATGCCTCATATCTTGACTCTTATCCTCTTCCTTCCGGACTCTTTCGCGCTCTGCAGCACGCGCAATATTAATTGCCTCCGCATCAATCAAAACGGTTTCCACTTCCTTTTTCCTAACCCTATTTGCAAGAGCTTTCTTTACGTCGCCCTCGCTACCCTGTACAACTTCATCACCTGCACCCGGAAGTGACCGCCACCCAGACACGGTGACCGCCATTCCCGGATATGCGGCCTTAACAGGTGCACCAGATGAATCCGACATAAGACGGACTTTCCCGGAAGATGTGCCTGCCAGGATGTGAGCACCAGGGGTTAGACATCCACGTAAAACCAGAACTGTCGCTGTGGGCCTGTAAATGAATGGGCGGTCAATCGAGGATGGTACAGCGCTTCTGAACCTACCCAAGACCTTTGTGCATCCTCGATTCGATGACATGCCCATAGACTGGCCCATCTTGCTCTGCGCGTAAATCCTGTACCTCGGCAATCAAAGACAGGGTGTCTATTAGGTCATTCAGTCCATGTCCTGTCAATCCAGACACTTCGACGGATGGAATGTCTCCCCCAAATACCTCCAGCTGGACGCCCTCAGCAAGGAGTGCATGCTGAACTTTTTCCTGCATAACCCCTTCCGTTAAGCCGCCATAACAAGACGACCCAGAAAATGCCCACCACATCCGCTTCTGGTTTATCAACCTTGTTGATAGCCACGACAACCCCAACTTTGTCTTGCTCTCCTTTGATAAGCTCGATGACCTCTTTTGTCTGAGGCATCACACCATCATCCGCTGCGACCACAAGGACAACAATGTCCGTAACACTAGCGCCACGCGAGCGCATTGCAGAAAAAGCAGCGTGTCCAGGTGTGTCAAGAAATGTAATTATGCCACTAGATGATTCCTTGACAGGGACCGAGAAGGCACCGATATGCTGTGTAATACCACCAGCCTCGTTATCAGCAACAGACGCCGAGCGAAGGGTATCCAAAAGAGTGGTTTTACCGTGGTCAACGTGACCCATGATAGTAATGATGGGTGGTCGTGTAGGAAGAGAAGTTGGGGCAGGATGTGGAACACTGAACGTTGCATGAGTATACAAGCACATTAGATATCTCAGACTACGTACGGGGGATATATATCAAAAGCAGCTTCATCATTGATGACAGGATTGTGGCCAAATTCTTCCACGAGAAGGGCAGCGTAATCGGACGTCAATACTACAATAAATCATCAGTAACGGAGCAGGAATGGGATGGAAAGAGCAGGACCATGATCATATGACGCCTCAGCCGCCATCCCTGCATCTATCATCTTGCGTTGAAGTAGTGCTGCAATTGTTGAGTCTAGGAAAACCCCCATGAAGTCATCAGTAACTTACTCTGCCGCACATTTAATAGTCTTGCTAGTTGACCAACGGAAACTGTCGTAGGAATGTATATCTGCGAGGGAGACTTGCGCGTCCTCGTGCGAGGCGTTTGGCCTCGTTGCAATTTCTGACGAGAGGTAGAGCCACGGCTAGGAGTATCGGACGCCCTTGTTAAAACATTATTCATGCGAGGTTGCGATTGAGGAGTTGCGGGACGAGCCCATTTTGAAGCAGAGGGAGCAAGTCCACCACGCAAATGCACGCCTCGGAAGTCATCAAAGTCGCGATTAAAGGACGTCGTTTGTGCTCTGGCCCATTTGCTCACGGTTGGCTGTGGAGGAAGAACGGGATCAACAGGCCATTCCGATGGCTAGCGAAAAAGGTTACGACGCTGTCATGAAAAATTGTAGCGGTGCCCACCTTGAGTTTAGTTGCCGTTGACGCACACCTCCATTGCGTGACCTGAAGAGCGCAAATACCTGCTTTGCGACGATGCATCTGAGGTGCTCGTCAAGGTCGGCGTCTTCTAGTAATGAACGCAAGTGAATGATTACGTAATCACTTCAGCGGAAAAGTGCAGCACTCGTTTATTGGATTTACCTACTTATATATGCAATAGTGTTGCTGATGGGCCTGCACTTTGGCCAGACATTGTAGAATCGTTGTGTTATGAGCAGTTGGTTCAAGTGACGATGGGTGGCTCGAGTGCCCGCTTCTACAGTATTATTAATCTGCGGAATGATGTACAACACAAATTTATGAGAGCGACAGAACAAGACGAGTAAAAAAAACATGAGAGCGAAATAGAGAACCAGATAGAGAGACAAAGAGGAAAAGGAACACATAAATACCGCACCAACAAGATTATCCCGTGTACATCCTGAGTAGACGCAAACCTTTCCCGATACCACACGTGCGCTACTTCACCATCCTTTCAGTTCCAATAATTCGACGAGAGGACGTAGCCGGATCAGCCCCGCCCTGCACTCACCCGGCCCCAGCTCCCTTCACTACTACTGCCCTCACTGCCACTATCAAAATCACTCCCCTCGTCAAATTCTGAAAAAGGGTTATGCAAACGCGCAACTCCGCTTCGCGATACCGAAATTTCCTCCCCATCAGCATCTGACGCCTCGCCTAATGACAAAAACTCATCCTCGCTCATCGTCGAGGGCGACAGAGAGCTTGCAGCACCTGAGAGGGACGCGCGCTGCTCGGGTGGGGAAAGTACGGCGAATGGCGAACCAGAGCGGCTACCGCTGCTCCCAAGGCTCAGGACGTCTGTGTTTGGGGAGGAGAGGACACTGTGTGATGAAGGCGGGGAGAGCAGGACGGGCGGAGTGGGCGCGGCGGGGTAACGTTCTGATAGTGAATCCACAACGCTGATGTTTTCACTCATATTCTCGTGCATACTCGCGCTGGTGTTGCTATTGATATTGACGTTGATATGTTCGTCCTGGACATCAACGTCTACACGCCTGCCTTGCACATTCACCCTGATGCGCGAATTCGTATCCAAGCGCGAAGACCAGCTTGACTGTGGGCGGGAGCGCACAGGCGTGCGTACAACTGGGGAAAATGGACGGGTGGGGTAGCCGGCGCTTGTGCGGGGGGTGTCGGGGAGGATGGGGCCGAATGGCGGGCTAGGAGGGGGGGAAGAAGAGTGGGAAGACGGGGCGAAAAATATAGTAGTGTTACCCTCGCGCTCACCATCACTTGCGGTGTGGGAAGAGGCTCGGGAGTGGGCACGGGTGGGCGTGCGGGTGGACACAGATAGCGTTTCTGTGAAAGAGGAGACGTTGGAGATGACGTGGGTAGGTGCGAGCGGAGTGTGCGTGAGGGATGTAAAGGACTGTCGTGTTTGATCAGTATTCGGGAGGGTGCGGTACAATGGAAATGGAAGAAATACATCATCTATTGTGGTAGATATACTCCCTTCGTCTGTATCAGGGATTACTCTGACTCTCCGCCTCACATTCGTGCCTTGGGCGGTGTGATGCACCTTATTTCGCCATTCGTCGACGAGGCCGAGGTTGAGGCCTTCTAGTTCGATGGAATCTTCTTCTCTTGCAGGAGTCCTTTTCCTCGGATCAGCATCGCTGGGACTCGGGTTTCCATCTCCAGACCCTCTGGTGGATGGTACAGGAACAAGACCTCCGCGTCGAGCACGACGCTTTGCAAGGAAGTCCTCTGCCCAACGCTCTATGGCAGGGGCGATGTGAGGTTCGAAGACGAACTAAAGAGTGTATTAGATAGATGTGTTTGAAAGCGGGCGAGAGCGGAATGGGTATTTTTGTAGACAGAAGATAGAAAGTCACCTCATGAAAAGCAACAACAGCAGCAGCACCTGCAATAGCTGCGACGACGTACACCGCTACTGGCGCTGGCATCGCAATCAATTCGATCAGCAGCTGACTACCTTCGGTGAGAGGTTTAAGTGCTAGGGGTCAGTTACTAATTCTAGTTGGTCGAATGTGCTTAACGACTTGGACGATGAAAATACTGTTTGTCGACGTCGTCAATGGCGATGAGAACGAGAAGGAGGAGGTAATAGCAAGAGTTATCGCTTGCTGTGGTCGATTGCAGCAAGCGTAGAAAGCGTCCGTTCCGCATGCCCAATCATTACCCAATCAACGCCCGAAGCCCGGCCGGGTCGCTTCCGGATTTGTCCTAGAGCAGGATGTCGATTACACGGTGCCAAATCAAACCCCTGTCTCCGCGCGCCCCGCTCACGACACTCGCGCAAAGGATACGTTGCGAGCTACGTCGTGCGCATAGCGGATGTTCAAGCTGCTTCAGGTTCTACTCGACAGTGCTGATCGCGAGCAACATCGAGGCGTTTCTCACCCTTTATTAAATACCTCGATAGTTCAGTCTCCGCATTCGGTACTAGGCTTCGACTCCGGAATAACTTGAAGCCTCGGTGAGGAGAATGCGGGAGACCGTCTGACACCGAGCTCGTGGATCACCAGGTCCATATCTGCTTCAGTCAGACTCAGGGCCTGTGATCATGATACATATTACCTTGTTTACTATCAGAAGGTCACTCACAATTTGTAAAATAAAATGATTGTGGCTGAACGATAAAGTTATGCGACCGTAGAAAGTATATGATACCCATTGAATCGTACATGCCAATAGACAGAACCACACGATAAACGGTAAACAAGGTTCCTACTAGTACCGACGAAGTTAGGCCCTTTCCTCTGCTCAAATCTTCTACAGTGACATACTGACTCGGACATCGTCCATTTCGTGCTTTAGTTATCATGATGGACCTCTGGGGTCACTGGGTGCGGTCCATAGTAGTAGTGGGTCACCCTGGCCAGTCAGAATACGTTCTTCAGACCATGGACGTTCACCGTTCAAGTCTGTCCAAAGAATTCAAGTTGAAAGACCTCCACGAATCACGATACACCAGGGGAACCATTCGCCGAAGTCCCGCAGGAGTGGCATGATATTTGGCGAAGACAACTCTTTCTTTGGTAATGTAATGTCTGTATTCTCAGTACTCAGACTTGTGTGATAACAACCAGCCCAGATTTGCCCAGGCGCATTCTTTCCACCACTCTGGGCCCAACCTGACAGATTTATTTACCCAATTTTCAAAGAGTGAAGGGGGCTCTGGGCCTAGCACGCCCATCGGGACTATCAACAGGGCATTCCGCGGCTTGGAAGGGGGGTAAGTTAATGGTATACCCAATATCCGTATTTCAAAATGTTGTCAGGGGGAGCAACGATCTTCTCCGCAGATTTTCACTGATACAGGTTCTGACAGATCATACCGCTGAGGTTCCAATCATACTGATCTGGGGGCGTACCGCAGTTGATAGGACAATATTTCACGCCACACGCCCAGACCTAACACCGCAGAAGCCCACTCTTAGCAAGTAAATGTATTTCAGTGGCTCCATCATTACGATTCTTTTGATTCATTGCGCGGTATTAACTGTCATAAATGGTGTTTGCGGCGGCTACTCAGTCGCCGAGGGTTCTGATGGGGTTGGTTATCAATGTCTGACTACTTACCAAGACCTTCGGAGGATTTGATCTGGTGGAGTTCAGGAGAATTAAAGTAAGTACTCGTGGAGTATCTCATTTCATCGTACTGCTTTATCGGGCGACGTTGCAATTAGCGAAGTACAACAAGTTTATTGATGCAGATATGATATAAGACAGCTACAAAGTGATAAGGATAACGTCATGTAAAAACTACCTGAGAATGTCAGTAACCTTCTCCAACTTCACATAAGGTCTCCAAGAATAATTTCAGGTCTTCCTGCTCGATTTCGAGCACGCTGGCATCAAAGGTACTGTGGCGTGACCGCGCATTGCAGCGTTGTTTTGCTTCGATGAATGCTAGACCGAACTCGCTGAAGTGAGGTGAACCATGTAAATAATACTTGAACGAGAACGTGTGAACGTCTGACTTACTTTCTCCTGACATCCCCAAAGTCAAGCGCCCCCATGATACCAACTACAACGTACGTCTGCGTCCTTTCATTCAGGCAAGCGACAACAAATGGGAGCGACTTCTTTCCTCTTCCTTGGAGGCCGCCAATTTTTGTTCCTGGGAGGCGGTCACGAAGCGCATCCACTAGCCAAAGTCCTAGGCGCGCGAGAACCCCGGGATGGGCGAAGAGAGCAAGATCAGGCCCTTGTGAGAGTACCACGACGCGATGGGAGCGCATCGTTCGAATGTCCTGCTTGTCTATTATCGAGGTCCCTTGCCGAATAATAGCACGGTGAAGTGACATTGCAAGTGACAAAGCGTCTCTCAGGGGTACAATGCTAAACACAGTTATTCCAGAACACATGTCAACGGAAGGAACGAGCACTTACTCTGACAGAGCATCATAAGCAGCCCAGAAATTCTTCACCCACCATGTCCTTTCCTTTCGCTCTTCGCCGTCGACATCTGCATCCACATCGTCATCCCCATCCTTTTGTCTGCTACCGACTTCTATTCGCTTCTCCCGCTTCTCCTCCCCGTTCCGCCCTCCTTCCCATAGTCTCCCACCACCGAACCACTCACCCCCGTGCCGTGCGCCTTCAACCTCGACCTCCATCCTGATGCCACCTGCAACGTCGAGCAATGCGCTCACTGCTTCCACAGCGTCCGCTGCACCGAGAGGGGAAGCGCGGTACCCAAAGCATCTTGCAAAAGACGGATACGTTAACTCAACAAGGCCATATTCCGGCGCAATTGAGTCAAGTTTCGCACGTAGCTGGTGCTTCAAGTCAAGATCCATGTGTGCATAGGGCTGCTGCGTCTGCGGGATAGAGAACCTACGGAGGAAGAGTTTCAGCCGTGACAAATAAAGGATGCAAGAAAGTGTACCCCATCTTCGCGAGCAGCCCGGTGAGGCGCTTCCGTCCACGCTCTTTCCATATGCCAAGCTTGCCCGCGACGTAGCTTGAGTGGTACATTGCGTCGTACAGCGTCCAATGTCGGAAAAGCATAAAACGCAACTCTTCAGCTGCCCGTACAGATAGATCGTCTGGGCTCATGGCTGTGATGGCATCTGTCGCATTAGCGGCAACATCTGGCGGGAGCGGGTTCAGGCGGAAAACTTCGTCGTAATATATTGAATGATATTTGTCGTAGCTGTCGCGGGATATTCGAGCGGTGGTATACTGGAACGTGAGTCCAAGGATCGCAAGCCTGAAGGACAATTCTCGTAAATCAAGACATGGGAGATCGACAAGCGGTTTACCAGAGTAAATCACAGTCCACTCGTTCAAGAACAGTTGCAAGGATGTACATTGTTGCAGATGCACTTTGACCATACCACGACCCGCTGCCGTAGTATTTGGCGATAAGTTTGTGATGTGTTTCGCGTTGTTCTCGCGACAGCCGAGTAGATTGCTTAAATCATGTGCTTAATAATAAAGCGACGATGCATTGGGTGAAGATTGAATAATGACTCACGTCGTCTAGCTTCCGCCGCTTCTCTTGACTTCGATCGCCGTCTCCCAATGATCTCCTCTTCCCCGAGGGGCCTCGCTCAGAGAACTCTTCGTCATCATCAGAATCATCACCTTCATTTGATCGCGCGCCATCTTCATCGTCCAACTCGGAGTCTTCATCAGAATCAGGTTCAGGTTCGTACTACATCCAAGTCAGTAGGAGGCGCAGTGTGCTGATCATCATATTCACCGTTAGAGCTTCCCAAGCCTTTCTTTCCTCTCCCATATTCTCTGCTTCACCGTCATCCCATACGATAAATCTCTCGCCATTCTCACCTCCAGCAAACATGTTCGCAAGGTTCTGTGGCCGGTTTGAGTCTATGATGTGCACCGTGAGCTTCATGCCGAATTCGCCGAACCAATTCTCGGATGAGAGGTCAAGGATAGCACCCATGTTTAATAGAATGAGTGTGTGTAGCTTTCGAGTATTCAGCTAGTTGGTGCACCTTCGATGACAATACACGCACCTCCGCATATGTAGCCAACTCGTCTTTCATTCGTTCAAGGTCGGCCAGGCCCGAAACGGGAATTATTCTGTGCATAACATCATCCTGTTTGAGGAGTTCCGCAAGCATTTTTGCTGCACACAATGCATCAACATCGGGAGCGACGAGGATTATGACAGACGAAGCAGATGTAAGCGGCGAGCGCCGGTGTGCTACCAGAATGTTTCCGTAGGCCTCAGCATATGCAGGTCGTGAGGCAGATGCGAGGTGCGGTGGTGGAAGAAAGACCATAAGACCGAAGAAGTGTGCGAAGAACGACTTGTGTCTTCGTGTTCGAAACAGACGTTAATCATTGTACGCGTCGCGTCGCGTATGACAACACGTGCCGTCACACCGTGGGTCTGTCACAAACGCGATATGATAATATTCATGTTCCTTTATCATTCTGCAGTGACAACTACAATTGTGCAAAGCTCCAAGCGACATGATAAGATAGCAACTACATTATGTAACGTCCCAGCGTTTACGAGTTGAACGTTGAACGCTAACATTATAGAACTCATACATTGCTACAAAGGACACTAAAATACAAGCTAGTGTACAACATCCCAAGTAAATCCAGTAAATATCCGTGACGTATCAGAATGAACAGCGTCCACAGGTGAACATCGGCAATAGTTAGTTATAAAAGGACTCGAGCCCAAGAGCCATTAGCAAAACCCATGCGTCACCTTCAGCATAATATTCCATGAGGAATTATCCTCACTTCCTGCTCACAGGCTTGAAGAAAGAGGAATCAGAAGTGTAGTATAGCATACGCAGATGCGTCAAATACATCCGATTGCCAGTCAGACTAGAGTCATCTAAAAACATCGCTCTTCGGAACCATTGGTGACTACACGCGATACATTGTCTGTACGAACTCGATGGCTAGGATCCAGTGCAGCAGGTCCAGCAGACACCAAGTTCGACGGGATACCACCCTTCCGCGCACTGAGGTTCCTCGGGAAAGCATGCCAATTGACAGATTCCAGTGGTGCTATCAGTAGCGGCATTCACCCCAGCGACAGCGGCGAGAATTGCAAGAATGGCGAATTGAATAGACTTCATGGTATCTGGTATGCGAGTTTATTTAGTAATGATCGTCAGTGTCAGTGCGAGGACACCACACACCGACAAAAGTTTGAATGTGCGGTTGAGTACGCAAGGGAGCTATAGCAACTTGAAGTCCAGGAAAAGCTGCACTGTGGATGACGTCGATTGAGTGAAACAGATACAGCCGCAGCGTTGCCCGCATGCAAGGCCACTCACCAAATGTTTCAAGTCGTTTGTTCTGAGGATTTTGCCATAGTACGATCGCGTTCAATTTATATTTCTTGCTGTTGGTGCAGAATGATGGAATTCGCTAGGACGCTGACCGTCAACCGCGCCAGAGGCAGTGGTTCTACTTCAAATTGACGAGACCGGAACTCTGAACATGCCGAACCGCTTCAATGTAAAACGTTCCCTCACGTGTGCCTACGCGTGCTTACGTCATGAAATGGAACTTGTCACGTTGCAATTGCAAACCGAATTCAAATATAATGGCTGCATCTGGCATCGACCTTCCATGTTATCAGTTGGATCTTACTCGGCTCCTTCATAGTACCCTGTTATCAGTTGGACCTTACTCAGTTCCTTCGGACAACTTCAAACCTTGAGCAAAGTCCAGACAACCTCATAGCATTTACAATGACTCGGAACTTGAAGACCCCTAGACTTCTACTCAACATTGTGGGATGTTCAACGTTCAACATTCGACTTTGACCATAGCCATGCATGTTTTTCCTGTTATAAATCCTCAGTTATATCGCGACCAGATGCGGCCTATTTGAATTCGGTTCGCAACGTGACAAGTTCCATTTCATGAGGTGAGCACACGTGAAGTAGACGTTTTACATTGAAGCGGTTCGGCGTGTTCAGAGTTCCGGTCTCGTCAATTTGAAGTAGAACCACTGCCCTGGCGCGGTTGACGGCCAACGTCCTAGCGAATTCCATCATTCTGCACTAACAGCAAAAAATATAAATTGAACGCGGTCGTATGGCAAAATCCTCAGAACAAACGACTTGAAACATTTGGTGAGTGGCCTTGCATGCGGGCAACGCTGCGGCTGTATCTGTTTCACTCAATCGACGTCGTCCACAGTGCAGCTTTTTCTGGACTTCAAGTTGCTATAGCTCCCTTGCGTACTCAACCGCACATTCAAACTTTTGTCGGTGTGTGGTGTCCTCGCACTGACACTGACGATCATTACTAAATAAACTCGCATACCAGATACCATGAAGTCTATTCAATTCGCCATTCTTGCCATTCTCGCCGCTGTCGCTGGGGTGAAGGCCGCTACTGATAGCACCACTGGAATCTGTCAATTGGCATGCTTTCCCGAGGAACCTCAGTGCGCGGAAGGGTGGTATCCCGTCGAACTTGGTGTTTGCTGGACCTGCTGCACTGAATCCTAGCCATGGAGTTCGTACAGACAATGTATCGCGTGTAGTCACCTATGGTTCCGAAGAGCGATGTTTTTAGATGACTCTAGTCTGACTGGCAATCGGAAGATCTATATGTATTTGATGCATCTGCGTATGACGCAGCTGTTGCAGGCACAGCCGATGAGATAGTAACTACATCAAATGGCTACAAAATTTAACAAACACATAGAAGAGATGCGACAGGGAAAACACATTGATGAGAGTTAGCTAGTGACACAGCCACCAGATTTGAGGCACACTGTCCTAGCGTGGCGTCCCAGGCGGGAACAGTGTTTCTGTTGAGCACCTTCTGCGGGCGCTGGAGATGGAAGATGCGACATGCATGGAGCTTTACAGGCTCGAGGGATTTGCATGCCTTCTGACGCCGAGTCACGACATCGCTCGCACAACAAGTAATGGCGATAGTGACATCGACAGGATGTAGTATAGTGGATCGTCTCAGTGTGGCAGCTTGAACAACCCTGAATTCTGCAGGAAACATTCGCACGAACCTTGACACCATGCCAGTCAAAAAGATGCGACCCCTGCCCATCTCGAAGTTATGGTCTCCATATACATATATATGAACAGGGGCCACAAAGCGGATCAGTCAAGTCACATAATTGTACGCACATCAACTCTGCAAAGTTCCTTCGTAACAGTGACGAACGGACTGCGGTAGGAATCATCAATTTCCTTCACACCGTACTTTCGTATTCGAAGAACGCTACCCTGAGCATCAGGAATCCTTCGGCCACTGAGTACTGATGTCTCTACGAGTCGGGGTCGACACGAGGCTCGGGCCGCTCAACCATGCCAGTGGTGACACTGGCGTCGGCGTCGGTGCATGTGCCAAACTTCATTGCTCGGGTTGCACCCCTCCTCACGCATCTGCACTTGCGTGCTGGTGGTGGTGGTGGTGAATTCCTTACTTTCCGTATCATTAGCAGTGAATCAACAAACACCTTATTCCGTCAGAGTTGGGGCATACAGAGTAACAGTGTCTGGAACCATCTTCGCATGCATGATACATTATAGTGCCAGAATGTGCGTGACCAGTGGATTCCGTCTGTAAGTGAGCGTTTTGCCCTTGGAAGGGGGGAGTGAATGTGTCCTAACGTCGGAAGCGACATTAGTATATCTTGTAAATGCACCGGAGACCTGGAGAAACAACTGAGCTATAGTGGACACTCAGTTGGGGTACTTCAAAGGAGGAAACACACACAATTCCGTATGGAACCCACTGCTTTGAATCATTATGTGTACATCAATGCCTAAGAAAACAGACTTGCTACAGTACTACTGTACTGCGCTCAGATGTCTCGTAAACCTGGACGTTGTGTAACAATGAAGTAAGCATTGGTGTTCTTCACTACGGGCCAGATTACATGTACTGGAGTAGTACAACTCCGATAAGATTCCCAGAACGGGAACATTGGCATTCTCGTTGAGTATAGTCATGGCACACTCATGTACCATGCGCTTGAGAATAGCTGAAAGTTGCTGGTAGAGAAATAGCAGATATGAAAGCACAGAGCATCACCGTTGTAGAGGTCTGACTCGGATATATGAGGTGAGTCGCATTTTTAGAAATCTATAAACGCGAAAAGACACTTACCTTTGCTGCCTATTGTGTCATCAGACCCAGTGTAGTTCTTGCCTTTGACGTGAGGATGGGAGGGCATGATATCATCATTTAGCAAAGCGCCACAATACTTTTTTGATGGAAATCACCAACCATGATTCGACGTTATCGTGTATTGAAAAATGCTGTGAGCTAACCGGAGAGCCCGCAGCTTGCAAAACACTCATTTTAATGCGAGATGAGGGCAGCATGCGGCTCATTGCTAGAGGTCAACGAACAGCTCTATCAGTCACGATGATTGAATAAGGAAAAATGGGGTACATCATGATCACATAAAAATATTGCCTTATGAGAGTCGCATAAGCGATGTGCGTGTCGCCTTTGATATCAAAGGCCCATCAAGATGCATGCATAACGCGAGGCTTGTATTGATATGAGAATAGTCCGAGCACCAGCGGTAGGCATTGTTTTGGTTTATTGTCGAAAGCTTCCGGGAATATCCCTATTTGGGACCGCGGTTTAATAGCTTCCATTTGGGAGAAAGCCGCGTGCCCTCCATACGTTCAGCACGCATCCACGAGGTACTTAAAGACCGTCTCTGTGTCTGTTGACCACACTCACAGCCGCCATGGCGTACGAGCCAAGGCCCTCAACTGACCAAGGTATGATTCTAGTCAGTCAAGTATGATTTATGTTTGTTACTTACATCGAGAACAGAGTCTGCACCTCTCTTGCGAGGTGGAGATGATGATCCTCCGCAAAGCGCCCAGTCACGCTCTCCCCACCCATCTATGTCCCGAAGAATTGCCGACGTCGTCCAAGAACCACTCACTGGTCTCACTAAAGTACTGCTTGTTGAAGTCCTCATATTGCTCCTCATAAGTTCCGTCTTTATTGGCCTATTCGCTGGTGCACAACATAAACTGAATCTGCGAAATGGTACTCCTGGTGGTGGAGTTGGAGATGGAGGTGGAAGTAATACTACCCTGACCAAGACCGCAACAGCTACAGTGACTCACACGACTACTGCTGCAACGACTAAAATCTCTGGCATTGTGACTACCACTGCGCTGTCTACGAAGTTTTCTACGGTCTTCGGCACATCTACAGCGACCAAAATTGCGACGACTACTTCTACAAAAACATCTGTTTCTACCTCGGTTTCCACTTCCACTTACACAAAGACAGATGTTCACACGCACACAGTGATCGTCGGGCCAGAACCCACAGGACCTCCCGAGAATCCCAACCCTCCGGCGCCTCCATCAGTAGGTCTATTTGCATGTGGTTGAACCGTGCCTCACCATCTACAGGATAAGTGCCTCACTCCGAATTGCATCATCGTGGCTGCTTCCATTCTATCTTCCCTGGACACATCGCAAGACCCTTGCGAAAATTTCTATGATTTTGCAAGTAAGTCAGCACGTGGTTTTGTATTGTGTCCGCTGCATTGCTTAATTACAACATCAGACGGTGGTTGGATGGCCTCGCACCCCATTCCGGGTGACAAGGGTGCCATCAATTCGTTTTCGGTTCTTTCGGAACAGAACGCGCACGTTATTCTCAAATTACTTGAGGGCGACTCATCTATTCAAGACAATTCGTGGGATGATCAACTGCTTCACAAGATCCGTATACTGTACACTTCATGCATGGACGAGGCGCGGCTTGATTATCTTGGCCAGGAGCCATTACAGAAGTTCGTCAACACGATTCGGAAGCTTTACAGAGGGAAGACTACCCAAGGATATACCATGAGTCCGAGACAGGGCTTATCCAACGCCTTGGGTTACCTGCACTCTCGAGGTAAGAGTCGTTTGTGTGACCTTATATTGCCTGTTCGCTCATGCCACGACTTAGGTGTCGACGCACTTTTTGAATTTAGCATTGAAGGTGACTCTGGTGCTGACCCGAACAATATGATTCTGTGGTTCAGTCAACCCAGCCTGGGACTCCCCTCCAAGGTCAGCTCCCGGAGTCTTAGACATTTCAACACGTCTAACAAGTATTAGGAGTATTACAAGGACAAGAGTGTTCTCACCGTATATCAGGACGTCATCGAGCGCCTCCTGTCATCCTTGAGAGATGACCAAGTTCTGAGTCAAGAGAACCCAGGAATCATCCTCCAGACGGAAGAACTCGAAGACAGCGAGCATGTCTGGCCCCCCTGGCCATGGCCACCTTGGGATGAAGAAGGCGACGACGACGACAAAGATGATGGTCGGGAACATAGTCCTGAAGATCCTTTTGAGAACGCTCGCGAGCTTGCGCAGAAGGTTGTCAAGTTTGAAACTGAAATTGCGGACGCGACACTTGACCTGTAAGCTGATTCACGTCCCACCATTGGCAGGCTCTCACTGGTTATATCGCTATCAGTGACAAGCTGCAGCAAGATCCATTCGGCACGTACAACCCAACCAGCATCAACACACTCAAGGCCGAGCTCTCGCAGATCAACTTCCCAGACTATTTTGCCACGTTCACGCCTCGTTCCTTCCCAAACCGTGTTATCATCACGTACAAACCTTACCCGAATTCCCTGTCGGAAATATTGAAGAAGACGCCAGCAGATGTCATCGAGGCATATCTTGTTGTGCGCGCATCGTTGGAGTATGCTCCCAACCTAGGTCGGACCACTCAGGCTTGGAAGGCTGTGAGAACTCTGCAAGAGACCTTGTATGGCCTCAAGCCTGGCGTAGTTGGCGAACGCTCCCAGTTTTGCATGACGCAGGTCGACACTGCTTTGGGTTTCGGTACTGGAAGATATTTTGTGAACCAGACATTCCCTGGCGAATCAAGGGAAAAAGCGACCCAGGTCATTGATAGTCAGTTAAGAAGAAACTTTTGGCTTCGGAATGCCACTGACTTTTCATTGGCCAGACATCATCGATGCCTTTGAGAGATCCCTACACCGCATCGAATGGATGGACGAGGAGTCTGCACGTAAAGCTGCCGAGAAAGCCGAAGCTCTTCGCGTCAAGGTTGGCTTCCCTCTATCCCCAGACACGCGTGATCCACGTTCCCTTGTCTCCTACTACACCCTCGTGAAAGTACATGTGGATACCTTCTTTGAAAACATGCTCAGTGCTGCGTATGTAACAATATCTGCTCAAATCAAGTACTGACCATATGCTATACAGCTCCTCCGACATGTACAAGATGTGGCAGAAAGTCGGCAAGCAGAGAAATCCTGACGAGTGGGAGATGACACCAGCAACTGTAAATGCTTACTATAATCCTCCTGCCAATGAAGTAAGTGAATTCGTACGGTCAAGGTGCTGGACTGACAAAGAACAAGATCGTCTTCCCAGCTGGTATCTTACAACCTCCTTTCTTCTCCGAGAGCTGGTATGAATACATGTCATCATTTCCCAGCCTCTTCTCATTCACGCTTTCATGTATAGGCCTGGATATCTCTCCTACGGCTCCTTTGGAATGGTAGCTGCGCATGAATTGACTGTAAGTTCGCCACATTACACTTTCCATAAGCACTGGCCTAAGTATTATTAGCACGCATTTGACTCCTCAGGTCGTCTTTACAACCAACAAGGAAAACTCGAAGAGTGGTGGTCACGCCAGACCAGCGACGCGTACCAGATTCGCCAGGACTGCATCGTAGAGCAATACTCCTCGTATACAGTAGAGGATGGCAAAGGAGGGATCATCCACGTCAATGTATGTCACATTATGCTCCCTTTGTATAATGATTGACCAGTTGATCCACAGGGAAATCTGTACGTGCATGGTCATGGGGTTTAACCTTGTTCACGTTACTAATTGATGACTTTCAAGTACCTCCGGCGAAAACATCGGAGACACAGGTCTGATTCAGGCGTATCGGGCTTGGAAGGCGCAATACGAGGAATCATACGATGCCGGAAAAGAATACCTACTTCCCGGCCTTAGCTACACTCGGTTCGTGATACTTGATTTATTAATGAAATGCTCGGGCACTGATGGCAAGCTTTAGGGAGCAGCTATTTTTCATCTCGTTTGCCCGTACATGGGCGATGAACATCAGTCCTGCTGACACAGTAAGTGTTCTATCCATCTCAACACCCATTTCAATATAATCTTGCAACAGGTTCGACGTGTCCGGTCTGATCCTCATTCGCCGAACCGTTATCGCACAGAAGGCACTGTCTATAATATTCCGGAGTTCGCAGAAGCCTTCAAGTGCTCAAAGTATGCCAAGGCAAGTGCAAGTGCATGAGACACGGACTGCTGCTAACACAATATTTGACAGCTTAATCCACCAAAGGAGAAGAGATGTATCTTTTGGTCTTGATCTGCTGGTTTTCGATGCTTCGTTCCGATGACATCTGCTTCCTTTGGTTAATATGTGGTCCGAACACTGTAGTCTGTACATTATCTATTGCGAGCATTTCTTTATCCTTTTATACCCGTTGTGCATCAAGATCGCAGGGTTCAAGCTGATGCTAAATTTATCTTGTCACAGAACTCCTTTAGTACTCGGAATATCGTCGCCACCAGTGCGTTCGATAGCTTGTCTGATCGCAAGGGCAAGTGCCTTGAATGCAGATTCGGATCTGTAATTGTTGACTGAGTTCTGTCGCTGGAATAACAGACATTGGGCAAACACACCTGTGGTGATCGTTTTCGCCCCGTAGGACGTCGACATGAAGAGTCGCACCAGAAGCTATGGCAAAAGAATAGAATATATGAGGGATCATTTCCGTCGACAGGTCTCCTATTTTCTCCCTCTTTAAGCCTAAATCAGTGACACAGTACGGCCTAGAGCAGATATCAATAACGGCTCGAGAGAGCGCCTGGAAAGTGTCAAATGAACATGTGCATCACTGCGTATCGGTCACTCACCTCATCTAAGGGTGCAAATCCAGTTCCGTATCGACGAATCCCGCGGACTTCACCAAGAGCTTGCTTGAAAGCCGTTCCGAGGGCAATCGCACTATCCTGTGGATGCCGCGGATGTATTGGTCAGCTATTCCTGAGCACATGTTAGAATACTCATCTGCTGTGTGATGGTCATCGATCCATAAATCGCCTTTGCATTTCATAGTGAGAGACATCCCACCATGCTTTGCCAAGGCATGGTACATCTGGTAAACTCAATCAGCCGGAGTTTGGTGTCACAAAGATATCATTCATACATGATCCAGAAAACCAATTCCCGTTGAAATCTCAATTACCTGAGCAATTTGAGATCCAGGAGTACAGTCGAGGTTGATAGATACTTCTATCTGTGTCTCGTTAGTCTTTCTTGAGATCGTAGCTGTTCGTGCTGCCATGTCGATCAACTAAGAGTCACGGTGATTGGTCACCCAATTGGGAATTGGGGGCTTCGGACAACAAGAACAAACAACCGTCTAAAAGATCTTGAACAACAAGCATCTACTTATGGCTCCTCCGCTTCTTCACTCAAGGTCAGCACTGCGAGCTGTCCTTGGGCCACAGTCCCGTCAACGATTGTTATGTGCCAACCGGCCTAGGACTAGGACCCTTTTTAATTTTTTTCGCAGGTCTGCCAAGCCAGCACAAGAGGAATCTGTTCCGTTGCTAACCGAGGACAACTTATTTCATCCGTTCTCGAAATCTCCATTTCCTGCAATACGCGCTCGCGGAGAAGTTATACAGTCATTGGCCAAATGTCCAGTGTGCGCTTCAGGTCATTGCAGCACTCATGTGCATACAAAATCGCAGTCTCTCGCAGTCAAATTTGAATGCCCCGACTGTGGTTTCCCGACTCATTGCTCACAGGAGCATTGGATGGCTGATCAAGAGCACAACAAATACTGCTCTAGACTTCGAGAAGTTAACGAGGATGACCATGATCTTCGAAGTGGTCGAAAGTTCCGTGAATTTGAGATGCCCGGTGCGTCATCCGGTCTTCCACTTTGGACATTCTAATTAATTCACTTACTAGGACCACAGGCTTACGAGGAGGCTATATCATTCGCAAATTGGGACGTCTTTTGGTATACACGCGGATTCCCCTCCATGGACACGGAACGTTCAAGAAGACATGCCAGCAAAATTCTTACCTATCCGCTCACTATTGGTTCTATTCTTCATCAAAATAGTGGACTGACTCTAAGCAACCAAAGAATTACACCTGAAGGAAGTCGCTCACTAGCAGGTAAGTATCTACTATATATTTCCAGATTTGCCCTCAAAATCCACATCCAGCACTGCGCACCACGCTGCATGTCCCTCCTGGAGCACCTGATACAGAGGAGGCTGGTGCCTCAAAGCCTCAGATGCGCATATTCATCCTCGGCGCTCGCGCTGAGTCCTCTTTACCTCCGCATGCCTGGGAGCAACTTTGCATGTTGTTCCCGTCCTGTCATTTCCACCTTTTCTTTATTGGACCACAAGTCTCTTTGCCAAGACCGGCTAATTCTCCCCCTCCGAAGCCTCCAAATGAATCTGCAACGAAAGAGGATACTATCATCAACCAATCTGCGGCAGAAAATGCATCCACGACGCACACGTCCACCGACACTTCCAAGCAGCGGGAGGAGGATAAACCAATTTATGTGCCGAACGTCTATGAGCCTCCAACACCAGCACCTATCGCGCGCCTCAAGCGCACACGAACATCAGTCGAACTCTATGGCGTTCCTTCTTACACTGTCCCTTATACCCCTCAGCTCACCATTACTGGTCTTCAGGCGAACTATGCTGAAGTTCACGCACAATTTCAGGATACCTTTGATCCCTACACAGACGCGTTCTTCTTGTTCTCCCCTGGTTTTGGCTTCCCGTCACCCAACTCTGTATCCGAATTAGATGGCAAGCCCTACTTGCAAATCGCTTCCCCAACAGAATGGGGCCCCGTCATACCAGCCTTACTCGCAACGCGTTGTGCTATCTACGTAACAGGTTTTTCCCCTGCAGACGTCGAGAGAGATATTCGTTCCATTGAGACTGCACCAGATGTCGCTGGTGATTTCGAGTGGGTGATTACTCCGGGCGAGAATGCATTTGGGAGCGAAAAATGGGAGGTCGCAGACTTTGACCCCAGAGTCATGGTGAAGACGAACTGGGGTGTTTGGGGCATCAGGGGCAAGGGCCGAGAAGTGAGGGAGCGTGGCTCTTTCAGCTTATTCTAGAGTGTACTGTCTGATAATATGATCAATCGTCCCAGACCACAACTCACTAATGCATTCATCAAGACAAGGTATGTCACATCTATTGCATGAAGAGACTAGACGTACGTACATTCCAAAGAATCCCAGGTTGACCCCGAATCCCCATTGCTGCAGTATCTTACAAAGATGGGATGCCCCTGTCTCCGGGACCGGTATCATCGAAAGTCCAAAAGATGAGTATAGACCGACGGGGAAGGACTTATATATGGCTCATCAGGCGAGGAAATTGATCGCGTCTGCTCCACAGTTGAAACACGAACCCAGACCGTGGCCTACTCTAACTCGGAGTTGGTTTGGTTCCGAGGACCGACATGAAGTGTCAAGATTCATACATATCAGTATTCCGGTCCAGTACCAAAACCCCCCTAACACTATCACCTAGATCTAGAGAATAAGAAATCAATTATTCAGTAGTTTTCCCCATCCAGATCGATCGAAGGAAGAATCACTGGTTTTTACCTTCTCTTCTAGCGGGTGAACGTGCATGCCGGACAAAACGCACAAGCAGTCATACAGTGGTCCAGCGAGCATGACATTGAGAGCTTAAACGCAAGTGGTGTCTGGCAAAGAGCTGAGAACTACCTCCGTGCAGCAAACAGGGGTATATAACACGAACGACGAGCTAGACGGACAGTGCAGTGACAGGGGATGTTATTTCGAACTATTTCATTATGTCGCTTCAGGTTTCTATTGCAAAGTGGCCGGGTGAGTGGTAACCGATAGTAACATTGAAGGTCAAGATCCGGGATTGGGCAGGGTCAGACGGTAAGTAGTAAGTACCACTGATCACCCGACTGACTTTTCATATCTAGTGACAGTGATACTCCCGCCGAGTCCTCTTATTCGGAACCGGTTTCGCTTCCAAGTTGGAACAAGTTCATGGGCCCAAGTATATAATGGGTCTCCGTAGGACATCCATCCAGCAGATCTATCGTTGGACGTTTATTTTTCCGCATATAGTTTCTGTGCAAACTACATCAATTCGAGTAAGCCCCACTAATCTGCTATGAGTTTTCTTGATTTAACTTGATGATATAGTCAACATGTCTTCAGTTCAAAGCGGCGACTCGGACATAAACTGTCTCGAACCCAATGATCGTGCTTCAAATACGGTCAGCCCAATGTGTCAGCTCTCATTATACTGTCACTTAAGTAGCTTAGACTGGACTTGAAGTAAAGGTCTCTCCTGAGCCCTGTGAGGTCTTCCAGCAAGTTTTCGCGTTGTCCATGGCCTCAAACGCTCTCTATACCTTGAAAGGAGATCGTGACGCTCTCCTAAACTGCTTGCAGGCCAAGCTACCCGGTATCATCTCAGCTATCGGTGGCCAGTGGAAAGTAGTATGGGGCCCGGTGATATGGAAAGCTCGGCCAGACGATGCAAATACCGGGCCTGACAATACATGGTTTGTCGCACATAGCCCGAGCGTCACCTTCGATGACGGCAGCACACGTGAGGCATACGTAGTAGCTGTCGCTGGGACAAATGCCAACTCGATTTATGGCTGGTATGAAAACCTTGCAGTAGGCAGGGTAGTGGATTTCACCGCATGGGTGACAGGCGGAATCACTCAACTTCCGGTGCCAGTGAACAGAGGAAGCATCGTTCCGACCGGGACATACGTAGCATATGGGACGGCCGCCGCTGCACACACCCTGCTTACTGAGCCTTCCCCTCCAGCCTCAGCCTCTGCGGGTCTCAAACTCCATGAATACCTGACTAATATACTTGCGCCAGATTCAACGAGAGTGGTGTTCACGGGACACAGTCTCGGCGGGACCCTGTCTCCTACGTTAGCGCTTGCGCTTGCCGGATCGGGTGCCCTGAAAGGCGAGGGGCTCGTGTATGCCACCGGGGGATCGAGCCCCGGCAATAGGAGCTTCGCGAATCTCTTTGCACAAACTTTCCCGGCGTCCAAGAGCACATGCCCTGACACTGGGTATGCAGTCTGGAACAAAAATATCATCAACTCTCGGGATATCATACCACAGGCGTGGTGCACGAAGCGAATACTCTCACCTGCGCAGAACGTGAACAACATACCGTCCATATACGGTGTTCCAACTATACGATTCATCGAATTGGTCGTGTTTTGGTTCAAAGCCAATGTCAATAAATCACACATCGTGTACGCCCCACTCCCAAGCCACATCCTGTTGGGCGTAAAGCCTGAAGAGGCCCCTGGAAACGTGGCTGAATTTCTGAGTGTCGCATTGGCGAATCACAATACATTTTATAGCGATGTGTTTGGCGTGCAGTTGCCAGATATAGAGTGCGAAGAGCTCACAAAGAAGACGGAGGAGGAGATATTACTTGAATATCCTGTCATTGGAGACATCGAGTGGGGAAAGGAACACCCTGGTGAAGTGGAGGCTGCAGTGGCTGCCCTGCAGGCAAGCGGCGTACTCGACGACAATGAGGAGTGAAGGGTTCAGGTATTCGAATGGGCCTAGGAGCGAACACACGATACGCAGTCTGTATGTACGATACGTTTTGTTGAGGGCGATGGTGAAACTGAATGATGAGACGCTGCTTACCACAACTACAAGGCTCGTTCAAGACGTCCACAGTAGACTCATACAGCAACTTCAGAGCGCTGTGAAAGCCTTCCAAACGTGCTTGCGTGAGTGCAGAACTAGTCTATAGGATTAAGATCACATCCATGCCAGGAGGCAGGGTCTCTGTGAAATAGCGAGTAGCTATAGATGAGGCATTTCACAACTCGATCAAAACCTCACGCAGCAGCGTAGCCCTAGTAGTGAATTATTGGCGTCCTAGCGGTCAGCAGAGCCATGGACATTCAGATAGCAAATATCTGGCTAGCGTTCGGATTTAGCGAGCTGACAGTCAGAGAGGTCATTCGCTGTGGACGGTGTTGGACCTACTGCTAAGCATTAATGAGTCCGGTCGATTATAGCCGTGGAAAAAATCAGCACAGCCTCGCACTTTTCAGGTGTGTTCGACGGAAGCTCAGGCTTTCACCTAACAGTCCAGTGAGTCAGAGTGCTTGACAACCTGTCTATACTAGTGCAGCACATCATCGTGACAAGTTCACTGGAATCAGCGCATTTTCGGAGTGCGGCAATCCTGCAGTGCTGCTCTCCGCGTCTGCCAATCTCCGAAGTTAGCAGCCTGTCTCTACGTGCTCGGGATTACATCTCCCTGCAGCTTTATGATTAATCACCGCATTCAAATGTCGAGCAGCAGCTGCCTTTGCACGGGCAGCCTCCAAGTTGCGGTGCTCATTCCGTACTAGTGAGGAGTGAAGCTCGATCCTTTCGTGCGCAACAATTAACTCCTTTCTGAATGATGCAAGACGAGCTCGCAACGAGACTGTTGTGCTAGTTTCATTGGAAAGTAGTGTTGTCCTCTCCTCAAGTTCTTATTTGTGCTGATGAACCTCGAGGATGGCCTCATTAAAGCGAGATATTATGTCCGCAAGCACAAGTACTAGCATTATGTATCTCTGGACTCGTTGTACGGGACAACAACTTGAATGCCTTCGCTCTGAGCCCATATTCTCCTTCTCGATGGCCTCGATTTGTTGCCGTGCATGTAGAAGCTGCTTGAGATATGCAGGTGAATACTTTTTTTCGTTTACTTAGAAGTTGCTTTGAGCTGAGCATTTTGGGAAGCAGTAGATGATGAGTTTTAGAGAAGAGGCGCAAGGGACAAACCGACCATTTGAACACAACGTTTGCAGCTAGACGAGGCAGCGCAGTCTCGATACCTAGCCTTGGCAGAGTGATTAGCTCAGACACGCCCCACAGAAGCCGCTACCAGCACGGATATAATATAAATTCGGCAAAATCAAGATTGTCTATTCGGCCATGCGACATTCTGCGCAGGCAAGGAAGAGAACTTGTGGGAACTCAACATGATGCAAGGAACTTGTGCGTGTCAATCGAGATGCTTGGATATCATCGCAAGTTTTTGATACTACTTGTGCCCAATAGCATTTGCCGCCTAACCTGCTCCCTCTTGAGGGACAAGACTGTAGCATATGAGATCACACTACTTTCTTTGTGGCGCTGTCCAATGAACGCTCAGTCGAGCTGTAAATTGGAGAAAGTGACTCAGAAATTGCGCATGATTCAGAACATTTGGACTTACTTAGTTACTACTCAGCGCCTTTCTAAAAATCTAGATGGAGCAGATGCGGAACGTTTTCTTGGCCAAGCCCATCTTGCGAGTTGCGGTATCTCAAAAAGAACTCGATTTAGAGACAGTGGACCCCTGAGGCGCGATGGATGCGGATCCTGAACGAGTTTCCGACGTTCTCGAGGCTCTTGTAGGTGCGTATATTCTCCCATCGGATGCATTGCATACTGATTCACGACTATATCAAGTATGCATATCTTAGTTTGTAGTGATTTATGCGATCTGTCATACATTATCATGACGAGCCCAGGCAACGCGGCAAGAACATACCATTTCTATCCCCGAGCAGCACGAACGGTCTCATTCAAGGGTCGAGACATCGAGAATCGCTTCTGCAGGTTACAAATAGATGCAATTGGTGCCTTCTCATCCTCGAGCACTCAAATAGCGAAGTCGTGAATAGACTGGTGCCTCCAGCACATCTCTCTAGAATGTTTAACTTCACCTTTGCAATATCTTGTATGGCTGTGGCACTGGCGAGTGGGTCATTCGCTGCCACCAAACGCGGTCTGGCATTTGCTGATTCCGACAATACTGGCGACATCGCTGTCGCTGATGACACCCAGGTCTCTTGGGTATATGATTGGGGCAGTACCGTACCAAGCTATTTGAAAAACACAGATATGACCTACATCCCCATGCAATGGGGCGAAGATAATGCCGATAATTTTATGGCTGAAGTGCTGGCTCAAAATGCGAAGACCATCTTAGTAGGTTGATCTAGTCGAGAGAAGGCATCTCACTCAGCTGAATTTCTGCTCGCAACCTAGGGTTTCAATGAACCTGATCTTAGTTCACAGTCGAATATTCCACCTATGACTGCCGCGTCATTATGGGTGCAGTACATCCAACCTCTGAGGGCACATGATGTCCGACTCGGTAGCCCCGCTGTGTCCAACGCCCCATCAGGAATCCCTTGGTTATCTCAATTCTTTGGAAATTGTACTGAATGCACGTTCGATTTCATACCTATTCACTGGTACGGTGATGGCCTCGACAATTTCAAAAATTATGTCGAGTCGTTCCATGGCAAATTCTCATCACCAATGTGGGTCACGGAGTTTGCATCTACTTCTTCAAATGTTAAAGGTGAGTATCTGTCATCTCCGATGCATCAGCGCTTCCTGTAGCTCTCTGCGGCACCTTCTATTGATAGCGCTCACACTCACTTCACACGTTTGCAGAGGTGGAAGACTTCTGCACGAATGCAATAGCTTATCTTGATGGCCAGGATTGGATTGAAGGGTATGCCTGGTTTGCACTCTACGTAAGCATCTTCGGGCACGCCTTCCGCAGAACATGAGCTGATGATTATGGCAGCGCCAGGAGTCAGGTTCCTACTACAGTAAGAGGATTCTTTTCGGCGGCTCGTGTCTCTAACCTTTCTATCACCACAGACCTTCTCGATGTCAACGGCCAGCCTAACACACTCGGGGATATCTACCTTCATGACACCAATTGAAGGTTTAATGTACATGCGAAAGAATTAAGAAATAGAATTCAGGTAGTACTACATACGTACATAAGCTTCCATTGGCCTTCTATTGGGCCCGTTTGCCAGAGACTACTTGCCACGATTCGGATTGTGACGGTCCGAATGCCTGTGATTCTCGAGTGGCGTTGAATTCTTGTCTATCGGTAAAACTTCTTTCGACACTCCTGCAGAGCCGCATGTATGGCGTTAGACTATGCATTTGGTTATCTGCATAGCGAACCGATGCCAACAGCCGGTGTACGAGTTGACTTGAATATTGAGGCCTGAGGGCTACTGTCAAACCTTCCTTTCCCTACATGCCCGGCAATCCGGGTTCATTTACGTCACCGGTCGCAGGTGAAATCCAACGTAGCTGCAAGGTGAAACTAGTACTGAATCTGCCAAGTCACAGCGTTCGACGACTACCTACAGTTTTGTCTTGTTACCAGCTTGTGTCTTATCCTCTTACCGTTACAACCTGAATTTTTATCTCCTAGTCCAGAATGACAGTAACGAACATACCTTTCCCAGACAAGTTCGACTACAGTATCCAGTCCATCGCTGTTCCTGGCACCAAACGCCCTGGTCAAACCGGTGCGTCCCACATATTCGTCCGTAGACGTTTCATTAACATCGAAGTATTTCAAAGCCCACTATCGGAATGGTGAGTCCTATCTAGTACAAGATCGAGCACCGCATATTTTATAATCGCTCATCTTGTTTCATGACACTTCAGCACTCTATGGTCTTGTGGACGTCAACGTCCTGCCAACGCTTCCTGATATTTTTGACAACGGTTACAACATCAATCCGGACTGTAGACTCCTCGGTCACCGTCCGTTAGTATCAACCAATCCGCTCAAATTCGGCCCTTATGTATGGCAGACATACAAGCAGGTGGATGGTCGCAGGCGTCGCATCGGCAGTGCTCTGCACAGGTTATTCTCACGAGGTGAACTGCAGGGCGAGGACCTTGAAACCGTTGGTATATGGTCACAAAATAGGCCAGGTATCCGTGTCATTTCTCGCTCCGAGATCAGTTCTCATCGATCACCACAGAATGGCAACTTGTTGAACTCGCTCTACATGCTTACAACAAAGTCGGGGTCGGTCTTTACGATACCCTTGGCAAGGATTCCGTAGGCAAGTCGGTTGTCTTGGGTCATTTCATATTGTGCTAATGACTTCGCCACAGAATATATGTATGTCATGTTGTCGCTATCTTGTTAAACCCCTCAACAGTCGTGGTTGTCTAGTATCAATCATGCACATCTTAGTATCATATTCACTACGGTCGACCACATACCTGCGCTACTGAAACTAGCTCCCAAGGTTGCAGTCATGAAAATGATTGTGTCCTTCGACAGTTTTAGTCCAGATGCCCGCAAAGCCTTAGTGGCTTGGGGGGAGACTGTTGGCGTGCAGGTCAAAGAATTTTCGGAACGTGAGTATCTCAGCCTGACTTTTACCGTACCTGCTATTTACATGCGCCGTAGTTGAAAAGTATGGTGAAGAGCACTTGATACCACCATTACCCGTTTCACCCGATACAGTCGCATCACTATGCTATACTTCAGTACGTGGCTTTTGTATTCCATTTTAAGCATCATCAACCAGGGATTTTCAGGGCACCACGAGCCAACCTAAAGGTGTGGAGCATCCATCCTCTATCCTTCTGACCCTTCAATTCTTGTTCGTCAGGTGTGGTACTTACTCACGGAAATCTCGCATCGTCCGCATATTCGAACATGTTTGGTATGGACTATCCTCCAAATGGCAGCGTTCTCTCTTACTTGCCGTTGGCTCATATTTACGAGGTTTGGTTTTTCTTGCTCACCTTGCCTTCTATACTGACCTCCTTGCAGCGTGTGGTCGAACTCACAACCTTGGCCATTGGTGGATGCATCGGGTTTTCCACCGGCGATAACTTGCGTCTCCTTGAAGATGCGCAGATGCTGAAGCCTCACTTCTTTCCAGCTGTACCTCGTGTATTGAATCGCGTTTATCAGTCTGCCATGGCTGCTGGCAATGTCCCTGGACTGAAGGGCGCTCTCTTCAGGGCAGCTGTGCGGGCAAAACTCGATCAGTATCATGCCACAGGTGTCAGTACCCATCCATTCTGGGATGCCCTTGTCTTCCGGAAGGTATGTTATCATTGATTTTCTTGCATTTCTAGTTACAACTCGATATTTCATTCAAAGGTTCGTGCTGTCCTTGGTGGAAACCTGCTGCTTGTTAGTACGGGCTCTGCACCTATCAGTGCCGAGGTCATCGATTTCCTGAAGATCGCACTCTTCTGCGAAATTACAGAAGGTACAGTCGGTCATCTTTGATTGTCAATTGTCATCTGACGGACGGGTCAGGCTACGGAATGACCGAGAACTGTGGTGTCTGTACACATACGTTCAAGGCGGACCCTGATTGTGGAGGAACCATTGGTCCTCCTCAGCCCGTGAACGAATTGAAGTTGGTCGACGTGTCTTCCATGAACTACACGGTCGAGGACAAGCCCAATCCTCGAGGCGAACTCTGTGTCCGTGGTCCCAATTGTTTCACGAAATATTATAAGGGTGAGGTCGTGTACGAACAAGTGTATTAGTGGTAAGCGCTCAACATCATGACAGACGAGAAAAACACTCGGGAGACTTTGAAAGACGGTTGGATCCACACTGGCGATGTTGCTGAGGTCGACCCGCAAGGCCGATTCAAGATTATTGACCGTGTCAAAGTAAGTTTCCTCTCATATCACCCATCGGCCTGACTTCATTTTGTATTACACAGAATATCATGAAACTTTCACAAGGCGAATACGTTGCTCTCGAGAAAGTTGAGAACATGTACGTTGCATGTCCACTCGTGCAGCAGATCTTTGTCCACGGCGATTCTATGCAATCTTACCTGCTGGCTGTGCTCGTCCCGGACCCAGTGACCCTGGCTCCGTTAGCGTCCACGGTTCTCGGCGAGAAGGTAGCGTCTGACGACATCCCGGCACTGGAGAAGGCTATCAAGGACCCCCGAGTAGTTGCTCAGGTCCTCGGCGTTCTCAATAAAGAGGCAAAGAAGAATCGTCTGGCTGGGTAAGAAGACTTAGGATCTCTGGATAAGGGACGCTAACTAGCTTCAATAGATATGAGACGATCAAGCGTCTCCACATTAGCTTGGATCCGTTTTCCATCGAGGATAATACCTTGACTCCGACCTTCAAGGTCCGCCGCAAGGATGCATTTGCAAAATATGCAACAGAGTTGCAGGCACTATATGCTCTTGGAGAGCCAAACGGCGACTCCAGTAAGCTATAGATGAAGTGCCTAAGCACCTCCTCTAATCCATCTATGTGGTATTTACTTGTTGATATACAATTATGCTTCGTGTATTTGGTAACGCACTCAGGTTCTGTTTGATGGTATGGAAAGTGTCCCTATAAGAAAAGAGGTAAAATAACACGTGGATGGTCATGATAGTATGCTTTGGGAATATACAATGTAATTGCGTATCGCCTATTGCGGTAGGTCTTCTATTGGAAATAGGCTGTTCATCCGATCGTCCTCACACTGTTCTGCTCGACCTTGCGCGACGTCTTCATGCCCAGGAATGAGACCGTCACCATAATGACAAGCCACAGTTGTCCGCCCAATAAGTTGTACTCTGAGGAGATTGAAAATAGAGCGCTAGAAGAACATGAGAGCAATCCTGCGCGTGAAGGAGGACAGACATACCTGACCACAAATGGAGCAAATGATCGCGCGAAACACATTGCAAATTGAACTATGCCATTAGACTGCCCCAGCGATGCGGCATTCGGAGCATTCTCCTTGACAAGAATCATGCTGACGCTAAACATCATGTGTCAATCACTACAACCAGCCAAAAATGGACGAACACGCACGGATAAGCAAGGCAACAGACCTTGGTCAACATGAGGACAAAAGCGATACCAACCCACAGCAAAGCAACAGTAGTCGTTCCAAGTTCGCCAGTGGTCTCATCCAAGCCAGCACGAGCGATAAGATTCAGAATAGGCAAGACGAGGAAGGGATAAGGCCATATGCTTATGCAGAAGCTATACATCTTCGCAGAGTCGAACGTTCGAAGGAGGTAGGACATGATACAAAGTTGAATAGTAGCACCAATAGCACCCGAGGTGGCAAGAGAGTATCCAATTTGTGATGCCTATCTAGTTGTCAGTTGATCACACTTCTCCAAAGCAGGAAGAACTCACTGAGAACGCCAGACCGCCGGATTCAATTGGCGAGTAGCAGAACAAGACAAATACGACGTCGAAAGATGTGGCAAGATAGCTCAGCATGAACCCAGATAGTGCCAAAGCGGATATAATTGGTATCGATAATAATTTTGAAACACTGAGAGGCTTCTCAGGAAGAGCCGGTACGGTTGTGGCACGATTCGCCATTGTTTGAATTAGGGGAACAGCTTTTCTTGGCGTTGCGCTTGCTGGGCAGAGTCTAAGATGGGCATGAGATTCTCCACATAGCACACGGCTTTTGAGCTGCAGATTGGAACGTACCTCTTCAAGAAAAATGAACCCAAGGAAGATACCAATCATAGCGATCACGAATGCAATGAAGCATGGCAGGAAATAAGGATAATCCTTAAGGAACTGGAACCCTAATATTTCGGGATATTTTGAGGCTGGGTGAGAGAACGTTCCCGCCAATAAGTGGTCTATGAGTGTAGGCATGATCAACGTTGATATCCTGATTAGGTGCAATCAAGGAGCGCACCCAATGATTGAACCAAGAGGCCAGGTGAGGCCGTATATGGGCAAAGCCACCACCTGGTTTGTAGAGTCGGTAATTTCTCCCAGAACCGAATGAATGACAGCGACGTTTCCCGAAAATAATCCTCCTGTAGAATTATAAATCAGTCCAGGGGCAGAGGTATGGTCCGTATGGAATGTTCCCTACCTAAGCAACGTGCTACTAAGACACTCGCCAGCGATTTGGACAAACCAAACATCAGCGTGGTGATGGCGAGCCCAATTATGCCCAAAAATATTACAGGGCGTCGTCCAATAACATCTAGAGCGAGATGAGGAAAGGCAGACCGAATGCCGCGGTAAAAGTACCTGATATCTTAGCCCACTGGTAGATGGAACAGAGTTGAGATACAGCAAAAGTGCTCTCCTAGTGGTTAAGGTCAGTGAGAAGTGTGATTAGATCATGAGATCGAATTAGACGACGTACAACCAACCCGCTGTAGAAGCCTATTTTTGATGGGTCATCTGTGAGATGGAGATCGTTCATAAACTCGTTGACATATGGAAAGAGCTGGGTGAACGCTATGGGATCGACTAGACGAACTATACAGAGTGCAGCGAGTTGGCCCTTCGGTAGAGGAGTATACTTGGGTTTCTCAGCAATTTGAGCTTCAGGGTTGTGAGCATGGAGGAGTGGACATGTCTCATCATAATTGGCCGTGTCGTTGGCAGGAGTCATAGTTGAAGACGATGACAAAGGCAAGGGAATTCAAACCAAGGAAGATGGTATTTATGCGCAGAAATTCAGCAGATTAATGCCGACAAGAAGTGACGAAACCTCACTTGACACTTTTTCTACAGAACATAATATTTACGTGTCTTGTCCAATGGCAGAAGCGACGGTTCTGAAGGCGATATCTATAGGAAGAATTGGTGATCCGCGTAAAAACCTCATACTAGTACTTGTTGGAGATGTATGTATGTCTCTGAAATATTTAGAGCCTCCTAGCTCCAGAAGAGAGGGCGATCGTGATGGGACACAGGTCCGATATCCCGATTACGTAATAATCACCTTTAGATTAGGCACATGCACCCTGAAACTCCTATGTAGATTGTCATAAGGTCTCTCTGTGGGCCAGGAATGACATGGCTTGTCGTGTATTGCCCCATCTACGAAATTTTGTAGGCTCAGACAAAGGAGCAAAGCTGCAGAAGGTCAAGCTAAGCAGAACGCTACCTAAACGTCGGTTGATGCCGGTGGCTAAGACAAAAACATGCACAAACAGGGAGCTCGTCGTGATAGATGTTGTTTCCTGCATTGCAGTCACTTTCGTCATCCACTACATTCATCTGCTCTGCTTTATATCTACTCTTACTCGCTTTTAACTTGTTCACACCACTCTTCTATCAACCATGAATTTTAATGTCAACGATAATCCTCTTCTCGTCGCTCCTCGACCCGTTCGCATCACGTCGCACCTTGCTCGTTCTACACATCTCAAACTTGTCGCTTCTCAAGTTGATCATGTAAAGTTGTCCGAAGACACTGAACACATTGACGAGTACAAGCAGCCTACCCGTGTTGACTCCTCGGTTTCGTCCGATAAGGATATCTCCTCTCCCCGAGCGTCGCCTCGGTAGGTATCTATTTTACATTTAATTCCCGCTATGTTTGTCTCCTGAGCACAAAATTTTCCGCCTTGGCTTGCCACACTATCCCATTTAATCACATTTTGTACATCTCATTAATTCCCCTGATCACAGGTCCAGCCTTCCATCAGAAGCGCTTGAGGAGTTCCTGTCAATCTGCATGGGGTGGAAATGCCCATCATCTCCTGTATTACGACCACGTCGCAACGGTGCCGTGTCGCTGCCCACGTTTGGCCTTCCTTACAGGTCTAGGAGCAGAGTGGATTTTCTCCACGCCAAGGGTGATATCTCCAGCATTACACTCACTGAGGAGAATGATTGGGTCCCTCGCGCACGCTCTCCTCAGACCCTTTATGAGCGAGACGAGCTTGAGAACATTGACGTTCAAGACCTCGATACCCAAAGGTGGAACATCGCCCACTCTCTCTGTGAGCGCTAATAGTTATCCTCCCAAAATCCGCTTATCAGCATTCTTTGAGCAGCATCCCCAATATCTCGAGCGCGCAATCCATTTTTACGCCACCCTTCTTATGACATTGGCCTCACTGGCATTTCAAATTTCTCTCAATCATCCCCTCCGATCATTTCGGCAACTCCCATGTCTCCTGCGGCTGTTCCTCTTCCTGTCCCAACCCCTGATGAGTTGGTCAAGGTTTACTGAACCTCTGGTCTTTATCACAGTAGTCCTCGTCTCGTCGTCCTGTCGCTACTACCTTATATCTGGTATGTCCTTGAATACTGTGAGTTAGGTTTCTCGTCTTGCGAGCTGGTACTCAGCTTTAGACCAGTTCTCCAACTACATTAAAGATACCACTTTTGATTTGTTGATCTACTCCTCCATCCCACTAGTACTTTTGTTTTACTACATACTCATATTCCACGTCGGTGCCTCTCCAGTTCTTTCGCTTTGCATACGTTCCTTTACTATGTCCCTTGGACCACTTCCAGGTTTGTCTCTACTTGCTTCTCGCATGTTACCCGCTACTGCGCTATTGCCTTCTAGGAAGGAACTCTCACGTATTGTATACTATTCGATTTCCCGTTGATTTTTGTATCGGATTGATAGCCTCCATATTATGATGCTAGAAATATGAAAGAGATGACTGCTTCATATATACACATGTGGTGGAATATCGTCGTATAGATTAAAAAATACATTCAGTTTCCCATGGTTTTGAAAGTCCATTATTATATTCTGATTATTTTGACTGCGGAAAGTTGTATTATGAAAGCCAGCCTATCTGCACACTATAGCAGCACGTCGTGGAAGGGTAGATTTGTTGCAGTATATATATATAGGGTGTTGATATGATCGGTGCAAGTCGGTGAAATATAGGAGTTAGCGTATTAGTCTGGGATAGTATCACACGAGAAATATATTGACCCGCTTCCATTGTGATTTTACTTTCGAATGAAACGCTTCTGATCTGTACAATGACATTTGTTCCGCGTGCGATTAAGGGCTTATTTTCCGCTCATTGTCTAAACCCTTCTGAGATTGCCCAGACCTTCCAAGAATAGGTTTAAGAAAATAGTAATAGTAGGCTGGGTGGCACATCAACTAGCCTCGGTTCCAGAAATTCATATCCGTAAACCCCATCGGAGGAAAAGGTTCAAGGATAAAGTGGGCTGAGTGCTTGCCCCCCGACCCCCTTGGTCAAAAATACAGAATTTCCGCCTTCGTCGATGTAGAAGCAGTCTTCAAGGCGAATACCGATCTGTTCGTAACCATCAGCATTGGTCTAATCAGACGGCGTAAATGCAGGAACTCGTGACTGTACCTTGCCTTCAATGTATATGCCTGGTTCGTTCGAGAAGGCGTTCCCTTTTTGAATGGTGTCATCGGTTCCTCCGCGGAGGTATGGAGCTTCGTGATCTTCAAGCCCAATTCCTTCAAACACTCAGTCCCAAAACTACAAGTTTGTGCCTTACTTAGTGCTCACCGTGACCCAGTCTGTGAGTGAAGTATCCTTTGTACCCACGCCCGTCAAGCCAATCACGCGCCACCTTGTCTACGGCAGATGTATTCGCCCCCTCCTGAGCCGCTGCGTGCGCCAAGGTCTGGGCGGTGTGTACATCATACCAGATCGTAGTATGTTCCAGTGGAATGGAGCTATCATGCAGCATGAATGTCTATGGAGAACCTCAGCCAACCGAATGGTTTTCACGGCAGAATTATGGATACCTACTCGTGTAACGTCGCTGTTGTATTCAAACAGCAGGCCACCAGTATCTATGAGAATGAAATCCGCTTTGCCCAGTGCGCGGTCACTCCCGCTTCCATGCGGGAGAGCAGCGTTTTCTACAGCAGACGAAAATCAACAAGTCAGCCTCACAGACACATATAATATGTATGTCAAGTTTGAAAGAAGTCTTACCGCCAAAAAGTACTAACGCCCATCTTTCTGTAAGACCAGCAGCAGCGAGTGCCTCGTCTATCATCGCTAGAACTTGTGATTCCCGTATCCCGATGTACATCTGGGCTTGCACGGCCCGGATACAAAGAAGGGTGACCTTGATGACTGCGATGAGCTAGCCACGTTCGAATGCAAAAACATCCGCTGACCTCGTTCACACATCTCAGAAGGTCCAGCTCTGCTTGAGATTTGCGCTCCCTGAGCTGGGTGACTTCAGGTGGGGCAGACATGACGCGGACGCCAGGGGCGACCTTCTGAAGACCGTCGACAATAAAATATCTCATCATGCCATCAACATAGATGGGCCCTTCAAGTTCAAGGGCGGAAAGCGCGTGCAGCGCGACAGTGTATGGGTCTTCGTCTTCTGCCCAAGCGACATACGAAACATCAGTTCCAGGTACTGACAAACGTCTGGCACGCGTTTCCTCGAATGCTGGTGTGATGATAGTGACCTTAGCTACAATGTTGGCCTCCTCGAGTGTGGGAAAGATTATAAGTAACAGTGGTCTTTCTGAAAGGTGCCATGTCGCCTCGGAAATGTTACCAAAGTACTGCGCGTTTGCGCCAGGCTCTGCGATGTATGCTGATGCGCCATTGTCATACAATATTTTTGCCAAGTTCTCCTGGCGTTGGCGAAATTCTGAACCGTTTATGGGCTGCGCATCCGAACAATGACTTGCTAGGCCTGTCCAGCGGTCGTAGTCGACTGAATAGGATTCGGGGCTGACATTAGTGAGAAACTGCAAGTAGAAGATGGTTGCACAAATGGCAAAACTAAAGAAAAACCTCCACTAAGGTAGATGATGTCCGCGTGAAAGTCTGGCAATACTCAGCAGTGTGAGCAGCTTACCTTTGATAGGCTCCGTGTCACTTTGAATGTAACAAAAGTTTGAGTGGTCTCCTTCCCAGAAACAGAGGTGTCGACTTGCTCATCTCTCAGCGTTTGCTGGGCAAGACAAAATAGCGACTAACCATGACTGTCAGGTTTCATAATGTTAATGATTAGCGAGAGGCGCTCCCAATTAGTAAGTAAGTCTGCTAGAGTGACCTATACTGCATCGGGCAGTGGCAGTGCACCGATGAAGGAGTCCGACTCGGAGACACCGTGACAAACCGAGACAACCCAAAAGGTTTACAAACTTCACGCTTCAACAACCCCTACTTTAACATCATGGAGGACACGGAAACTTTGCTAGCATTGGTCCGCAGCCTACTGACTGTTCCACTGCCAGAACTGGATGTTCTTCTCGACGCGCTCTTGTCGCACGACGGAGACGTTCATGCTACTGCCAAACAGCTTAATTCTGGCAATGAGACAACGTCTAAGCCAGTGAGCAGTAGTTCAAAAAGAAAGGATCGTCCTGCGGATCTTCAGGGCTGGTTAATCGCAGGCAATTCAAAAGCCGAAACCACGGTTTCCAACAGTCCTCCTCGAAAGAAAAGAGACGTTAAGGAATCCAGTCTCTCCCCTGTTAAAGCAATCATCAAGGATACCACTGTATACAGCGGCTCTCCAACCAAACCCAAAGTAGACTTGATGTCGGTTCTACGCCAGCCACCCTCGAGTACGCGGTCTGTACCGCGTCTCCTTCCCCTGACGTTGACGAATCCCTCGATGGTGGCTCAGCACACCCCCTGCACGATGCATTTATCTATATTACCACCAGAGCTTGCATGCAAACTATTCTATTCTATGCTCGATCTGTCGCGATCTTGGAAAAGGAATAAATGGTGGCTATTTGATCGTGTCGTTGAGAGCCCTCACCGCACATCATTCTATGCTCGAAAGACAGATGGTGTGGAGTCTGATAAGTCGTGGCAGGAGGCCGCGCAATATTGGTGAGATCAGAGAGTGTTGTATCTTCTTGAGACAAATACCTAAACCGATGCACCAAAGGTATAATGGTCGACAAACAGACCCACCTGATGTCTTTCCTGATGCAATGGAAGAAGCCTGCTTGTATGTAGAAAATATGGTCAACAGAGAGATGCAGAAGCGACCCCGCCTCCCGCTTGAATGGGCAGGTAGGGGCTCCGAAGGTCAAATCTGGCGTGCCAATGTAGCCGCATCAAATTGTTACGAGGGCACAAAGGACAGCGTTGGATTTCACTCAGACCACTTAACATATCTAGGACCTTATCCAACTATTGCTTCACTGAGCCTCGGTGAGCATCCTTTAACCCACTGTCCTGTGTAGTCATACCGCGCCGTTCACAGGGACGACGAGAATCTTTCGCCTTCGGGAGGTCGTACCAAGCGAAGAAATCCACTCACGGAAGGCACAAACATTCAACATTCCTTTACCTCATAACTCTGTAGGTCTCTGCGCTGGCAATCCATGTAGAACTAGACTAAAACCCGCATCTAGTTGGTCATCATGCATGCCAGCACCCAGGAAAAGTTCAAGCATTCAGTCCCCCCTCAATCTACACTTGACCTCTATCGACCTCTCTTACCTCACCATTCTGGCCTGGAATATCCATCAGAACCATCCAATTGTCGTATCAATATAACCTTCCGGTTCTATCGGCCAGACTTCAGGCCGCAAAGCATCCCGCGTTGCAATTGCGGCATACCAACAATTTTGCGTCCAGACATGAAAAATAGACATGACGGTCGGACGGACCAATACTGGTGGACATGCTATGCTGGCACGCAGAATGAAGGAAAAGGGTGCTCGTTTTGGCGGGTCATGGACATGAAGGCCGAGGGTCGAGGGCCGACCATTTCTGATGTAGGGAGCAAGGAACGGTAACGTGAATTATGCCACGGATGTGCTGAAGTTCATGCGATTGCACCCATGGAACAATTTTGGTACGTCACTCTCGTTGCATCATTGTATGGAAAAAGGCTGAAAAGATTACAACAGCGGCGATGAACATTTCGGGAACAACAGGTTAAATGCGTTGATAGATTCCCCTGATCGTGATGCAAGTTCCCTCCAACCTCCAAGGCTTCGGGCGGCGAACTTGGAATGATCATCAGTGCAAGCATGTGGTAATGATGATGGGTTCTGTAGTGGCCCGGCAATATCAAAATTTTCACGAGAACTCGCTGGCCGCAGCCTGCGGTAACAAGAATGTTCAGACTCTTGCCTGATGACATAGAACTAAAAGAGAACTCGTCGGCGTATTCCGGTAGCCTCTACAAGATAATCTGGATTCTACGGCATCCCGCCGCAGGATAATACATAAATATCATTTGACATCCCCATGGGTCATGGCTGGCTTGAAGACAAACACCTGAAGCCATACACAGGATGGCATTGTCGTAGGACAGCCATCACAAGGCACGTGCGAACACCTTCACTTTATTGTTTGGCAGGTGGCAGAATTACATAGAGCCACGCGGTTTTTCATCCCACACCTGTGAATTCCATTCTCTAGCCACCGGTCGATCAGGACGTAAAGCAGCACACGGCATGGTCGAGTCACAGGTGAGTCTGCGAGGTAAGGTCTTGACCATCCTTAGCCCCGACAATTGAACCTTCGTGCTCGAATTCAATTGAATTTGTTCACGTTACCGACCACATTAACTCGATTGGCTTTCCTAGAAGACGGTCTGACACGGGGCGTCCATAATCAGGGACTCCATCTCCGCTTCAGCGCCATATTAACGCACCCTGATTGGCACTTATCCATTCACAGAATTATTTATACCTACGCTGAGTATGAGTCTGAATTCATCAGAGACGTAACGGGGTTCCGGTGGAGATCGAACAGAATGATGACGCAAGATGCAGTTGGAGGCGGTTGATGTGACACCAGTAGCTGGAACAGGAATACGCTGACCTGCCGCACGGCGCACGCTGAAAATGACAACTCCCGGAACCTCGCCGCAGTTTGCCTTTCAATGATGGCACAACTTCCCATGGCACGTACCAGTGACATCTCTTCTGAGCTTTTTTTTTTGAATTGACGGATATGATGGGAACTGTGGTCATTCAATAATAGAACACAGCAACAGGCGACAACGTTTTCTGAGCGCTGGATGGAAGGCGCTCCTCGTTTCAGGGTTCAAGCTCCTATGAACCCCTTCTGTCGATGGTCTCCGCCTAACTTAGGGTTTGTGGCGCCGTATATTAACCTTGCTTGGTGTTCTATTTGTCAGAGTGAGTGAATTCTCTGTTATCTGAATTCAATGGCCTTTCCATAATAAAGCTTCTGCACTAGTCCAATTGCAGAGCCTGAGCTCCATGATATCTCCCATGTTTTGAGCTTAGTTCCCGGAGTTAGAATTGGAACAGTTCAGCCGCACGGCCACGGCCATCATCTTTTGTAAGTAATATTAAAAAAAATATCTGGTGAACGTTCCTGTGACACTTGATGCGGTTGTATTGTACTCAGTGTGTAGAACTATTTCATGTGTTCAGTTTCCCAATTTTAATGAATCACCTAGGGCAGACCCTTGCAGACCATTGGCCAGTTGTGGTGTGATGGTATCAATGGTCGACTGTAGATTTGTAGTGTACACAGTATAAAACCTTCTGTCTCTAACAATCGTGCAAGATCTCGGTGTGATCACAAGAACTTGAGGGCAAGAGGAGCAGGTGCTCGGGTGTGGAAGAATTGCTCGGCATCGACGTTAGCATTTATAGAGTCAGATCCGTCTTCTGAATGTCTGAACCCATGGCTATCACCACTACCAGTGTGCGCTGCAGCCACGTACGCGTATCACAGATATTGTATCCTCCGCAGCAACGCGCCGTACTTACCAATAGGAGACAGGCTGCACTTAATGCACGTTGAATGTGAAATTTGAATATTTTATTTGGCTGAACGTGTTGAGTGAAGTCACGTGGTGGCGTTTTTCTGATTCTCCGCTCTTGCCCGAGTTCGCAGCGCATCAATCACCTTCAGAGCCAGGCCTTGCCATTCTCATTACTTATCCATTAGACCATGGCCCGTGTATCATTCCAACCGACCCCGCCAGCTCGTTTTGCCAGCACTGTGTGTATCGTTTCCTGTTATTGAGACCAAGGTCCAGTTATTGATGCTTGCTTTTGACGTGATTCAGCTGGCCAAACGGTGGGGACCGACGCTAGGCATATGGGGCGTGGGTGCCGGTACCCGCTGCTCTCTTCGTGCGTCTAGATAGCGCTGCTTCCTCTTATCTTTCTCTGATTCACCAAATAGTTATTGTCTGTTACCCCGGTTGTGAAAAAGGGTTTTCTCGTAAATATTCCGCTGGTGAGGTTCTATGTTATCATGTACATTCATCCTGCTCATTGTTCAAATCTTGCGCGTGACGGATACAACTTTAGATTGGGAATTACTACGAGGACAAAACACCTGCTTCGGACAAGCCGTTCTGAATGTCCCGCAATTATAGACACATACCGCCCTTTGAAATACCACTATTTCATTTAATGTAGAATGCGGCCGCCCAGAATATAAATTTGTGATCATCTAAATCCTCCGCGGAGGCGTCAATACAAATTGTGATACCACCAAACTGTAGCCATGGCTTTCAAAGTTTAGCAGATGTTGTGTTGTCACGGTCAAGGTCACTAGTAAGGTCGATGCCTAATTTCCTTTCTAATTGCTTGACTGCATTAAGAGTGCCACCTATCGGAACATCTGAAAGAAGACTCGTCAGGACAGTTTGCCAGGATTTGTCGTTGACGCCGCATGTCTAAGCCGCTAAAGATAATGCAGCCGCGGACGCATGTACGGATCACATGTACTTAGAATACGCGACTTACGGATGGTCCCATGCCAAGAGCGCGTGCGGCCTTCAAGTTCCTGTTGACGGTTAGAAGTAAGAGCACTCCACTAGGAACGCGATAGGAACAGTCCTTACATTCCTATATCATCAAGGAAGACGGCTTCTCCAGGGCGAATGCCATTTCGGTGACAGGCAAGAAGATAAAATTCGGGATCAGGTTTCCTGTTGATGGGTTGAAAGCAGTATAAGTGACACTATCGCTGAACGTCGTGAAGATAGTAGTTGAAGGTTTTCCTAACGTACCGCATGCCCAACTCGCTGGAGTCACAGAAGTCGTCGAATAACGCGCGGAGATGAAACTTTTCTTTATCATCCCATCCCAAGAATCGCAACTCCGAGTCGGGAACCCCCATAGGTTGTCCTGCAGTCAGGGGTGTCGAAGAAGCAGAGTCCGTAATGTGCTTCGAGTAATTATTAGTTAGAGCGATGATAAGCCATCTTCCCGACGCTATCGCAAGGCACTAAGTATGATTGGAGTGTACCGTGATACAATAGAATCACCTCTTATCCGGTGAATGGCGCGTAGGATGTGGCAATCATAGGCCGTAGTCTGTCGCATCATCCTACCAAAAAGCTTGTGGCGTTGGCGGGATTAGTAACCAGAGCAGCGGTTCATCGGGTATTTCCAGCACTGACCTCGCGGCCGTCAATATCAAGTATCACAGGTAAAGTCGGGCACTCTGATTCGACAGAGATTAAAATATTTACCCAAGAAACGTACGAGTATGAGGCCATACCTATTTTTTTGCGAGCACAGTATTCCGTGTACCATTTGTTACCATTGTCTGTGTCAGAGAGGTCACGTCCAAACTCTTCGTAAAATGAGAAGAGGGATAGCTCTCCACGTTCGAACTTCTGCCAGGCACTACCGGGCCCTCGGGAGGTCCTGCCCGCAGCAAAGTCAGAAATACAGAGATGAACATAGCTTGGGAAAACAGACATCGAGACATTCAGGTAATCCTTTGGCAGGCCTTTCTCCGACTCAAACTCATCGATTGCAATGAACGGGCTATGAAGGACGACGCCGCCAATCTATAAATCACAGGGGGCAGTCGCCCGGGGATGATCAATGATTAGCAACTATGACGAGTAACAGACGGCACCGCAGGCATTGTTCGCGTCGGGACTTACATCAAAAACAATAGCCTTCAAGTGAGGAGAAGACATCGGTTAAACAAACCCGGCGGCTTCTACGTACGGAATGGCGACCGACTGTGACCGCTGCCGCACACGGAAGTTGTCAAACCGAATTGCAGACAATCAACTGGGAAAATCACGGCATCTGAGCACGAAAGTTACCGTCGGTTCATATATATAATCACTATTAATCCCGGCGGTTCATACGTTCATAAATCCTCAAAAATTGAGTTCTTGAACGTCTCGCGAAACATTTTCATCAAGTGTCCATGTCAGTAGATGCCAGTCGTTGTCAATGCCATAATTGTCAGAACGACGACATGTCTTTTTCCACACTCGCCTAGGGGGCTACCTATTTGTGGTATCGCTAATGCTTCTACACGGTTGGTCGGACTTTGAAAATATCTCTTACTTTCTTGACTCCTTGTGCAACGTCGTCTTCGGGATACTGTGAAGCTTCCATCTCTGCCAATTCAAATCGTTCAGCTGTATCCCTTATCGTTACCAACTTGCAAGACCAAATATGGCTAATCCACGGCAGCGTCGTAAAGCCAAATCATCAACGCATAAAACTGTATCACATTCACGGCGTGCACAAAAGCTCCTGAAGAAGATGCCAGGTGAGATTCCGTTGATATCGTGTTATTTGCATGAAACATGAGCGTTGATCGGATGTTCGCGGATCATCGACTCCCTTGTTTGTTGTATCCGAGTCGTCTTGTACTATTGTCACTATACCTGATTGGTTTTTAAGATTCTGAATGCGACCGACTATGGGCCTAGCTAACGAAGTTCATCTTTAGTGATACGAGGTCCAAAAGCCTTGCAGCACGCTTGGGATAAATCAAAGACAGTTCACCAAAAGTGAGTTCATACCCGCATCTATTTCAACTTGTTTTGCTGGTGGGGCTGGTGCTTTCGAAGTTGTCAAATCTTACGGCGATGCGGGCTTCGTCGCCGATCACCAGACTTGGGCGATTAAGGATTATCTACTCGGCTGGTATGATTTTTGAGACGAGTTGTCCCACGTGGGCGACTGTCCTAGCGGAACTCGTTTTGATTCCTGTCAACCTCCGCGAGACTTGTCGCCAGCTCCGCGGCTCACAATTAATTCAATGAATTGGTTCTTTGACCGGTCGATTAAATCTCTGAACAATTTTTTTCCTACAGTTATGCTGCACTGGGACTTCAGTTCGCTTTGACCCCCACGCAATCGGGCGGAACAGAGCGGACATCAATCCCTCCAAAAGGTTTAGCTGTTGCTGGCTCAGTCTCTGCTACCCCTAAATCAGTTAAGTCTGGCCCCTCGACTATCCCCAGAGGGTTTGGAAGAATTATTCGAGACGAATTCGGTACCGTGATACGAATCGACGTTCCTGAATTCGAGGAGATCCAAGACTCTGTACAAAACACTGAGCTCCCAGAAACGGACGTAGATGAAAAAATTATGGGTGAATGGGTTGGTTGTCTCAATAAAACAAATCTTCCAAATGACATGATTGATACACGAGGATTATCATCGTCATCTGGGCAGGGAACAACACATCCGATTGTTGGTGAGTGCCGCTGTTGAAATGAATGTTCTAGTGGTTTGTGGTTCGATGCCTTCTGGCGCGGAATTCAATTTTCCATGATGTTGGTATGATGTCAAATGATCTCAATTAGAGAGGACATTGACATACGTTTTTGGACTGTTGTACTTAGATTTATTTTTGTGGTGCCTACGGCACGAGTGCTTCTTTATGGTTCATATGACATACGAGATCTTTCGATTACTGATTGTTTGAAATAACAGCGTTAGAGGAACTGTCGGCCTCGGGCAGGGCAATTTCGCGGCACTCGTCATGTGGAGAAAGATCATATCTGGCGCGTTTAATCCAAAAATATGGCGATAACTATGAAAGGATGACAAGAGATCGCCGTCTAAATCCTGAACAAAAGACAGTGGGTGAGCTAAAAAGGGCGGTCAGAAAAGCGGGCGGGGTGGAGTCATTCTGCTGACCGATATATTATGTGGGCACATCGCAGACTGACTCATCTTCACAATGCAATACAGGTCTGTAATTCCTGTGGATATTTACAAGATATTACTTCTCCAGCACTACAAAGTACGGCAACGAGCTCTCGGTTAAGAGGAGTGCACCGACCCCGATATTAAGAACTGTACATTGTGACTGTCACATATGTCATGATACGTCACACCGGAACTTCGAAAATACCCAAGGCTGTGTACGCCCAATCGGAGCGAAGTTCCAGAGTGATTGTACGTATTCGACTAGTATGCACCATGCTGTTTTCTTGAATGAATCTCGTTAAGCAGGGTCAGGGGTGATATCACAATGCAAATCACTAGTACTAGTACTACTATACTTTGAGTTATGTAAGATATCCCCGACGGCTCAAGAGAGCACGAGGCGGCCGCTCATGTCCTCAATGTGTGGCGCAAAGTCACGAAAAGGTCCCCTGCCGCCTCGAATCTTCATGTGTGCATATATTTACCAATCTGCCAATGATGGTTTGTTCAGGGACAAGCTTTTGACATGAGCGTATCACCGACAATGTTGAAGAGTATGGGCCTTGGCTTGAGTCATAAGTATCATTTTCCATCATAGAAAAACATAGCTTGCCGCATCATAAAGCCTCATAAAGCTTGGAACGGAACCAATAATCAGAGATCTTGAGTTAATTAAAGCCGGCATGTCGGAATTCGAAATTGGATAAGTTATTGACACCTTGCAAGAGTCTCGACCTTCGAAAACGGCAAACTTGAAGTGGCCAGGACCGAGCCTATCAACAATGACAACAGCGCTCGCAGCTCGCCGAATACAAAAAGTACGTAGACATCTGTCAGGGTTGCTCAGTTAGTGAGTGGGCGGCATGGTTGATCTCCCGGCAGGTTAGGACGGATTTCTTTCCGATTGGTGGGAAATACAATGTTCGATTACCGAGGCCTGGTCAGTGCCTGTGTAACCGCAATGTGACAATCATGAACCTGAATCTATCGATATCTGAATACCAAGATTTACTACACACAGCCATATGACAGCACACAAGCTTAGGACTCCTTGAAAACGTTGCAGTCGCCTGTAACCGCTTGGGATCAACGTTTGATTGCGATGATAGTTACCATTCACGGGTGGCCTCGTGCTTTGAAACATTGGGTTAGTCGGCTGATAGCATTGAACTTGGACCAAGTTTCGTGATAGATCATATCCGCTACTATAAATGACGAGAGTCTGCGCTCACAGGTCGCCGAAGGTACAGCCATCAAATATTGCGATTTTTACGAAGAAGTTCAAGCGAAGGTAAACGGGCAAACCCCAAATCTGGTGTTCCCGAGAGATCGACTTCGACTTACGACATCCGCTTTTCTCGTGTCTTTCAGCTATGCCATTTTAATCCTGTGTTTCTGAACTGCCAATCGAACTTCCGCATATCGACGTCAAACAAACCATATTTAATCTTCCCTTACCCTCATACATCATATATCGGCCTTTTTCCGTCCTTATTATAAATTCCACCATTGTGATCCTTTAAAGTCATCAATTCCTTCTCCTTCACAGTTTAACACCTGATCTACTCAACGACAACCACAATGTCCCCACGAGCGTCTTCATCTACTCCGAGAAGCGCCTCCGCCGCTAGCGCTCCATACCCACGTCGAGCTGCTGGTCAACCAAAGTCTTCCAGGCAACAGTTCTCCGCTTGTGGAGCTTGCCGCATGCGAAGGTATGTTTTCAACATTCATTTTTCTTGATATATATTTATGTTAAATTTTATAGAGTTCGATGTGACCTAAAAGACCTCCCCATGACCCAGACTACTACAAGCGGTCTGCAGCAGCTTTCATGCTCAAACTGTAAAGAGCGTGGGATCAAATGCGTGTACGTAACATTCAGCTTGTCAGTTCGACAATTGATCGCGTCTGCTTTAGTGACGAATTTGCTGAAGTGAAAGCTGTAAAACTGTTAAGACGCGGCCGCCGTCTACAACAGGTGGAGTGAGTAATTATCTGTCCCCCACTATTAGTCCCATTCAATTAAATAAAATTAGAGCTGTCTACGGTAAAGTTACGGATGACGATTCCAACCCGTCTTCTCCGATGTCCACAGGATCAAACCCCACGATCCAAACCACACTCTCCGCGGGGATCGCCGCGCCCAGACAGAGCATCATTCCCCTGCTGAAGCTGGAATTCCTTAGCTCATCTTTCTTCCGCAGATTCAGCATCCAACGTAAGAATTCATTTTGCCATCATGGTTATCACGGATCCAATTTTTCCTCTTCTAGGTCCTATAATCGAACCCACTGAATTCACATCAAGATACTTTGCTCATATTAAGGGCACCTCCACTCTCAGTATCGAGGGTCAGATGATTGCGATGTTACTTGTCACTTGGGCTGCCTCATTTGGCGTCAATGAATTTGGTATTGAGGAGGAAGTAGAGCCGCATTCCCCTACTATACCCGACGGACCCAAGTTCTCTCCCGACGGAGATGATGATTTCTCTGACCCCAGCTGTCGTGCTCGTACTCTTCGTGTAGAGACGATGATCAAGGAGATCCTACATCTCATCGACATTCATGCTCTGCTGCGACACCCGACTTGGGATGGTGTCAGGGTCCTCTTGCTCATCCTCCCACTAACTCAGGGTATGTATCCATCAATAATTCCAGCGTGCCCTCAGCTGATGTATTCGTCACCAGGCATCCAAAGTGTCATGGACAGAGGAGTAAGTGCCAGTGCTCAACTGACGACATGGGATCGTGTTGACTGATTGTCCTTATTTAGACTATGTACGAGGCGACGCTTTCCCAAGTTTACACACTTTGCGGCCCGACCAATCATTCCGTGCTACACAGTGGCCAAGGATCTTATTGTGATGCACTTGTCCGTGCCAGAGTTTTCTGGTACGCCTACATACATGAAGGTGTCCGCACTGCCTTACGCGGTGGTCGGCTATATCTGTAAGCACATGCCATTTCTGAGTGACATTCTCTGATTATCCCCAGTGATGAGGATGACCTTGTTGCATTCCAAAGCACGCTCCCTCCTCAATACTCTGCATCTGCATCTGGCAGTACTTCCTCTGCATCCTCTTCACGCTCCTCGCCTACTGCTACTTCTCCAGTGTCGTCCGATTTCCCTCTCAATTCCTTGCAGGATCCTCGCGGCCACTCGCGAGCCTCGCTTTCTTACCTCCTCTCTTCCCATTATTTTTCACTCGCCCTCGCCGTGTCTGGTGTTTGTCGTGCCGTTCACGCAGTGCTCACTGGACCTCGTGCGCGTCGTCGCACTGATGCTGGTGTTGCCATCCGCGAGGACTCCCTCGTAGAAATCTGGGATGGTCTCGAGCGATGCTGGGAGGACTTCGAGTCTCTCCGTCGTGGAGCAGGCGGCATCGGCACCGTGGGTGGCGGCCTTGTGCGTGGAGAAGACGTCGAGCGTTTCGTTAGCGGATGGCAAGTGTTCATCTTTGAGTGCTTGAACATCATCCGGGAAACCTTGAGACAGCGCATCGTTGCGCAGACCAAGGGCAGCCCTGACTCAAACGGTCATTCCCCTCCGGCCGATCGCGCCCTTTGCCGCATGCTTTCCCAGGCTACTCGCCGTTGTCGCCAAACCCTTCCCCGCGTCATCGCTATCTTGAAGCGGCACCTTGCTGTTCCTTCCAGCGGTTTCTTCGCTCATGATGCCGGCCTCATCCGAGACGGATGCTACTATGCTGCTTTGCTACTTGCACAAAGCGATATCGATCAGGATGGAGATAGTGATCTGAAAGGCGAAGATGGACTTGCTTGGGACATGGACGCCGAGGACGGTGTTGACGTGTGTCTGCGTGCACTAGGAGAGATTGGCTGGATCTACGCCAATAGCCAGGAGCGAGAGAAGACTGTTCGCATGGTTTGGGAGGCACGGGTCATTCGTGATGATGAGCGCCGTCGTGAACGCAACCGTCAGCGTGATTATCTTGAGGATCACCGTGCTCAGGCTTATCACTCAGGACAACGTTCGCAGGATCGTTCCCCTTACATGATCAACAAATCATCGCTGCCACCGCCCGCTCGCGGTCAGGGAACGACGCCTCGTTCGCTCTCACTTGTGTCAGCCGCCGGACAGTCTCGTCCCCATCTTCCCCCTCTGTCGCTTGCCTTCTCTCCGGTAGACAGTGCTCCGAACACTGCTCTCACCGATGATGGTAGTGGCAGCTGGACTACTTATACGCCACCCACGACGTCGGGTTCAATGACGAGTAACGCAACCACAAACCGCAGTGTCTCGCCACCCGATTCTGGATCGCCTCACACACTCTCATCATTAAAACATCTCCCTCCTATCCAGCACTCGTTAAAAACTGAGAATGATTCATTCTATAATGGGGTCGGTGATCTGGATCCATTCTCATTTTCTGTCGACAGCACTACTGGCCCTGGTGTGGTTGGTGGCCCTCATGCATGGTCATCGCAGTACCAACATCAAGTTGGACCTGGTAGTGGTTACCTTGACCCTAGCGTGATCTTTACTGGAGCAGATTGCCAAACCTTCTACCACTAATGAAACACTATCAGATCTGTACGTTTTTATGACCGTACCACATGTTATCGCGTCGTCATCTTGATTCATTATTTCTAAGTTCTGCATCACGCAATGGAGCTACTTCAGGCATCCATCATCTTCACATTCATTTCATAGCCATATATTACCGCTTTATCATTTGTCTGGATAGATACTTGAGTTGCATTGTATTAGATTTTGTTTATACCCGTCGATTACCTAGTGACCCTCCAATGATTACCACAATATTCATTATCATAGACACGTACGTAGATGTATTATCATTATGCACAGAACATGTAAATCGGTGGTTCTAATGACATTATCATCGGATGAATTTTTGATGACTACGTCATCTGATGGGGAAGAAGATCTGAGGAGATATGTCGGTCATATAAATATTTGTGTACATGCCATTGATGCTATCATCCGTGCTAGAAGCAGTTGGGAGTAGGCTCCGATCAAGTAATGTGGCGGACCTGAAAAAAAGAAGAGGCGCATTGACGACGCGCGCCTCAAGTAAACCTTGCAACTTCATCATAGTCTTCAAGAATGTTTCGTTTATTACGCTGGGAACAAACTTGTCGATTCCTGATGGGCCGCCGGTCTGCGTCGCGGTAGGTGTGAAAGCCTCAAATTTTTTTATGACATAGACGCTCGTTTCCGACAGCATGGCGAATACATTGTGTGGCTTTGGCAGAGTCTCCGATGGTACGCTTCCAAACTGCCGCTTAGAGCTTCCTATTACTGAAGCCGAGCCGCGTCTGGTTGACAAAATGTGCGATGTTCTTTTGTACTATTCCAAATATATCGCTCATAAACAGCATATTGAGCGAATTTAATACACACGGCCGCCAACTGTTATTGAAAACGCAAAGTCTCCAACACATTAATCCCGCAGGCGAGTCTTCCATTCCCCAACAAAGGAACAGTGCGAATACGTAAGACATCCTCTACCCCCTTGTAGTCCGGAAGCTTGCATAATAAGATTGGAAATGACCCGCCGGATGTCAGAGTTCTAGGCTGATTGGCTAATATCTAGGATAATATTGAGCTCCTTAGGAGTCCTCGTGACGAAAGCACGCTTGCCAGGGTCGGGTGATGGAGGGGATAAACCTTGTACTATGCCAGGGAATAACCATCACCCTACCCCTTCATCATGATGGTTTAACTTTGTATGTCAAGGCAGTTACAGAGCTCGAGGCCGCTGAGGTGTTTACCTGAATTAACGGGGACTCGAACAAGGCAAGCCATACGATCCGGATTCTGATCAAAGTTAAGCATTACGAAACGGACTCCTATCTCCGGAACTTCGGCCAGTGGAAGCGGGGCTTTGTATGTCTAAATGCCGTAAATTTTATCTTACAGGGTTCTGTTAGGCGCTTCTGGTTCGGTGGGTAATATCACAAGTAAGTTGTCAATATTCCGTGGAGCTGACTTACCAGCACGACGACCGCAGCGTCGGGGACGGATCCGGGATGCGGCAACATGGACTGCCGCACAGCTTTGGTTGTTCTGTCTCTTTGCGCCAGAAATAATTAGAAGTCTACCGGAGGGAAGCAGAAAGCTCGAAGCTTCGGGCCTTTGATTATTGGTTGGCCAAGTTGCTGTTTCGATGACAATCACTCTCTGGATAGTCTGGGACTGCGCCGAACCAATGTTCTGTGCGAAGATCCCCGCTGTCAAGTATCAAGGCCCGTCGGGATATTCGCGTTTAGGACTCCGATAGATACCCTCCGGACCTTCACTCAGGCGGCTCTGTTCTGCACACATGTAAGTGGATTCGGTCCTAATCTGGGCATACAAAGTTCTTGTGCGAATGAACGTAAGTTATACTGAGCTTCTCCAATTCAAACCGGATTCGCCCGTCACGCGCCATACACAGGCTAGGCTGGCTGTCAATCAATGTCTGATAAGTGACCCGAAATCAAACAACCAGCCCAACTTGGGATGGCATAACGTTCTGGCATAACCCTCGCCGCGGCCAGGTTAGAACCTTCACGGGAGAATCTCCCACCTTGAGCATCAGATGTCCCTGGATCCTTGCCTTGGCTTATGCTCAATATCACCGTTGACACCAGCCGTCACACGGCGTCAACTTCCATGCCACATGTCAATTCCCGGACTCCGCGGTAAACTCACTGATTTGAGAGATGTTAATAACAATTCATTCGTCCATCGTGGTAGTCCTAGTCAGTTTTCGGGTGGATGACTTACCTTCGCGAAGATCAATGGTGCTGCCCGTTGAACAGACTCTTGTCGGAACATTTTCAACAGCTATTGTAAAAGAAACCGAAATCACGAGCGCGCCTTGGCACAGCCACTTATCCAGTGACCTAGTCACAATGCTGTAGAATCTTATCCGACGTGTACTCTTTACTTGACCCCCGTCATCGTCGACGAGAGATCTAGCCTGGAATGTCTTACTATACCCCTAATCCTGCCAGTGCCTATACATCAAACCCTGCTAGTTCCTATTCGTCAAACCTCAGTCGATACCCCACTGGTTCCCAACCCAGGTCGTACAATCATCAACACGGTCCCCCAGCCGGTTCTGATCCTCAGCTCTGGCAGTGGTTCTGCGCCGTTGATACTGATCGATCGGGCGCTCTCAGCGTCACAGAACTTCAGGATGCCCTGGTAAACGGTAAGTGGTGCTGCAATCTTGCAGATAGTAGTCGTGCTACAACTGGCGCTGCCGCTCTGCTCTACTAGGAAATTGGACAAGTAAGTGCGCCCCTTGTTGACGTCATGGCTTCTTGCGATTGGCAATACCCGTATCGCGAATCCTGGCGGGCGGGACATTTAGCGATCCTGCCAGGGCAGCAGCCGCCTGGACTAGGCTCTTTCCATAGACCCCTTTCTAACTAGTTACTGAAACCATGCTTAGAGTTTGATCTCGACACGGTGAAGATGCTCATGAATATCTTTGTATGTATAACCTCATTCCGCAAAAAAAAAATAACATTTAACTTCCCGCAGGATACCGATCGAAGTGGAACCATCGGCTTCAATGGTAAATAATATATCAAATTCTCCACTATCGCTGACACCGATGTGGTCTAGAATTTGCTGGCTTATGGAAGTATATTGCGGAGTGGCAACGGGTCTTCAAGCACTTCGATAGAGATCATTCTGGTTCCATCGAAGGACGTGAACTTGCGGAAGCCCTCCGTAACTTTGGTTACAACCTATCTCCCCCTTTGTTGCAAGCACTGGAAATCCGATACGGTACTGGAAACATTTTTTTTTGCAGCCAAAAATCTAAATTGTTCGATAGCATCTGCTGCACCTAGTGCGTATGGCCCCCCTCCTGGTATTACTTTCGACCGCTTCGTGAGGGCATGTGTGACCGTCAAGACTTTGACCGAAACATTCCAAAGGTATGACTTGGCAAAATTCATCCACGCCACGCAATTCTTAACGACTACTCAGGGCGGATCATGATAATGACGGCTGGATTCAGCTTAACTATGAAGGGTTTTTGAAGGTGAGCAAGTCGATATTGTGGAGTGGGGGGCGCACGCATCTGACTTGGTTGAACACTGCAGATCTCGCTGAGTGCGCCTTAATGTGATAAATCACGTCTGTATTCGTCATGTACATTGGAGATGTATGATAGCCTTGGAAATACGGTATTTCATGTATATGCAACCCTCAGCATGTATGAATGAGCCTCGCCAAAGATAATATTGATTCTTTCAGCGTGATGAAAATTGGTGCTACTTGGAATCTGCATGCTTTGTACATGTTTTAAACCCAATTTGGACCCGTGTACATGCTGTGTAACTGCGCAGTGGCAAGACGTCAATGAAAATCACGATTATGTAACCGTTAACTACTTCATTGCCAACTTTCATTCGTCCCTGCCGACATCACTATTATAATGGATTGCTTTTGTGAGACATCATACATTCTGCTGACCGGTTTCTGATACTTTCCCTACAGTTTGTCTACCAATCATTTGTCCGTGGGATTTCTTGCCTAGGATGCTCGTGTAATACGTATGTCGATATTAATATCCTTTGCAGTTGGCTGCCCCACAAAAGTTAATCCAGATGGGAATCAAGAAGCCAGAATATGTCCTCGGTGCCACAATGGTATGTCGTATAGTTCTACTACTGCCAATACCCAATAATCAAACCAAACCCTGCCTCAGCCGCAATGTTCTCCGCAAAGTCTAGGACCTGGTTCGAGCTGTGCTTCGTCCCACTCATTCCTATGAACTCGAAGCATGTTTGGATGTGTGGGATATGTCAGTTGCAGGTGAATATGCAGCCTGGGTGAGGAAATCATTTGGTCTATGATAGTTGAATTGCCAACATCCTTCGGCAGGCAGTGGGAGCCTCAAATTGCCCAACCTGGGTACCAGCACCCGCAGTTGCAGGGTCAGTATGGGTCGCCTCAGATCGTTGGATACCAGCCTGGCTACATCCAACCTCAGAAGTGAAACCCCTAATGTCGAGCGGTCGATTGAGTGTTATGTATCTTTGACTATTTTTTCCCCCTATGCATACCGGACATCTTGTACGACGAGGTACGATACTAGGTGTCTTTGTACAATTATTTTGGATATGGGACACTGTAATGCTGGTCACAATATCTACTTAAGTTGTATCATATATGGACTTGTCCTTGCGTTCTCCTTCGCTGTCGGAGACGGTAGATCATAATTCCAATGGCTCCAATCAAAAATCCGCATACTCCGCACACCACACAAGTCGCCACAGTATCCCTCACTTCCGTAGCTGAAGAACCAGGGCGTAGTATGGAAGGTGGGGGTGCTGGATCTTGTCCTCTGGACGATGTGAACTCTGCGAGGGCAGTGGATGGGTCCGTCATATTCAACAAACCGATCATCGGTGGATTGGAGGATGTTGTGCCCTGGTGTATGACGTAGACGTTCTACAAGGGTATTAGGGAGTATTAGGGGGGGTAAACATTCTGAACTTACCCTCAGGAACACAGCCCCGAGAAGCCAATCTCCAGAGTCGACCTATGGGTTGAAATCAGAACATAACCAAGATTCGGTTTGGGAGCACTCTCACTCCGTTGTTTGCTTGTATTCCACCGGTACACCAGCCGTCTTGCGTCTCACCCTCAGCCCAGCTGACATCCTCGGGATGAAGTGGATATTCTTTTGCAGTATCGGAATTGCCAAGTTTAATGCGCACGTCCACGGCCCTGTCGCACCTGACTTGCCACGTTTGTGTCTCTTGGTTGTACTTTGTGGACCCACCCGTTCCTATGGCATACCAGAACGCATCGACGTCTCCAGTCGGACCTAAAATGAGAGTGGTCCCGGTGTCAAGCACAGCTATCGGTGACGGTGCACCGCGGACCAGCGAACGGGAGAGAGGAAGAACCTGAGCGTTGATGGTAATTTGTTGAATTGGAAGCTTCCAGAAGTCGTACTCGTCCGGTGTTGATGCGAAGACCGGCGTGAATACGAACTGGCTTGTATCATTTGTCAGGGAGGAGTCCAATTCCCCGATAGTGAGCGATGAATCTGAATACGAAATGTCCTGCGACTCGTTTCGTCCTAATTTGAACGCAAAGAACCGGTGTTGGTCATCAAAATGAGCAAACAGATTGTCCAGGATGGGTGTCCCAGATGTTAGGGGGATGGAAGCAGCGGGTGGAAACGAGAGGCCTAGAATGCCCGAGTTTCCCGTGTTAGAAAGACCGAGACCACTCGTCTGGTTAGCCAAGGCTGCGCGGTGATTGTTAAGCATTCCAAAAGGACGTGAAACGGGAACCGCACCAAGCGTTTGAGAGGATATTTCATACGGGCCGAGTGTTACGGTCTCTGTACCTACTGTTCCCAGCACTGATCCCACCAGGTATGTCAGCTTGAAAGACTGATCTGATAAGGTCAGGGTGCTAGATGAGGAGGACGAATATCTTGTGATGCCCAGGCAATCTGGATCAGTACAATCTGATGAAACCACCCACTGTAAGATAGGAGTTGGCTTTCTGAATGTAAAAGATAACGGCAGGCTTACGAGGTCTGAGGAGCCGGTATCAAATGTGATCCAAAATTCTTGTCCCCCAATACTACAGATCAGCGGCATGAGAGGGGACTGATGGAATGACACCAGCACACGTACTCGGTAAGAATCAAATACGCACTAAGGGGCCATCAGTTAGATTACGCGAGTGGGAGAACACGAGACCCACTACTCCTGGCTACTGGCCACTGAAACATCACTAAGCAAAACAGATGGATCTTTATGAAGTCCACGTTGTAGGCGAAGCTGCATCCTTTGGGAAGGGTCACCGCGATAGTCTAACCTGTTTAAATTGGTCGCTATATCGAGAGGACACTAGATAATGAGTCAAGGTGATGATTTGGATTGGAAGAGGCCCAAGAAGCTTCTGAATCACTGACAATTGCAGGTTCTCTTCAATCGATTTGATTATATTTGATCGGTCTTGATTGAAATCTAACCTGAACTAGTTTCAGTGGAAATTCATGATGCGGTCTAAACCACGCAGGGTTACGTCAATGTAATCGGTTATGATTTAATGCTGTCGACCGCATCATGATAAATATGTAGTGCGCCAGCGTTATGTGGTGTTACTGGAAGAAGAATTACATGACTGACGAAACACGCATCTTCACTAAATGGGTAGTCCGCGACAATGAGGAAGTTCTAATCATCAAGGACTACAACCTTCCTGGGGATTCTTTATAGTGGAGCTCTAGGGGTTTACGCGCTGGTGCTTCAAAGTTATGTAAACCAACTTGACGTCAAACACGCTCGATGAAGCATACTGAGCGCGCCAGAAGGGCATTTCCAGAGCCAAGCATAATTTTCTCGTCGCCCAGATAGATGTGCAAGAGATGAGAGGCGGAGCGAAACCTGCCAAATCTCCATTCATTGTTGTGAGGCAGAGAAGGGACACAATGAGAGTGGCGGTCATGTGGCGGTGCTTGGGCGGTGCCCTGTTGTGTTGGCAGAGTCACGCCTCACGCACCTCGCGTCACACAGCACCAACTGCCAATTCACCTTGTCCTAAGTGTTTTCTTGCCTCGTCTCCCTTAGTTGCCACCGTCCGTCTCATACTTGAGCTCACCATGCATACCAGCGAATACGACTATCTTTTCAAGCTTCTCCTCATCGGTGACTCTGGTGTCGGAAAGGTACGTGGCTACTGCGGCGACTAATTTCAAGTTTCTGCTGACTTCGTTTCAACAGTCTTGTCTCCTCCTCCGTTTCGCAGACGACACGTACACTGAGAGTTATATCAGTACTATTGGTGTTGACTTCAAGATCCGCACTATTGAACTCGAAGGGAAGACCGTCAAGTTGCAGATTGTGAGTTGGGTGCCTTTCACGACTCCCCTTTGGAGTACTGCAGCCGGGCACTACCACTACGTGCATTGGAATGCGCCAGTGCAGTCAACATGCATTGCTCCGCGAAGTCGCCTGATTCATTTTTACATTAAATTGTTACTTACATACCATTCATATACGCGTTTCAGTGGGACACTGCAGGTACGTTCATACACTAGCTTCCATGCAACGGTGGGCTGACGCGAGACTTTTTTAAGGTCAAGAAAGATTCCGCACCATAACGTCCTCGTACTACAGAGGCGCTCACGGTATCATCGTTGTGTACGATGTTACTGATAACGGTGAGAATGCTTGTCTGAAACGCCGGCTTGAACGCTTACCCCGACAATAAGACACTTTTACGAACGTCAAGCAATGGCTACAGGAGATAGACCGGTACGCTTCTGAGGGCGTCAATAAGCTGCTGGTTGGGAATAAGAGTGATCTTACCAGCAAGAAGGTGGTGGAGTACAGTGTGGCGAAGGCAAGTATTCGCTTAGAATATTTCGTTTTGGGGTATTTTAACCACCTTAACAGGAATTTGCCGATCAACTTAGTATTCCTTTCCTGGAGACGTCCGCAAAGAATGCGACAAACGTCGAACAAGCGTTTTTGACGATGGCGAAACAGATCAAGGACAGGTGAACAAAATTTATCACCTAGCATTCATGTACTTTATCTCACTTGTTTTAAGGATGGGATCGACCTTCGACACCTGCTGGCGGCGCCAAATCGTCAACAGTTACTCCAGGGCAATCTGTTCAGCAACAGTCGAGCCCTAGTTGCTGCTCTTGAAGGAGGGTTGTGATCGGCTTGGGGTGGGGTTACGTCATCGAGATTGTACGCCTTTGCGATTAGTATCGTGGCTGCAAGAATTATATGATGACCCAATACTCAGGAGCGGGTTTTTTTATCATATTCCCTTCTACATATCATCTGCTACTTTGGACATGTTCTTTGCGCTTTATCAATTTTCTGCGTCCTAATTCTAGGCTTTCTCTGCTACTATCCTGCGTGATCCTGAGAAACTTGAGTATGCTCCTATCCCCCTTGAGTCGCCTTGAGTACTGATCAGAAGCTGACGGCCCTGACCCCACCGATCGTCACGGAAAAGATGGATGTTATCCTACGTTATCGCATGCATGTGGCCCATCAGAGGACACCCCAGGAATCAATTTATCTGATCAATACGTCACTATCGCGTCCATATCGGTCGGATTGAGCTGACATGCTGGACAACTGGTGAAACAATGATCGATAATCCACAGGTATATATACCCCTCTCTCCTGCGTTCAGTCTCCAGTCAATTCAATTGATTTCTTTCACTCATTACACTCATATGTCTACTCGAGGCAGGGGCGTACCGCAACAAGTTCTTACGAACTCCTTCGTGATCTCAAAACTGCCGACGAGAACACGCTACTTTCAATACGAAGGTAAGTTTCACTCTTACTACAATGACACAGCGGTTGAACTTCTGAATATAGTTGGTGAGTATCTGTACCCCAGTGGCCAATGATGGTACCTCACTCGGATATAGCGATCTCCGGCGGCGGGAGAGATGTCAAGAACCCTCGCAGGAGGATCGAGGTGTTCGAACGTCTCCAGAATCACACGGACCCAAAACTCTTTACCCCGCGTTGCATTTTTGACGGAACAGTGATCATGTATTCTTCTCGCGAGCTTCCATTGTCTGGCAGGGACTCACAAACCGTAAGAGTTACGGTGCTCGAGTCGGAACTACTAATCAATCTCTACCTTCGGTTCTGAAAAAGTTCGACGTCAACATGTCTGACAAACCCCGAGTGGATGGGTCTGCCCCAACCCGCGGAGTCCTCCAGGTAACGCTGAAGAAGGTCGCCGCCGATCCGATTGATTTCAAGTATGTATTTCTATCGAGCGAGTTTATTGTTCATTTTCCGCTTACTGACGAATTATAGTGGTTTACAAGCGTTCATTGACGGAAAGCAGACCAAGCAGACCGCTCAGGTCCTGACGGCAATCAACGTCTTGCAACTGATCATCCGACAAGCACCTAATTTGTGCGTTGCGCTTTTATCAGTATTTGGGTATGAATGCTCATTTTTCTGCAGGAAATATCCGAACAATACACGTGCGTTCTTTACCAAAGACGCTGGCATACAGACCTTGGGTGGAGGTTTAGAGTTATGGCGTGGATACTTCCAGTAAGCTCAGTATCTCTGGCGACGCATATTTGACCAACATACAATAGGAGTGTTCGTCCTACCATCGGAAAAGTTTTAGTGAACGTTGATGTGTCGACAGCGGTCATGTAAGCAAGCCCGCCTCAATTACTACAAATTAACACTCATATAAATTTCAGGTTCAAGCAGGATAGCTTCGAGGGCGCCGCTCTCGCTGTGCTGAAGCAGAGGGATGTCCGTGCGCTAGAACTCCGCGCAGATTCGCCGCAGTTCCGCCAATTGAAAAGTTTTTTCAAGGGCGTTTCTGTCACGCTCGTCCACCGGCCTGGCCTTAAGAAGATTCGAGGCTTAGTTGCCGGTGCTGGTAACTTCCAGTTCGAGAACACCACGGTGAAGGTAGGCTTCGATATGAATCGCATTAATAACAGCTCTTCTCACAGCGAGTGCAGGACTACTTCAAGAAAGCTTGGGGTCGCGAACTACACTATCCGAACATCATCGGGATTCAAGTTGGATCAAAGGATCGCGATGAGGTCATCCCAGCAGAGATGTGTGTTATCGCTCCCGATCAACGATACACCCGAAAGCTCCCTCCGGAATTCTCGCCGACTATGGTTAAATTTTCTTCGAAGAACCCCCAGGAGCGCCTGGAGCTCATTAGCGCCGGCATTAACAACTCGGTCACGGCCGACCAACGCTCTGTAAGTAATACATTCATCTTTACATGCGTTTAATTGACTGCTTGTACAGGCACTTGATTATCAGAATTCTCCGTTCCTGCAAGACGCTGGGATCACCGTGTCTCCGGAGCCGATTTCAGTCACTGGGCGTGTCCTCCCGACGCCCAAAATATACTATGGAAACCCTGCCAATAGCAGGCCAGTGGTAAGCCCAGGACGTCAGAATGCATGGGGCGCGATGATTTGATTCTCGACCTACAGCAACCACGAAACGGTTCATGGAATGTCATCGACCAGACCTTCCATGAGCCGAAGAGTCTGTCGTCGTGGGGGATCCTTAATTACTCGAGGGTCAGCGATCAAACCATCAATCGCTTTATCAACACTTTGCTCAACTCGTGTAAAAAACTTGGTACCATGCATCTTTTCATCTTCTATGTATCTCAAACTAACCTTGGCTGTCTTAGGAATGAGTAAATAGGACGTCGAATTTCGTTTCTAGCTGCTGATCGTTGTTTGACAGATTTAGCCCCACCCGCCGCGAGTCAGTCATGTTCTGGGGCGTCCTCTGTGGTGAACGTAAGCGCTACGTGGATTCAATCGTCGACATGGACTCATTTTCAACAGGATATGAGATCGCTTAAAAATTCCGTCAACAACAAGATAGGCAGAGATCTGGAAATGGTCTTGGCTATCCTACCGACGAGTTCCACCGATATCTATCACGCGATCAAATCATTTGGTGACGTTATCGCTGGTGTATGTGTGCTCTTATCTGTTCAGTTCGAATGATGCTTACATCCTGCCTAGTTCCCAACACAGTGTGTCGTGAGTTATGTCGCGTTGCTTGCGACCTCCATCATAATCCTTCTCCGTCTAGCGAGAGAACAAGATCGAGAGAGCCAACGATCAATACTGTGCGAATCTGGGCATGAAGTATGTCAAATCTCGATCTCTATCTCGTTGTGCACCATTAACTCGTTCGACAGGATCAACGCTAAACTTGGAGGCGTCAATTCGCTGCCAAAGTCAGGTGCGTTGGAGAAGCTTACAAGTGCTCCGTTATGATTATCGGTATGTACCGTCCCTGTTTGGCGCTGGAGACTCATCGAAGGCTGGTTCATCCTGCACCAGGTGCCGATGTGGGGCATCCTGCACCGGGCATGGTTAACCAGCCCTCTGTGGCTTCTCTTGTATATTCCTTTGATCGGTATGCTGCGCGATATGAGGCCATGATGTCGGTACAACACCCCCGTCAAGAAAAGATTGACGAGTTGCGTAAATTGGTATATGTGAGTTCTTTCCGTCTGTTATATGTACACGCGGTTCAACTATCACAAGCGCGCGATATACGAGTTTGGCGAACGTAACAGGCAAGCGCCTGTGCGCATCATCTTCTTCCGAGATGGCCTCTCCGAGGGGGAATACGCGCTCACGGGCAAAGAGGAGATTGAGGACATCACGGGTGAGTTAGTCCAGCGACGACCTTTTCTTTTCTCTCACCTCTACTAGGCGCAATCGATGATATCTGGCGGGACAAACACCTGAAAGACGGGAAACCTGAATTGACCTTCATAGTCGTGGGCAAACGGTAAGTCTACGATCTTTTCTACCTATTGACTCTTGTCGCTCATTCGCCGTTTCCTCAAGACACCATGTCCGATTCTTCCCGAAGAACAAGTATGTCCCTCGGCTATTACCTCCGTTTCTACTCAATTGATGAATGTATGTCTAGGAACGAGGCGGACAGGTCTGGGAACTGTCCCGCGGGATTCGTTGCGGATCAGGGAGTAGGAAATCCAGCAGTACGCGACTTTTACTTGCAATCGCACGGCGGTCTCCTCGGAAGTTCGTTCATTATAATCACTCTACTTTGTCGATTGCTGATTGTCTGTACAGCTAGCAGGCCGAGTCATTACATCACTCTTAGGGATGACATATACAAGCACAACACAGACGAGTAAGCCCGTTTCCCGCCATCTTGTCATATCCTTCTCACCTCGTTTTAGCCTGCAGGAGCTCGCGTTCACGTTGTGTCATGCATACGCGCGTGCAACGCGTTCCGTCTCGATTCCGGCTCCCGTGTATTGTGAGTGATGGACAGATATCTGTAGTACATGCGTCTGACACGCTACTTTTCTTTTCTCGCCCGAAGACGCCGATGTGAGTATCCTATATATTGTCCTGTCCCGCCTATCATCCATGCTGACTATTCGATAGATCGTCTGTGCGCGCGGCGCGTTCCATTTCAACCCTGCCATGGGTTTCGATGCTGCCACTATCTCTAGCAATGACGACGCTTTTGACCTTGAACGCTGGAGGAAGAATTTCAAAGACAAGCATGCGAACTTGTCAAAGAAGATGAATTTCATGTGATCTACTTGCCCAATGCTTTTTACTCGCAGAATGAGAATAGTGTGTATGAATATATCATGATGTATTAGCGATATGTATGTAGGATGGCGCAATATGTAAAGGAACTACTCGCACGCATTATTGTTTCGAGTTCCTGGAACCTGATGTAGTCAGATAAAGAATCACGTATCATGGACAGACACCGACCAATAGGTCCCTTGCAATTGGTCCTGTTTCGTATGTACTAGGGTCCAGACCGACCTATGATAATGAATAAAAAAGCCGTTATCGAGTCAGAGCTTGTGATTATCAGTGCCGTTTGTTCGTGCCACCGTGACGGGATAGAACAAGTTCAACAGACCGTTTTCGTGATTGTATTTTCTCTCGGGTCTTGGTTGATAAGGTAAAGTGGTACGGGGATGCACTACTACTCCGTATCAACCAAGACGTAAGGTAAGAGTGGCCTGTTGGGAAGAACTGACTCGGAAGCTGCGACTTGTTCGAACAAGTTACGTCACTAGCTTGTTATCTCGGGTCTTGGTTGACACGGTGAAGCGATACCGTGACGGGATAACCCCTCCCGGAAGCCCTTCACCGTACCAACCAAGACGTACGGTAAGAGTGAGCTGTTGGGAAGTACTGAAGCGAAGCTGGAGGTGCGAGTCCAACCTTTAAGTTCAAATTGGGCGGACTTTTAAATACCAGGTGCTGCTCAGTATGAAGTGCAAGCACAAGGGTGTCTATCGGTTAGCCATAAGCGCGACTCACAGACCTTCCAGTAAACGTGTGGATGTACACAAGACCTACATACCCAAAAATATCGAGTGGATGCTCAACTGGCCTTTTTGGAGCAAGGCATCGAAGGAAACACCTTGCGCGCAGGGCTATGCCACATCCATGTGGAATCTATTTGATATACATAGACCTATAAGTTTACTTCTACCACGCACAATCACAATCGCCTAAGTGGAATAGCTTCCTTTTGTTCACCACCCACGGGAAGCGAGTCTGCCCCCCTTCAAATTTTCATCGCTAAAGAATGATGATGATCAGGTGCGAACTAGCGCAAAGATAAACATGAAACTCACATCGTGAGACCGACCATAGGAGCACCGATATCTTCGGATACCTGATTTTGATTTCAGTGTGAAACATATAGAGATGATGAAATAAAAAGACTCCACCTCAGCGAGCATCTTGGGGTTGTTGTGATGAGTCACCTAGTGCGTCGTGTCAGTTGAGATTGTGTTATCGATTGGAAGGAGATAAGGTACCGCTTGCACGATGGCTCGTGCCCGTTTGGCCGGATCGCCAGACTGGAAAGAAATTGAATAGAGATTACCCGCGAGTCAATAGGGACCTACGTGGAAGATGCCAGAACCGACAAAAACTATTACCCGCTTGCATCAGTATCAGTGCCAACGAGGCTTTAATACAACTCACTTCCATCGCAACCCAGCTGCATCATGAGTGCTGCATCAGCTAAGATCCGTAGACGTCAGTTTTTGCCACTTTACAGCATCATCTGATGCACATACCAGGCGTGGCGATACCTCCAGCAGCGAAATTGACGACGGGTAACCGTTTTAGGCGGGCTGTTTCCTTGAGGAGATGGAACGGGGCTTGGATCTCCTTTGCATATGCGTACAGCTCTTCTTCGTTCATCACGCTAGCCTTTCTGATCTCGCTCATGACTGAGCGTTGATGACGCACTGCCTCGACGACGTTACCGGTGCCGGCTTCGCCTTTTGTCCGGATGAAAGCAGCTCCTTCTGAAATGCGGCGAAGGGCTTCGCCGAGGTTACGGGCGCCACACACAAAAGGCACTTTGAAATTGTGTTTGTTGATGTGATGTTCATTGTCTGCGGGAGTAAGAACTTCAGACTCATCAATGTAGTCTATGCCGATGGCTTGTAGGATCTAGGAAGGCGGTGCCAAAAAAGATAATTAAGCGAGTTGGCATCACGATGAAGATAGGGACTGGCCTGGGCTTCTACAAAGTGACCGATTCGTACTTTTGCCATGACTGGGATGGTGACGGCGTCAACGATGGACTTGATCATGGCAGGGTCGCTCTACATGATGGAGTTTGGATGAATGAAACATTGGTGAAACGGGAAGGCGGACCATGCGGGCAACACCGCCTTCTTGGCGAATATCTGCAGGAACACGTTCGAGTGCCATGACAGCACACGCCCCTGCCTCCTCGGCAATGCGTGCCTGAAAGGAGACGTGTTGAGTGAAAAGTCAGGGGCAGGATATGATGGTTCGCACTTGCTCTGGGTTGATGACATCCATGATGACACCTCCCTGGATGGATCAAGAGATAAGAAAGGGTAAGTATGCGGTTGGAGTGGGAGTACCTTGAGCATTTGAGCCAAGCCTGATTTGACCTGGGAATGGTGAGTACTGGATAGATATTATGGGATGTTGGATGCGACATACCCCAAATGTTCCCAACTTGCTGTTTCCTGTATCGCGCTGTGCTGATCGAGGGATGGTGGCAGCCGCCACTGGGGCGGTGGCAGATTGAGGGCCGTTTGAGGTTGCAACAGGAGTGGACATTTAAAAAGATGGTGAAGAGATACGATTAGAAAAAATTAGATGATGATTATAATATTCGCTGAGTCCCGAACGGAACGGAGTCATGGGTAAAATATGGGTAAATAATGCGCGTGACCTACTATGCGAGATGATTTACTCAGAATTGTGGCAGACAAGACATCGGATGAGAGGGATATGTATAGTTCTGAGGATGCGCCAACGAAGGAACATGTGACTACTTTTGGGCGGCAAGGCTATGTAGTCAGAAACCCTTGGACGTGAGCCAATTGATCACATCATTCTTCCAACGACCACCAGAGATGACAAGGTGCCTTTGTGCTATGACCTGGACTTTTAAACGATTGGCTTGTGGAGAATTGTGGCTGAAGAGGGATTGTTTCAAGTCGTTGGCAAGAGACTAGAGTTGTGTCAATAGACAAAACAAAAGGGATGAAAGACAATCACGTTAAGTTGGCCTTGGACGTTCCGAATTGAGACGATGTATTTTGTGCCACCGTTGCGAATGTCAGTATAGACAGGTAGGGAACCACGAGAATTGCGTGGAATGGAATAAGAGGCTCGGGTGATGAACGACATATTCCTGTGTTTACTGCGTGATAACAAGTGTTAGATCGGAATTTGAACTAGTTTATAACAAAGCCAGCAGAACTACCTGAATCCGTCAAAATAAATTTGAAATTGATGTAATGATGAAACCCCCCTTGATCATTTATATCTTCTGGCCTCCTTGCCTCCTTACGTAGCTATGGCGTTCCTACTCACTTATTTACCTTTATCCGAAGGTCTCACTCTCCATATAAGACCCCACACTATTCCGACTTCCTTCCTTCTCTCTCACCATCATGTCCTTGCTAGTATCGCCTGACTGCTGGTCATCAGTCGCACCTGACTCTAATCCCCTAGTTCCTCTAGATGAATATGGCTGGTCTGACCTATGGATTAATGCCTTTGACAATGCAAAAATCCCTTCCTATAATGCCTACTGTAAGCATCCTTTCAATTCCTCAATCCGCACACCTCCTAATAATAGTATTCTCAGTTCCTCCGTCCCCTTCTGAAACATGTTCCTCCTTCTCAACCGATCTATCACCATCCCCAGAACCAGTCACCATACGTGTAGTCTGTGACGTTCCCCTACTCGCTCCTCGTCCACTTCCATATCATTCTCCAACTTTCCTCAAATTCGATCTCCCCGATCCCGACGAAGATTTGTCACACCCACCCTACACACACAGACCTTCCAAACGGAAACGTGATCACAATGACGACCACGGCCATGATCATTTGCGTGTAAAACGCCGAAATCCTGGCTTACAACGATGGGCAGCCGGTGTCCATCGCCAAGCTTACTCCGGTAGCGGTACACAGGGCCGTTCTCACGTGTATACCGCTACCCGGCCTGATCGCTTACCATGAATCATTCCCCATCTTAGGGGTATCCTTCTCGCTTCATTTTATTCCCCTTCGTCAGTCATTCTCTCTCCTCAACCAACCTCTTTTCTAACAATCCCTCAGTCCATATCTGTATTATGCAAACCCGATTATGTATAGGCTCATCTGATGTTTGCCACATATTTTTGCCGCCCCACCGCCTTTCTATCACACAGCCTAATTCGCACAGTACGTTTCCTCCACACCAGACCACCGCAAGTTAGATTCATAATTACCAGCATAAACTCCACATTGTACAGTATTACATAGCATGTCATCTGAATCTTTCAGATAGTGGAATCGTAGCATATGATCATCACCTCATGCAAAGGCCCCACACAATTACCGCTTTCAATCGCAAGTTTCCACACCAAGCATCATGTTGCCAACATGTCATCTTGAGCCACCCCACGCCTTCCGACCTGGACGCCAACTGCAATATGTTCATTTCCGTAAATTCTATTCCATGGCGCGCGTCCCTGACGGCGCGGCGTTCTCAAAAATTCGCGTATATTCGACAACCGGATCCTCCCACTGTCCCCCCTTACACGTCAAATCCCATGCCAAATAAATACTTTCTACTTCAAGGTATGTACGCTCCACATCAACGCAGCTCACCACGGTGTAGAAGCAAGGACTCTATACCGCTCCAACAAACCTGATCAGGCAGTTAGTATTATTAGCATCCGTCCCGGTAGCCTTCCAGTTACGTTACAAACAACTTCTAGCTAGTGATAGTGGTCTAGGGCTCAACCTGTAGATCCAGAAAACTCTGCCTCAAAATCAAAAAACCCATTCGCACTCGCAGCTTTCCTCCGATGATTCTCCGCATGCTCACGTCGTATCTGAGCAGCCCGGAGGTCTATACTCGTGATTTCCAGTTCGTGCATTGCTCGTCGCACGGCTTTGGAAATTTGCACTTGTTCGGATGCTGCGCGCGAACGGCTGGCTTCGATGGCTTCGATTTGGGTCAGCTGTGTTGTGTTGTGTCAGATGTGATGCGATGTGATAGGAGTGGAATTAAGAATTACCTCGTCCTTGTATTTTTGGCCTAGGCGTTCTTTCAGAGTTTCGCGGCGCGTAAAGGGGGGGAGGAAAGGCGCTGTGGGGAGTTTGGGCATTTCACCTGGAGGTTCTTCCAAGTGTTTGAATGATAGAGCGGGAGATCCTGGCGTTGGTGGTGTTTTAACTGCATTGATTGCCTTGATAAGGTGAGTGGAGACGAGTGGCGCATTTTAAAGTCTCCTTCGGCGTCTTGGTCTGTGGACTCTTCCTTGGCTGAAACTGGAGAACGACCGGTGTGTGCGTCTTCAATGACTGATTCGGCTTTTAAACGGTACGTCTTCGTTAGGTTCAGCTTTAACATACGGAGAGGCAGATTTGGTGGCTGGTTTCTCATCTGGAGCGCGAAGCGAGCGTTGTGAGTGTGCTGGGGAAGCCGGGAGACGCGTCTCTTCATGCGCAGGCTTGACATCTCGAGACAAGGAGCGCCTTGAGGGACGGGGACTGGGAGTCCGACTCCCACGTCGCCTATCGCCGCGATGGTCTGAATAGTGACTTCGGGGCCCTGAAGGTGGATGGGGAGAATGCCCCGACTCGTGCTTTACCGGAGATCTTGATGAATACCGATGAGCGCTGCCATCAGAAGGTGGCCTGCTGTATCGCCTAGGTGAGTATGAACGACGAGAAGACTTTGTAGGTGAATAGTGCTCCCGACGGCGTTCATTTGAATCTACATATTAAGAGTCAATAGCATAGCATGCTTTGGGGTGTAAACGTACCTTCACGTGGAGCTCTATGCATACTCGATCTCTCCCTATCATCGAATCTTCGTCTATCATGGTGATTCCTATCATACTCACGACTCCTGCCCCGCCCTTCATAGTCCCTATCTCGCTCCGAATCAGCGGACTCGCCAGTTTCCTCCTCCATGGTAGCTACTCCCTCTGCGCGGCTGAAACACGACCCCTTCCGCGCCCTCGTCCCCTCCCTGAATGTTCATCGCGCGTCCAAGCCCTGTCGTCCCTACGCTCCGAAACCCTTCTGTCAGGCTCCCATCCTCTCTCTCTGGGGCGCTCATCACGGTGGTAGTACTCGCGGTGGGTATCATTTCGAGAAGGCGAAGTATAAGTGTCTCTTCCTCGAGGTGAACGTGGTGCTGGTGACCGGGGAGGATGATAACTTCTATCTCTATCTCTGTCTCGTTCTCGTTCACGGTCGCGGTCTCTATCATCGCGTCGCGGACGGTAATGGTCAGGTGCGGCCATTGGCACTGGCCTGCCTACATATCGCCTGTCATCTGTAGGCTCAGGCCAGCTATTTGCTGTTCTGCTGACTTCTGGTTTGGGAGGTAGACCGCTCATGGGGAGTTGCATGAGTTTAGATATTTGTGTCGGAGGGTTTGTGAAGGGTGTATTTAGTGCCGCGGAGATTGAATTCGACCTGACTGGGTTGGTGCAAATGCTTGAGAGGACTGTAGTGAGCGTCAGACATGCCTGTTGATCTAGTCCCACTAGCTTCGACGTCTCAAATAGAACACACCCCTTCTAGAGAGGATGGTATACCTGCGGAATTGGAAGAGGATCTGAGAGCATTTGGGTGCAAGCTTATTCATGAAGCTGGGATATTGCTGAAACAGTACGTCCGGCGCAGCGTTTACAGTCGATCAAATTATGAAACCTTTGGACAGAAAACAAGTTGCTGTAGCCACAGCTCAAATCCTGTTCCAACGTTTCTGGTATACAACTTCTATGAAACAGTTCGGTATCGGTGTGAGTCACCTGCTTATCTCACCACCAAAGACCGACATCCATATTCATCACAACAGGACATCGGAATGGGAGCCCTATACCTCGCATCCAAACTCGAAGAATGCCCACTCCGAATACGCGACCTCATCAACATCTACGACCTCCTCCTCCAACGCACCTCCCACACCCTCTCCTCATCACCCAAACCCAAAGACCCCTTCAAATACGCCCCAATGTCTTACTTCGGCAACACCTTCTACGACCTCAAAGACGCGCTCGTCGTAGCTGAGATGCAGATCCTCAAGCGACTGGGGTTTAACGTCCACGTGCTTCTGCCATATGGCACGCTTATAAACTATCTCCGCGTTTTGGGGTTGACGAGTCGGAAGGATGCTTGTGCGAGGGCGTGGGGGTACCTTAATGATGCGTGAGTGATTCTTGTCACTTGTGGTTTGTGTTGCGTGTTCTGATGGGATGGGAGCATAGCATGCAAACGCCCGTTTATGCGTTATATGCAATCCCGACGATCGTCAGCGCAGCTATCCTCCTTGCTTCTCGTCAACTTGATATAGCATTGCCTTCTTCGCCGCCTGATTGCTGGTGGGACCTTTTCGATGCACCTTGGGAGGACGTGTGGAGCGTTTGTGGGTATGTTATGCGTTTGTATCGTGAGCGCGCGCCGGAGGAGAGGATGAGGGTGTTGAGATTGGTGGGTAAGAAGGATGTGAGGGGGTGGTTGGAGGAGAATGCTGTTGGGCAGTCTTGATGCGGTCTTGGCGACTTGGGCGGATGTGGTTTTGGTCCGTGCGGCTCTGCACGCTGCGGTAGCTTTATGGACCATGTCCCTGGGCGGATGTAGTTTGGCCCGTGTGGCTGCGGCTTTTGTCGCCGATCTGCATGCTGCGGTCGGTAGCCTTATGGTCCGAGATGATCATGCATCTGTCAATTCATTGGTCACCGCAGCTTTGACAAGCCGTTGTCGCCTCCGCGAGTTATAGTCCCGCTCCACTCGGAAACGCGTTGAGGATGGCGCTGACATCATCTCACCGGGACCCTGTTGACTGGGGACTTTGAACTGAGATATACCCAGGCTTGCTCTTACTCCTCTTTCCTCGTCGCCCCTTCGTTTGTCCTCCCCCCATACGCATCTATGCTCAGCACGCCACTCTCTGGTCCTTCGTTTGTCCTCCCCGCATACGCATCCACGTTCAGGAATGCCTCAGTTCTACATCGATTAGCAGTATATCCCTGTATTTGAGGATTTGTTTCAAATCATTGCATGTTGTATGAGTTGCAAACCTCATTGCATTGGTATGGTGAAGCTGCACGTTTGTGCACCCATCAGTTCTGCTCGCAGCACCGGTCCTGCCTCGTTTGACGTCGACTCGATTTCAAAAGCATAGTTACCGTTGCCGGGCTTGGAGTTCGCTTGGACTTGGAGTAGCCTGTCGATTTTCCATAGATGGCGCTAACTGATCTCCACCTAAGCACCATTGGGTAGAGACGCTCAACATCGTAATCACTGAGAAGGAACGACTGTGTTGTCTGCCTAGGGGGGACTGGTTCGACTCATCTGTGGGCAGCTGAGCTCCTCTTGCCTCGTTGTCTCTTTCATACCCTGCTTCTATGGAGCACGTCCAGCATATGTGAGTATGCTTATCGATAGGCTGTGGACTTATCCTTTCTACATCCATTAGCATTACGCCCCTGAGCTTGTCTACAATCGTTGCGTGCTTATTTGGTCTGCAAAGAGCGCCCCTGAGCCAAAACTTTTTTTGATTAGCTCCCTGCAGGATGGCTCGGATCTCCATGTTGGCAAAAACATTCCAACTCTACCAGCCCCTTTTGGTTCTACGCCACATGCCCTGCTGCCACTGGATCCGTCATATCATATACGTCCAAGCCACCCCAAGTCACTTTGCGGCAGCCCTGCAAGCTTCTAGGGGCTTGTGAGAGGCTAGTACATACTCGATTGGCAGCTTGGCACATTGCACTTCGAAATTCTGAGTCGGAAAAAAGTCATGGTCGACGTAAGGTGAGGCCCTCGTATTGCCGACGCCATCATTTTCCCCCTTTCCCTCGCTAACGGAGTCTTGAATCATAAAATCAATTTTTGTCTAGGTTATCATGGTTTGGAAGTCACTGTCCAATCGAGCATAGGTCTGGTACGCACCGAGAACCAGGCTCAGATCAATGTGTTCTAGAGCAAGGAATCATCTCCTAATGTGACTTGACAATTAAGCTGTATCGCTTACTCCCTTGGAAAAGATTGACAGGTTGGACCCTTGCAATGCCTGTCTTGAAGAACCGACAAAGACTAATTACCGAAAAAATGATGATGACATAGGACTTGTCTGCACCGGGGGATGGCACTCCCGGTGAAGATCACCGCTAATACAACTAAAAGGAGCCAGAACTGCTCGCAACGGTAGGATGATTTTCCTGAGTCTTGCAAATATATTTATATTTACTTCGGATAGTATACCACTCCACACATTGCCAGCCAATTCATTTAAAAGAAGCATCAAAGTATCCTCATGGAGTACTTGTGACAGAATTAATATTCGTGCACGTTGCACAGCATCATCAACTGAAGCCCTTGCCAGCTTCCAGCGCTGCATGCGCAGAAGCCCGGGAAGAATCAACCCCGGAGCGCCCGAAGTGGTCATATTTGCTCAAAGCGAAGGCATGCCGTATATTGCCCCATTCGAATGGAGAACCGAGAATCCTTAACACGATCTCATGCTCCCCGTCGACCTCCGTAGACAGAAGACTGTTCTCGTGATCGCGGGCCCAATTGCTTGTCATCACCCTCGTTGATCAGATCTCAGAAGCAGCACCCGTGAATAATTGTCGGAGTCTCTGTTTAGCTTAGTCCATGGCGTACTGACTCGGAGAACACCTTGTGGGCTACATAGTAATCCCGCTGGCTAATTTTGCTCGGTCGATGATATTGACCCTCTGTGTACTAGTAGCATCTGATCTTGCTGGCTGGCAGGTCATTTGCGGTGCTCGGCTCCTCTGGATTCTGGAAGGATTGGAGCCCGCCATGCGGTAATCATCAATCACGACAAGTAAATCCAATTTTCGATGATTTGTCTCACATGGGTGGACCTTACAAACGGCAGTAGGCAATACGTTTACTACTGCCATCGTGCTTGGTTTCGATCTTGCCAGGACTCGGTAGCATCTTGTGTTATGTATTGTCCATGACCATGATGAATAGTGCTCGTGGTCAATGCATTATTCATGATCATGAACCGGTGACTAAAATACTGCGAGGGCTGCCAAATCTATGCCACGGGTGGACACGCAGGCAGTCGACACTGTGAATCAGTAATCCCCGACCATCAAATGGTGATGAAAAAAATGACCGACGTCAGCAGGATTCGAACCTACGCCCTCAAAGAGGAACAGATTTCTAATCTGTCGCCGTAACCACTTGGCTATGACGCCATCGGAGTTTATACGGCGACATGCAAATAATTATCGATTATCCTCCTTTGAATCTTCTCTATCTTTTTCAAGTTTTCTTCATCGTCTTATTTGGCATCCTCAAGGCAAGGCGAGCACGCAAGGCTGAATTGTTGAACTGATATATGCAGGACGGAGGCCCTCTCCTTGTTGGTTTCGACCTGATAGCTCCCGCACAAATCACGGTTTCCTTGTATTCGTGCAAGCGTACCCGAGATGCTTGGAAACCGTTGTTTGTGCAGTAGCCCAGACTTACAAATATTGCTTACAGACTTCCTTTCTTCTACACCGGTTTTTTCTAGCACCTTCAATCGCGAAAAACGGCCATACCACCTCTCCGTTTCTTCCAGCTGGGAAATGTTCAGTGCACCGAGTCCACATAGTAGACCATCGACCTTCGGGGTGTCCTGAAAGAAGGGATTCTAGTGACAACCTTACCTTGTGCCTCGTTGCACCTTTTGTTGACTAGGAATGTCGTCATCTAAATGTTGTGGAGCTGGCTAATGTCTTTAGAGAACAGTGGAATATGTCCTGTCTGTTCATGTTCCCTGAAGATCGAGGATGCACGGCCCAGAGTGAACGAATCACTGGCAAATCACACGGTCGGATCTTTATCTGTCCATACGAGCGCGTCCATGAGAGGCGTTGGGTCGAGCCTATGCAAACGTCGCTTGTTTCGTCGCAGGCAATATCTTCAGGACCGTTGTTGTTCCCGCCTCTTCGTACTTATTCAATGCATCCTTCTAGTTCCTGCTGCAACTCCTTCCTCAACTCGTTGGCAACCTCAACCTACATTTCAAACGTGTTCGCGAGTCAGCAAGTTACCAGTTAGCCAACGCCTTTTGGCTGGCGCACTGGCCAGTGTCCCTAGCTCTGACCTAGTAAGCTACTGTTTGTGATGGAGGTTCTTCGAGTGATTGAATGGTTTTGCAGCTCATTAATGAAGAAACACTTGGTCCGGTCTCTGTTTTTCAGGAATGCGTTACGCTTCCATTACCGAGTTGATCATAAACTATGATAAGGATATTGAAAGCCTGATACGTCGGTGACCCGATTGTATCGCGGTTTATCGTGACCTTGACATCTCTTTGTTGCACCAGGACCGCTACAACAACAAGAAGTGGGCGCTGTGTATGGAGCACCATATACCTTCTGTCAAGTGTTGAAGGACTCGCCGCAAGAATGTCAAACTCGGGTTCGCCTTCTGATTAAGTGCATAAATTGGCTATTGGGTGTTTCGATGGTTGTGGACATCTCGCGATAGGTCTGGCATGGGAGAAGGTACTTGCAACTATGCTATATGAAACGGCGGTACGTTGATCCCGCCCATTCTCAGTCATGATCTAGCTTCCTTTTGACGAACACTTTCGGTATACCAGATTGGCGAATTGATATACACTGAATAATTTCCTTTGGACTGTGGTCTCATCCTGTTATGCGGCGGGCGGGATATAGTGTTCATCGTCGAGTGCCCCGAACTTATATATGTGTTGATTTTTCAAACACGTGACCGCCGCGTCGCGATCGGCTTTGTTTATTGGCGTGCAAGTTTGGTGCAAATAAGGTTCAAACCTGGAGTATAAATACCTCGTGTTTGCCGTCGCACTGATATCCCTCAGTCAGTCCCGCCATTATCGTCATTTTACGCTCGCCAGCTTATCTTTACGATCCTCTTTTCATTCGCCAATATGATCTCTACTACTACCCTGACCCGTGCCGCCCGTGTTGCCTTCCAAGGCTATCTTACAGCCGCTTTCTTCAAAATAATCGTCGTCGACCGCACTATCGAGGTCGTGTCCAGATCAGAGAAGGTCTCCATTCGCCTTGTCACATCCACTGTCTGCTCCTCGACAGCCGTTCTTCTCATAGCCACCACCAAAGCTGCTCAACAATTCCTCAACGACGATCTCCAACGCGTCCCCGCTCACAAGGACGTCGACGATGCCGTTGGGCCCAATGCATGTTTTGCTGGCGGTAGAGTTGCGGATGCTATCTCAACAACCAAGGCTTTTGGAGCACCAGCTCAGCCATCCTCGTCGCGTGCAGTGATTGAATCAACTGAACCCGCCTTTGACGGTCCCACCGAAGGCTTGTCGACAATTGATTCTGATACGACACTGATAGCCTGTGATAAAGACTCGGCTAAGGACATTTTCTCCGGTGATTGTGTCTCAGACACCACAGACCTTGACTCGGAGTCGCTTGCTGATGAAAGCACTTTATACGAGGTGGGTAGCGCGTTTCTTTCCGACTTTTGTCAACTAATGTTTGGGTTTATAGGACGACTGTCAGGCTACAGCACAGTGCCTTACAGATGATGAACCGGAACACATCTTGCACGCTGAATATGACTCTCAGACTATCAACGATCCAATCCAAAGAATGGCAACTCTTTCTCTCGACCATGTACCGTCTCATTTATCAAGTCTCAACAATGTATCTTCTCTCATTTCAACTATCTCTCTCGACGATGTAGCTTCTCATACTTCGATTCTCCCTCTCGACAATGTACCCTCTCACATTTCAACTATCTCTCTCGACGATGTAGCTTCTCACATTTCAATTCTCCCTCTCGACGATGTACCCTCTCATTTATCATCTCTTTCTCTCGACAGTGTACACTCTCACTTATCAACTCTCCCGCCACAGCACATTCTATACGCCCACACTATCAACACCCTACCTGACCCGTCTCAGCCTTCGGAGCTTCAGTCAACACATGCCCTAAATGATCGCACCATCACCAACCTACCTGGAACTCCTCCTGATTCTCAGTCATCGAAATGTCAGCCCCGATCCACCCAAGTACAAGACTGCCCTATCGACGACCTAATTCGAAGAATGTTAGATCTTTCTCTCGACGATGCTCCCTCTCAATTATTGACACTTGGGCCATATCACGCTCTACACGGCAGACCTGTCGACGCGTTACCTAATAACACAAAAGTTCTTGCTCTCAATGACAGCCTCGCTATCAATACACTACCAGAAAACCCAGACGCTCTTACTCTCGACGACAATCATGCTATCGCTATTGACGCTCTACTGCAAAAATCAGCAGCTCTTACTCTCGACAACCACGCTATCGCTATCGACGCTCTACTGCCAATGCAAAAATTAGCAACTCTTACTCTTGACGACAACTACGATATCAACACGCTACCCAATAACACAGACGCTCTTGCTCTCGACGGCAACCACGCTATTGACGCTCCACCGCAACAATCAGAAGCTCTTACTCTCAGCTTTGATGCCTCTCAGTCATCAAAGCTTCAGCTACAACACATGCTACACGACGACACTGACGACACGCTACTCCACAACACGGGTGCTTTTTCTCTCGACGACGGTTCATCTCAGTCATCGGAACTTCAGCTGCAGTCCACCCTAGACGATACTATCGACGTGCTGCTGCAAAAAATGGATGCTCTTTCCCTCGACGATCATCCCTCTTGGTCACAGCCGCGGCACATCCTATATGACGACACTCTCGACGATAGCAGTCCTCGACACTTGCACCACAAGATTTCCTACACCATGATGCCGCCAACACCCTACTCCGAAATACCAAACCTCTTACTCACGATAGTTGCTCTTAGTCCTCGGAATTTCGACTACGACACACCCTACACGACGATGCTATCGACACCGTACTTCGAAATGTGGAACCTATTATTCTCAACGGTAGTCCCTTGCAGTCGCCAAAAATTTAGCCACAACACATCCTATTAGCCGCTGAACTCCCCACGATGTCTACGAATGGTGAGTGGCCCATCCATACTCTTTCCTCCCTTACCAATGTCTCAATGTTATAGTCCCCTACGACTAAACTCGTCAGACGTCGACTCATCCAACATCTCCGGTGTCAGAGTCCCCTACGACCAATCCGGATGATACCTAATGGCCTCCCTCGCTGTCCCCTACGACTGGAGTCACATTATCCACGAGGTTGCAGGCCCTCCACACATACTACCCAACATAGCGCAAGTCTTCGATGAGTCAGAGGTCCCCTACGACCAATTCTCGACGATGCGCCAAACGGCACAACGGCGTCCTTCACTGTCCCCTATGACTTGACAGCTGAAGGCCATCGCCCACAATCTTACAGTCCTGCACATTAGTAATACATCTAGTAGGCCAACTTGGTCCCTTCGCATTTTCCTCACTACCCATCAACGTTTCAACTACCCATACTACAGAGTCATTTCGATCTGTATTCTTTTTTATTGCTACGATCATGGACTGTCCATTTAGTTTACTTATGCAATCTATGTTTATTTCATTGATGTCCTGTTCCCCTCCATGAATACAATTTTCTTCCATGTTCTGAAGGCGAGACATTTTCGAGGCTCAGAACATTCTGTTACCAAGGCTGCAGTGGCTATCGCATTGCAAGATTGCTCTATTGAGATCTGATTCCCTTCATTTTCTAACGATGCCATTCTATGCGTAGCTGTCAGTTTTCGCATTAGCAAGCAAAAATTCAGATCTATCGATCGGCCAATGATATCTGATTTTTACAGATAGTAGCAATAGTTGTGCAAGGCTATTTGGGCTTAAAACCGAAGGGTTTGCGACCCGAAACATCGTTTCGAACCTATGCAGAAAGTCCAGGATGAGCCGTGATGCGTTGATGGGAGGGTGGGCCCCAGCAGCTCAGAGCAGAGAATTGTTTCGACAATTCTGCCAGAATCGAAAGTAATGCGTCGAGTAAAGTTTCACTGGCAACAGAATAGTGAATCTTAGAAGACAAGGACGAGACGGCAGGCCGCTAGAAGGGAGTGGAGGTCGGGTGCGACGAAACACGAGTGTAGTCGGGCAGTAGAGAACTTGTGAACACTACATGGTGGTATGAAGCAAGAAAGGTGAGAACCAGAAAAGTTCGTGTTGCCGCGTAGAATATAACCTCTGCGCTTGCCAGGGGTCACTTTATAATGCATTGGCATGACTGTGATGAATGATCATCGTAGTAGATGCATTATTTTTCGTGCCTGATATCGTACGGTTTTCCAAAAACCACCAGTGCAGTCGGACCTGATGATATGATCATTGTAAGTAGCAGATGAACAACACTGGTAATGGCTCACGCTTCCCTGGCAGAGGTAACGGTGTCACCATCTGCCTTCTGTAATTCCAGAGTTGAGAGGTGTCATTTTTAGGATCACCACAAGAGAACGCGAGGGCACAAACTTTTGGGATTTAAGAATTGTGGCGTTTTCGGATGTAGGATGACTGCGAATATTGTTGAACACAGTTGCATGACATCTTGCAGTAGACTCGGAACGGTTAAGCCAGAGGTTCACCACTTGTTACAAATGACTGTTCATATAATTTTGGTTTGGCATGTATAACATCTCTGGTAGTATATCGGATAGTACACCCGCCTGTCACGCGGGAGAGCGGGGTTCGACTCCCCGCCAGAGAGATTTTTATCCTGTGGCGGACCTTTTAAATGGCGGAAGCACATACAAACTCATCATGGTGTAGCATCGTCAGGAGATTTCCTTGATGTCAGACGTGACTATGATTATGTGCATATGCACCATGCCATGGCCACCCGATGCAGATCCGTGTGAAGCGCTTCTGGAGGCGTTCCGGCGATTCAACATCGAAGATTACATATCAGCAAGTATCCAAAAGGTTTCCGAGGCAAGTTTAGGATCGCCCAGGACTCTGACTTCCACTATTGTAACGAACTGCTGCAAATTTAACGACTCATGTTTCTAAATCTTTAGCCACGGTTCAGTGCACCGTGTCAAAAGTTCCGTCTTGTTATGTCGGTGATTGCTCATGCCCAGTGAAAATCGACAAGTTAGAGGTAGATATGTAACAATAGACATAGAAAAAAAAATCAGGACATCAATTCTATCGACCCATTTCGAGGTATATCCCTAAATTGTGACTTTTCGAGACGCAAAAAGATAGAGATCGAGACGAGTTTTTAACGTTTAGATAGGATTCTCGATGGCATTAGATCTTTAGATAGACATTTACATGCACATTATCACTCGATTTGGCTTGAAAAACATATCGATATAGAACTAATGCGAACAAATGAGGCTATCTATGGGTATCGCTTGGGTTAGGGTGGTATCGCCATCATTCGGTGTAGTATCGCTGCTTGCTGCGCCTCGCCCGCCCGCCATCCCGCCATCCACTACTCCTCGTCCGCGCCTGCACCATCGCCAGTAGTACTGACTCCACTGGCAGCTGATTTGAGCTATAGAACAGGGCTATTAGTGTAGTACGATGAAATAGAATATAGTGGGTAGCGCTCACCTGAACAGCTGCCTTGCATTTGTATATCTACAATAGTAAACGGTATTAGATAGATATCAATATAACAAAAGAAGACGCACCTCTTTGTCGGCTTTAGATAGCCCAATCCAGTAAGATGCGAAAACGGTCGCTGGTTCCTTTTGATGACTGTTTGATTGCCAGTCGAGAGCACACAGGTTTCTGTTTGATATGGATCACAGAATCAGTGTAGATTGGTCTGGTAATAATAGAATATCTTACCGCGCAGTGATCTTTGGGCTCACCCGCATTGGCTTGGTGCTCGGCTGGTGCTTCTTGATGCTATTAGGCTTCGAGTCGCTGACCACAATCGCGGTCTTCGTTTGTTCAGTATGAGTCGTTCCAACGAGTTCCACTTTCACAGCTAGTGAAACTGCATCGGTGTTCGATTGGACCCCTGGCACAGAGACTGGTGTGTTCTCGTTAAAGGGCGGTATCATAGCAGAGTGGGATTCAGAAGGCGGAGAACCGATAGAAGTCGGAGGAAGTTGCTGTGGAATAGGTCTGGGCCGAGGTTTGAGAACAAGATTAGAACTAACCGGTTCACGATGGTGACCATTTGCTTGTCAATCGAGCGCACACAGATTACTACGAAAACAGATCAGAAAATACTAGTACGTGATATCAACTAAGACGTACCAAGGCGTTACTTTCATGCCAATACACATTGGTTTTACACTTGGCTGATGAGTCTTCTTAGCAGGCGCAGGAACTACAAGCAGCTCTTTCTTGACCGAGAGCGATATACAAAAAATATGGCACTTACCTCATTCTCTTGATCACAAGATTCAATGCAAGGAATCTCGGAACTTATCGAGGCTGGTGAAGGTGAGTCTGGGAGGCTGGAATGAACACTCGTAGTACTGCCAGTTCGCTATTTTTTCAGTGCTGGTATTGGTTGAACTTCGACATCAGGAGATACAGCTCGTTTCAGGGGATTAGAGGGGGGAGGTGGCCAATATATCTGGGATCTCGATGGAGGACTCGTGAGTTTCAGGTGTCGTGTCAATGTCATCAGGAGCGCACCAGCAATAAGTCCAGTAGACGGGATTGTCGTGAATGACAATCCACGAAACAAGTCCAGCTCACTACTAGGAGGTGAGCTGCAAAAAGAAAATATCGCCCCACGCCGACAATCTGAATTCTTCGAGCTTAGCGCTGGCTTTGCTTTTGTTGAGCTCGACACAGCCGTTAAGTTAAGTTCTTCCTCCAACCAGGCAAAATAATGGGTTAGGGCAGTCCCATTGCGAATGTAACAGCGCCTGAACTAGGGAGGGTGAGTGCCGCACTTGTTCAATCAGGGCAGGTAAGGGATGAGAAGGATGAGAGAGCGAAGGGCTGCTGTAGATTAGTTTGATGATTCGAAAACGAATAGATTTCGTGTGCGCGATGCTACTGTGACTGGTTAATGAAGCGTGGAAGACGAGATTGGTTTGAGTGAAGTAGAGAGATTAATCAGTGTGATAGAAAGACCAGTGACCAAGGAAACATAAGGGAGAGGCACAAAGAACTAGCAAGGACCGAGTTCCTCTCCTCAAGGACAACACTGGCAGTCACATTAAGCGAAATAACTGCTCGCCGCCCTGGGCTCGCGGTTGTCGTGTTGTGCTAGCAACACAAGGGAATGGTCGTATCGAGCTGGACTCGGTGTCACGGCAGGGGCGAATGACATGGTGGGTGGATGAGAAGATGCGAGTGGTTCAACTGTACTAGGACTCCAATAAACATAATGCAAATACGGTTATGGACTTGTGCAAAATACACACGTGCATTAAATGCATGCAGGTGCAAAATTTGTCGCAAAGTTGCAAACTACGCAATCGAGGTCTGACATGTTTGCATTTTTTCACCTTTGGAAAGATTCTTTGCGTTTGCACGAAATTAGAGTTTTGCCTTCTCGAATTTCTTAGATTTGTATCCGTCTCATTTTGTACTTAGACGTCTATCGGCACGTATCTACCTCATTCTTGTCGATTTTCACTGGGGCTCATGAGCAAGGCCGCCTCGGCGTGGCGGTCCTCCTGCAACCGAGTTACCGGACGAGCGCTTAGTCGTCTTCAAAGCTTCCACTGCGCCCCACCACCATCCAGATTCCAGCGAGCTTTCCACAGCACTAGAACCAACATTTATCACCTAGAGATTTCTATCACTCCACGGTAAGTGGCGCAGTTCGAATGTTTTGCTGCCCAACTTATCACCGTTTTGCAGGATTACTACGCCAAATTGACGCCAAAGCATTATTTCTTAACTTCAGCAGCCTGTAATCCTTGATTCAACGTCCTCGTAAGTCGCGAGGTGCTCCTCTTCTATGATTTCTAACTGTCGTACCCCACTAGTACTTCTCGGAGTTTATTCCGCTTATCTGTATCACCCCCCTTTCCAAGGAGTCAATGTCAGCATAGCCATCTTTGATCCACCCTCTTGTTATCTGACATCATCAACAGTTCTTTGATATGTCTGAAGGAGCTTGGGAGAAGTTTTCCCAGGTCGCTGTGAAGGGTGCTGAACATGACTCTCGTGAACGCCGGCCCCATCCTAAATGTTTGGAAGGGACCCGGGTGGTCCTTCTTAATCACATTTATGGATTTTCAGACACCAAACAGAAGAATCGACTCATCTGGCTGCATGGCACAGCCGGCGTTGGAAAGTCTGCTGTTGCGTTCACTGTAGCTGAAAGAATGAGAGGCATGAAAATGACCGAGGAGACGAAAGTAGAAACGCGGCTCGGTGGAACATTCTTTTTCTCGCGCAAGCATACGAAACGCCGCACGACTGGTTATTTCTTCATGACGCTTGCTTACCAGCTGGCCATCAATTTTCCCAGCGTCCAGCCAGACGTGAACAGAGCTATCCTCAAGGATCCCTCCCTTCTAGACCCCGACAAGTCACTTCGCAAGCAGATGGAGGGGTTGTTTCTGCAACCTCTGCGGAAGCTTCAATCCAGACTACGCGAGTGTCCCCCTTTGACGTTCGTTGTTGACGCACTTGATGAATGCACACACGAATCCTCCAATGATTACTCATCCGAATCCAGGGATGAAGGTGAATCTGAAAGCGAACTTACCGAACTCATTTCCCTGCTCGCCCAAGTTCTTCGCGATCCTGATCTGCCTTCGATCCACATTCTAGTCACGAGTCGCTCGGAAGCGCACATTTGTGAAGCTATGCAGAACGAAGATGTGCGCCCGCTGTTGTGCGAGATACCAGTGAAGATTTTGGGGGAGGGTGTTGCTGGCACCATCTCGCTAGACGGCGTAGATGTTGACGAAGATATCTATCGTTTCTTGGAGCATTCCTTCAGTAAGCTGCGAAGTCGCTGTCCCACCTTCCCGCAGCCGACGAAGGATCAAATTGAGAAGCTGGCGATCCGAGCAGGCAGACGTTTCATCGTGGCGTCTACAATGATGAAGTTTATCGATGATCGACACAACGACCCCCGTGACCGACTTCACCTCATGCTCGAGCTCACAAGTGAACTGTTACCAGGAACGGAGGTGTACGAGTTATACGACCGCATCCTCTCCACATGTGCTGATCCGAAGCGGGCATACCTACACTTGTCCGTTGTTGCTGCCCTTACAGATCCTCTACCAATCTCACAAATCTCGGAACTTCTTGGCCCTGGTCAGGGAAGGGACGTCAAGGAAGTACTGGTGCAACTGCGGTCTGTCATGGATGTTCCTCTCTTCAGCAGTCTTCCTGTGAATATCTATCACTCGTCCGTTCGTGACTATGTTTCCCACCGCTCAAACTGCAGTCTCTATACCACTTCACCTCACTCCCTACTCGCACATTCTTCTCTCCGCTTGATGACGCAAGAGCTCCCGGGTCGCTCAGCCCTGTTGGATGCGCTCTTATCACTGAAGAAGCACAGTCAAGCTATGGAACCCCAGGACCCCAAGAATCTAACACACTCATTATCTTTCATCGTCCAGCCGCCGGAGCCAATGCAAGTACTTGTAACTCTCCTATGGCTTCGGGGGAAATCACAGTCCAGAGTTACAATTCTGGTTAGAATCTCTGGACGGGCGTTCCTGGCTGGAAACGCTGGACGGGCGTTGTTGGCTGCGGACTCAAGGAGGGAAAGACTGGCTGCAGACCCAAATGTCGCAAAGCTGGTTGGACATCTCCAACCCGCTACAGATCCAGCGCGGGCAAAACTTAATAGTCTTCCTTAATAATTGGCAGACTATAGCAGAAGGAAGTCGGCCATTGCTTTTATATGAAAACTTACTGCAACCCTCGCTGCGGAACCAGTCTGTGCAGGAACCGCTGCAAACCTGTTCCATGCAAATGTCGCTGTCGCTGCCAACCTCGCCGCGGAACCAGTCTGTGCAGGAACCGCCGCAGACCCAGCCCAAGCAAATCTCGCTGCCGACTCCCAGGAGGAACGACTGGCTTCAGACCAAAGAGGGGAAGGACTGGGTGCAGAGCCATGTGGGGAAGGACTGGGTGCAGACCCAGGGGGGGCAAGACTGGCTGCAGACCCGAGGTGGGAAGGACTGGCTGCAGACCGGTGGAGGGAGGCACTGGGTGCAGACTCATGGCGCACCGGACTGGCTGCAGACCAAGGGCGGGCGACAGTGGCTGCAGACCCTCGGTGGCCAAGACTGGCTGCAGACCTTCGGTGGTAAAGACTGGTTACAAAACGAGCACGGCCAAGACTGGCTGCAGACCCACGATGGAAAAGACTGGCTGCTGACTCGGGGTGGGAACGACTGGCTGCAGACTCTGAGTGCGCGGGACTGGTTGCAAACCCCAGACGGGCGAGACTGGTTGCAGACGCCACAAGGTCAAATGTGGCGGTTGACGACTGCCTGGGTGGCAATGGAGGAATTTTCGAACACATTAGAAGCAATCAAGCAGCACATCATCATCCCGGAATTGTCTTCACAGCCAGCTTTTCGGGTCATTCAGCAGTTCAAGAACTTGCCGGATTTCTTAATGTTTCCTGTGTTCTTGGCGTTAAGGCACCAGGATCATTCCACCACCTCTGCATTAACACAAGGTCACCTCCCACCTGACATGGAGATCATCCCTGCAATGAAGGTTTTTTCTAATTTCGCAAACAAAGCACACGAACAAAGTCAGTCATCTTCCGACGTTCTCAATTACGCATGTCAAAACTGGGCTGTCCATATCTCGCGAGCTCCGAAGCCATGGGATGAGAACCTCGCCCATATATTCAAGTATTTCTGGGATCATCATCTCCTCAACTGGCTCGAGAGACAGTGGTGTGTGAAGGATCTACAGTCTTGCCTGACCGTTTTATCTGAAGCCGAGAACCTTGCAAAGGTGCGTGTGCGCTGTGTTCACAATAATGTCCTCCTAGGCTCGCAAGCTGACCTACGCGTACAGGAACATCTTCTCCAAACCCCAGGTCGTATCAATAACCAGTTTGAAGCTGTCGGGTTTTCCGAGGGCGAGAAACCTCCTAACGTACGTGTACTCACAATGGTTTCTTCCTAGACTTGCAAGCTGACCTACGCACACAGGAACATCTTCTCCAAACCGCAGGTCATCTCAGTGACCAGTCTGAAGCTATCGGGTTTCCCGAAGGCGAGAAACCTGAAAATGTACATGTGCTCATAATGGTTTCTTCCTAAACTCGCAAGCTGACCTACGCACACAGGAATGTCTTCTCCAAACCGCAGGTCATCTCAGTGACCAGTCTGAAGCTATCGGGTTTCCCGAAGGCGAGAAACCTGAAAATGTACATGTGCTCATAATGGTTTCTTCCTAAACTCGCAAGCTGACCTACGCACACAGGAATGTCTTCTCCAAACCGCAGGTCATCTCAGTGACCAGTCTGAAACTGTCGGGTTTTCCGAAGGCGAGAAACCTGCAAACGTACGTGTGTTCACAATGGTATCCTCTTAGACTTGCAAGCTGACCTACGCATACAGGAACGTCTTCTCCAGACCCCAGGCCACCTCAGTGACCAGTCTGAAGCTGTCGGATTTTCCGAAGGCGAGAAACCTGCAAACGTACGTGTACTCACAATGGGTTCCTTCCTAGACTCGCAAGCTGACCTACGCACACAGGAATGTCTTCTCCAAACCCCAGGTCATCTCAATGACCAGTCTGAAGCTGTTGGGTGTATGCAACATGTCGTGCTGTCTTGTGTCACTTTTCTTCGCATGTTCAAATGTTGAACAATATGTGACATGTATGGCAGAGCCCACTACCTTCTTTCGATTGTCTTGCTTCATAGATTGTTTGTACTATGTACATTGATACTACTACTGTGCTTTTGAGCATGTAAATCAAGTTACTTGCAAAACAAAGTTATACCGTGAAGTGCCATTGTCAAGTTATATGCACCAGCGAAGGTCTGTCGCAGAGCAAAAATCACGACTTCGGAAAGGGAGATGGAGGCCTGGGGATGAATGTGTGAGGCACCAGGAGACGGTGTTGCGAACATTCGAATACACACGACGTTGCCATTGAACAATACATGACTTTATTACTGATCAGAAGTGGCTCTAAGGTAGGCAAAAACACTGCGAAAGCGAACGCGAAAAGAAGATAACTGGAGCACAAGAGTACGTGACAGACATAACAGGGTGATGAAAGTACGCTGAGTAGTCTGTATAAGCAGGAGATCCCGCCGGCCCCGATGACGTTCATCCCGTCATGCTGTGTTGTTGCGTTCTGTCTCTTTCCGACAGCTCTTTCCGTCTGCTGCGTCATGCTGTGTTGTAATTGTTGCGCAATGCGCATCCATGCTCCGTCTCCTTTTTGCAGCTCTTTGCTCAGCACCATGGCGACCTCTGCTTCATTTCGCGGTGTTGTCGGCCTTCAAAACGGAAGCAGGTATCAGATTGATAAAAATAATTTCTGGCGCTATATATCACGAGTCCTTGTCTACAACATGTAGACGAAAATACTACAAAGAAACCGTAAAAGGCAGTATGATACAGCAGGAACTATCATAAATTATTAAAATCATCCTCTGCTCGAGCGACACTTTTGTCTTCACAGCGTATGTAGCACGGTCGAGTGCCCAGGCCGTGGCCTTCGTACAATGGTCTACGGACCACTGTGACACTGCCCTCCTTCCAATTGAATTTATCTTTATAGAAAGTTTCGACGACGTGCTAACAACGCTCCCATTGAACCCCGAAAACTGGAGACCGCGAAGGTGAATGACTCTGAATGACTTGGTCGGAGGCCTTTTCATTGCCGACAGCGGGTATGACACGCCGACAACGCGAACTCAGCGTGCGGAATATCTTTCTCCATGATATCAAGCAGCGTCAGAGGATCTTTCATGACGAAATCGGAATTGTTAACTAACCTGCACCTGAATTCGCAACTTAATTACATTGTAACAAACTGCCGCAACTGGCAAAAGCTTCTTTTTTTTTCAAGTTTCCGCAAATATTGCAGCCCCGTGCCACCCGGAGTCCTGCAATAGGACGAGCGCCGGGCCCAGTCGTTCTCCAAAGCTCCAACCCTAACCCCACCCTACTACCACCCAGATCCCAGCAAGCCGCGTTCTAGTGTACCGTGGAAATCCACCGAGTTATCCACCTGCGTGGATATCCACCCAGTTATTCACGTGAATATAACTAGGTGGATAACTCGAGGTCAAAATTGATAGGGTGGATTATGTGAATAACTCAAATAACAGTATACATGCGTAGGGTTACGCTAAATAGTACTAAATACTCTTAAAAAGCTTAGTTATCGAACACTGCGAATCTACAAGCCTACTTAGTTGGTAGAATGTCAAGCAATGTTTGTTTGATCGAACATCGACGTGAAAATTGAATGGAATAGTGTGAACTTCAAGTCATTCATCCCCCCAGCCAAGCTTCGTGATTCGTGATCCACAGAACTTTCATGCAGCAACACCTCAAAGATCAACTAGTTGAGCTGCGACAATGTCTCAAGGCACTGCCAACGGACATTCCTGTTCCACCGGCAACAGAATCCAAGTACAAGTTCTCCGACTTCAGCCCAGATGCTGAATGGACTATAGATAGGGTACCGCACGGGTAACACCGAGGGTCGGAAAGTTGACACCGCACCCGCACCCGCCAACACCGTACCCTTCACGGGTACGGGTACACACCGACCCGTCAATGTCGCGGTTTATGGAAAACACCGCGGTGTCTCTGAACACCGCGGGTACATTACCAAGAAGAGTGTATTAAGTATTAACAACAATGAAATAAATTAGTACTACTTTTCCTTGTCATTCTCCTCTGCTTCGACTTCATTTCGCTTCCGTTTTTGAAGCATGCAAAAATATCCAGATTCAGATCATTTACCGAACTTCTGGGTTCGTGTGTGTCCGATGGGAGTAATGGACGGGCTGTTGGCCTTGGCGTGCAAATGCTGCGTAGACAGAGCCACTATTAGCACCAGCATCCTTGCCCTTCATGGCGTTGTTGACGGCATCCTCGCCAAAGCATCCAATGGCATGGTGCTTCAGATTAGTCGTCGAGGACTTATCCTTTGTATCCTGATAGCGGCGCACACCACCTAAAGCTGTCTTACACTTACGCGCACCACACGGGAAAAAATGACACAAGCGGCCATTGTGGTGTTGGACCACAACTTCGGATGAAAAGAAACTATAGATAGGTGACCGCCAAGTCTTCTTGAGAGCCTCTGTATCATTGTATAATCAGATATTTGCAAAAATCAATGGAAAGAAACATACCAAGATCTGCAGAAGGATCGGGATCAGGCTCGAATGCACCTGCCGTTGATTTGTTATCGTCAGTGGCAAGTGAATCAGTACTTGATCGCGTAAGATCAACGGTGTCTGTGGGGCTCGATCGAGAAGACCGAGACACAAATGACTGCTTGACCTTCTTCAAGGGGCGGGCCAGAGCCTTAGCACCCTTTGCAACAGCCTTTTTGAGTGACCTGGCCTTCTCGGAGATGGACGACGAGATAGACTTAGATGATGAGTGTGACTGGGTAGACGAAGCATCAGATGCCTTCTTTGTGAGCTTAGTTTTCATGGGGAGACGACTCAGTGGACTTACTGGTCTCGAGTTTTTGCCTTGGCTTTATGGTAGTGACTCGAGCTTCTCTGCAACGAAGTGTCAGCTCAATAAATTGCTAGAATGATTCACGGGGGTACAAAAGACATGACAGAAATCAGTATAGCATTCACTTGTGATCCTCAAGCTCTCAGAGGAAGGAAAAACAGAGAATCAAACACGGTGTTCAATGGCTGTCGCGCGCCTGATTCCCGATTTGGTATATTATACCCGCCCAAACACCGTCAACCCGCGGTGAATGGCCACGGTATGCTCAAGGGTACGACTATCCTACTCCGTACCCGTACCCTCCAAACCCGTCAGCATAGAACCGCGGTGTTACCCGTACCCGTGCGTTTCCCTAACTATAGACATTGGCGAGGCTGGTGCTGTCAACCGAGAGTTAGAAGTTAGGTTTGGTAATCGCGTCAATGGCCTGAAACTTGTAGAGCGAGGTCCAGAAACAGAGGCCGTAGTGGATGCTTTGGAAACATGGATCGAAAAATGTCCAGGTGACATCATCCTCGAGAAGTGGGTGCATGACATCCTCGAAGCTGCGCAAAGTGTCATTCTTGCTGCTGGAAAAGCTGTGAATTACATTTACTTCGCACCCCAGAAAAGCTCATCACTGACGCACCATACAGTTACCGAAGTATTTGCATCAGTCAAATGACGATCCGGACATAGAGCTTGTGAGCTCCCCAATCAAAAAGCCAAGGCATCGAAGAAGAAAAAGATCAAGATTGTCGAGTCCGACGTGTCTGTCATGCACCTATACACAGATGCCGAACATAGTAAACCTGCGAAGGGAAAAGGTGGTGCGAAAGTTGATCCTCTGATGGATCTTCTCTCTGTCAACACGTACCTCAAAAGTGATCCCAAGAAGATGATTGTTCGGTGTTCTGGAGCTGAATATGGATGCGCCAATTTAACGCTACGGGATCGTGTTCGGACCGCTATGGCCAAGGAATCCCTAGGTCAGACTCAGAAGTCACTGCTGACCCCGAGGATATAGCAGAAGATGGCTCAAGTAAAGTTGATTCTTTCGATGGTGAAGATTTCGATGCTGCCAGTATCATCAATCTCAATTCCAGGAAACTAGTAGTCGACGTGCTGGCTGATAAAGATTTAGCACCTGCAGCGCCGAGAAGCACTGTCGTTCTTCCACCGGCAAGCACCATTGTGCAAGAGAGGGTCTTGACAGAGGCAGATTGGGACATGGAATAGATGTTATATGATACATATTTACTTAATACTGGTGAATGAACGCAAATTTCGCGAAACGCGCCATGGATTGAAAATTTTGCAGCGCCCGGATAGGCCCGGATCCGCCGGGCCGGTTTTGCCGGCGGTGGATATCCACCATACTCACCGGTAGATAACTGACCCCCAATTTCTCCAGGGTGGATATCCACGGTGGATAACTCTCCAGAAGGTTATCCACGGTACACTACCGCGTTCCACAGCACTGGAACCAACGTTCATCCATTTAATCCCAAGCAATTCTTACATCTGGAAATATCTATCACTCCACAGTAAGTGGCACAATTTGAACGTTTCGCTGTCACACTCATCACCATCGGACAGAATTATTACGCCAAAACATCGTTCCACAACTTCAGTACACAATTTGACCTGTGGTCCCTCAATTAGTGTCCTCGTAAGTCACGAGGGTACCGCTACTTCTATGATTTCTAATACCCACTAGTTAGTAGTGACTAGTACTTCTCGGAGTTATCACTCCATTTATCTGTATCACCATAATCATCATCTCAAGGAGTCAATGTCAGTATTGCCATATCTTCCCCCCTTCTTGTTACCTGACCTGGTCAAAGTTCTTGGATATGTCTGAAGGAACTTGGGAGAAGCTCTCCCAGGTCGCTGTGAAGGGCGCTGAACATGACTCTCGTGAACGCCGGCCCCATCCGAAATGTTTGGAAGGGACCCGGGTGATCCTTCTCGACCATATTTATCAATATTTAGCCAACAGAGAGAAGAATCGGATCATCTGGCTGGCCGCTGCATGGCACAGCCGGCGTCGGAAAGTCTGCTGTTGCGTTCACTGTAGCTGAAAAAATGAGAGGTCTGAAAATAACAGAGGAGACGAAAGTAGAAACGCGGCTCGGGGGGACATTCTTTTTCTCGCGCAAGCATACGAAACGCCGCACGACTGGTTATTTCTTTGCGACGCTTGCTTACCAGCTAGCCATCAATTTTCCCAACATCCGGAAGGATGTGAACAGAGCTATCCTCAACAATCTCGCTCTTCTAGATCCTGACAAATCACTTCGGGACCAGATGGAGGCGTTGTTCCTCCAACCTCTGCGGAAGCTTCAATCCAGACTACGCGAGTGTCCCCCTTTGACGTTCGTTGTTGACGCACTTGATGAATGCACACACGAATCCTCCAATGAATACTCATCCGAATCCAGGGATGAAGGTGAATCTGAAAGCGAACTTACCGAACTCATTTCCCTGCTCCCCCGAGTTCTTCGCGATCCTGATCTGCCTTCGATCCACATTCTAGTCACGAGTCGCTCGGAAGAGCACATTTGTGAAGCTATGCAGAACGAAGATGTGCGCCCGCTGTTGTGCGAGATACCAGTAGAGATTTTGGGGGAGGGTGTTGCTGCTACCATCTCGCTAGACGGCGTAGATGTTGACGAAGATATCTATCGTTTCTTGGAGCATTCCTTCGGTAAGTTGCGAAGTCGCTCTCCCACCTTCCCGCAGCCGACGAAGGATCAAATTGAGAAGCTGGCGATCCGAGCAGGCAGACGTTTCATCGTGGCGTCTACAATGATGAAGTTTATCGATGATCGACACAACGATCCCCGTGACCGACTTCACCTCATGCTCGAGCTCACAAGTGAACTGTTACCAGGAACGGAGGTGTACGAGTTATACGACCGCATCCTCTCCACATGTGCTGATCCGACGCGGGCATACCTGCACTTGTCCGTTGTTGCTGCCCTTACAGATCCTCTACCGATCTCACAAATCTCGGAACTTCTTGGCCCTGGTCAGGGCAGGGACGTCGAGAAAGTGCTGGTGCAGCTGCGGTCTGTCATAGATGTTCCTCCCGACAGCAATCTCCCTGTGAATATCTATCACTCGTCCGTTCGTGACTATGTTTCCCACCGCTCGAACTGCGGCCTCCGTCTTGACGAAGTACGATGTATCGCTTCACCTCAGCTCTTACTTGCGTATTCTTCTCTCCGCTTGATGATACAACATCCAGATCGCTCGGCCCTGCTGGATGCACTCTCAGCATTGAAAAGGCAGGGTCAAGCTATGGAAGCCCACGACCCCCAGAGTTTAACACAATCATTATCCTTTATCGTCCAGCCGCCGGAGCCAATGCAAGTACTTGTAAGCCTACTATGGCTTGAGGAAATCGCAGTTCAGAGTTACAATTCTGGCTAGACACTCTGGATGGGCGTGCCTGGCTGGAGACTCAAGGAGGGAGGGACTGGCTGCTCGCACAGGGGGGAAAGGACGACCCTGGGAGGGAAGTTCTGGCTGCAGACCGACGTCGGGGAAGACTGGCTGCAGACCCGGTGTGGGCAAGACTGGCTACAAACCCAGCGCGAGAGAGACTGGTTGGAGGTCATCGACGGGTGTGACTTTCCGCGCTCCCTCAACGAACACGACCGGCTACAGACCCTCGATAAGTATGACTGGCTTAAGGCTCTCGGTGGGCATAACTGGCTGCAGACTTGGAGTGGGAAAATTTGGCTACAGTCCCAGGATGGGGAGGACTGGCTGCAAACCTACAGTGGGAACGACTGGCTGCAGGCTCAGGGGGGAAGAACTGGCTGCAGACCCGGGGAGGGAAAGACTGGTTGGATACTCAAGGAGGGAACGATTGGCTGCAGACCCGGGGAGGGAATGACTGGTTGCAGACTCATGGAGGGACAAAATGGTTGCAGGCCTACAGTGGGAACTACTGGCTGCAGACTCAGGGGGGGGATAACTGGCTGCAGACCCAGGGGGGGAATGACTGGTTGCAGACTCAAGGAGGGAACGACTGGCTGCAGACTCAGGGGGGGAATGACTGGTTGCAGGCCCGGGGAGGGAATGACTGGTTGCAGACTCAAGGAGGGAACGACTGGCTGCAGACTCAGGGGGGGAAGAACTGGCTGCAGGCCCGGGGAGGGAATGACTGTTTGCAGTCTCAAGGAGGGACAGGGTGGCCGCAGACCTACACTTGGAACAACGCGCTGCAGACTCGTGAGGGGAAAGACTGGCTACCGACCCAGGAAGGGAATGATTGGTTGCAGACTCCAGGAGGGACGGAGTGGCTGCAAACCCCAGACGGGCGAGACTGGTCGCAAACGCCATATGGCCAAATGTGGCGGTTCACCACTGCCTGGGTAACAATGGAGGAATTTGCGAACACATTGGAAGCAATCAAGCAGCACACAAATGTCCCAGAATTGCTTTTACATCCAGCTTGCCAAGTCATTCAGCAGTTCAAGAGCCTGCCGAATTTCTTGACGTTTCCTGCGTTCTTAGCCTTAAGGTACCAAGATCATTCCGCCTCTGCATTGACACAAAGTCGCCTTCCACCAGACATGAAGATCATCCATGCAATGAAGACCTTCTGTGATTTCGCAAACAAAGCACGCGAACGAAGTCAATCAGCTCCCGACGTTCTCAACTACGCATGTCAAAATTGGGCTATCCATATCTCCCGTGCTCCAAAACCATGGGACAATAAACTCAGCCATATATTCAAGACTTTCTGGAATCGACATCTCCTCGACTGGTTCGAGAGGCAGTGGTGTACGAAGGGTCTGCAATCATGCTTCACCATTTTATCCGAAGGCGAGAAACTTGCAATGGTGGGTGTATTCGTAATTGTTTCTTCCTGAACTCACAAGCTGACCTACGCATATAGGAACATCTTCTCCAAGCCCCAGGGCCATCTGAGCAACCAGTTTAAAACTGTCGGTTTATCTGTAGATCTTATATCAGACATTTTGATGTTGTGGCAATTTCAAAGAACTGCATAACGGTTGTGCACGGTAGATGTTGGTGCAATGTCGGATTGGTCTGTACCCTTGTTGCTAGTCTGGGCATGGTGTAGTCCTCAGTGGATAGATAAGCCATAATATTTGCACTAGTCCAGCTCGCATTGGGTGCGGCAGTAACTAGGTCTCTCTCTCGACTTCATGCGCGAAAGGAAAAGACCCGGGGTTTCAACTCCTCGCATGGCTAGTATATGCTTGCCAGCCGTGCCAATTTTCAGCACTAATCCATTATAGATAGCAAGTAGATAACAAAATTACATCAGGAATATCAGTCGCTCAGTATCGCTTGTACCACGTTTGCAACCCTCAGCTGGCGGAGGTCGGTATATGTCTGGTGAAGCAGTCAGAATGCGGACTGTGAATTAGTGGGACAAATGGAAAAACAAACCTGGCCACATCCGACAAAAATAATTGGCTGGCCTGTCACATATGTCATCGAGAGCGCTGCACCAACCTGTGCGCGAGTATCAGATATCATTGCTGCGGCAGGTAAGTAAACCACACACCTTGTCATCCACAGTATCCCATTTGGTCACTAGCATACCGTCGATGCCGCGCCCCTTGCCCGAGCCGGATGCAGACGAAAAGTCGCGAAGGGCGCGGTCGAACTTAGTAAGCTGGTCAACGGCCTCATTGCCAACGAGCGCCTCGCCGACAAAGATTATCTTGTCTGGGTTATTCGCCGCGACAAGCTGTGGAATTTATCAACGGAGTTCTAAGAAGCTTCCACGATATGTCATACCTTGGCAAGTGCACGCATGAGGGGCTGGCAGAAAATGATCCATCAGGATCGTGACAATAATAGTGCCGGTTTGCGTACCTCGTTGTCTTGCATGCGCCCAGCTGTGTCAATTAAGACGACATCAAAGTCGTTATCTTTGGCTAGGTACGAATGCGTGAGTTGAAAATGCACTTTGAACAAAATTCTTTACCATATGCGATAGCTTCTTTGGCGATGCCCGCAGCATCCTTCCCATACCCTTTCTCATACAGTTCAACACGGCCTTTGCTATTCGTTGCGCCGTTGACGCCAAGCATGGAAAGATTGCGCACATGTACGCGAAGCTGTTCGACCGCACCGCTCCTACATGGGATGTTCAGAATAAGTGCAATTTGAGTAATACTAACGAGGCTCTCTTACCGGAAAGTGTCACAGGCTGCAATGAGCACTCGCAAGCCGTTCTGGATGAGCCAGAAACATACTTTTGACAAGTTTGTGCTCTTTCCTACACCATTCACGCCCACAAAGGTGATGCTATAGGGCATCCTTTGTTGAGCGGAAGGCAGGGGGGAAGAAAGTTTAGTCCTGATTGACAATAATAGGTCTGTTGACGTCTTGGGCGTCAGAATACGCGTGAGCGAAGATGACAGTGCCGTCCTAACGGCGTTACTGGTGGCTGAAATTGCGTCAGAGCACAACAGATAAAGATGCAAGACACGGCATACTTTGGAAACCTCCAACTTTCTTCCCCACAAGACTCTCTCCGACGCCTTCGCAGACCTTGTCCGCAATTTCCATGGCCACATTTTTCTTCATAAGGTGTTGTTTCATCCCCTCCAGAACAGGCTTCAGATCCTGTTCGGTTAAGATTTTGGAGCCTGTCAAACGGGAGAACAAAGAACTCAGGGCGCCCAATGAGCCCGATGGCTGCTTTGTACCCTCATTCTTCAAAGCACGAGTGATAGCGTCATTCGCCTCGTCGTCCTTCCCACCAAAGTCCCAATCTTTGACTTCATATAAGCCATCCCTTGTCCTAGTTCCGAGAGAAGCTTTGTCTACGAGGGCTTGCAGGTCATGCGATAAATAACCATTTATGCCGGAGTCAGGCTTGTCGGTGCTAAAGTCCAAAGAAGCCATTTCTGTTTCTGACGGGGCCGATTCACCCCATTTCCGCTGCGCCTTGCCTTTCGCCCTTTTGCTCGTCGACTCGGAACTGTATGATGTAAAACATTGGTTTGAATTAGAATGATTTGCGCACTCACTCTGAAGCTGGCATGCTGTCCCGGCCACTTCCCGAGTCCACCTTCGTCACACCTCGCCCTCCCCTTCGGCCACCCCGGCCACGTAGTCTGTTCTTGAGTGCTTGTACGTTCCGAGCTATCTGTTGCTCATCCTGCACCGCAATCGACGATTCGGAGGGAACTGAAGGTCACTTGAGAACATATGCGTGACGTATTGAATACAAAAAAACTCACCCGTACTGAGGTCATCAGAAGGAGGACTGGAGTCGGGCAGAGCTGGAGCCACTTGTCTATAGCGAGACTTCCGCTCCTGCAGGCTTGGAGTGAGCAAGCACGGCATATGTGCGAGAACAAGGACGCACCTGGGCAGCTTTATCTTCGAATCCCTTCAAGAGCTTGTCGAAGACACCATCCCAGCCTTCAAATGCTTTTGCAAAGTTCCACGCTTTGGCAGAGTCGCGCGCAGCAGCTGACACGAGTTTCCCGCTTTTTATTGCATGCAGCGAAGCGACGAAAGTAGCCAGGAATGGCTCGAATAGCTTTATAAACAGTGCTTTGAGCGCAGCTAGCAGGTCATCCACGTAAGTTAGTTGAAGAATGCGGTGATATGCAACCTGCATTTCTGAATGTCAGTCGAGAGTTACTCCAGCAGCATGGACAGCGGACGTACCACAAAAATTAGCTCTAGATCATTAAAGAATGTCCACTTCACTGCGTATCCGTCCTTCTCGTATTTTTCCTCGGCTGTCCGCCCTTCGATCAGGGCTTCACGTATGAGAGAATTCACGGGAGACGAAGGAGAAGAAGCCAAGTGAGATGCCTCTGGGGTGAAGGAGCGTGACCATAATACAATACCTCCTGTAGCTGATAGTGAGATTTAGCTGCTTCAAAACAATTATTAGACCGACCTTTGTGCGAGATTGAGCAGTGGTCCAGCATGGTCGAGTGTATTGCACGTCACTCTTACCGGACACCGCATCATAACTTCAATTGATTACATAAGCTAGGTTTGGCCTTGGCATTGCGGACTTGACAAGTTGACACACTTGTGACACACTGTGTCAACCTTACGTCGATGAAGTTTTGAAGCACCAGCTCGCTGTTCAGAACGTTCAAATAGCAGCCAAGTGGCCACGACAACAGCCTGGAATTGTCCTGATGCGGCTAACCCAGACGGCGGGTAAGATGCAACTTGAAGTTGGCCTGTACTACTTACCCTGCCTTTCCATGATACGAAATTCACATCGTGGTCAGTATTTTTGTCACTGACGTTCTCAAGGATCGCAGTATCTGCAGACAACGGGGACATTGGGGGCTTCAGAGGCTATCCGGTGCGCGCATTTACTCTGTTCATAAGCTTCATTTCTTGACCCAGCCTGATTGCTAAACGCCCCGCGTCACGCCCAGGCCAGTGTACATCTCATCCTACGCACTGCTAGTTTCCAAGGTCAATGCTTATTATACGACAACTCTATGTAAACGCTAACCAAACACTGGCACAGTTCACTCACCCACGAGCTTGTTTTGCATGCGCTGATTCCAACATCCAGGACTTTATATCACCAAGTTCGGGCATAAATAACAGCATAAGGGTGCAGTACGTTGATAGGGATGCTACTTCTGCAGGTACCGTCGCCATGGCACGGCGGCCCAAGGCGCTGATGTCATGCATCACATGTCACCCGCTTCCAGTTGGCTTCCACTGTGCGACGCGCTGCCATGCTGGAACATGGAAGTGACAGCCATGGGCTTTTCTTTGCATAATTGAACAAGCTATAACCCATTTTAGTAACCGTGATTACTGCGAGTTGCTGAAGCAGCTCCTTTTGTTGCTGATCGAATCTTGAGGGGGAAGATGGAATGTTCGAAGTCGCCTCCTGATTTTATCAACATCGCTATCGTATGGTCATAGGTAGTGGAAATCATAATGCATCTACCACTGCTTACTATGACCATACGATAGATGAGGGGGCATATAATAGAAAACAAGCGGAATGGAAACAGTTAGCCTTATGAACATCGCTATTGTATGGCCATAAGGTGCTAATACTAGACGCTGCTTTACTAAGACTATACGATGGGAGATGAAGGGGCAAATATACTTCGAGCATTTAGCTTCCTGCATATATCCTGGAGGCGATGATGATGTGGTCAATGTCGTTATTCGGTGAACAAAGAAGCTTCCGCAAAACTTAGCAGCGGATCTGAAAGGAAATCGAATCTACTGTCTCACAGCCCAGTGCGAAAGTTGCCTGCACAGCTCTCACGGTGCAGGTTTGTGTTACCAAAGATCCAGAGTGTGTGAACATGAGGAACCCCGATGGCAGTATGTCAGGCTTTGGCTCCACAGAGGCGTCAGACGCTAGAAACAAAAGAACAACAGACATGAGCTCGCTGCGCATGATCTCCAGAGTCCAACAGATCGTTTACTAGTACATAAATCCTCGCGGATGAATACCATGTACCAATATCAGACACCCGACTCGAACACAAAAGTTCAGTAAACATACATGAATAATAATAATAAAAATTAAAGCTTCCTGCCACTCCCAACGTCCACACTACGTCGTAGAGGTCTCAACGGAGGTAAAGGTTGTGTATCCGCACCGTTCCGCACAGAAATCGGCCGTGTGCGCGTCATCGGGGCAACGGAGAGCTTCCACAGATCAGCATACGCGTCCTGTAAAGTATCTACTGCGCGAGAAGGCTGCATAGGATATGTATTTTGCATCATGGGTGCGTAGCTGGTTTCGATAAGAAGTGGAGATGTGGATCTTAAATAGTCTTTCCGAATGTCGAATTTGCCTGTGTCGCGGGACCAGAACTCTTGTGAGCTGCCAATACTTGATACCCTGCGCGCTGTATTGCCCATTGTCACGGATTCATTCGAACCCTGGTAGCCAGGGCGCCGAAGAGGCTGCAGCGGCTTTTCTAAACTGTGACGCTCAGATTGCTCCTCTGACCCTCCTATCCCATCTGGGAGCTTCATATCCGACATGGCAGGACTCGTGTAATACGAATCTTGTCGTAGTGGTAGGGGAACATGATAATGCGTGGGTGAGGGGACGATTTCTACGCCGGAATCTAGGCGGAGGACAGGTAGCTCTCCGCGTTTGATGGTTTCTGCGAATTGGGAGGAGGGCGCGACGTGTTTTTTGAGTCGGGCGCGACGGCAGAGGATGAGGCCGAGTATGAGCAATATTAGGAAGACGACTCCACCGATGACGCCGCCTGCTACGGCGCCAACGTTGATAGTTGAGGCGGAGGAAGTTGTTAAGGTGTTGCTCGTATTTCCCGATGGTGTTGATGCAGCCGCAGCTGCTGAAGATGATGATGCGGTTGACTCAACGGAAGATTGGGGTAGTGTCGGTGTAGTAGTAGATGATATGGTCAATGGAGTTGTGCTGGTGTCGGTGCCGGTGCCGGTGCTTGCAGAAGACGAGGAGGAGGAGGAGGAGGAGAAGGAGAAGGAGGAGGGTGGATAAGGAGTGCCGGAGGAAGAGGGTAGATAAGAGGGGTCGGTGGTACTGGTGGTGACGGAGGTGTAAAGGGAAGTAGTACTAGAAGAGGTTCCTGCAGTAGAAGAACCCGGATGATATTCTCCGTTTGACATATTTACTGCAGAGTCGATGTCGAGAGGTTGATAGCGCGCGAGTTGTTATGCACGAATACACTACTATGACCCAACCCATACATATCAAACACCCATTCAAAGACACCAAGCGAATACTCACAATCGACAAAGATCAGCACAAGTACCGCCCTGCATCCAAAGCAGATACTCAGAATCCCTAGGCTAGTGGGAGGAAGAAAACGAGTAGTACCAGGGCAATCAAAAGAGAAAAAGACAAAAAAAGCGCTGAAGGGTGGAGTAAAAACACCCCACTTGACATGTGAGTGTAGACACATCACATCAGACGTTTATCCAAGGCTGTACATGATGTTCAGATGCGAGGTAGCCGGCATGCACGTACGCGTGATCAACGCCTCTGTTACAAACCATCCAGTACCCAAGGCTAAGAATAAGCAAGGCCAATTGTTGGAGCTCCGTGAACGGCATCAGGCCATCAGTTTTGCGGTGAACTGACATGACTGCGCTTTCCATCGCTTTCCGTACTAGTCGTATTAGTAGTGCGCCTATCCGAGTCGGTATCCGGGCTTTCTCATCTACCGTCAAAGCGTCCAAGATGAAAGTCGTACCTGTTCTTGTTAGCGCAGATAATTATGCGTATCTCCTCATCGACGAGCCGACCGGGAAGGCGGCAGTAGTGGATGTATTAGACGTAGAAAAGGTACAGGCTGTAGCGGACAAGGAGGGCGTGAGCATCGTCGCTGGCATCACCACACATCACCATCAAGATCACAGCGGTGGAAACAAGGCATGTCTGTTCCCGACATCATTGATTCAAGTTGTACTGGCCACTAACGTTTTGTTGCATTAGACACTGGTGCGCAACGTGCCCCGTTGATCTATACGATTGATATTGTAAAGTTCACCCTCATTCCATTCAAGGTTTCTACGTATCCTAGTATCCCTGTTTATGGAGGCTTTGATGTGCCTGCTAAAACTGATCTTGTTGAGGATGGTGGCGAGTTTACTGTTGGTGATAATATACACGTTCGGTGGGTCCATTGAACTTCCCCTGTTACATATTCAAACGTCGAGCGGGATCGTAACAGGTGCTTGGCGACTCCTTGCCATACCAAGGATTCTATTTGCTTTCATGTAACGGACACATCCAACAAGTCTCAGTCTGGTGGTGTGTTCACTGGGGACACCCTCTTCTTAGGTATGTGTGCGCTAGTCCTGTAACTCCTCGCATTCTTGACACTGCCCCAGGCGGGTGTGGCCGTTTCTTCGAAGGCACGGCAGAACAGATGCACACCTCCCTTTCCAAACTAGCGACGCTCCCGGACAACACGGTCGTATACAACGGTCACGAATATACAGCTGGCAACGTTGCATTCGCCAAGACTATCGAGCCCGACAACCCAGCTATCGGCCGGCTTTTCAAGCTTGCACAGGAAAACAAGGTTACCACTGGTTTGTCGACTATTGGTGATGAAAAGGAGTGGAATGTGTTTATGCGTTTGGATAAAGATGCGATAAAGTATGCGGTGTTTGTTGGTCATAGCCATGATGCTGATTTTGCTATAGGCGGGTTACTGGTGCAGAGGAACCCGGTGCTGTTATGAACAAGTTGCGTGAGCTGAAGAACAACTTTAGGGGGTGAGGAGGTACGTTTCTGCGATTTCAGTTGACTGAGAAATGGGGTTAGAGCAAGGCTTTAGTGCGGGTAGTAAGAACAGCAACTAGTGTTCATTAATTATCTGGCTAAGGGAACGAATTCTACAAATGTATTGATTAAGATCATATAGCATTGCAAAGCAGCAGCACATCAGGCCTCAGGCACTATCCATCATGATCTTGTAAACATACATGTCATCAAATTAATTCATTCCGACGAGTTTGAGCACAGCTGATCGGGCGTATGGGATGTACGATAGGTTGTACCAGGTGTAGGCAAGGTATTCGACAATGACGAAAACTGATGAGATCAAAACATCAGGGGTCGGCAAGTTCCAGAGTTCTAGGGCTTACCGATGCATAGTATCTGGAAGATAAGGGTTAGCGTAGTCTAGGCACAGGAAAGGGAACGCTAACCTCGCTCTTGAGTACGAAGGCGCCGACAAAGACGAGACCTACTGAGCCGAGAAATACGACTGTGGCAATGATTCGTACGGGTTTGAACATCTATGGTGGAGGTGTTTGAGTTGTGCTACTTGGAGGATATGAAACGTACGAGCTTGATTTGCGAAGCAAACTACGGGACGTTAGTCTCAATGGTGGCAATAAGGAGGACGTAACTCACTCCAATGACGAAACCGGTACCAACGAGGGATACCAAGATACCAATAGTGTACAAAACTTTGGAAAGAGGTAGTCATAGTGATACTTGGAGGAAGAACAAGTGAGACGGACCTGCAAAACTACCGAGCTGACCCAAGAAAAGCAATATGCTGCCTAGTAAACTGAGGGCGAACCCCATGATGAGACTGTGGAAGGTTCAGCTACGAATGATGAATGGAGAGTTTGACCACGTACCATCCAACAAAGCCGTATAATCTCTGCGTACGAGTAAGGCCGAGGAACTTGAAGGCAGAGTCCCCCTCGAAAAACTGGGTCTCGGGGATCATGCCACCCGCGGATTCAAGGTTGAACCATCCTTTAGAGGGCATTTTGGACTAGGGAGAGGATTGAATCGTGTAAATATTGTGGTGAGCTAGAGCCTAGATGAGAGGCGACGGGCAAAGTCCAGCGCAGTTTTCCCACGGTTATTGAAGAAGAGCATTTGATGTTTTGGTTGAACATGAACTCGATTTCAAGGAGGCCATTACTATAATGTCGCCGTTTCCACATCGCAGGGGCAGCAATAATTAAAGACGTGACTGTATATTCAATGTTGAAAGCTATTCTTATTGGTGTAGACTATGGTCGACGAACGAAACCATGAACGTATGGACGTTGAATTCGAGGCTCACGCTCACTCCTCAGTGACTGCATGTCTGGCACCATAGCCGCACTTTTAGGGTCACTCTTGCAGGTACAATTTTAGTACGAAGCCGTAGTAGGTAGACTATGGATTCAGGGTTATCTTGAGGCGTTAGTAGGCTTGATATGTAGTACTAAGGCTATGCGAAGTTGGAGCTTATTTGGATCACGCGCCTCGTGCTAACCTCGTGTGTTCAACGAGGCTAAATCGTTCAGTTTTTTGTTTCAAACGATTCTCAGCTCTGTTAGCTGCGAACGTTCTGATAATGGAACAATCCAATCTTCATGACAAGCTTTTCTCAAGAGGAAGCGTCACTCCACCTCCTTCAACTCATCTTGATTCATTGTTTCAATCTATCACAACTCACGGAAATTCAGCCCCTGCTACTCCAAGCATGATTGCTGACGATGATTCAGCTTCAGCTCCAGCTGTCTCTGCATCTCCAGCTGATAGGCAGAGTGCTCTCCTTTCCATGTTGTATCCTGCTGCAACCCCGACATCTGCTATGAGACCACTTCAACAGTCTCAGCAAATTCCATCTCCTCCTGCTTCCTCTATAAGATCAGGTCAATCACCTTCAAATAGCAGCGAAACTCAAGGAAAGATCCTCCTAGAACAGCTCATGGGGTGAGTCAAGTCTGCGTGTTGATCCCGCCTCACTTCATACACGAGGCACTTCAATTTCCACATCCTTTTATTCCACTTTTTTTTCCATCTCGTTTCCCATCTCTTTCTACCATGACCTCTTGGGATTTCCTCGATACATTTTATGCTGATCTCTACGATAGTACCGCTCCCCGCTCTAATTTTTCGGAGCCTCCTCCACAACAAATGTCGACTTTGCCCCCTGCCGCCAGTCCCCAGTTCCAGTCCTCTATGGGACAGTCGTCCATGCCGCAGTCTTCTATCGGAGACACTTACCATATCAATGAGGGCCCTTACATCCCACAAGAGCAGCCCAGGGATACACAACCCATCCCCCAGCCCCAGCAGCTCACGCCCTCTCCCCGCAAGTCCATGTTCGAATTTGTTTCTCCTTTCGATGCTCTTGACTCCACCTCCACCGTAAAGAAGAAGCCTGTCGCCGTAGGTTCCGGAAGTGCATCCAGCACAAACGAGGATTCGTGGACATCCGCTTCCCTAGGCTCTCTCAACGACCCGAAGCGCAAGTCGGTCGAGAACCTTATGGACCAGTTGACTAGGTCCCAGCAGTCCTATCCCTCTGCACAGGCTCCATCTCCTACCTATGACCCTTATAGCACCACAGATGAGTATTCCCAGGTGGAATCACAGCCGACCCCTCAGCAACAGTCCCTCCAACCTCGTACTATGCCCCCGCCCCCTCCTCTTCCTCCAAAGCCTGGCCGTGCGTCGCCCCCTAGGGGCTCTCCCCCGAAGCCTGCTGCACAGCAGCCACGTCCACAGCCACGCCCTGTCGAGTCACCTCTCGGTCAGGCTCCTATCCTGCCTGCGAGGCGAGACAAGGACGTCTCACCTGGCCCTCGCAACACCTGGAAGAATGAACCCAGAGGCAAAGGTCCTGCCAAAGGAAAGGTACAGACGAGTCCGAGGCAAGTTTTTTTTTTCCACGTTTTTTCCACGTGCTCTTACTGACTTACGCTCATTTCTTAGCTCGCAACCTCAAACTATCGTATTCGATGTATCGCAGCCGCTGGACGACGTGCAGGCTCCTAGAGACGCTGTGAAATCTACCGCAATTGCTTTGGTCAAGCAGGACTCTGTGTTCTTGCCTGGTACGACCATTGGTGCTACTCATTGGATTGCGTATGCCATGACCAAGGGCCGTGTTCGTGTCATTTCGCGGTCGAGCGGTGATCGCACTCTACTTCAGCTGCCGACCGTCTTTGCACCTTCTACGTCGGTCATTGATATGGCTGTGTACGGTAACAGGCTGGCGGGCGTCACCTCCGATGGTGGATTTGTCGTGTGGGAACTACCTGAGGTCATCACCGATGATGTACCGTGAGTGTCTCAGTGCTTGACATATTTGTGGTCTAATGATATCTGCAGCGGACGACTATTGTTGTGCATCGTCCCCAGCGCTGACGCGGACCCTCTTCACTCCGTAAAATGGCACCCTAAACAACCCGACACTCTGGCAGTGGCTTCTGAGACTAAAATGTATTTACTTGATCTAGCGGACGCTGCGCGTACTTTTAGAGGAGAGCCTTTGCCACAAGTTGAATTGAACCGTATTTCTCAAGTATTTTCGGTGCCATCGGTCAGCCCTATCGCTTCATAATTTTTTGGTGTATTCTCATCCTTCGTAACAGCGCCTGGTCGCGTTTGATTTCGATGTTCCTCATTTCGCGCTGGCTACTATTTCCGAGGACTCCACTCTCACTCTGTGGAACGTCCATGACAAGATGCCTTTCTGGACCCACCGCGTTCGCGGCGATGACGTCCCCTCATCTTTGACATTCATCGACGATGGTATCGTCATCGGGAGGAGGAACGGCACCGTGTTCCAGCTCCTCTCCGTCATCACCAAGAACGTCCTCTCCACGTTCAGGTTCGTCAACGGAAGCAAAGAAGACCCCGATATGTTCGGACATGTCAACTACGACTCCCGAATCCAGACGCTCTGGGTTGCCAACAACCGGCGCGACAGTCTTATTGCCTTGCGCATCGGGTTCGACGTCAGCGCCTCGTCTTCGGGCGAACTTGTTCGCGGCGGGTTCTTCGAGCAAGTCGTCGAGTTCTCCGGGCCGAAACCGACCATCCACTTTGTGATACTCTCAGCAGATGCAGACCCCACGGGCGATGAAGCGCATGCGGCATGTGTAGCTGCTAAACTCCCACCCGGTGACCTCGCGCTCGTCGCGTTCTCCGTGCATTCTACTGGTGTCGATCAAGTCCTGATTAGGAAAGAGTGGTACGATGCGGCTGTGCTGAACGCTCCTGGAAAGTTCCCGCCTTATATGCCTGCGGCCCCCGTGGAAGCAAAGGGTACGGGGCGTCAGATGCCTCCTGCGCCCGCGAGCATCGGTGGACCTGGGCCTGGGCCTGCTCCTGTGCCAGCCACACAGCCCTCTGTGTCTGGGTCCGGAAGCGTTATCCCACCTCGTACACTCCGAACCCCTCCCTCCGAAGAACTCGAGGGTGATATCGCACGTGATGAAGTCCGTGCGCAGGAAGGCAAGGGAAAGAACGTCCGAGGGAAGAACGTGGCGTTTAGGGATCGCGAAGCTGCGAATTTAAACTTGAAGGAAGCGGAGAAGTTGACGAGCTTCAAGGGCGATGTGGGCACTAGTAGTGATACTGGGATTGCACTAGTCGTCACTAAGGAGATCAAAAAGAGCGAGGAGAGCTTGCATACGCGTATTGGACGGTTGATTGGGAAGGAGATGGATAAGCAACGTAAGTGGCTGATGTGCCTTTTGCGGTGTCTTGAATGTTGATCTTTGTTTCCCAGACCAACGGATGGAAGAAGCGCGCGTCCAAGAGCAGGCTGAGGATTTCAATCGACAGGAAAAAATTCTGAAGTTGATATCGACGGAGCTTACGAGGAATACCACGAGGGTTGTCGAGATGGCTGTCAAAGCTGAAGTCCAGAACTCGGTGTTGCCTGCGCTGGAGCATATCACGAGGACGGAAGTCCGGGCTGCTCTTAATGAGCATGTTGGGAGAGGTTTGACTGAGTTCATCCAGAATGTGCGTTGTGCTCCTCTCAGTTTTTGTTGGAGTCGTTCTGACTTTCATTTTTGTTGGGTGTGTGCAGAGCCTTCCGAATGAGATCGAGAAGCTGCTTTTGCGCCCTGATATTTCGAACCATTTCGCTAGTATCCTCTCGACGAATCTGAACCCTCTTATCGAGCGGTACATCAAGGACTCTGTCACGAAGAACATCATCCCTACGTACTCTCAGCAGACTTCGGCTATGCACCAGGATATCCTTCGGGAGATGAGGGCGGAGATTTTGAATGTGAAGAAGGATTCCATGTCATGGCAGACTGAAGCTGCGCGGAGCCAGGAGGTGAGTGGTCTTTCTCTCAAAATCGAGATCGTTCTGATGAATTGGGTAGTCCTTGATCAGAGATCTTGAGCATTCCGTCAGGATGCTGTCCGACCAAGTCAAGTTCTTATCGCTGAACTCAGTTGCAAGCCATCGGATGGCAACTGGCGGTTCTCCCGTTCCTAGCGTCTCAAACATGAGTTCTATGAGTCAAGGCATGCACCGCTCCCAGAACCTCCCTCCCGCAACGACGCAGGCCCCAGTATATGGCTCCCAATCCCTTGGTTCGTTCGCTCAACAACCACAACCGACGCAAATGCACACACACGCTACGTGGTACCCTTCGACGATCGCTGCGCCTCAAGCGTCCCACCCCATCGCGCCTCCCCAACCGCCTCCCCCACCACCGTTGTCCCAGCGGTCTCCTCCTGCTCAGCATGATGCATGGGAAGACACGTATATGGCGGTTCTGGGGACACAGGATCCGAAGCAGCTGAGGGAGCTCCTTGCGAGGTCGAGTCCGGAGGTTGTGATGCCTATGGACCGGAAGGGGCCGTTGTCTATGGCTGTTATTTTGTCGATTTTGCACCGGGTGCGTCTTTCATGGAACTTGTTTGTTAATTGGTTTTGATTTTTTTTTTTTGACTAGCTCGCTACTATAATTGCGGAGACGCCTCCTGTGGACGAAGCCTTCAAGTCGTCTTTATGGTGGATGCAACGCACTGCTACTGTTTTGAATATTAACGTATGTCCCGTCTTCTTGCTGTGCGACTGAGGTACTGACATTTTTTTCGAACTTTAGGAGCCTCTAATCGCTCCATACGTCGCGCGAGTAGTCCCGAACGTGAAGGCTACGCTGAATACTACCAAGCAGCGATTGTCGATTCTCCCTGGTGGTCCTCAGACAATGGATGCGGCGCGGACCATTTCCGAGATTCTGGATATTCTGGGTCGGAAGAGCGTGTCTACGCCGCAGGGGGGTCTTTAAGGGTTGATTCTTGTCTCTAAGGGTCGTCCTTTGTCTCTGAGAAGGCTGCCCTATTCGCATGCACACAAAAACATGCAAACATAATCCAACGTGATGCACGATGCACGATCACCACCATTCTTTTTACACCATTTCTTTTCCCTAGCGACGATAAATGTTACGAATGCCTCTAGGCTCATGAAATTTTTCCTACGCATGTTTTTGTTTTTGGTGCTGACTGCTTGCTGCTTCGCTGACTGTTGACTGCTCTCGATGATACGTACCTATCATACATACTTCGTGTTTCGTTTGTTGTAGTGCAGATTTGAATCACATGTCATGATAATTCTCTTTGGGGTCGAATATAATTCTCACCTTAAGCTTGGAATCGAACGTAACTCTCACCGGCACCCTTGAATCGAACGTAATTAATTCTTACCTTGGACTCGAACCTAATTTTCAACTTGGGATCGATGCGGCCACCCATTTGTTCCTTGCTCCGAGAAGCGCTGAGAGCCATGCACATGAAGGAAGTGCTTATCGTGCAGTGCCGTGCATGCATGTCCGTCTAAGCTATGTATGGCTATGACCATCATTGACATTAATATAACGCGTCCCATGAACACGCATCGTGCGCCGCCGCATATGTTTATTCGTCTCAGTCATCCCATGACCACGATGCGTTCCTTCCTTAGCAGAAGATGGGTTGTCGCCGGTCGGAGTCTTCTACATGCAGCTCATTTACGTCTGAGTGTACGTACGGGCGCCGCTCTGCTACTGACTATGGCAGACAGCAGGCTTGCGCTGAGACCCCGTCTTAGCAATGGTATCTGTAACTACCAGAATATACCTGATTGCCTTTCATACATCCCTCGCTGGGATGCTATGGGGCTTGGATACCGGTACGCAGTCTTACTTCGTACCTAGGCCAACGGGCACCATGATCATGATCTCTTCCAGGTTCCATCGGTCCTATTACACAAATGGAACAGTTCTCTAGCTCTATTGGCCATCTCTCCTCAGGCGTCCTCGGGATTTATGTCGCGTGTATTCTTCTCTCTGCTTCCTTGTCTTCGCTATGCAGCGGTTATATAGCCGACTTGCTATCTCGCAAGTACGGGATCCTAGCCGGAGGCATCGTAGTCCTCCTAGGAACGACTATCTCCGCCTCTGCGAAAACTTTCCCTGTCCTCATATGTGCGCGGCTGGTAACGGGAATCGGACAGGGTCAGAGTATCTCCGTCGTTACCATTTATCTCTGCGAGATTTCTCCACAGGAGATTAGAGGAACGGTTGCGACGGTGCTACAGTTGCTCATCACTATCGGGATCGCTTTGGGATATTTTGTTGCGTACGCGTCTTCAAGAATCGGGGGTGAGCTGGCTTGGAGGACACCATTTATTTTGGAAGCGAGTATGGCTGCAATTTTGGTCTCTGGGATGGCTTTTATGCCGTATTCTCCGCGGTGGCTTGTCCAGAAGGGAAGGATAGATGAAGCTCGTGCAGTTCTTCAGAAGCTCCGTGCTAGCAGCGAGTTCGTGGAAGACGAGCTACGTCTGATTAAAGGCAGTCTCGAGGAACAGAGCCGGGAAGATGCTTCTTATCGTGAAATATTCCAAAAGCGATACCTCAGACGGAGCGTTCTCAGTGTGTTTCTGATGTCTTTTCAGATGTTGTGTGGGGTATGTGTTGTCCAGTACGGCCGACGATACGTCTCAGTTGACACCACTGTCTCTAGATCGATGCGGTCCTTTATTACGCTCCGATCTTGTTCACTCAAGCTGGTTTTACATCAAATCGAGCAGCTTTCCTTGCGTCTGGTGTTTCCGGAATAATTAATTTGATATGCACGATACCTGCTCAACTGTGGGTCGACAAGTGGGGGCGAAGATTTCCTTTGATCGGTGGCGGTATTTCTATTGCTACTTGCTTCATGGCCATCGGTACCTTGTATGCGATATATGGTGGAAAAGCCGACGGAGTGGTGTACTTGAGCGGCAGAGGACCGCAATGGGCCGTCATCATACTCATATACATGTTTGTGGTATGTATCGCGCATGTCAACCCACCCACAATATACTAAATGAACTGTACGCCAGGCAAGTTTCTCATGGTCATGGGCTGTGGTGGGTTGATTCATCATTCACTATACGCGAGTTGACTCGTCCAGGTTATAAAAATATACGCATGCGAAATAATACCCACGCGGCTTCGCGCAAAAGCATGTGCTGTCCAGCAGGTAGGTTACGTGCTTCTTTCGCTTTCCCTCATCTGATGTCCATTAGCTTAGTAATTGGCTGGTGAATTTCACTGTCGCGCTTACAGCGCCGCTTTTTCTACGGGCTTCTCCTAGCGGTCCATATTTCTTCTTTGGATCAGCGACGCTATTCACTACGGCTGTCTGTCATTTCTTGATGCCAGAGACTAAAGGGAAGAGCTTGGAAGAAATCGAGGACTTGTTTGAGATGATACCTCGGGCGATGGGTCACTCAGTAGTGGCATGATTGTCTCTGGCTTGTGTTACGCATTTTCGCTGTGTATTTCATATCTTTCTGGTAGTGCCCGGTATGCAACATTCATTTTCTATTAGTGACAGCGCAATCGTGCTGGAGTGCCAGCGATTACAAAATTACGCTTGAGAGCCGCGATACGGACGTGATCGCGTTGTTGATGTTTGTTTACGCGTCCATTCAAATTACTACAATTGACTATATGTAGTCAGACCATAACAGTTCACAGCAGCTTGTATAGTCTGACGTCGGTACTCTTTGAAAAGTTCCTCCAAGCTGTGGTTATCATCAGCTAATTTCCAGGCTGTGTTTATATTCATATGTCTACAGTCCATAATGCATATTCTGGATTGTATATCCTCTGACCCTAGACGCCCGAGTCTGCCGGATCATGATGCCTACCTTCTCGCTGCAACGTTGTCATCCCCTTCCATCCTCCAGCATAAGCAATTAGCCAAACCAATTACCAGTTACCATGGTCAAGTGACGGTGTGCTGTCGATATGAATTAATAACCTTCCGTTGCTAAAAGCAATATTGTAAAGTCATACATTCCAACGTAATGCCCTCGCCCTAAACGACTCTTCGGTTCTCTGATGAGCCTATGGCTTCCAACTGGAATATAGTTCTTCTCACCTACGTGTCACCAAGTAGATATACAAGCCTTGCTATTGCGTTTACCTCCCTCATCCCTAACGATGCCCGCTCTCAGCGATACAGAAATGGGTGGCACCATCGACGCAATTAACGACTTGCCCACTGACGTATTCTATCATGACCGTAATGACCTTGAAAAGAGATTGGTGAGGAAGCTTGATTTGCGTTTGTCCGTGATACTGGTTTTGTATACCCTGAACATGGTGAGTCTGAGGTTTTTGTAAACTCTATTCTGATACATGTTGTGCATCTTAGATCGACAGATCGAACGTGAGGTGTGTTAAATATCGTCGTACTCGCATCAATCTCATGACATCCACAGCAATGCTCGGCTACAAGGTTTTGAGGAAGACCTGCACCTGGAGGGGCAACAATACGCCACGATCTTGTCCATCCTATATATTGGATTCATCGTCATAGAAGTGCCAGGGTGAGTTTTGTCCCTAATCAAGAGACAGGTGAACGTGAATTTTCTTTAGGAACATGTTTCTGCACTGGCTGGAGAGACCTTCTATCTTCATTCCGTCTTGTATGATAGTATGGGGTGCAATATCGGTATCAATTGGTTTGTCGACACCGGTCGTTCATGAATATCGCTGCTAATTCTGCCTAGGGTTCACAACGAAGTACACATTCTAGTTTTGCATTATTCTAATGTCTGATAGCTAGACCCAAGTTATACCGGAGTTTTGGTTGCCCGTCTCTTTCTTGGCTTTGCCGAAGGGCCCTTCCTCCCTGGTGCCCTATTTCTTATATCTGGATGGTACAAGCGGGACGAGCTGGCCACGAGAACGGCTCTCGTTTCCTCTGGAATTTTACTCAGCGCTGCATTCGGATCCCTTTTTGCATCTGGTATACTTCAAGGTATGCAGGGCGTACTTGGTCAAGCTGCATGGAGGCAAGCAAGATAGTCTTTGTCACTCCTTGGAGCTGAATCATCTGTAGATGGCTATTTTACATTGAAGGCGGTATCACCATCTTAGTCGCGATTTGCGCGATATTCGTACTCCCTGATTTCCCGCACAACACCAGATGGCTCACCCCAGAGGAAAGAGCACTTGCCATCTCTCGCCTCGAAGAAGATGGCGTTGGTAAACCTGGGAAACAATCGACCATGCAAGGACTGTGGGATGCCGTATCTGACTGGAAGGTGTGGTGGTTTTCAGTGGCGTTCATGTTCCAGTACATAGCGCAGTGTTTCTTCGCGTACTTCCCAACGCTATGCGCAACACTGGGATATGACACGACTACAACGTTGCTACTCTGCGCTCCTCCATGGGCGTTCGCGGCTATAGTGGCATTTGCTCTTACATGGTCAGTGAACCATTCTTATTGGAAAATCGCATCTCACGGGGATCAGGTACTCTGACAAGAAGCAGAAACGTTATAAATACTACCTTGTCTCCAATGCATTCGGTACCCTTGCATACATCATATCGATCTTTACGATGAACAAAGCTGCGCGCTATATTTCGATGTAATTAGGGCCACCGCTCATAAGACGTCACTTCTGGTACTCAGAGACACACAGGTTCCTGATGGCTCAACTCATCGCTGGATATCTGGTGCTCTGGGGGTGGGCCAACAACACTTTCGCCAGAGAACCTGCGAAGCGAGCCGTTGCTATTGCTTTGATGAACGCAATGGGGCAGATAGGCAATATTGTTGGATCGTCAGTGTCATTGTCATTGATTTCTCGCTCTTGCTGATCATCCACGACTGCACTTCTCTCATAGGTACGCATGGCCATTGAACTGGGGCCCAACATATCGCTATTCCTATGTCGTCAGCATCGCAGCAATGGCGGTTTCCACAGTCATGTTTGGTGGGATGTATGTTTATTTGAAGCATCTGAATGAGCAGATTGAGAGGGACGAGCGGAATGCGAAGGATGTTAAAGAGCTTCATTTCCCGACTGGTTTTAGATATTTGGTGTAGTCGAGGACAGATCACTTCTGGCATCGCTGTTCGACCGCGCGGGGTTGTACAGTAGACATTACTTCGAAATGCAAAAGTGACAAGATTTAGAAGCCTGGAGAGCGGATATGGCTATGCTTATGGTGTGCCTTCCTAGTAGTTTTCACTTGCCGAGATGATGATCCTTTGTCAGGGGACATAAAAGGGGCTGAACGATAAGTACCGCAATAAGGACTTGCAACCACGCATCTCGTCCGCAACAGTGAAAATACACGGGAAGTTCTAATATGCATTTCCACTGACCAATATATTGAATATTACCGACTTGGAAGAGCTTGCCATTGGAAGCGTTCGACCGTGGGCAAACCCTGGTCCATGATGTTTAGTCAATGTAATTAATCCTGGCCACATCATTGACGGAGAGTGACAGGTTGCACGGGTGCCGTCTGTTTCGATGGGCGCAAGAACTTGCCTGGGGGAGTCCCTTCGAACTAAGCTTACTGCGGCATACCCACAAACATGAGCGTAAGGACTCCGTGAGAAAAGCCCAAGGTGGCAACATGACATGAATAAGGATATATCTCTTAGAAGCCTCAGGCAATAAGGAGAACTGCGCGAGGGAAATCCTGTAAGTCACACAGCAGGAGCATGTAACGACTGCTAGTCGAAACCTGTCGAAACCATATATGTAATGGCAGGATAAGTTAGCCACCTATCCTCGAGCTCAGTATTATCTGCCACATGCAAGACATTTGAAATTTTAATATCGCCGACTATAGTTGGCATACACAGCTGAAACTAAACATGAAGGAGTAGCAACCCGGAATTCCAGTGGCAAAAGTTCCGTTGCGAGTCTACTAGTCTACAATGATTACCCGCATCAGGCCAAGTCATCATTCTACTTCTTTGCTTGCAGAACCCCTTTCACTGTCGACGGGCTTTGCAGACCTACGAAGCTAATTGAGACAGGTCCAAACAAGGGTGTTTTTTTTTGCTTACGGTCTGCCCACAAAATTGAAAACGTGGAGCGTAAGGACTCCGTTGATAAAGAAAGCCAAACAACCCAAGGCCGTTATGACTTGGACAAGGACATTTCCAGAGCAGAAGCAGGCGATAAAGAGAGCTGCACCGAAGAAAATGTCATACATCATCAACAGGAGCACTTCTGCTAAACTCACTTACACGCAAACAAAGAGCAGGCGGCGACTGCCAGACAAATCGAGGGGTATGCCAACCACAACAGCAAGCAGATAATTTGGTGTCGTGGCATGTCCTGCAGCATGAGTCAAACCATGCGACACCCCAAACAAGCAAAACTCACTCTGAGGGATTCCATGTCTTTGTGAGTGATGCTAGTTTCGTAGATGACCACGACCGCAGCTCCTGATATTACACTGAGCAATGCAGCACTAAATGCAATGATGGCGAAGACATAGGAGGCTGGAGTGTCAAAAGCCATCAAGCTAGTTACAGGAGAGCTTGACACCAGGAGCAAAGCGGCAGTTGCGAGTACCAGCCCGGCCTAAATTCAATTGTTTCAACGTTGGCCATAAAGATTAGACCGTATCAAACACACAGTGATGTTTGAGTTCTGGAAACGATTGATCATCACTGTGACATGGTCCTTCCATTCATCGTTTTTTGTGTTTCCCCAGTGATCGAGAGACGTCCGAGAGACTGCAACAACGCATAAGACTTTGAACGCTAACTTCAGAATAGGACGAGTGAGAGGCTGAAAGTTTCTCAAGACTCGAGGGTCCGAGTTAATAGAAGTATTACTGAGCACCCGAGTCGCATCACTGATGGTAGAACTCATAATGTGAGTGTTGTGGGGCTGGGTTGTTGTTGAGCGGAGCTGACATACAGGACGAGTCTTATATTGCACATGTTCGTGGTTCCATACTCGGTGGCAATGCCTGCGAGAATGCATCGGGAAAGCGATCTGCAAGATCAGCGAACATGCTGAGTGCACGACAATTTACATGAGCGCTTGAGCGTTCACAAAATCGAATACTAGTCACATTCCAGAATCATTTCAGCGGGAATTTCCGAAGTCTAGAGCAACAAACCTCAACCACTCATCGAGCGCTCATTTCCGAGTCTGGTCCACGAGGAGCAAGCATTTCTGGCATAGACGCTGAGCCTCCACCAATGAGAACCTCGCTTGAGGGCCACTCGGCAAACTGTGACATCGCTGTAAACCCCCTGAAAAAAAGCCAAATTATACACTTTCAAGAACCCACCAAGGTTTCTGGTACAAGCGATCCTGATCATTGTGTCGTCATCTCGGGGGTCGTCTGTCGAAGTTAAATGGCTGGACAGGTTGTGCCTTCCTGTACACTACGCAGTATCATTCCAACCATCCGATGATAACGCCGAGTAGTATGCAACATAATTTTGCCTGGGCACTGGAGCTGCACCTGAGGGTAAGTATCAGAAATCACAGCATCGCACGTGGAAAACTCACTCGAGAGGTTCAAGGCTTGAATATGTGAATGATTGAGTGACACCCATGATCATGCAATTAGATGCCCACCTTGCACAGTAAGCTCGAAGGCCGTGGAGAACATCGGAGATCGCTGGCAGTCGCTGATCCAAGCATTAAGTTGTCAATTTTGTGAAGTTGCTTGCGCCATTGTTCCCCAGTCTATCTGAACTTGAATAATGCACGTTGCACAATCTGTTCGTCTTCAAGTTCGCAGCTGTTAGTGATGTCGATGAGTACCCGACTGCACATCCTTCAACCAGAGTTACCAGACGTGCACAGTTAGATGAGATGGTAGCCAAATGTCATCACATTACAATGTCACAACTTGGCTGCGGCAATTAAGGTTCCGCCCAGTTCCGTCAGGTTCAACTGACAGCCTGCACCGCCACAATGGGTCTACTATTGTTTACGCCCGTCGCCGATCGATGAACGCTTGGCTCATTAATGCATGGACCGTCGCGTGATCCGTGAGCCCATTATGCAGCGTCTCCTCCCTTTGCACTGAGCTAACACCAGATCCTACGATTTTCAAGAGGCGCAAGGCGCTGACAGTGAGCGCACCCATCGGATGATCTTTTAGTCACAATGCTTACATTCGGCTGTATTTTGTCTTTGAATGATTATTGTTTTAGACGCAGGCTGCAGCGTCTTCTCTTTATTTCCATCTACATGTTTTGCCACACTCGCAATCTGTCATCGTTGCGAGTTCTCTCGAATGCCCTACCACGATCATAATGCCAAGTTGGGTCCCGGCCAGAGCTTCGAGACCGACGACGGCTAGTCTATTCAAAGCGACTTTTGTTTGCGAGAAACTTGGGTTTAACAGACTACCCGTATTGCTTGTCCTTGATCTCGATACCGGAGGATGCATATGCTGGGTTGTTGTCTGTGTAGGATAGTGCGTGACATATTCTTCTATCCATCGTGCACGTTGATTCAAAGACTTGGATGTTGGTTTCGCTGAGATCATAAACTCTGAGCCCGAAAGCTGGTCCAGTTCGCTTTAACTCGGACAAGCATAAAAATACTAGAGGAAACATGAACTATGCCGTTGTTTCAATGCGATAAAAAGGGCTTGTCAGGATAAAAGAATTCGCTCACAATCGTTCCGGTGTTGTGAGACCAAGTGGATTGATCATCGCTTCTGTCCCCTTCAGCATCTCGATGTTGTACAGATATGGCAATCCACTCAAGCCCTTTATTTGCGCAGGGTCTCTAGTTCAGCCACCAAGTTCATTTAAATCCGCAGTCGACGGTGTTACGCCCGTTGCAGATGAGCGTTCAGCCATTCTCGTTCTCTTTACATAAACATACATACCGTGACCGTGCTTTCAGGCTGTGCATGCGGACCCTGGGCATCTATTCTCCATGGCGCTTTGCTGCGTGGACAGTTCGCATGAGCAATCACCAGGCGGTTGTGACATATCCATATATTAGATGTGATAAGAAGACATGACTGACAAGTTCTTAGCGAAAGTTCCGCCCGCTACTCCGCTGACCGATATGTGCAACCCGAAGTTGACTAGAAGCGTCCAAACCCTGAGTGGTCTATAATATTAATCATCACACCCAGTCACATCCGAAGGCATGCAGCGCCTAGTGCCTATCAACAGCTTGTGGGGGTGATGTTTTTTTTATCATCGACCTGCCTGCAAGACATATTTAGACAGATCCAACAAAAAGTGCCACCTATAACTTACTTTCCGCCCACAATGCAGTATACGTATATCGTAAGGACTCCGTTTGCAAGGAAGGCCACACAACCCAAGATAGTTATGATGTTGACGACAATATTGTCAGACCAGAAGCAGGCGATAAAGATAGCTGTACCAAAGGAAACGTCATACTCATGAGTAGATCTAGACACTGGCACATCTAGTGCATCACTTACACACAAACAAACAGAAAGTAGCGACTGACAGACAGATCGAGGGGTATGCTAACCATAGTAGCAACGCGACGATTTGGTGGCGTGGCATGTGCTGTGTCGTGTGTCAAATCATGAGCCAGCCTAGTAGACAAAGGGACTCACTTTGAGGGTTTCCATGTCTTTGTTACTGGTGCTAGTCTCATAGATAACAAGCACTGCAGCTCCAGATATCACGCTGAGCAATGCAGCACTAAATGAAATCATGGCAAAGAGATACGAGATCGAGGAGTTATAAGCCATCAAATGCTCGATAGGAGGCACAGACGACAGGAATAGAGTAGTGGTTGCGAGTACGAGCCCAGCCTAAAGCCCAGTTGTTCAGCGCTAGCCATGAAGATCGGCTCATAGTATTAAACATACAGTGATGTTTGAGTTCTGAAAGCGATTGACCATCACTGAGACATGCTCCTTCCATTCTTTGTTCTTTGTATCTTTCCAATGGTCGAGAGACTTCTGGGAGACTGCAATAATGCACAACAATTTGAACGCCAACCTCAAAATAGGATGATTGGGAGCTCGACAGTTTTCGGGGACTTCGCTGGCAGGGACTTCAGAAGTGGGGTTTACAGACATGGCGTGGACGATTAACTTCTGGGCGCTCGAAGCGGAGCTGAGCTGCTTTAAATGAAACCTGGCACTCAGAAGAGGGCAATACTTAAGAAGGCTATATATAACGTCTATGCACAATGCACCACTCCACAGGACGAAATTGAATCGTTAGAAAGGCAGAAACTTTTTGCAAGAATGGGATCATTTGACACTGCGTGCAAAACACCCACATAACTCGTGTTCTAATAGATCGTGGGAATGGAACCTTGCTCATCATGAGGTGGCCTGGACCTAGCTGTGTTTTCCTGGATACTGGAGAATCAAATTCTGATCAAGGTTTAGGGGTTGCGTTCAAACTTACGGTCTTCTTGACTCAGCGCTTGATCTGAGTCCATACTAAGGAACACATTGCTGGCTATGGGGTCCCTTCCTACGAGAAGCGCTCGCTTGAGTGTTATGAAAGGCATCATGCGTGACTCATGCGTGAACCGTGCTACGATGCAGATCGAGTCAAAGTCCTAGGAGATTTTGCTTGCTAACGAGAGCTTTATTGACCTCCTATTGGTCTAAGTATCTCGGGCGGCTGCACCATCATGCATGTGCTGATGGGCCGGCTGACTGCGCACTTTGTAGCGCGTAGATAGAGAGTCGTCACGGTAGAAGACCCTTCATATACACGGGTTAAACTGAATGTCGTGAGAACTTCGGGCAGATGGCCGAGCGCCCAACCACAAGAAGTTAGTTAGGTTATTTATATCTGTAAATCATGTCCCGTACCCTTTTCAATAAAGGATACGCTCCATCAGTGGAGCAGAAACACAAAGACTGAGCGGATGCAGCAGGCCTGATGCGGCTCATAAATTCATTCGAGAATCGAAGTTCAACCTGGGGCGACTAGTATCAGCCCAGATTTAAAGCGGCTATATCCAGATTCCACACCATATCCTAAATTCATCCAGTTATCCTTGGACGATCGTCTATTCGAATTTCGCCGGCATCAGCACGTTTACTACTCCATCAACATGCCCGTTAGGTCAATTCATCGTGGACGAAAGCTGCAAACAACGGCCCCGGGACTCTTGCACAAACTTAGGGCAAAGTAGACAAAATTTGGATAAGTCGAAGCGGAATTTTCTTCAAGTTCCAACTTCTCTCAAGTGCTTACCATCTCTCATTCATACCTCGCTTACTAGCCAATAATACTAGCTTTTCGTGTTGTTTGTTCTTACTTTTTCTTTCCATCATCATTAATTCCCTGCCCGCCACATCCAGCGTCCAGCGCCTCAGCTAACACCAGCTGCAGTGCAGCTGCTGCACCCCTGCTGCAATCTCCGTGCTTTCCGTCACCTCCCACTTCCCTGGCACGTCCTCCCGCAGCCTTCCACGCTAGCCCTGACACGATTTCTGCCTTTCCGACAGTCACCATGCTGATTCCGTCTTGCGTCCTCTATGGTAAGTCTTTTCTTCTTTTTTTCTCCCTTTTGATTATAAACATGCCTTGCACAACTCTCATCACAGTGCACCCTCATGTTTGCTCCCCTCGCATACCTGCCACTACCTTGCATGTAAGTCTCCCTTTATCTTATCTCTTTCTTTTATTTTCTAAATATAATGGTATACGCTGCATTCTTCTACATCCTCTTGCACTTCCTTCGTTCTCTCGCACCCTCTCGCACCTTCCCTGCATCATCTCGCGCCTTTTCACACCGTTTATCATTGTCTCGCATTGTCATTGTCTTGTGCCTTCTCTCGCCGTCTAGCGTCGACTCGGGATGTTGTTGCACACTATCTCGCGGCTTCCCTGGATTCTCCCCCACCTTCTTGAGTTGTTACCATTAATATTGTAGGTTCGTAGTTGTCGTGTATTACGACTTAAAATTGAATGAAGCCGGTTGTTTTATTGTTTTATTCACACTGTCGCGACAACTCTGGACCAATGATCAGTGTGACATACTGCACCAATCTCGACATGAAGATCAATGCCACTCAGTAACCAGTACTATGCCAGTCTCGACATGAGGACCAATGCTATTTAATACTACCAAGCTGATATTCACGAGCGGAGGTTTGCTGAGGTGGACATACATATGGCTCCTTTGAGACTCGTATCAGTTCTGTGGCCGTTATTTTCTCCAATCCCCTACTAGTACGTTCTGGAACAGGTTTCGATGATCCGATGTCCACTGGATAAAATAATATTGCTGCCAGCAGCTGTCCTCGGGTTCAAAACTACATCGCAGACAACAAGCGACGCCAGGATAAATCGAATATTGTTATCACACTCGGCGTCACACTTGATGATATTCAATTATACGGAAGTCAGCGGATCATTTTTGCACTCGGCGATCATGTCTAGCATCATCCTAAGTACAGTATTTCTGGGCCAGGCGCTGGTGAACCTATCTGTTTGGCTGTGTGTATATAGGTATAGCACTACACTAATACTGCACGGATAACGTTCGTTAGGCGGAATCAAATGCAGGAAAGACAGTTCTCCAATATTAAGGCAAGCAGAGTCCCCCCAGTTCCATGCTCAGGGAACTCGGATACATTTTCTTTCAGTCAGAGTCGCAGAATACAAGTTCAACACTATGAAACCGGAAGGAGGTTATTATCACGCCTTCCACAATTGAAATATCCGTTTTCACCTACTGAATGAGGCGGTGACGGGTGATTGACAAGTGATTTCGCATCAGCATGTTTGTAGGTGATTGTTGAACGTTGAACCTCCGAGATGACACGTGACAATTGAACATCACGTACTTAGCCAGTAGCCTTCAACGCCTTCTAATTTCATCGACCGATGGCAAATTTTGGCTCATCTCTAGTTGTCTACATAGGATGGCATGAGGATGACACGAGCTGGGTGTCGTAAACGCACCCGCGAGGAAAGAGAAAATCATCAAGTGACACAGCTTCTAGATGATCTCATGACTGAGGCGAAGCGGAAACACGGCGACCGAAGAAAAAATCCGCAGCAGCTCACTCCTTCATACAACATGTCTCCCGCTCCGCCAGTCGAGTCTTGTGCTTGCTTGTGAATTGGTTGTCTTTGAGATGCATGTGCCCCCGCTTCAGGGCGACCTGGTTCTGTTGAATTGTTGGCTTCATTGCCATCTGTGCGCTGCAGAGCTGCGGCCGCTTCCGCATCAGATTCAGGGGTAATACCATATCTCTGTGATGTGTTTTAATGGAATGAAAGAGGAGCGAAGGCGAGCCACTCACGTCTTCATCGCGAGCAGGAGCTACCACGACGGTGCGTCTGGAATTTCCTTCAGAAAACAAGTTGAAATTCCAGTGTCGGGACTGTAGCTCAATTGGTTGGAATGCATGTGCAAGTGGTGTGCCGAAATGTATGGAACTGAGTAAACGACGCCAACGAATAAGGGACGGTGGGCTTGCAGGTGGAGCTGCGCGACGAGGGGCGCGGTCTGACTCGTTGCCCCAGAAATCGTCACCCCTGTATCTTGGTGTCAGGCGAGAAAAGGTCAAGAATAACTACACTGACATATCTTGCCAATCCTATATTTTTGACCTGCTGATTAGAGTCAAAGATCTAATGAGACATTGCAAAGATGAGGTTGCTCACGATTGGTTGGCGCACATCTCTGGGTTGGGCTGGACGTCCCTAGTAAAGAAGTCAATTGTAGCGTGAAAGAGAAGTAGGGAAGACTTACCTAAAGCTTTGTATTGCCACCATCCGCACTCTAAACAACCAAAACCGTTAGAAAAGGACATCGAAACACCAATCGTACACCAACTTGATTATCACTATGCCAGTCGAGCGCCGCCTCCAGGCCCCATACATATATTTTTTTGTCTGGTCCAGCACTTGTAATGTATTTTCCATCGGGGGAAATGGCAACAGTGAAGACTTGGTCGTCATGCAAGAGTGGATCTCCAACTAACTGATTGGTTTTGAGGTCCCAGATGCGAATGGAGTAGTCGTTTGATGCGCTAACAATATAGCTTTCATTGCGAGTAAGACAGAGGGATGCGACAGAGTTGGTATGACCCCGAAGAACAACGAGCTCCTCCCCATCAATCGACCGCCATTTCCGGATGGTGGTATCATGTGAGGCAGAGAAGATGTATGCACCATCCTTAGACCAACACAATGATGTCACCCCACGCTCGTGTCCCTTAATCTCGGCGAGCAGCTTTCCATCTTTTGACCACATGCAAATCGCGCCACGCCCGCCGCTCATGAATTTGTCGCCTTGTGGAGAGTATTTGACGGTAATAACCCATCCATGACTGGTCTTTATCGGTGGTGCTATTTGTCGACCAGTATACGGGTTCCAGCGTCGTATAGTGCCGTCTTCAGATCCACTTGCTATCTCCAGGGCATTGGGAGACCAATCGAGGCACCTGACTACGTCATCATGCCCCTCCCATGGGTCACCGACCATGCTGCCCTCCTTTATATCCCACAGCCACAGTCTACCGTCTACGCTTCCGCTAACAATCATTGTTTCATCCGGGGATACTGCCACTGGGCCTATCCCCCCTCCATCACCATACCAAGGCTTTCCTACTGGCTCTCCGTTTCTTTTCCATCGACGAATTGAACTATCTTGAGACGTGCTCATTATATTGCCACTGGTACCCAAGTAGGCAAGGCTCCATATGCACTGAGAGTGACCCTCAATGACGCACTCCGGCGTCAAGCTTCCTGCCGGACGTTCTGGCTTTGGTTTTTTCCACGACGTGGTCCGAGTATTGTGGTTGACAAAGTAAGACCGACCAAGTGGTGAGATGTACCATTCATAACCGGGAACAACGAGATCTCCAGGATCATCTATGTTATACCATAAACTTGTCGTTCCTAGTAACACTTTCTTTGCTCACCTAGTCGCACTCCCGGTAAAGGTCGGTTCCATGAAGTCATGGTGAGCTTTTTGTCTTGATATTGAGTTTCATCCAGCACCTTAAACTGATGCCATAGAGGGGGGAGGGCTTTATTCCCGCCTGCTTCACGGTGAGTAAGCTAGTGGATATCACTGCGACGTGGCTGCTCACCCTCCCAAAGTGCATCCTGACGCTGCTGTGCACCATAGGGTGGCGGATTCTTCGCGCTCGTCCGAGGCGGTACAACATGTGCTGGTGAGTTTGATAGCGCTTCTTGTTGCGCTTCTCTCCGTCTTGTTGATGTGCTTGATGCACTTACTTTCGCTGGGCATGACCCTGATCGAGAAAGAAATTATTGCTGTACTTGCAGACGGTTGGACAGTGAGGTAGAGGCTAAGCAGGGCTAAGCTCGATAATAAGCAAAATCAATGGTCAAGAGCGAGAAGAGATGATAGAGGACATGAAGAGACCTGCTAGACACTCGGGCTCGCATGCTGTATTTGCACCTCCCTTGCACCGCATGCCATTAGAGGCGGTGTTCCCGAGGAGGGTAGTTCGCGGGCTCAGCCCAGCTGAGTTCCGAACTTGTCAAACATCGACATTTTTAAAAAGTCCGCAATGCTGCCGACTGGACGACAATGACGATGACCTTGATGATGATTATCTGTCTGATTCTGATGCATTGCTCATGGCAGCTCTCGAATATTGATCCCTTGCATAGTGTCCATTACTGGTGGTGGTTCACGAGGACCATACAATCAGATTCCTCGGTGCAAAGACTTCTTTTCATGCTGCTTGCAAAGTCCCGATCGTGAATTTCGACAGTAGTAATATCTTCGGTCTGTAGCCTAGTTTTAATAGTAAGTTTTTTTGATGGAACGATAAGCACAACTACCTTGATAAAGCTTGACGAGTGCGATCGGAAAGCTTCGGAAGGACCTCGAGGTCGTGTGCCGTGCACTTGAAGGCACGTCGAGAAAACGCTAGAGAAGACTATGAGGACGGCGATCGAAGCCCAGTCGAGTCTGACCTTTCCGTACTGTACCATATCCGTACATGAGACAGGTTGGTCTGCCTGCTACCCAAGAAACACAACCAGTAAGGATAAGGACATTGGAATACCTGTCGGGAATACTATAAGTGATTTTCGCTCAAAGGTTATTGGAATGTAGCAGCGATATTGCGTGAAACTAAAGGTGTGGCGCTGTGCATAAGCAACTGATCAAATCAATTATGTGACCAGACAGTCCCGGCCTTGTTAATAATGCAGGTATCCAAGGCGTTATCGATGAGAACCGGGGTGTTTCCACAGACTGCCACACGCACCATCGCGAACCGTAAGACCATGTCCTTGAGGGCGGTTCACGTCCAGGGCATACGTATGGAAGCACAGCGAATGCGAGGCTAAGCCTTAGGCCCAGCCGGTCACGACTTATTGAAACGACTGGGAGGCAGAGATGAGAATAGAACGCAATCGATCAGCGCAAACAACAAATAGATTAACCAGAGTAAACTACTGATCGAGGTCCCTCTCTGAAAACAATAAGCCCCTTGTTACACACCAGTACAGAGAACTTACTTAAATCCTGATATCTAAAGTATCGAACAGGGTCCAAGTCCATCAACCGAGAAAGTAACTCCACGCACTCCTGTTTCAGGGTTTGGGAATCTGGTGAGTGATTTTGGAGTAGAAGTCGCTTATAGTGGACCAATGACTCCATACACCCTATAAAAGAATTAAGTAGTTGTGAGATTAATAAACATAACCGCTTGCATTTACTATCAGGTTGCTCTTGGAGCAACTCGAAGATAAGTTGTATCTCACGTTCCAATTGTGCTTTGTTTTCCCCTGCTCAATGCACCAAGTCAATCCATGTTGAATTGCATATGAGACAGTCTGTTGTAGAACCTGAGCCAATGAGCCATCTATGGTATATCCACGCGCTTTGATCGTCTGGGTCAGTATATAATGCGTTGCTTACAAGCTCGAACTCTGTTAAAAGAAAAAGAAAGAAAGCTCGAAAAGGTCAATCCGATTGAAAAAGGGCACGTACCGTCGTCTCTCGACTGGATAGGATCCAGCTGGCCACTTTCCCAAAGTCCGACTAAGGTCTTAGACCTTTGATGCCATGCACTAAAATTGGAGAAATTTGCTCCAATTTTGCGAGAAGTGTAAGCCAACTCTGACGTCTCAGGCCTTCTTGTGGGCATGTTTGCGAGGACGTATCTGCGATAATTCCAAGCCATGACTAGAGAGGGGTGTGGGTGTCAAATATGTGCGGATGCAGTGATGAGATGACTGACAGTTCCTTGCATCTGCGTCAAGCATCCTCTCCGTGACAAAAAGTTCCTTGTCCCAATTTGCCTGTCTCCATTCCATAGACGGTACCTCATTGCGTTCCGGCCCGTCTGGGACATTCTCGAGACACCAGCGACGGTGATTCCATATCCAGTAGACTTTCGGATTTGCTTTCAAAGCTGTAGTAGTCATGGAAAGCTCGTTTGAGAGAAGGTTGTTAATTTGCTCAGGAGTACTGCGAGAGCTCTTATTTTGAGGAAATTTCGCGTCATGCTCATACATGCGCACCTATGAGGAAATATACCGTTGAGTAGGATATTTCGACGATAATTCCACACGGTGTAGAATTCAGGGTTGATCTGGAGTAAACGCTGCGTTAATTCAAAGGCATCGTTGCTCCACTCCTGTTTCTTCTTCTACACAAACATTAATCAGAAAGATGACGGTACACAAGCAAGAGCTATTCGTACTCGAGATAGCACATCGTCTGTTAAAGCGAGGAACTCATCGATCTTGGACTTTTCTCGCTGTCTCTTTTCAGCAAGAGCCTCGGGAGTCTGTAGATTACGTTTGATGTGATGCTGTTCAATGCTCATTCAAACTGTGTGCAGAACGATCTGAACGCGATTCTTACCATACCGACAGGGAAGACGAGACTTGCAATCGTTGGATTATCAATTACTAGATTATGAGAAAAATAAATAAATAAATACTCCTTCTAACCTCTAGCGCGCCAACCTATTACTAGCGCTCAGCGCTGTGCTTTCGTTCAAAACCTACCAGGATCTCAAAATGCCTTCGGTTGCGGAGAAGTCGACTTCAATGGACTTACTGGCGTCCCAATTTCCTGTGACGCTTCCAATACCGACACCTACAACCTATTCAAACTTGCTGTCCATCAAGGATGTTCAGCGCGAGGAAGACCTTCTCCGAAACCCATCTTCTTTTCGTGCATGGTGGACCGCCATACATACGACGAAAGAAGCGTATAACGCGCAATTGAAGGCAGAGAGACGCACGGTCGTGCCTGACGAAACCGCGACACTCCTCGGTCCACTCGCGACCCCACTGGCTAGACATTCATTGCAGTGCCTAACTTACCTTTACGAAGCAGCTATTGCTCAGTTTCCTGGCTCATTCAAACTATGGAAGTCGTACCTCCAGATGAGAATGTCCTATGTTCTTGGCAGACAGGTGATCAAAAAAAGGGCTGGTGGAAGGAAGAAACTACCGGAAATGAAGGATGCTTTAGAGGAGGAGAAGGAGGACCTAGAGTCATGGGAGGATGGCCTTGATGGAGTCGTAGGCTGGGAGGAGTGGAGATCGCTGATTGCTACATATGAAAGGGCCCTCATGTGGTTGCCCAAAGTACGCTTTATTACCAGGGTACTGTTGTGTTTGTGCTGACTGCAGGATCATTTCAGCTACCCAGATTATGGCTAATGTACACATCCATCTTCTTCCACCCTGGGTGCCCATCTCTCATCTCACACACGCATGCTCGTCGGACATTTGACCGAGCCTTGCGTACTCTGCCGCCTTCATTACATTCGCGAATATGGGTTCGATATCTTCTCTGGGCCGAGACGAAGGGCGGATCTACTACGGTATCTGTCTACCGGCGTTACCTTTCTGTTGATCCAAGTGTTACCGAACACTACACCTCCATCCTGCTCTCTCCTGCAGACTCTACGCCGCGGCCCCTCGAAGCTGCCAAGCTCTTGCTCTCATTAGCAAGAAAAGCATCACGAGGGGAGTATGTCAGTCCCGAAGGGAAGAGCCCATATCAACTTCTTGGAGATTTCCTTGATATTGTTGAGCGATTCTCTGATGAAGTTGGTTTTGACGTGGATGCCACAATTGAATCCAACGAAGCAAATGCGAAAGCTGACGCGGAAGCTTCGCGAACGGATGGGCAGCTCGTACGTATGGATGGACCCCCTGTTCCGGTTGTAGCTGGTGGAGCATACGATGAGGATGAAGATCCTCTCAGCCCACGGAAGCTCAACATAGAACACATCGTCCACAAGGACGGCCTTGAAGTTTATAAAGACCAAGCTGGCCGTCTCTGGACTGGGCTCGCGACCTACTGGATCAAACGTGGCGAATTTGATCGGGCGATAAGCACTTTTGAAGCGGGCATCGCAACGGTATTGACAATCAGGGACTTCACGCAGATTTTTGACGCGTATGCAGAGTTTTGCGAGTCATTAATCAACGCAATGATGGAAAGTCTCGAGAATCCGGAAGAAGATGACGACGATGAAAACACGAAGGAGACTGAACAAGAGATGGACATTAAGATGAAGGAGTTCGAAGCTCTTATCGACAGAAGACCGTTTTTAGTCAATGACGTTTTACTCCGAAGAAACCCAAACGATGTTCAGGAATGGGAGAAGAGAGTTGCTCTTTGGGGTGAAGATGATGAAAAGGTAAGCATTAGTCTGAAGGCTGAAATTGGCTCGTCTGACGTGTGTTCAGGTGGCCGACACGTACACCAAAGCACTGGACACTATCAATTCCCGCAAGGCTACTGCCAACCTCCATAGACTTTACGTTAACTTCGCCAAGTTCTACGAGGATGGTGGATCTACAGGTTCAGCAGAGCCTGACTTGGATGGCGCCCGTAAAATCCTCGAGAAAGCCACCAAAATTAATTTCAAGGCGGTCGAGGATCTCGCGGACATTTGGTGTGAATGGTCAGAGATGGAGCTTCGACACGAGTGAGGAGCGTCATATAGGTTTCCACCTGATTTACTGACCGTCTACTCTCAGAAACTATGACGAGGCTATCAGAGTCATGCAACGCGCTGCTGCCATTCCTAAAAATACCAAGATAAATTATCATGACCATGTGAGCCCGTTTCAGCGGGTTACTTTTCAAATTTGCTGATTCCCGATAGTCACTACCCGTCCAAGCCAGATTATTCAAATCCTTGAAGCTGTGGTCATTCTACGTTGACCTTGAGGAGTCAATAGGGACCGTTGACTCGACAAAGGCCGTCTATGACAAGATCATGGATCTAAAGATTGCCAATGCCCAGGTTATCGTCAACTACGCTGCTTTCCTTGAAGAAAATCAATATTGGGAGGACAGTTTCAAGGTGCGGTTCATCTGATCACTGTCTTTCTGGCTAATTCTTAAACATGTTTACGACCAGGTGTACGAGCGTGGCACAGAGGTCTTCACTTTCCCCATATCCTTTGAAATATGGAATATTTATCTGTCCAAGTTCGTGAAGCGATATGTACGTATTTTCGTACTTCACTGTTATCTGTCCTTGTTAACACCTTTCAGGGAGGATCTAAGTTGGAGCGAGCTCGTGATTTGTTTGAACAAGCGCTAGAAAAATGTCCACCGAAGTCATGCAAGCCCCTGTTCCTGATGTATGGTCAATTGGAAGAGGATCATGGTCTAGCGAAGCGGGCCATGTCTATTTATGAGCGTGCAACTCAGGTTGTCGCCGATGAGAACAAATTTGAGGTACTGCACCCAGTTGCATTCTATAAGGACCTTTGTTGACATCATGACGACAGATGTACACTATATACATCGCGAAGGCCACAGCTAATTATGGCCTGCCAGCCACCCGCCCAATCTTCGAGCGCGCACTCGAGGTCCTTCCTGACAAACAAACCGCTGAAATGTGTCTACGTTTCGCAGCATTGGAACGCAAACTTGGCGAAATCGACCGGGCTCGCGCTATTTATGCACATGCTTCCCAATTTTGCGACCCACGCGTCAATCCCAAGTTCTGGCAGGAGTGGAACAGTTTCGAAATCGAGACGGGTTCGGAAGATACATTCCGAGAAATGCTTCGTATCAAGCGGAGTGTCCAAGCCCAGTTCAATACCGAAGCATCATATCTCGCTGCCCAGACGTTGTCGGCGAAACAAAATGGTACCTCAGAGCAAGCATCCGCTGCTCAGCCAGCAGATCCGATGGCTGCTGCAGAGCAGCAAGCAAGAGGTCCCGCATTCGTCGCAGCCAAAAAGACAGCTCTTCCAAGAGCAGATGAGGACCAAGCTTCGCCTGCGCCGGACTTGGCGCCACAACAGGCAGACAACGCTGATGAGATCCATATATCCGATGAGGAAGACTCATAAATGGCGATATGTTATTGTTACATTACATTGGGAGTGTTGTTACTTTCTCTAGTTGTCTGTATTATCTTGTGTCCCATTTTTCAACCTCTGCTTCACAAAGATCCTCCCATTTTGCGTCCCAGCCGTCATCTCTGAGGAAAGGCTGCTCGACCCATTGATTGATAGCCTTCCGAGAATCTTCGAATGACACTGTATGACTGCGCAAGGTGTCAACTAGTCCCTTATGAAGTGCGAGAGACCGATGATACGGAGTTGTCAGCTCAGACAAAGACAGCACTGCAAAGCCCCGTCAAAAAGTGACGACAAGAGCGATATTAGCCTACCAAATTTCTCGATGGGCCATGAAACCCACAGAGGTTCCTCGTGGCACCATTGAAAACCCTTCAACCTCTCCGCTTCAAACATCAGAGCCTCCATATTATCGAGCACGGTGCTCATTCTCCGCAACAGCTTCGACTGACAAATGTTCGTTATTATTGAATCAATCACAAGACAGGCACCATCTTACGAGCTTCATAAGAACAGAATCGAGCAGAGTAATACATTCATCCATCACTTCAACCTTCGGACTAACCATGATCGACCCAGGCTGCGTACCAGCAGGAACCATGGCAAGTGCATTACTGAAGAGCTCCATAATCACCAACCGATAAATGACGAGAGATGAAACACACACTCCAATTCGGTACGAGAATCGACTAGAGTTCGCGCAGTTTTTAAGCCGTCGACGAGGACGATGTCATCCCATGTATTTGCGATCGAGCGTAACTCGTGGAGTAACGTTCTAAATTTTCGATGAATAGACGCATCGGAAGCCCTGGATGGCGATGCTGGCGTGACTGGTTTCTTTACTTGTGATACGGGAGATGATGTTGGCGTAGAAGGGCCATGAAATGATGCTAGGCGTTTGCTCATGAAGCCCAAGACGGATGTGTTTATTTCAGAAGCCTTTACCAAACAGTAAATAACGTCATTCTACTGAATCAACGTGAATGGGTTGCATTTACCGATATCGACGATGTCTGAAATTACCGCGGACCACTCATATTTGTTGAGATCAGCAGCTGAACTTGAACTGACAGAAGTTTGTCCTTCAAATCGCTTTAGCTGTTCGTCGCTCAGATCGATGGCAGGCTCGCAGACAAAAGGCGGAGAGAACAAAATCTCTTGGGTCTCCGATTCAGCTTACCGGCAACGCAATCGACATCCAAATTCGCGGCAATTACGCATGGATTGCTGAGAGTTCGCATGTAGCCAAGAAAATTGATTTAGAGGTACGTTTCGACGATCTGCATCACTCGACTTGGGAGATCACGACGCGTTTTGCAGACAAGAAAGACTTTACAGATATACAGAGGTCACCACGCACCGGTGACCTGTCTCGCCTTCTATGACAGAACCCCGAATTCGGGTGATGAAAAGCTTCTGATAACTGGGTCTTGGGACAAGGCAAGGGATAATATTTACGGCCACTCAGGTGATGCTAACGGAATCCTTCTGCTAGACCATTAAAATATGGGATACTAATGTAAGCACCCGAACGCATTTCATGTCCTTGTAGGTGCTGAACGCAGACCGTCTCTTGCAGACAAAGGGCCTTATCTCAACGACGGCTGCTCACGATGATTTTGTCAAAACTCTACTCGTCGTGCCATCTGTGAAGCTCCTAGTCAGCAGTAGCTCCGATAAGATTGTTAAATTCTGGTAGAAACGAACACCTCTCATACTGGTAGTCCTAACATCTGTGCTTAGGGATCTAACCGACGTTCTTGAGAAGCCTCCGCAGCCTGCCGGGTCAGTCTCGGCTCATAGTCGTCCGGTAGAATGCATTGCTGGAATTGCCAATGCCGATGGCTCCGTGACCCTCTTCACCGCTGACACCATGGGAGTATTGAAGGTGTGGAAGCTAGAAAGAGAGGGAGGGCCGCGGCCTCGGTGGCGAAGCACTCTTAAGGACACTCTCAACCACCATCGAACGCGCATCACTGAAATTATATATGATGCAGGTTACATCTGGACAGGTTATAACGATCGCTCACTGTGTCAAGCCATTGTTTAGCTCACCCCTTGCTTCAGCGTCATCGGATGAAACAGTGCAAGTCATTCCTTACCCACCAGGATCCTCGGACCAGAAACCCAGTCCACCCCTCACGCACCCATTGCCTGTGCGGGCGATTCTTCCACTGGCACTTTCCGATCTTGAAGAGCCGTACATCGTGACCGGATATGGGGATGTTATCCGTCTGTATGATGTCTCGACGCCATCCGAACCTGAGGTTCTAGGGGAAATTGACGCGCATTGGCACGATGTCACTGCGCTCAGATTATGGATTCAGAGAAGTCGCACAGACAACGGAAGAACACGCATCGAGCCATGGATAATCAGTACCAGCCTGGATGGCACCATTCGTAGATGGCGATTTAGTGGTAAGTCTACATGGTGGGTATTGAGATACATCTAAATAATTTCTGCAGAACTCCATGACTCGAAGCCAGACAACCCTGCTGGACAGTCGAAAGCTACAGTTATTGCTCCCACTCCCCAACCCAGTGGTGATGTTAAGGATCAGGTTGAGATCACGGAAGAAGAAGAAAGAGAACTCGCAGAACTCATGGAGGAAGACTGAGATACATACTTGAAGGATAATCTGCTGCTGTTAAGTAGGAATCGGGTAGTGCTTCTCCCACCCAGGATAAAAGGGGTCCTCGTTCAGTGTCTTCTCTTGCCAATCTTTTGGGACCCATCCCTTATCCTCTTGCTCCTTTGCCCACTCTCGTAAAGCGGGTATAACCTTGTGCTCGACGGACCATGTTCCTTTGTACTCCAAGATTGCCTTCTTTCCTTCGAGCAAAACCTTCAGAAGCAACTTTGGAATGAATGGCTCGTTGCGGAAATCTGTCACCGGAGTGAATAAGGCCTTGAAGTTGAACACGATAGCGCGGGATTTTGGCAGGCGACGTAACGTTTGCCAGTCAACTCGCATGTGAATGTCGGAGAGAGGAAGGTCTGGATTCTGATGTTGACGATGACTCCACTCTGGTTCATCTGTCTGAAGATAGAGGGGCTCCCCAATTTCAAGGCCCCAAGACCCTCGCTGAATGGGCTTGTCACAAGGCATCTTAGAAAAGTACCTGTGAATCCATTACGGCGATCTTATAAGTGAACCTGATATGTTTACCACATTACTTGCCTGTCCATTGAGAATGCCATCTTCTCCTTATAATCGGGAACTGGGCCATGAATGTCGTGCAATGGTTTGCCTATCTTCTGGCTGATATTCCAGCCAACTGCTGATGTTGAGACCGCAGCTCGTAGAGTGTAAAGCCCAGTATCAGGGTCTTCCTGGGTGATGAGGAAGTCCTCTGGGACATTCTCGAGTAAGAAAACCAGTGGATGCATCGTCGAAATGTTAGCCGTCGTGCCGAGGATGTGGTTGTGGAACGTCAAAGTCCACTCATCAAACTCAAACTGCTGGGGGTACCTCAGGCAGAGGTACTGAATGACCATTTCCATCAACTCCTTTGAAGCTGCTTCGCTACCGGGCAGCTCATCTATGATACGTTTGCCATGGAGGGCGTAGATTTGTTGCCGTTGCGCAATGCGATCACGATATGTACTCTCCAGCTCCAGCCAGTAGTCTGGTTCCAACTTCTTGAGGGCTATAGAAGGCATAGATAAGCAAAGCATGTCAACCGTGATACAGCTCACATACACATGTTCTGATGGTATTCCCACCTGAAGGGCCGGTATGGACGAGGACGAGCATGAGCTATGTTAAGGCCGTGTACTGGCTTTGGATGAGGGAAGCCTGTCAACTGAGCAAAGTCCGGTAGTCCTCTACCAGCCACGAGAGCGGCTTTCTGTCGCAGAAACTTCCAATAGCTGCGTGGAGAAACACCCTTGCTATAACACACAGCAGCAAGAGTAATCGCGACAACCGCGATTCCTATAACGTTGGGCGTGCTTATCATGGCTGTGGGATACTAGCACTGCACGAATACTTTCGAATTGACGCATATCAGGGAGATGTACGTATACTTTATGGTAGTTTATACCCATGATCATAAGACGCGACCACGAGCAAACCACGAGACCATTTACATGTGTGATCTGCTTGTTCTTAAAATGGTAATAACCCACGGTAAAGCCCGCGAGTACTTCGTCGTCCCTCATGTTTCCTGAAGCTGACGCTCAAAAGCGAGTCCAACATGTAGCTCTGTCGAGTCACTATCGTTATATTGATTGTTCTCCCTATCGGTAGATCTTACATCTTAACAGATCCTGTCAGATATCATCGCGTGCACCTAGTGGCCGTTATGTGACTTCCTGCAGATAGAAGCAATGAACCTTGTTCTTTGTGCTGCAGAAAGGAATTCCACACCCGCTTGAGCACTGAGCGCTGAGCACTGAGGCCTAGGCCTGAGGTCTAGTCTTATAATGTCGATCGAATTGGGATCGAATGATATACATCCACGCTCGTTCCAATTGAGGGTGGTATACTCGTATCTTTCACCGTACTCGGAGCTCAAAGGCTTGAAGAGCTTGCACTGCGGCAATGGATGATAGTATCATAGTGACACTAAGTACTCCCCGACCTACAGTACATACATTACGGTATCTCCATTTTGTCCCCATTTATATACTTACTATTAATACTCAGCTATTCTGAGATATAAAACTAGGTACTTTGGACTCATCCACAACCGTCAGTACAGTACTCCAAGTCGAATCAGAAATGCCCTCTGACGCCGCTCGCTCCCCATTGATGAAAATCGATCTTCCGTCTCCTGAAGAGTTCAGGAAGAGGAAAGTCGCGCTGATCTCTGGTTCGTTGCATCTTCATCAGCTTGCCTTTTGCCTCCCCAGCATCCAGACTTCGGTGTGGTCAGGATGATACGCAGTTCGTTTAAACAAACAGGCGATCGTGTCATTGCTAAGATTGCTTTGCCTGTTCCTATACTGCATATTTACTTGCTAGCTTGTCGTTATGTTGCATGTATGCTAATTTGAAATTGTGTAGGAATAACTGGTCAAGATGGATCGTACTTGTGAGCATATTTCTCGTATAGCCAGTCACTACTCATATCTCGACCTTTCTGTAACAGGGCAGAGCTTCTGCTGGAGAAGGGATATGAAGTGCATGGTTATAATCCGTCGCTCGTCTAGCTTCAACACCGGTCGTCTAGAATCTCTCTATGCGGATCAGCATGAGCGTACGCGTCTACATAAAATCATATGACTTGCACATTGATCATTCTCCCCCAGGGCCCAACAAATTCAAGCTGCACTACGGTGATCTCTCCGATAGCACCAACCTTGTATACATCCTCGCCCAGGTCCTCCCCTCAGAGATCTACAACCTTGGTGCCCAATCGCACGTCAAGGTATCCTTCGAGATGTCAGAATACACCGCCGATGTCGATGGCGTCGGCACCCTGCGCCTCCTTGACGCCATCCGCACCGTCGGCCTCGAAAAGCACACGCGGTTCTACCAGGCTTCGACCTCAGAACTCTATGGAAAGGTCGTCGAGACCCCACAGAGCGAGACCACGCCGTTCTACCCTCGTAGTCCGTATGGTGTCGCCAAGTTGTACGCATACTGGATCACGGTGAACTACCGCGAGGCGTACGACATGTATGCGTGCAACGGTATCCTTTTCAATCACGAGAGCCCGAGGCGAGGGAGGACGTTCGTCACGAGGAAGATTTCCAGAGCAGTTGCAGATATTAGTGTCGGCAAGCAGCATTGCTTGTACCTCGGTAACATCGATGCACAGAGAGATTGGGGACATGGTAAGATTCCACCTGTCGAGTTCCATCGCCTCCATTTAACCATATTTCTCATAGCCAGGGACTACGTCGAGGGCATGTGGCGCATACTTCAGCAGCCTACACCCGATGATTTTGTTCTTGCCACCGGAGAGACTCACCCTGTGCGAGAGTTCGTCGAGAAAGCCTTTGCGGTTGTCGGGGTTACAATAATGTATGCATCTCGTCATGACATATACCACATCTAACGTGTCCTTGATTTCATGTAGGTGGCGCAATTCTGGTGTGCAAGAAGAGGGCTATGATGCTCAGAGCGGACGGGTGGTGGTCAAAGTTGACCCACAGTACTTCCGTCCCGCAGAAGTCGAGTACGTTTTTTTATCACGCCTCTTCTTGCAAATTCTCATGCTGGTGTACAGCCTTCTTCTCGGTAACCCTGCCAAAGCTGAGCGTGTTCTTGGATGGAAGCGCAAGGTCGACTTTGATTCCCTCGTTCAAGAGATGGTGAAGGCGGATTTGAAGGCGACCAAGAGCCTCGTGGAAGACCAGAACTGATGAAAATGCCATGGCCATGAATTGCAGCTGTGCAATCATATACAATTCAAGGACTATTTCTTGTGGACTGATATCCTAGCATCCTAGCAATCAAATTTGTGTTTGAGGTGTAAGACCGAGATTATACACCGGCATATACAACTGCAATAGAAATACAATAAATTCATATTCCCGTGAGGTCGCGCAGACGGTAATCTCTGCTGGCCTTCCATCACGACTGGTGTTCAGGGAAATTGCCACTCATAACTTTGCTTTGTTTGTCACAAGAGCCGAAGCTGTTTTCAAGCTCGCAGCTGCTGTTGCAACCAACTCATCGACACTACACAAGTAAAGATGTCAGTAGAATTCAGAACAGAAACAGGCCACCATACATCTCCTTCGCTGGCTTGATATCCTGTAAAGATCCATTAGCAATTGCGTTTCAATACAGTCATTTGACGTACATTGATGGATCCTGCTACCCTGCCCATTAACCCTGCATATATGAATATGTGAGACCGAGCAAAGCAATCCAAGCGAGCATTCCTTACACATTCGACCTTCTAGAGATTTCTCGGGATGATTCTCTAGTTCGACATCGTGCGGGATATGGCCCTGTGCAACAAGCTTTGCAATTTCCCCTTGTCGCTGGGTCTCCCAATCTGCAACATAAGGAGTCTTCCGCACATTCATCGGACGACCGCTGTACACCAGGGTGCGGACAATGTCGTCATAACCAGCTGAGATAACTAGTTCCTTGTGTTTTGGAGGAGCACCTGCTTCGGTACTAGCTACAAAGCGGGTGCCGACCCAAATACCGGATGCACCATACCTTGGTCCAAAAATGTCACTAACGAGGGAAGTGTACGTGTGAGAAGTACTCACGAAAGTGCGGCCGCAAGGCCACGGCCATCCGCGATACCCCCAGCAGCAACGACGATGACCGGCCCACCTGTTAAGGGGCTTTTGGCATTTTTGCAAAGATCAACAGTGCTGGGTATCAGAATGGAAAATGGTGTTTCGCCAGTGTGGCCACCTCCTTCACCGCCTTGTGCACAGATGATGTCGACACCTAGAAGAATGTTGGAAACGGTGAGTGAGCAGGAGTGAAGCTAAGCGAGCTTTCGCACCTTGCTCGAGGGCTTTCCTAGCATGCTAATAACATCGATTTAGACGCATACAGGTTAAATCTCGTTAGGAAACGTATTACCTTTGGATGACCGATCATACTAAGGTGGATTTAGTCAACTTCAACTTCCAAGTGCGACACAAGTACATACTTCATGACCGGGATTCCGGCAGCATGAAGCTTGTCAACAGCTTGTTTGGGCGGCACTCCTACAGCAGAAACGAAAAGTGCAGCCCCGCTGTTTATAATGATGTCCAAAAGCACGTCAAGTTGACCACTCGTATAATCGTACTAGGGACCGGTGTCAGACATGTCTCTGGATAGAAAAGGGGGCGCTTACATTTGTCTTCCGAGCACTGCCACCCACTTGAGGAAGCAAGAGGTCTACGCCGAATGGTGCGGTCTTGTCTTCCAGATGGCTCTTGAGTTCATTAATAGAATCCTGGAGCATCTCGGGGCTCTGGCGAACCCCACCAATGACACCGATACCGCCAGCATTGGTCACTGCTGCAGCCAGTTTAGGCCCTGCGGCGACGTTCATGCCTGCACGCATATGGATATTAATGCCGGTGTGGAAACTGTAATACAGTAACGTTACCTGCAAGCATGACAGGATGATTGATCTTGAAGAGGCGCGTCAGGGGCGTCGAGAACACTGGCTGCGAGGACGGCATGACGAAGTATGAGGATAAGAACCAAATGGGAACCTGTTTCACGTCGCAGCCATTTGAGTAAAGCTGCAACCAGTCGCCAGCGTGCTACTGCGGGAACAAAGTCGCGTGAGTTGTTCCGACAACCCACCCGGCTTCTAGCTCAATCACGTGCGAAATCTGACTGAGCTTGATGACTCATCGAAGCTATCTTTATTTCCGCCATGGCAGACAAATGTCCGGTCGACCACGGTAGTCATTCTTCAGACCTGTCCTGTCCTGTCGACCACAAATCTCGTACATCATGGGCCTCTGTCTTGACAGGGACCAGCCCTGCACACCCGGTCAACGCATCTTCGCTCTCGACCGAACGGGAGGTTTCTTCGATACCCCGAACAGACAATGGTAATTGGGTATACCCGTCGGAGGCTCAGTTTTTTGCTGCCATGGCGCGCAAAAATCACAATCCGCATGCTCCAGATATGAAGACCATCATTCCTATTCATAATGCCGTTAATGAACGTGCTTGGTCGGAGCTGATGAAATGGGAATCTGGGAGAGGTGGTGAAAAGTGCGGGGGTGTAAAGCTTGTAACCTTTAAGGGCAGACCTAATGACCTGACCCCAAAAGCTCGACTCATGACCTTGCTCGGGTACGTGCTTCAGCCTACATTGCAGCCGGAGAACGCTGATTTCGTTTTGCAGGTACTCTGCTCCCTTCGATCGTCACGACTGGGTGGTCGAACGATGCGGAACCCGGATAAGATACGTGATCGACTTTTATACCGGACGGGGGGCAGGACCTTCGTCAAATAATGTATCGTTTTATCTCGATGTTCGGCCCGCCTTAGACAACTGGGAAGGGGTGAAAATGAGGGCTGAGAATATTTGGCAGGACTGGTTTGGAAGTGTTCGCAGTAGCAACACCCCGTCTCAGTCATGAGTAGTCTTCATAGACGTATAATCGCTTCTCCGAGCCCAATACGTATTTTATCCCCCACTCTTGGTTTACTAATTGTGAATATATTTAGGACTTACTTATAGCCATGACTCAGATATGTGGAACGGCAACTAGGATACGTCGGTCCAACCATTCTCGGTCATCATATATCGGTCCAATTTCCCCTTGACGAAGGACTAGACCTGATGCGAATTCAAGCCTACCTTACCTTTGGTATGCAATCGAATCCTTCTTGTGCCGGGGGGATACTTATGATATTCATCGTCCAATCACCGAAGTTATATATGTGTTGATTTTTCAAACACGTGACCGCCGCGTCGCGATCGGCTTTGTTTATCGGCGTGCAAGTTTGGCGCAAATAAGGTTCAAACCTGGAGTATAAATACCTCGTGTTTGCCGTCGCACTGATATCCCTCAGTCAGTCCCGCCATTATCGTCATTTTACGCTCGCCAGCTTATCTTTACGATCCTCCTTTCATTCGCCAATATGATCTCTACTACTACCCTGACCCGTGCCGCCCGTGTTGCCTTCCAAGGCTATCTTACAGCCGCTTTCTTCAAAACAATCGTCGTCGACCGCACTATTGAGGTCGTGTCCAGATCAGAGAAGGTCTCCATTCGCCTTGTTACATCCACTGTCTGCTCCTCGACAGCTGTTCTTCTCATAGCCACCACCAAAGCTGCTCAACAATTCCTCAGCGACGATCTTCAACGCGTCCCCGCTCACAAGGACATCGACGGTGCCGCTGAGCCCAACGCACGTTTTGCTGGTGGTAGAGTTGCGGATGCTATCTCAACAACCAAGGCTTTTGGAGCACCAGCTCAGCCATCCTCGTCGCGTGCAGTGATTGAATCAACTGAACCTGCCTTTGACGGTCCCACCGAAGGCTTATCGACAATTGATTCTGACATGACACTCATAGCCTGCGATGAAGACTCGGCTAAGGATATTTTCTCCGGTGATTGTGTCTCAGACACCACAGACCTTGACTCGGAGTCGCTTGCTGACGAAAGCACGCTCTACGAGGTGAGTAGCGCGTTTCTTTCTGACTTCCGGCAACTAAAGTTTGGATTTATAGGACGACTGTCAGGCTACAGCACAGTGCCTTACAGACGACGAACCGGAACACACCTTGCACACCGAATATGACTCTCACACTATCAACGATCTAATCCAAAGAATGTCAACTCTTTCTCTCGACCATGTACCGTCTCATTTATCAAGTCTCGACAATGTATCTTCTCCTATTTCAACTCTTTCTCTCGACCATGTACCGTCTCATTTATCAAGTCTCGACAATGTACCCTCTCACATTTCAACTATCTCTCCCGGCGATGTATTTTCTCACACTTCAATTCTCCCTCTCGACAATGTATCTTCTCCCATTTTAACTCTTTCTCTCGACCATGTACCGTCTCATCTATCAAGTCTCGACAATGCACCCTCTCACATTTCAACTATCTCTCCCGACGATGTACCTTCTCATTTGCCTCCTCTCGACAATGTACCCTCTCACATTCCAACTATCTCTCCCGACGATGTACCTTCTCATTTACCTCCTCTCGACAATGTACCCTCTCGCTTAACAACTATTTGGCCACATCCAGACAATGGTTCCCCTCAGTCATCAAAATGTCAGCCTCAACGCACTGCAGTACACGACCACGCTGTCGATGACCTAATTCAAAAAATGGTAGCTCTTTCTCTGCATGACCATGCTTTCGACGCTCTACTACAAAAGCTGGAGGCTCTTACTTTTGACGGCAACCACGCTATCGACGTTCTACTGCACAAATCAGAGTCTCTTACTCTCGACGACAACCACGCTATCGACGCTCTACTGCAAAAATCAGAGGCTCTTGCTCTCGACGAAAACCCCGCTATCAACGCTCCTGCTCTCGACGACAGCCCCGCTATCAACGCTCCTGCTCTCGACGACAACCCCGCTATCAACGCTCCTACTCTCGATGACAACCCCGCTATCAATGCCCCTGCTCTCGACGACAACCACACTATTAACACTCTTGCTCTCAACGACAACTATGCTGTTGACGTTCCACTGCACAAATTTGAAGCGCTTACTGTCGACCACGACCACGCTATTGACGCTCTACTGCACAAATCCTCTCGGTTATCGAAACGCATGCTACATGATAACACTAACAACAGTTCCAGTCGCCAGCACTTGCGCCGCAACACCACCGACACCCTACTTCGAAATATTGAAGCTATCCATCCTCGGAATTTCAACTACGACTCACCCTACACGACGATGCTATCGACACCGTACTTCGAAATATGGAACCTCCTATTCTCGACAATAGTCCCTCTCAGTCACCAAAACGTCAGCCACAACACACTACTAGCACGACCACAGTATCGACATCCTACCAGCTGAACTCCACACGGCGTCTACGAAAAGTGATTGGCCCACTCATACTCTTACCTCACTTACTGATGTTTCGGTGTTAGAAATTCAATGACGCACATTGCTTCCAGCACGTCTTTGGTGTCAGAGGTCCCCTACGACCCGATGCCTAATGGCCTCCCTCGCTGTCCCCTACGACATGGAGTCATAATATCCACGAGGTTGAAGGCCCCACACATACTACGCGTCAACATATCAGCTCTTCGATGAGCCAGAGGTCCCCTACGACCACATCTCGACGACACATCAAACGACACAACGGCCTCCTTCATTGTCCCCTACGACCTGGAGTTATTACCAAGAAGTTGAAGGCCGCCGCCCACAGTCCAAGTTCTGCACATACTAGTACGTCTAATACTTAGACTAGATCACTTCTTGTTTCCTCCCGTGTACAAACTACAGATTGTCTTCGAATTGTCTTCTCCTTCGTTGATACGATCGTGGACTGTCTACTTAATTTAATTACGGACTCATTTCTGTGATCTACGTTGATTAAATTTATTGATGTGTATTGTTCCCATTTATTTTCATGTACGCACAACTCAACCTTGTACGCTTTGAACACAATCTTCTTGCATATGTTCTGAGGCGAGCCGCTCTCGAGGATCTGAACAAAGCTTAAGACAGTGGCGATCATATCACCAGATCGCTCTACCGCGAGCGGAAGAGGACAAGATACTGATATCCAATCTCCATACATATTGTATCCCCACTCATGGTTGAATCATCGTGAATACACTCCAACAATATGAGAAACATACTTTATAGGTCACCGTTTCCCTCGTATTCGAACTTTCTTGGTAGGCGGCCTCTCTTCGGGCTCATCCTCACTTTCCTCTTCGTCGCTCCCTGGTTCTTCGCTATGTTCATCATCGCTGCCACCTACTTCACTTATTTCTTCGTCTTCATCCCATCCATCATAAGCTTCCTGGCCAGATTCGTCAGCCTCATCGTCACTGGCTTCCTCATCAGGATCCTCTTGGTTCTTTCGCGACCCTTGTTCTTTTTCTGCTTTCTTCCGTTGCACGTTTCTATCTTGTTCCTCCCTTCTTTGCTTTCGCAATCTCTCCTTAGCGACATGAGAAGCCTTAAGTGCAGCAGCTTCGGCCTTCGATTTTTTGACTATATGATAAAACGATCAGTCTACCCTTGCATAATTATATAATTGATTTGCAACGCACCAAATTCATGATACAGCACAGCGCCTTCCCTCCCTGGAACGCCTTCAGAAATTTTAATCAGCCTGAGCTCCATCCTCGGGCCAACTTCACTCAGTCGAACAGCCTTCTTTTGCCCTTTCTTATTACCCCGCCCAACATAATCATCCGCCAACGACACCGCATCCCCGTCATCGCCAGCAGCACTCGAAGCTGATGATGCCGCAGACTCATACCCGTCACTCCCTGGGCTAGGCTCCCCTCTTTTTCTTAGCAAGAAGTCCGCGACATCCTTCTCGTTTCCAAGGTCCAAGAACCCACTAGAGAGGTTGGCCGATGATTTTTTGGGGGCGCCTTCGAGCACGCGTCGGACGCGTTTCGAGACGCCGTATGGTTTTACAGTGATAATGTAGTGTCTAAAGTCGACGGTTCCTCTGTCGGGGTTGTATGCTATCAGGACGATCCGACGGCAGTTGGAGAGTGACATTGAGTTAGGGGATAATGGAGGGAAAAGAGATTGGAAGGATTTCATGAGCAGTGGAAGATGTGGGGGTGTTTCGGGAGAGGGTGGAGGGAAGGAAGCGAGGACGGCCTATAAAGTTATCATGGTTGTATAAGATTGATGATCGATGCTACAATATGTCACTTACCAGTGGGGCAGTGAGATACTCCATCCCCATGCTTCGTGAGGATCGAGAAGTTTTCAAGATGTCTTTCATCAAGCTGTATCGTTCCACACGGAAGCTGAGAGTAGGTCCCGCAGGAAGTCGAACCATGCGCAGTGAGGGTGCGACGTCTGTGACAGTAAGAGCCAGCAAATGCGTGACCCCCAGCGTAGGTGCCATAGTCAGGTAGTCTTTTAATTTGTTACGGTTACGTTCCTGCATTCAGATGCTCAAAGACGTTTGGAACACAATATTGGTCGGGCTCACCTTCAGACGACTCGCCGTATTTGGTTCCATAACTTTTCGCAGATCGCGAACAAGCTGCGTGACAGAAGAACCCACTTGTCCATGTTTTATGATGAACGACTTAGGTGCACCGTCGTTTGCGTGCTGTGCAGTTGCCCCTGCACCCTTCAAATGGGTGCGATTTTTGCGTCTGCGAGCCATTGTGATTTTAGGAAACTTTTTCCTTTCGGTAAAATCACAACTTGGCGGCTGTTTGGTTCTATTTGACGACGCCTTTAGGATTCAACAAGGACAAACAAACAATTCACGGGAATAAAACACAAAATCATGTATATTCGAAGACCTGGAAGCTCTGATTACATGTAAGATATGCGGAAGGAGCACAGCCCATCTACAGGTCAAAGTTAATGGTTAAATAAATAGTTTCAAAACGTTCGGTAGCTCAATACAAACACGACAGGAATGATACAGCATATGGCAGATCAAAGCTACATATGAGACGGAGAGCAGAACGATAACACAGAAGGGATCGGTTGGCTGGCTCACCGATGATATCCTATGCAAGGGTGACTAAGGACACAAAAGGAGGCTGTGAAAGAGAGGCAAAAAAAAGGCGGAGTCAGATGGAGAAATGTTTATGCTATAGATCAGCTGAAAGTCGAGCAGCAATAAATAATCTGGGTTTTCAGATTAGAATTCAAGAAACTGATACATTATAGGGTCAAAGCGCCGATGGAGAGGAGGAGGGGATTCTTCCTTGACAAGTCCGGGCATGTCTTCGAGGGTTGGGTGAGGAAGGCTCAAAAAATGACGAGTGTCGTCCAGTGACGTCGTGTGTGGGATGATCGGTGCCTTTGATCGGTAGAGGTAAAATTAAGGTTTAAGGTAGTTAACAATGCCCCTCACCTTGATTTCACATCGTTCCAAAGCTTCCCAATCAACGCCTCGGAACCAAGGATGGTGGAGAATGTCTTGTGGTCCACCTATCATATTACCAAGACGTTTACTTCGGTCAGGATGTAAGAATGCTTTGATCAGCTCTTTAGAGAGCCGATCCATGGTGCGTGGCCAATTAATAAAGCCTCGTAGGATTTTCTCGTAGATACCGTAGGCGGTCTCATCAAAGAATGGTGGATAGCCGACCAGCATCTCGTAACACAAGATACCGCATGCCCACCAATCCGCGGCTTTTCCGTGACCGTCCGACTGGATGATTTCTGGGGCAAGGTACTCAGGCGTACCACAAAGGGTCCAGGTACGGTCGTCGACAATCTTCGCGAAACCAAAATCAGTGAGTCGGAGATAGCCTCGACAGTCAAGGAGTAGATTTTCGGGCTTGAGATCACGATATATGATGTTAAAGGAGTGTAAATACTGGAGGGCGAGGATAATATTAGCGAGATAGAATCGAGTGACGTCAGGAGTGAAACGGCCCGCCCGTCGGAGATGGGTAAACAGTTCACCACCAGGAATATAAGACATCAACATGTAAATGTTGAGACTGTCTTGAAAGGTTGCAAACAGGTCCACTACGAATGGATGCCGCACGCGTGAGAGAATATAGCGCTCTGCGTTGACGTGTTCAACCTGGCGGAGGCGCACGACTTCGGTTTTGGGCAAGACTTTCATTGCAAAAATATTTTGAGACCCTGAATTTGCTGTCTTAAGGCGGACCAAGAGCACTCTCCCAAAAGTACCAGTGCCTGTCAAATTAACAATAAGGAAGTGTTGATCTTGAGAAGACACGGACACAAACCGAGGGCGCCTTTGACCTCGAAATCGAGCAGCCTAAGCACACCCCGTCTCTCTACGTGGACTGCTTCATCCTCCAACAACCTTGCGGGAGGTCTTGCGGGTGATTTAGGTTGCGGAGCTACCACAGGAACCAGTGGCTGCTGCCACACTGGAGCAGAAGTGTTGGCGGTAAAGGTAGGGTGCTGAACTTGTTCTGGGAGATAATTCGTGTGTTCGGGTTCTCGTTTATCTTCGCTATGGCCAGGAGACATGGGAGGGGTGATAGGTCCTTGGCCAATCATGGCCTGTGATTCACGGAAAAATGGGACATCAACTGAATTGCCGGTTGCACCACCTGGAGCGGCGAATGAGGCCGAACGGGAGGATTCCATTACAGAATCGTGCATCCTTTCACTGAACCAAGATATGAAGGACTGGAGGTTAAATGTTATGGTGTCATGATAGAGCAGGATGATATAAAAATGACGAACATAAAAAAGATTGACAGTTTCTCATCCACCCTGCCGGGGGTGTGATCGCGAAAGTTTGGCAGAGGGAATCGATGCGCTAAATGAATGTTGAGAGGGGAGGGCAAGCTTAGCGAAGTCAAAGATGTACTTCAGATAGGCCAGGGTAGGCCTCGTATTACTGGTAAAGTAGGGGACTGGATGCGAAGAGAGAGGAAGGAGGATAAGTTGAGCGTGAGTGCGGTTCTAAGTAGGATACGACGGTTGCTGAGACAGAAGTTCACAGAACTTGAATATCCTGACAAGCGTTGCCCCGGCGGTTGCCCCGTGACGTGTAACCGAGCGAGTGTTCGGCTTCATTCTGGTTTTATATTACTTTTAGCCTTTTTGGGTCTTTAGGCGCTCTGAATCGTGCCACAGGTTAGCTCACCTTGACTGAGCGAAACGAAAACGCTGGTCCGACTCGGACGTCTGACTTGTTCCACTCATCCGACTCTTTTTCTCTTTTACCACATCACATGCATAGGTCTGTCCAATTGCATCGCAAACGTCCTATAATTCAATATTGTACGGTGCTGTACGATGGCGTCAGCGCTTTGGTTAGAGCCTTGATCCATTGGCATAATGCATAATGAACGAACAGCGGTCTTCTCATAGGTGGCCAATTGCCTGGCTCTTGATATTAGTGTCAAGGTAACCCTTTCTGGCATAGGCGAAGCCTTTGGAATTCTATGCAGGGGGATGTCAACCTAGTCCAACGGAAGAGTCTGACAAGAAGGACTATACAATATTCTATCTAGGTGCGTATGGTGTAGTAGTTGTGACTGTGGTTGTCTGAGAGGAGGTTAAGTCGAACTGAGACCAGGACCTTTTGTACTAGCGGACCCCTGTATATTATGAAATACACGTGTTTGACATGATAAACTGCACAGCATCACTTCAATCTCAGGCTGCACTTTGTACTGAACTTCCACCCTGGCACGACCCTGCTAGTGTCAAAAACTTGTTTTCTTTTTTATCTATAAGCCATGTCAAATCGTGCGAACGTGGGTGGTTGGTTGAAAGGAAAGACCGTCCGGAAAGGTGGCATAACATCTAATGCACACACTGCTCGCTCCAGCACACCTCAAGTTCAGAGCACATCCTCCACCCTTTTCAGTGGGGGCGTTAAAGATGCATCTGGGCGAACTACCGAATATTTCGTATGTCGTAATCTCTATCCGTTGAACCCACTCACTAACATGCCACGGAATTACAAGTCTATGGACGACCAATGCCCTGTGTGTAAGTCTGATCGGTATTTGAACCCCAAGCTCCGTCTCCTGGTCAGCTCCTGTTACCACAAAATGTATGCATCCCACTTCGCATAAAAAACAGAAGCTGATGCGAATATGCTATAGGTGCGAGTCTTGCATCGACCGGTTGTTCACTTTAGGACCCGCTCCGTGTCCTATTTGCCAAAAGGTCCTACGAAAACTTGCATTCACTCCACAGACTTTTGAGGACCTTACTGTGGAAAAAGAAATTGCCGTGCGCAGACGAATAGCCAAGGAGTGAGTAATCCCATATTTGTATCAAGGACTGAGCTTCATCACGAACGGCCAGATTCAATAAACGACGCGAAGACTTCATTGATCTTCGCTCCTACAATGATTATCTTGAAGAAGTGGAAGATATCAGTGAGTGCTTTATCTTTGACGGTGTTATCTCGTGTTCATGTTGTTAAGCTTTCAACCTTATCAATGACGTCGACATTCCCCAAACTGAGGCTCGGATACTCGCTCATCGGCAAGAAAACGCAGCTCTTATAGAACTCAATGTTCAGCGGGAAGAACAATACGCGCAAGCTTTGAAGGAACAAGAAGAGCTAGAACGCCAGGAGAAAGAACATCGTGCACTTGAGCTGCGAAGAGAACAGGAGATAGAGCGTGAGGAACGAGAAACAGCCCAACGCGAGATCATCGATCGCCTCGAGACTAGCACAAAGAGTGCCGCCAAGGTCATCGCCAAATCTCGTGCCGAAGCCATGAAGAGATCATCAGCTCGTTCTACTACCACCACGGTTCTAAGAAGCAATGCCCAGCTCCTGCGTGCACGCGCTGCCCAAAGTACTGTCGTTCCAGATCCACCACACGTCCCCTTGCAAGACGATTGGTATGCTTATGAGGATCTCTACACGGTCCGGGATCAGTACGACGATATGTACAGCGACGCGGTAAGGAAGGATCGTGAAGGAATCATGAGAGCGGGAGGGTATCGGGTCGAGGAAGCTTGGGACAGAGCCCTCAGATGTGCTGTTGCTGGATTGGATTTAGCGCCTCTTTCAGGTCTGAACCCATCGCCTGGACGGACTGACAGTGTCGTAACATCCGCCTGAAACTCGATTCAATTTGCTGCGGTTGTTCCGCATTGATGTATCAGGTCTACTATGGCAATTCTAACACTGCATCCCAGACAAACACCTCGTTTCCCCTTGTCAATCACTCTTCTCACATATTTACTCGTCCCCTGCGCCCTTTACTGCCAGTAGTGCAGAAGGCTACACTTCAAAAACAATCGCCGTATCAATATTTCGCATCAAAGGCAGCGCAGCATCTGTGTAAGCTAAGTGGCTTGCAAAAAATCATCAAGTCAGGTAGGAACGTCTCTTTTTGGTCAGCCAAGGACGAAGTGGCTCGGCGAAGAATATTGACGAAGGCTGCACAAGGGTTCATGGCATCATATCATCTTGTTTGACGCGATCTTGGGGCCTAAGTTTATGGAGCGACCATCATCACAAGAATCATGGCCTAGTTTTCTTCCCTGTGTTCGTTGCTAAAGTAAAGTCCATCTCCTGTAGTTCCGGCCGGGGAGGGGGTAACCCAGAAAGTTCTAAGACACGGCGTGGGTCCGCTTTCCAACTGATGGTGGGAAGTACAAGAAAATCACATCGATATCATCACACAGATGAAGGACATCAGGACATCAGGACACTAGAAATATTGTAGTTGCATAAATCCAGAAAGACCAGGAACTCTGACACATTTCCACGCGTAGCTTAATAGTACCTACGTGTAATAATTCTTTTAGGCACCTGTATTACATCTGTGACATATTCCTCTACTCAAATCCCTGAACATCTTCAAGTGGTAGGGATATTTCCCGAGAGTCCAGAAATAACTGTATTGATCAACTTGGTGAAGAACTACATATTGCGCCATTAATCACAGCACCATAGCATTCAAATGCGAAAGCAGAACTGTAACTTACTGTCGCGACGTGTCATTCAGACTGCCAGCTCAACGGGAAGTAGGATAATAGCAGTAACCACTGGTAGGCTATTGGTATCACAAGGCAAATAACGAGTCAAGGGATTGGATTCTGGACACAAAAAAGCAAACTGCTTATACTCACATCCATGTCCTTCATACAAAGAAGGTCAGGACAACAATCGTATGATGTGATGCAAGACGAGAATGGGGGTGCACATGCACTGCCAGACACAGACATCGTCAAGGTGGCAACAACGCAAAGGAAGGGAAAACGCATTATTTGTGCGAGGTGATATGGAATCTGCCAGGGAAAATCTCTGACTGGGAAGCGCTAGGAAGATATGTCCTGAAGGAGGTAGAACTCAGCAGTTCTGTTAATCAGTTTGTCAGCATATTACGCCCAGCGAAGCTTCGCGGCAAGAGCAGACGCGTCGGCAGATTACACGTAGACATGCCCAAGGGGACGGAAGGAATCCGAAACATTGGTTCGATGTTATGGTACTAATGTCTCACACTTCAGCTAAGTAAAAAATAGGATTGGCTGAACAAAAGCTTGGAGGCGCCGCGTCCCTCGTTGAACGTTCATCTCGCCATTTACCTGGTCATGCTCCACCATCCACCTATCCTGTACAAATGTGTGATCAAAACATGTCAAATTATGAGGTGTGATGTTAAAAAAATACTGGGAAACACGAGTGTTGAGTCAAATCAAAAAAATCAACAACATGAGATGCTCGTTACAACCTTCCGCTTGTCACGTTCTTCAATGGACCATGGATCGGTCATGGGAAAGTACAGTATCTGGTAATTTTGCTTGCGCCTGAGAAAGGGTCAAGGAGTCCGCATGGTCCGTCCAGCAAAAGTATACGCACTTCAATTTAGACATGCCAAGCCGAAAGTGATTCACGACATTGCTAGGGTCAAGTGTCGATGGCTGCGTTTGACCTGCAGAAACGCCCGATTCCCGGCCATTCTTGGGCTCGTCAAAGTTTTCCACGATTATGATCTCGTCGTCTGACTCAGATGATTTGGTTCGTTTGTGCTGTTGCATATCGGAAGATGACGAAGGACGTTTCAATTTCGAGGAGCGTCCGTTAGACGTTGGGTGCATGACAGACTGTAGCACTTGATTTGTCCGAGACTGTTCCCATACAACAGAAGAAGTTCCGGCTATTGCAGCTCGACGCATACTCAGTCTAGGGGGCCTTGGAGAAATTGCATCAGTGCCTCCGCCTACTCACAGTGGCAAGGCAAAATTACCTGGAAGGGTCGAATACGAGAAGATTCGTGTCCCCATTCTTCGAAATCTCATATCCAACGATTGTTTGAGAATGGCCATTGAACTGTAAAACCAAAGGCATTTTGTCCGTTGCGACCACAGGTGACGCGCCGCGGAGGACATCAGTCACCGTGTCTTGTTTTGGATTTGGCGGCGAAAAGTACCGGACAATCCAGTCTATCATAACTTGAATCCCTGAAAGCGGGATAAGGCTCATACTCGCCAATGTAGAATTGAAAGTCACCTTTCTCGCTTTTTGAAAGATCAAAATCTACGAGCTGTGAGCTGTACGAAGAATCAGCACGTTGTCTTACAAAGAGGGGATGACATACGGGATTCCGCGAAATGTGAATGCGGTATAGAGTTCTAAAAGCGCACTTTTGAATCAATCGAGACCCTAAGGAGCAATGTTCTGGTCGTACCTGCTGTGCCAATCCATTTGTCTGTGTCTACCAGGTTTCGTAAGTCTTTAGCACCTTCACGGTCATAACCTGCCAAAGGTAACTCAGTGTTCTGATTGTCTTGCAGATGCCGGCAGCTGCACCTTCCTTCCACGCAGCTTCTATCCAACGTTGCAGATTGCGAACACTAGGGGGGAAGGGATCATCTAGTAAGGCGAAATATATGCTCTGGATTTGCTGGTCCATGAGCGCAGCACATGCCATGAGGAAATTACGATAGCTGAGATAGCACGTCAGTTGGAGGAAGACAGTGACTAGCGTTATACCTACCCGCATCCCCATCGGCGGTCAAATGCCTCGACACAGATATGCGTAGCTGATTCATAGCAGAGAACAGCTCTGCGTGTGTTTCCTTTGGTATGAGATTTCTTCAGAGCATGCTTCAAGAGCGGGATCAAGCCTGGTGTATTTATACTCAAGGGACGCAGTCTATGTGAATTCTAACAGGCATACCTGGACAGTAGTTGTCAGGTGGCGGCCTCGACAGGGTAGGATACCAAAATTCATCTGCCTGTTTCTTTCTTAGTGGCAGTTGGAAGCTGCAAGGTTTGAACAAGTCTTTGGGTATCGCTGGCTTCCTGAATTTATCACTAGACGGCCCTTGTTCTATCAAAGAAGTGAGAACGCGGAGTATGAAACATGTCAGTAGATGCGTACTACTAGAGCTGGAGTTGAAGTGTGCTTCATAGTGCTGATGACGCTGAAATTCGCTGAAGTTCTCGGAGTCGAAGTTCATGTCACACAACTGGCACAGTGTTGGGCCAGCACAGCTTGGTAGTACCAGAGTAAGCTTGCGGAGGATAATGATAAATTCAATGGCTTCACTCACGACGGCCGTGAGCTGCTCTCGCCGATGATTTCTATTTCATCGTCCGAGTCCATCGGCGTCGCGCAAGCGGTAAGTACTCAAGCACTTCAGCTTGAGTTGGTGTGGTTAAAGCGTTAATGATACATTTTCGACATAAATGGATGCGCTTACTAAGCAAATGTACGCCAGCCTCGACGCGCGTTCAAGCACATAAGTAAGACTTCGTATCACCTCTGTAAATCACATCCACCACTTGCTTGCAGCTATGTCTAGGTCATACGATCGCGGTGCGTCTCTGACATCTACAGAAACTAGCAAGTTCAGTTACTGATCTCTGTACAGCACTTACTGTCTTCTCTCCGGATGGTCACTTGTTCCAGGTCAGTGAAGTCGCGTCTCAATGACCGTGATCTCTGCTTCATCTATTCGATAGGTTGAGTATGCCCTCGAAGCTGTTCGCAAGGGAACGTGTGCTGTAAGACTTCAACGTTATTTAGCTTAACGGTGGCACTCATTGTCCGTCTGGTAGGTCGGTGTTCGGGGCAATGATGTGGTCGTCCTTGGCGTTGAGAAGAAATCTGTCCTGCAACTCCAAGACCCCCGTACCGTTAGAAAGGTTGTGATGCTTGATGACCACATCTGCCTGGCATTTGCTGGTACGCTTCTGGATGTCCCGCTCGGTCACATCATTTGATCTCGTATCGTGCAGGCTTGACCGCGGACGGCAGAGTCCTCATCGACAAAGCGCGGATAGAATGTCAAAGTCACAGACTGACCGTGGAGGATCCCGTCACAGTAGAGTATATAACAAGACACATTGCTGGTATACAGCAGGTCAGTAGTCGACTGCTGTTGGCATGGTATTTATCCTCATCCCTATACTCCCAGAAATACACACAATCAGGTGGTGTACGACCATTTGGTATCTCAACATTGATCATCGGATTTGATCCACATGATTCGCGACCGAGACTATACCAGACTGAGCCGAGTGGCATCTATAGTGCATGGAAGGTTAGTCACATTCTCCACTGTACAGTACGCGGTCGACATAGCCCACCTTTTTTGCAGGCCAATGCAATTGGTCGATCGTCGAAAACAGTCCGCGAGTTCCTCGAGAAAAATCACAAAGATGGCATGACTCGCGAAGAAAGCATAAAGCTGACCGTCAAAAGTCTTCTCGAAGTTGTGCAGACAGGAGCGAAAAACATTGAGATCAGCGTCATGGAAAGTTATGGAAAAGTCACGGTTCGACTTTATCTTATTTCATGATCATTCACTGGTCGCTGACAAGCTTGATAGCACTTGGAGCTACCTGAGATCGAAGCAATTGTGGCTGAGATTGAGCGGGAGAAAGAAGCAGGTATGTGTTCTGAATGCTGGCTTTGAATGCTAAAGATCACTTATTACTGTACTCAGAGGCCGAGAGGAAACGGTCCAGGTTGGCGGCGACTGCAGCTGGTCAGGCAGCAATGGCAACGCGAGCAGATCAGCCCTCTGGGCAGTAATCTTGTATTGTATATTCTCGCACAATTTCATCTACATCCTTTGCAGTGAGCCCGTCCATAAGTGTTTTCAAATCTGCTGCCCATTCTACAAAAAATTCTCAAAAAACTACTCAAGACTATTGAAGTGTATATACAGAGTTGTGGGGCTCCCAGCGACAACCATCATCGAACTTTCTCTGCCTTGGAAATGGCCTGTGCATCTATTGTCGCTTCTCTCCACATCATTACTCCGGCGATTGCAGCTGCAGGTCCCACTATGAAAGCAGCCGACACATGCCACAAAATTAACACCGTAAAGCTCATCAGACTTCTGGCGAACCACAATGTCATCAAGATAGTCGAGCCCGCTGCGAATGCCATATCCCACTTCAGGAACGCTGCCACACCTTCAGCAACAGAAATTGCTGACGGGTCCAAAGGAGCCGTAGGGGGTACTATAAGCTTTTGGACGAGCGCCGGGCTGTTGAAGAGAGGCCAGATGTGCGCAACGTGCAAATAAGCGGAAGTGACGTATACAAGCAAGTACATGGCTTGAACAGTGCCGTATCCCGATCCAGAGTGATGCGAAGGCGGTCGGATTTTGGAGTGTGCCCACTGGGCGATTTTCATGAACAGTGGGAAGAACTGCCATATCGCAGTCACCACCGGGTCTTCAAAAACCACCATGCAAACGGTGGGGATAGCATAGCCAACAACAAGGGCAAATAAAAGTGCTTCTGCGTTCCCTTGACTGATTCTGTCGCTGCGACGGGTTGTGCCACCTGTATGCGCAAAGGCAAACCAATAAATTGGCATGACCACCGCACAGCTGCAGAGCTGGAAAATCATGCAAACAGTCGCAGGCATTTTGAGCCGCTTGGAGTGATATTCGTGAGTGGCTTCTGCGAAAGGGATTATGGCGATTGCAGAAAGCGTGGTGCACATATGGATTAGAAGCGGTCGGTAGGTCGTGTTCATCAAGCCATGATAAAACGTAACGATGGTGCAGATGTTGAAGTCGAGAGCGGGGATATTGGTGTATGCAATGCGCGTTGGGAACGATTCCCCCTCTACTGGCGCGCCACATACTGCGTGTAACTTTGGGACCAGGCCATTCCCGTAGAGACACCGGACCATAACTATGTAAGCCGCTGCGACTGTGAGAAATGGGAACACAGCAAGCATCCTGGCTGGAACTAAAAAGCTCTGCTTAGTATCGGGCGGATCTAGCAGCAAGTATACGACTTACCCCCGGAGATAGACGTTGGGAGTCGTGGAGTCATTAGGGAAGCTTCAATTGGACTGCGAGAGTCTCCAAAGGCAATGTGAGGACGATATGTCTTGTATGTACCTTCGTAAAAAGTAGAGAGAAGGGCTCGTTACTGGCTGCCAGTGATCTGGTGTGCACGTGGACCACGTTGATGGGCTTTGTTTGAACACGCACCAGCAGCAGATTAGTAAGTAATTATCATCTTTCCGAACCCGGACATATACAGCCAGGCTGGGCCAGCTATTGACTTAGCTGTGTTGGCAGGACGCGGTAGCACTATGGATACGGGAATTTCTCAGTCCGTGAGCCTTCTTTGCTCAAGTCCAATTTATAAAAAGTAACACCATCATAGCATCGGCTTTCTTCCCGAACAACCATGTCGGCAGTGCACGACCAGGTTTTGGGCTCCGAATATCAGACACTTTTCGACCCGGATACATGCACTCGCAGAGGGCTTTGTCCTGTAACACAAATCCGCAGCCAGGAAGGTCCGCTCGAAAGCCACTCTTTGTACTATGAGCAGCACGGCACTGGACCCGAGAAGGTCATCTTTATCATGGGGTAGGTCCAATGTTTGAAGGCTTTAGTACTGTAGGTTTACCAAGACACTTGTAGTGTTAATAGCACATCCTTCGGATGGTTATCTCAGGTCGAGCACTTTGGGAGACTTCCCCAGTACTCGGTACTAGTTTTCGACAATCGTGGTGTAGGAATGAGTGGTACTCCGAGAGGTCCATACACGTGTGTTTCCAGTTTGATTCTAGCTGATATGCGTATTGATCTTTTTCGAATTATAGCACGAGTGGCATGGCTGAGGACGTCATAGTATTACTTGACTATCTGAAATGGACCGAGGAACGTAGCGTTCATGTTGTAGGCATCTCGATGGGCGGAATGATAGCACAAGGTATCATTGTTGTCTTTCAAATTCATCTGTGGTTCTTACAGCATATCTCAAGAGCTCGCGGATCGTATACCCGATAGGATAACTTCCCTGAGCCTGATTGTCACCACAGCAGGTAGTCAATTCTGGCTGAATGTGCCACCTGTAGGTTCTTTTTTTCTGTAACTAATGAAATCCGTACTGAGTTCCTCTAGTGGAAAGGTTCTACGGCACTGACAAGGTTAGATATGATACACCCTCTACATCTACATGCTAATTTCTTTCATGTGTAGGCTATTAATGACAGGAGATCCTGACGTAAAGGTTCCTATTGTAATGGACATGCTGTACCCTCAACCGTGGCTAGCAGAGAAAGCTAACGATGACCCAGAAGGAAGGACCAACTTAGAAGTTCAATCTGATGTCAGTAGTTCTCAGTACGGTGATACGTTTATGGCGCGTTAGTGACTGACTTCATTTTCCTCAAGTTTTACCTTCGGCGTCTGAAGATCAGCCGACCCCAAACACCCTTGGGTGCTTTGTCACAGATGTATGCGGGACTCACCCACCATGTCTCGCCCGCGCGGTTGCGCAAGATATCCTCATCGATACCTAAAGTTCTTATCCTGACAGGCGACCAGGATCAAGTAATACGTAGTTCTAACAGTCGCCATCTACATTGTCATATGCCTGAGGCTGAGTTTCATTGGTGGGAAGGGACGGGCCATGGAATCTCGGCGCAGTGGAAGACGAGGTTTAATGAGCTCCTGGAGAAGACATTTGAAGAAGGGAGGCTGTCAGTTGCGGTTGCGAGTGTAGACACGAATTGAATTGTTACCAGACTGTGTTACATGTGCGTAATACGTATACCTATATTCTCCTTTAGGCCAGTTTACTTGCGTGTCAGCCAGCCTATACATGCATGAAGCTGCAGGTATTCTTGGCGTCCGTGCTGGTCACCAGTTCAATTGCATCGTTGGACAATACCCGACTTGACTAGAACCTTCCCTGTATTTATCAATCTCGCAGAATATCGAGGATGGTGTGAAAGGATAGGGCTGAGTGCTGGGGAAGCTACATTCGCGTGTTCTTTCAGGACGCTTCCTATCTTCGCAATAAATTTGCAGAATGCAACCACATGATAAGACCGTGGGGTACTATTAAAACGGTGTTCATAAATACATTAAGCAGCCGGTCCTGCGAAGGGCAACAACACAGGGTGTCTCTAATAACAATCCATGTATAAGGCGAGGCAAGTCAGAGAAAAAACCTATATCACTTACATGATACATCCATGCCGTGTTCACCGTTCCTTCAACAATCTCTTCAGCTGAACGCGCATCTCCTCCGGCGCTTTGCCAATAACTGTCTTCGTGACATGGGGCTCGATGCGCAAATTTGGTGGCCACATATCACCCGCTTCTTGTTGCCTGCGAGCCATAATCCGGAGCAGAGGCTCTTTGAATGCACGCTCATTCTGGTTTGTGAGCGGTGGTGGGAGAACTTTACTTCCCGGCTTTAGAGAAGTTTTTGGAACGACTCGGAGAGTACGCGGTATGGCGGACATCTGGCACAATTGAATTGTCAGTTCTATTAGTGTAGGGATTCCGACTTACTTTAAGCTTACTTGGTGCTTGCAGAAAAGCGAGCGTGACTCAGAGAATCAGCGTGACAGGCAATTTGTGATGTCACGCGTTTAGGGGCGCGCTGACAGGAACTTACCCAACAATATTTTGTAGTTCAACATCGTATTAGTACCGGCTCATGCGAGTATGAAGCGTTCTGCAGGCTCCACCAAAAGAGCATCAAAAAGGCAGAAGGTTTCAAGTGCGACAAATACTAGGAACCAGGACAGGAGAAGGAGAAGGAAACATTAGAATGGCCTGAGTATTTCCACGATGTGAGTCGGGCATCTGTATAGACGAATCCTCCCGCTAAGTAATTGTGGAACGCAACCTGAAGTTGTTCAAGGTGTGCCAATCGAACCAACCCGTCTCTTCTGACTCGTTCCGAATCTTCATGTTACTGCAGATCTTCAAGGCGAGTTGCACCTTGTCACGGTGCCACGTACCCAAGTCTGAAACACACTCATGTGAGACTTTAGGCATTGAATACAGTTCTTGCGTTTGTATCTTCCCGCAGACATCTTGCAACCACATTTCCTATGATTCGTTCCTCCGCCGAAGGTCTTCTGAAAAGGTTCGTTTACTCCCGAAAAGTCGCCATCGTTAATTAACATGACTACAGACCGCTCGAACTGTCTAAAGTAGCCGAACTCAAGTAAATGGATACGACTATCATTCAACAGAATAATTACAATCATACCCCACAGAGCCCTTCTCCCGGATGTCGTCGAGTTTGCTTACATTCCTCATAGTGACCTCCGAATACATGGGGAGACGGTTTCTCAACAGAATAAGCGTCCAAACAGCCCCGACTTCACGCTACATTCACAATCTCTTGCCATTGACACACCATCGGGCTCTCGGCTCCCAGGTCATGAAGAGGAAGAACATGTCCTCGTCCTAGAATTTGCAGAGAACTTTAGAACTACCAAACTAGGGTGATTCTTGTTGTCTGGGTGTAATGGAACGCACACTGACGCAAAGCCTGTTTTTCGCTCTCACCGAATATGACAACTTAGCAATTTGGTTGATAAGCGAAACCAACGCTTTAAAGATGCCGTCGATGAGTATGCACACACACATTGTTTTTGCTATTATTGACTCTGAAATATAGGCTTGTGAAGGCTACTCCAGAGGCAGAGGTGTCCATGGATCTGCTGCAAGCAGCAGCAAGAGACCACATCCCCGTAAACCCTTCCGCAAAGAAAGCCCTACCTGTTAACGACTCCCAAAATCTGATAATACCCGAACCCAAAGACCGGCCCTCTATTGACGATATACTACTTGAAATCCGAAAACAACACTGGTATAAAAATCAAATTGCCGACCGGCGGACATTCAAGGAGAAGGTAGCTACTGAAGGTAGCAAGGTTTTTTGTGGGTGCCTTTTATTTCTGACAACATGTACTCAGGATTGCTGGATGAGCCTCTTTCACATACCATACAACAAGCATTGCGAGAGTCGCGAAATATAACGACACTATATTACCATCAGGCAGCCGCCATCAACGCTATTGCGCAGAGGAAGCATGTCATTGTTTCGACTAGTACTGCGTCAGGCAAAAGTGTGATTTATCAGGTGCTTTCTGTGGAACCGCTTCTGGAAATTCCAAACTGAAGAGAGTTGGATTCAGGTTCCTTTACTAAAGTTTCTGGAAGAGAACTCTAGTGCTACAGCCATATTCATATACCCCACCAAGGTTTGTCCTCGACTGAATAGTGATGTTCGCATTTCATGATACGTTTTCTAGGCTTTAGCTCAGGATCAGCGTACCGCGCTGGAGCAGTTGCTTTGGGCCTGCCCTGGACTGCAGCATATCAAGGTAGCAACCTATGATGGAGATACCCCACAGGATCACCGGAGAAGTAAGCCTACTGCATTCTACGCGTGACAATTAGTAATTTCTCCAGCCATTCGGGAGACGGCTTCTGTCATCTTCACCAACTTTGTGCGTATGCGTAAACAAGTATCGCCGAGCTTTCTGATAGTGCTATCCAGGACATGTTGCACGCCTCTATTTTACCTCATGAGGAGTTTTGGCGGACGTGAGCTGTCGTGTGTTTTCAATCCACACTGACATTGACATATATTCTAAGCTTCATAAAGAATCTCAAACTCGTAGCGGTCGATGAACTGCATTACTATTCCAATTTATTTGGGAGGTGAGATTCATGGCTACACCATTTCATTCCAGTCTCATAAAGCTTCCAAGTCACGTTGCTCAGATCATCCGCCGTTTCCGCAGGATCTGTGCAGCCGTAGGGAGTATGTCCCAGTTTGCATGGCACCTCTGTCATGTTTTTTTGTTGACAAAATCTTTGCCAGACCAGCGAGTTATCTTTGTATCATGCAGTGCCACTATATCGAAGCCAAGTCAGCATATGAAACGTCTTTTCGGGGTTGAGGTATGTTCTTATGCTCCTCCTTGTGTCTCCTTTAAAAACCTCTTGCAGGACGTGGAAGAAATTGTTGAGGATGGAGCGCCATCTGGAAAGAAGGACTACTTAGTCTGGGATCCTCCTAGTGTTAAAGATATGGATCCTGGGCTTGCAAAACTCGGACAATCGGGGCCAATGTATGAGGCCATTAACCTGATGATATTTTTGATGATGCGTGGTGTCCGGGTCATTTTATTCTGCAAGGTCCGTACCATAATCTAGGCTTAATTGGGCTTCAGTGACTTAGGTGAATTCAGATTCGAAGAGCATGCGAGTTGGTGAGCAGAATGACATTTAATCTTGAGTTGACCTAGGATTGATGTTGACCAAAAGGCGATGAAAGCTCTGCGCCAACGACTTAGCGCCGAGGGACGTTTAGACGTTCTTGCGAAGGTTATGCCTTACAGAGGAGGTCAGTTTTTGCTTGGGGCATCTGATTGATTTGCAACTCATCACATCCCATAATCAGGCTACTCTCAGGAGGTCAGTATTGTGTACTCCAGGCGACGTAGTTCTCAGGGATTCGCAGGATCGGCGTCGCATTGAACATGAAGCTTTTTCGGGACACTTACTCGGTATTGTTGCAACTAATGCTCTTGAGCTTGGTGTAGACATCGGTGTTCTGGATGCTGTCATCATGCTTGGATTTCCATTTGGCATTGCTAACTTTGTCAGTGCCTCTCAGAGCTGTTTATGACCATCATGCTAATATATTGGATTTGTAGCGCCAGCAGGCTGGGCGGGCTGGGCGAAGATCTCGCGATTCATTGGCTGTATTAGTAGCTGAAGATCTCCCTATAGACAGAAACTACGTCGAATCCCCGGACAAACTTTATAACCAGCCTATAGATGACCTGACCGTCGACATTGAGAGCAAAGTCATCATCGAGGCTCACTTGCAATGCGCTGCTCATGAAATGCCTTTGTCCAAGGATGATGCTTTTTACTTCGGTGCATCGTTAGGCGAGTTGTGTGATTCGAAGTTACGGAAAGACAAAGACGGATGGTAGTTTTCGGCTTCATATCTAGGTCTACTGCTAACCTCAGATAGGTATCACCCGCACCCCAAGTTTCTCCCCTATCCAGCCAAGCATATCTCAATTCGTGGTGCGGATGACGATAAGTACACTATTATCGATGTGACGAAAGTCGGACTACAAAATGGAGTACCAAGAATCATAGAAGAGATTGAGCTTTCAAGGGCTATTTTCGAGCTATATGAGGGCGGAGTGGTTCGTCACCAATCCCATTTTATCTTCTGAGATCATACACTGATACTCGTCTTCAGTTCATGCATCAAGGACTGACGTTTATCGTAAGCACCGCTTATGGGTATCACACTCACCCCCTGACTGTCGCATAGGTTAAAGAAGTCAGTCATGATACCAAAGTGGCTAGACTTGTGAGGGCGGATGTCAACTGGATCACTAAGCCGAGGTGCGTTCATATTCCATTTTCCTGTCATGGCAATTCACGAAGGCACACTGCAGAGACTACACGTAAGTACTTTCTCGTCGTTATACAATCCACCACCTTGACTGGACCAACAGGAATGTGGACGCCATGCAAACTCATCGAATCAAAGAGATTGCAAGGTCGCCACATAGAGCATATTTCGGAAGTGAGTGAATCATCTCAGGGATAATAACAATGCTTCATTGCCTGCGCACAGGGGTCGATGTGACGACTGTAGTGTTTGGTATGTTTAATCCCATGACGTGAAAAGCTAGTTGCTTGAGATTTTATTCCGTAGGCTTCAGGAAAATCAGGTGCGTGTGGACATTAGCTGATAGTCCGTCGATTTCGAAGTTGCTCTTTAGGGGCAACAAGGTACTAGATGTCGTTGACGTTGATACGCCACCGTACGAAAGACAAGTCACCGGATTCTGGTTCGATGTGCCCAAAGATTTACTTGGATTGATGAAGGTAAAACATTTTAACTTTGCAGAAGCAATCCATTCTGCCTCCCATGCATGGATGAATCGTTTTGCTCTTTCTCCCGACTTGCGGACAGAATGCAAGGCGGCAGAGAAAGAATATAATAAAGAGGAGTCGCAGCGGAAGCGTCCCGCTAGGTATGCCTGCTTGCTCATTACTAAGTACCATCGGTTCACTCACATCAGAGTATAGACTAATATTTTATGATGCGTCTCGGAAAGGCAGCGTGTCTGCCCAAGCATTTGATCACAGTGAGCATGTTGTCATGAATCGCCTTAGTTTTCATATTAATGTTGCAGGTGGCGAAGTTTTGCGACAGGCGCACGACACAGTGGAAACCTGTCCATGCAAGGATGGCTGTGACAAATGCAAGTCTAACTCTAAAGGTTCATTCTCGTTACTGATCATTTTGACCAGGCATTCACAGCGCTACTTGCTCGAAAGGAAATGTCGTTGCCTCAAAGATCGGGGCGCTCCTGATTCTGAAGGCATTACTGAACCTTGACATCGATGCCAATGGTGTTGCTGCTCAATTCGGTTCGCAAGGATTCGAGACTATTGTTGAAGCGATGTATATTCGACCATTGGACGGCGTCCAAGTGGAACCGGCTTAAATTGAGTTCCAATGCGCCAGCCCCTGACTCGCTTATTCCTGGCATATTTTGTGTCCATCGAATTATGTATATGTTCCAATATGTTCACGCATAGGTTCAGCACCCATTCCACGATTGCTTTGCCTTTTTCTTGGTTTGCCGCTGCGTCCGATACCTCTCGTCTCGTAAGCACGGTTCCAGCGTGACAGGACAAAAATCTGTTGCAGATTCGAACGCTGCTCAACAACCTTTTTCCTTTTACCACGCTTTGAACACTCACTCGTGGACGGATCCTCCAAGGTCTATCGTAAGGAGTCATAGCCAACTGGTACTAGAACAGATTAGAAACCTGCTCTGTTGGGTAGTGCGGATTTGAAACCTGGTTTTCCCTCTTATCACACCTTGACACTTGGACAGTTCTTCTGAGGTCAACTCGGGAAACATGCTCATGAAACGGTTACTGCAAGAGAATCGAAATCTGTCTACTTCTCTTAGACCGCGCAGGTTCGAAACCATGGGTGAATAACAAGGTGTGTTTTTTTACATTGGAACACAATTGGAACACACCTTGACATTCACTCATGGTTTCCTCGGAGGCTCACCGGTGCACCTTAACTGGTCTTTGCCAAGTGGCCAAGTGGTTGCCACAACAGAATCGGTTTCTTCTGGAGGTTTGAAACCAGCTGAATGACAGGTTTTTTTTCTATTGGAACACACCTTGAAATTCACTCATCCTCCGAGGTCCATCTAACTGGTCTTAGCCAAGTGGTCATTTCAACAGAGTCAAAATCTGTTTCTCTTGGGGTTGGTTCGAAACCTGCTGGCAACATTTTGGCGATGTATAGATCCTCGGAGGTCCATCTTAACTAGGCCCTCTACTAACATTAATATTGGGAGTCGGGGACTCTAATCATGCCAAGGCAAGGTCAATAAACCGGATGCCGATCTAGTCACTAGTGTACGTAGTAATTTAAACAAATACATGTTTTTTGCATAGTAATCCACAGTGCGATCTTCAGTCATGCAGACCCATACTGCCTCCTGCATGCTTACGAAGATCGAGGGACGATGACATGGCGAGCCGAGATTGGTGACGGAGCTTCGAATCAAACAATAGGTCTCGGACGCAAACCGATTTGCGCTACAAACCACAGGACTTGGATAGAGGAAATACCGTACTACGGGTCAATCCATCAGACACAATTCAGGTGGAACGATCGTGCAATTTACTAAAATTCCAACCACGTGAGGTTATATGAGATAGTTGAGATAGGAACTCTAGATGACCATTGACCAGCGCAGAAGCGATGAGAAACAACATGAAGAGCCTAATCGCAGGGACTCCACAGTGGTGACAATGATATCCAACGTGCTTGTACGAATCAACTTCGTTTCACTTGAGAGGATCGAAATCTCCCCAGTCGTCCTTTGAGATTGGCCTTGTAGTAGTTGTCGGCCGAGTAGGTGCTAGTATGCTCCCCATCGAAAGTGGTGATGCGTGCAGAGGAGGTGATGACATCGAAAATGCAGGAGAAGTAGGCTGTAATGAGGTATGACCCGATGGGATATAGTTCGGCACAGAAGCAATCGTGCTCGGAGACATAGCGACAAAGTCGGATAATGAGACGTTGTAATTGGGTTTTTGTGTAGGTGACAGTGGGGGCGGTGGCATAGTGAAACTTGCAAGTTGCTGGGTTTGTGCTGATGGGGATGAGATACGATTTGACTGACTGGGATGTAGCGTAGATGATGTGAAAGCAGATGAATCGAAGGTGGTAGATGGGACAGGCTTAGCACCTAATCGTGATGGCCGAGACACCAATGGCATCGTTGATATTCGTGGTGACGAAGGTAGTGAATGCGGCTGACTTGATAGAGTAACTGATGGTTGGATCGTAGAAACAGCAGGGCCCGGAGGTGGACTCTGCGATACCTGATGGGTACGTTCAGCACGAGTGTCGTCAACAAGTATCAACAAGTTACCTCAGGCCTGCCGCTGAAGATGGTCCCCCACACGTCATCATCCCATCCCTTTGAGCTATCTTCGTCGATCACTGTGTCCGGCTTCACAGTTGCACCGTTTGCACGCCCTACCAAACTTTCAAAATCGACACCGGATCTGAAGGCAGGCGACGTGACACCATTGGTGTTTGTTGCTGAGCGATCCTCAATCCTCTGCGAGTCGCGGAGGAACTGATTGTGTTCCTTTTCCACGCGGTCACCGAGCCTACGGATAACGCTCATGAAGCGTTGATATTGTTCAATGTTCAATACTATAATTGCTCTTAGGTCAAACCACCGGGAAATAAGGGGCGGTACGCACAAGGACCCATCGACATCGTCCACAATTGCGGTAGGACGAGGGTAGCTACCGCTTCTCTGTCAACCTTCACACCCATGGCCTCTTGTACCGAGAGCGTTGCCATCTAGATGCTGTCAGAAAAGAAAAGCCGTGACAAGATCATGCACCTCACCATAACAGCAGGCTCCTTAGTGCGGATTTTTGACAGCAGTGGTACAAGTTTTTGCGTGAGATTTGTCTACATTGGAAATATGAGCGTCTAAGAAATATATAAGGTAATGCAAAGCAAACCTGATCGAGGGTTTTTACCAAACTGAGGAACGTTACCAGCGTAGCGACCTTTACGGTTAATATTCTCGTTTTTGTGAACACCAGCTGCACGATGCAAGATTCAGCACTTCTCATGAACGACGCATTTGCAACTCACAGCCACTCGGGGGAACAGTACGCTGGAGACCTCGGCATAATCAATTGTCTCACAAAGATCTGGAACCACCTTAAGGGCACGCTCTTGTACCTGTACCTTATCGGATCATGCTATGACATGTCGTTCATTGAAAAACTCACCATAGCATGCTCAGACTCCAGTGCATGATACACAAGTGGGAGAACCTCTGAAAATAATTTAATCCGTGTGAAACGTAATGCCGATTTGGTTGCTCACGTTCGCGAAAAACGCCCTTTTCAGTTTTACTCTGCAACATGTGGAGATTGTCCAGAAGCGTCAACATATTCTGTGGCGGGTCCTTGACGGTGAACAGGGGCTTAAGACTAGGCAGAACAAGCGAAGCAAACTGAGGCGCAGAAAGAACGTTGGAGATGGCAAACACATTCGGAAGGATATACGGAAGCAAATGCGTGTCTTTCATCTGCCAACGAAGCGGCGTTCCATCAGTTCTACGGCTTGAATTGGGAACAGGAATATGACACGTACCTCTTCAAGCAAGGATGGCAAGATTTTCCGTGTGCGCAGACCTTCTGAGAAGCGATCTAAGACCCCTGTCAGGCCACGCATGAAAGAAATTTTCTCCTCTCGCGTCTTCGCTGTGAAGTTCGAGCGGTCTAGGAAGTTAAGGGTCGAGATCGGTAGCGAGGAGAAGAACGGATGCGAAGGGAGCGTTGAGGGAGTCGGTCGGCTATTCGAGCCACGAGTGATGAGCGATCGAAGGAGGTCTACATAGAGTTGTGCCTCAATGATTCTATAATTATCTCAAGCGAAGTGGAAGAACCTTGCAAATCCGCGTCGAGCTGCCCGATGTCCGGGATAGGACGACCAGCATTATCCCTAAGGCCGCCTACATTTCCATGGTTTCTAAACGGCGGGCTGCCTTTACAATGTACGGCATATATCAGACAACCGAGGGAATACATGTCTGATGCAGTGATAAGGACTTCATCCAGTGCGTATTCCGGAGCTGTCGATCCGAGGAAATGAGTCAGATGGCACATGCTGTGATAGCAGCACTGCACGCACCGATATAATCAAAAGAACGCTGAATGTATGATGGCACTCGACCATCAAAACCAGGAAATTCCCAACGGGTCGGAGATCCATCCGCACCAATGAGGGGGATGGTAAGGCCAAGACCAGAAATTTTCCAATCACCCTAAAAAGCGGCGACTAGAATGTAGCCACATGGATGGCCATCAGGAACGGGAAATACTCACGACGTCGTTGATAATCACACATTCAGGTTTCAAATTGGTGTGAATCAGCCTCGCGGAAGTGTGCAGAAAAGACAAGCCTTTGCACAGCTGCAGTATGCCTTTCTGAATCTGGGTAGAAATAAACTTATTAACGGCGTTCCGCATCAAAAGAAGCAGACGGACTTCGATTTCATCTAGCTCAACGAGAGGCGTATGGCGAGACCCACGTGGTATCGAGAGATCAAGTGACGAAAGGACCGGTTCCGTTGCAAATATCAGTTCGGTCCTTGTTTCTTCAAGGGGTTCAACCATTTCTTTGTGAATAGTAAGCTCAAAATGTGTACGTAGTGGGAGTTTTGTGTGCCCTACCCAAGATAGAAGGATGGCGCAGTTTGCTTAGTGCTGCCGCCTAAGGGACGACAACTGAGCAGAAAGTAGTGGGCTCATTGACGTTGTGAATATACCTCTGCCTTCAAAACCTCCAAGACCCGCTCCCTGGATATAGGACCCAGTCCTTCCATTTCGATACGTTTGTCAAGGGTCCATACGGAAACTTTCTTGTTCGTGACTTTGTGGGATGCACCCTGAACTTTCCAGAGACCAACTTTAACAGATGGCAACATTGGAGATGGAAGCGAGTTTGAAGATCCCGGTGGACCTGGTGTGGAGGGCCTGCTGCCATATGACGAGGCAATATTATACGACTGAGATATGGCTGTTCGGGAGAAAAACGAAGTCGCAGCTGCAAACATCTTGAATTAATGAATCCGCGTCAGTTGTTGTCCCAGAGGACTGTAATAATAACCCAGACCAGTGCCAGCCGATTCACGAAGTAAGTGTCCAAATGATGAGGCGACGGACGTGTAGCTGACATAATGATGGCTTGGCACGTGATAATCACGTGCCAAATTCGGCACGCTTCCCCACATGATTTCAATTTGAAATGATCACGAGGGTACTCGTCCGAGTCGGACCTTGACCTCCCCCACATACTAGCCCTACCATGAGACATACTGCCAGGGTCCTTCAGTCGCTCGAGCGACAAATTGTGCGTGCCAAGAGCACTGCATTCATCGGTCTTGGTCGAATGGGCTCAGAGATGGCCTTTAACTTCTTTTCGAAGACATTCGCAGAATCACCTGATGCCCACTTTGTCGTTTGCGACGCGCTCCCAACCAGTGCGATTACCTTTCGTCAGAACTTTGTGACCCAGTTCCCTGGGGCCCATATCGACATTGTTCTCACCCCCGAAGAGTAAGCCCATTCCTGCATTCCAACTGTGTGGCTCCCCCGTTTACGACATCGCTATCTGGAATCTAGGGCAGTGCATGCTTCTCAAACAGTATTGACAATGCTTCCATCCTCGCCTCAGGTCAAGACCGTTTATTCTGAAGCAAACGGAGTCATCTCTGCGCTGGAGTCTCTCAGCGCCGCGGAGTTGACGCGCTCTCTTTTCATCGACTCTACAACGCTAGATGTTGGAATTTCCCGAAGTGTCGCGGCGGAGGTGATCTCTGCAGGAGCGCACATGGTGGACGCACCCGTATCGGGCGGTACGTACTATTGTTGTGCACTGCCCCCCGCACCCCTGCTTACACGTATAATAATATTCATTTTATCCAAACAGGTGTAACAGGTGCCAAAGCGGGCACGCTGGCTTTTCTTGTTGGCGGGACCGAGGGTGCTTTTGAGTTGTCGCAGCCGATCCTCGCCCACATGGGCAATCGCATTATCCATTGTGGCCCATCAGGCGCTGGTCTTGGCGCCAAGATATGTAACAACCTTGTTCTCGGAGTGCAACAGATTGTCGTCGGCGAAGCAATGTTGCTCGGACAGAAGCTGGGTCTGGATCCGCGCATACTTGCAGGGGTCATTAACAGTTCCACCGGCGGTTGCTGGGCTTCGTCGGTCAACAATCCGGTACCGTATTCGCTCGCCGACAAATCTCCCCCATGTGAACGTAATTACGAGGGCGGATTTGCTACTGCTTTGATGTTAAAGGTGAGTTAGACTCCCGGCGGCGAAGATGTACTTCCTCAATGTCGTATAGGATATGCTTCTTGCGACTGATGTTGCGGCCTCTACCGACAGTCCATTACCACTAGGGAAGTCTGCACAGAATTTCTATGCCGAAACGTTGAGGCATCGACCGGATCTGGCACAAAAGGACTTCTCTTCTGTGTACGAGCGCCTGAAGGAAATGAGACGAGAGGATTAAATTTGGGATCATTCGGACTTGATACCATGAGATTATATCCGTTCCGCGCAGCATTAATGTAGATGATAAACGTTTACTAGCCCCGCACTGCAAGACGAGGGTTTTACTTGTGCCTACAAGCTCCTACAAGCTCTCCATAAACTCGATTAGGTTCCATTAGGTCAGTGCCTTCCGGCGGCAACGAGAATACGTAATCATTGATTATAGGGACACGAAGAATGAATTGGCATGGGTCCGAGTCACTCAATCGATCGCGGCGATGTCTGAAACTGGAATTAATTCAAAGTTGGTAATAATGTCAAGGGTCCCTGGGATGAGGCTACTAGGGTGGTGACCCTGATATTTTAATATGAGACAAATTGTCTAAAAACATGTATGTTTTTCTGTGAAAATTGGGGTGCTGTGATTTACGTTATGTTTCTGCGAAAATGTCGGTTGAACAAGTAATTCTTGCAGTGCATGTACACGAGCTAACGGCTACTAATTGAGCGCTAACTGGCAACGTTGGATGAGCCTCGGTGAGCAGAACTGAGTCCATGGAATCCGATGGTGATGATGACTAAAACATTCCGGGGCGCGGTTCCTTTTTTAAATTTATGGTTCTTCGGATGAAAGTTTATAGATTACGTAATTGAGAAAGGGAGCTTCTTTCTCTCGAGGTTGCCTCCGCGACGCGGTCGGGTACAGTAATAACATAGTATAAAACTTTGGCGTATAAATCACCCTAATCTCGAAATCGCTGTCAGTGAAACTAATCAACCCTCCAATCCCTTCACGCCACATCCTCCCACTCCTCCTCCTCCTCTCCTCCTCACCGTCATCAACAGCGCCCACTACATGTCTCAAAAGCCAAGCGCTATCATTTTCGGTAACTGGCATCACTATTGGCCACGATTCCAAGACGCTCACAATTACTTTTTCAAATTCACTCGCACAGGTGGTCTAAATACATGTTCACGAGCACTCGCAGCATTACTAGTTCCACCCGAGGGGGAGAGACTCGTTTCGGTATGTCAGATCTCTCTGATTGGTTCTCATCGATAACTCATCTCACTCACTGGTTCTATCTTGTCTATAATAGCATCTTCGTATCGTTGATAGATTCTCTGTTTATCCACCCACAACGTGCGTAAATTTTATCACATCTGCATCCGTATCATTTTGATTGGCGATTTGTTAGATATCTGGGTGCAGAGTTTCCGAAGGTCCTGGCTCAACCCGATGTTGAATATCGGCAAGCCAATTTAACTGTTCCTTGTATGTAGTCGTGTTACGTTCCATTTCATTATTCATTATCCCTTTCAAGCTGCCGTCGCATCTGCCTTTGATCCTCCATCAGGCAAGGCACCCTACTCATACGTCTTCGATCTCACTGGTGAGACCAATCATGACCGCAGTGAAGTTGTATGACCTGTTTCTACTCTTAAAATAGACCAATCTTCTCATCGCCATTCTAGATTGCGATCAAATTAACTTTCACCGTTGCTCGCATCATCGGTCTGGAGGCTGCCCGTAGAAAAGTCAATGCTTACGTACGACTACAGCAACCTGTGTATGAAACATTAGACAAGGGTCCGCATGACGAGAAGGAAGACGTCAAGCCTGTGCGACCATTAGATGTCTGGTGGCATGAAACGCTTCGAATGCTAGCATCTATTGATGAGTATGTTATCGAATCCTTACCCAGGGTATCATTTCTGACCTACTACTATCCAGCCTTCCTCTTGTCATCCTGCGAATTGGATTTGTATATGGCCCTTACGTCGAGTTCGGACTCTGTAAATTTTTCTTTTTCTTTTTCTTCGACGATACGAGATTAACGTTCTTGATAGATCCACTAGTGATCACCGTTGCGTCCATCTACGGTTACATGAATAAACCAATGAAGACGCCGTGAGTCTAGACTTCATCCGCTCAAATCCCCCTCATCCCCGTTTCAGATGGGGCCCGGGAAAAGACGGCGTCAATACAGTTCACATAGATGATGTTTCAGGCGGTCTATGGGCATGTGCAGAGTGGATGGCTTCACTTGGCCGTCAACAGGCAAATTTAACTGCAGGAGAGAGAATCTATTTCCATAATGACAGGTCCAAAGTCAAGGATATCGAGGGCACATGCATACCTGATGCACAACCCGTAGCACCTGTCTTTAACTTGGTTCGCAAGGTTTCACTTTGGGGGTCTATATTTTCTCATGTTTTTCGCAGGTTGACGACTCAGAAATGACTATGGCTAAGGGCGGGTCAATGATCACAGAATTCTTCGGCACGACGTTTGAGTTTTACTCGTTCTTTGAAAATGCCTTGGCAAAGGTGTGTCTGTGTTACACTTATATCACCAGAGCTTCGCTGACATCTCGAAGCTTAAACTCGACGACGTCGTCGAAGAAATCAATGAGCACCACGTTGGTACCTGGACTGAAATGCTTCAGACGTCCAACCCTCCGATTGTACAGACCCCACTCGATGCCTATATGGACCAGTGGGCCCTATCACGCCGCAAACTTTCCTACAACAATAGCAAAATCAAGAAAGTCATCGGATACAGGCTTATACGTCCGCAGTTTACGCATGACGCGCTTCGCGAAGTGGTGGACAAGTGGAAAGCGGAGGGCTCCTGGCCAGCACTCGAAGGCCGTTAGACTATTTCATGAACGACCGTCGGTGTTGTGCATTTATTTGATAAGTTGCTTTGTTGTGATCCTAGCCTGGAATGTTTTTTGTTGTTAACCTTCTCTGCATTCTATAGTCGTATCCATGTTCTTTACACATTGCGTTGACCCGTCATCTCACTGTTCATATTCGTTGCATCTTGTTTGTTTGCTATACGTACTCACTAATACTGTGGTCAATAATGGAATAATATCGTGTTGTAACTTGATCGAAGTTTTTCAATTTGTCATGAGTGGCAGCTTAAATTGGTTGGTCGTTTTTTACACCGTTCTAGCTTAGAGCGGGCTGATGAATGAAAATTAATGACTAGACTAGAAACGGCAGTTTGACACACAGCTTAGTAGGACCTTACATGCTCATAGCGGTACTTGCGTACCGAGTCCCCGACTCTGACAACTTCCGTTAGGACCTGTGACGCCCAGATCACAGGTGTCCCATGCTTGACATCTTTTGATGCCTAACATAGATTTTCCTTTGCGTTTTCATGGTTGTCAGCTTTGCGAAGTACTGCGGGACGACGAAGCTACTCGGGTTGCCGCGGACTACTGTCTCCGAATAGGATAATGTTTCTCAGTCATTCCCTTTATCCATCCTGACTTTCCCGTACCCATCGGCGGTCTCCCACAACGCACTAGCAGGTCATTGCTCTCCAGGCCCATGCTCATAACCACACCACCACTCCTTCGTGTCCTTCCACAAGCTTAGCATACCCCATAAGCAGGATCGATGTAGAAGGTGTTGTGACAAGCGATAAAGTCATCTTCATCGACGTTGGTTTAGTATGCTGGAATATGGATGGAAAATATGTCTGCAAGGAATAAGCAGGTGCGTGGATACTGATCCCATGAAGTTAATGAGTTCGGATGCACACCATACGATCGAGCAAGCCGTTACATACACGCATCAAATGCTGCTAGGTCTTCATCCAGTATTTGATCCTCGATTTATGTTTCGCCTTGTAAAACTGTATGCTCATCCTAGAATCACGTCATGGTTCGTGTGATCAAGGCATCAACACGATTCTCACCTTATTTGACAAACCAGTCGAGAAGTTGCAGTGCAGATCGCGTTACCTCTGTCGCAGGAAAGGTTTGTATCCTGCAGAAATATTATAAACGCCACAAGACGGGGAGAAAGTGCAAGTACCTCATTATATCGCTGGGAGAGATCTTGACTAACACTCCACCTAGCCTCAGGACTTTACAGTGTGTCAGGGATGGCCTGTATAGATTTTCGATCGAGGAAAACGCGACTATAATCTGACCAGCATCTGATATTTGCGCAGGTCGCCTTCAAGACGAGCATGATATTCGCTTTGAGGGATCGGATCTTGTGTCTTGCGACCTACATTTCCTCGCCTGAAAAAATATCAGTTCGTACAACGAACAGCTTTCACAATCACACTCACCAGTATCAAGCATCGGTCACGAAAGTGATAAAGATGAATAGACTTTCCACAGATTGGGAAAAAGCTCTGGGGATTGATGGCGAGGCGGAACAGTTGGCAGCACCCGAATCGTTCAAGATAATCCTGATCTGAATCGTGCCTTCAATAGCATAATCTTGCGAACTGAAGAAAGACTCACCTCGCTGACACACAAATGAAATACTGCATTTTGCTGGCCGTCCCCATGTAAAGTCACATGCAGTGAAACAGTAGACGGGCTTCTGACATAACTGAAGAGGAGTAAAGGAACAGTGAGTAAATCACAAGCGAGCGCGCACATAGTAGACCCGCGAGCGTTCGCAACGGCAGCGCATCCCGACACGATGTTCCTAACATGTGACGGTCGAAAGTATTTAAAGTGGCGCGCTTAAGGAGACGTCCAAGGTTTGGGAGAAAGCCGGGGCACAGCTTTCAACCGTGACGGACTGACGGATGGAAATCTATGTGAATATGTCGGTGTTCGACAGTATGCCGACAGAGCCCCCTTGGGAGTCGGGGATTCGGTAAGTAGAGTTGGACACGATGGACTGGTCTTTAGGCGTGCCGCAGTACGATTGGCGCCAACGTTTGGAGTTACGTGGCACTATAAGACCACTAATAGTACCAAGTACTAGACTGTAAGTGGTTGCGACTGACCGTCCGCTGGCAACGCCGAGATAACAGCGCCACGCTTTTAAGTATCTTCAGCACGCATCATACATAGAAACTGCGCGTTTCACCCACCATCATGCCAGAGCATACTTCCGACGAAGTCACGGAATATGAAGAACAGTACAAACTACTAGGATGCTAACGATCATACTGAAACCTCGGTGGAGGATGCGGACTCGGATCTGCCTTTCCCGACATCAACCATGAGCTCTGACAACGCCAACAAATCCGAGGAACGCCGGATGGACAGACTCGCTGCATATGGAGCACTCGTACGTGCATATCTTCATACGCTGTTGTCGTCACTTATTTTGCGCTGCCATGACAGATTTCCATACTGGTGGGACGAATGACCTCTTGTATCATGCCATGAGTTGACCCCTGAGTGAATTTCTTGCAGATCTTCGTATGCATCACTTGGTTCATCGTATTCACGAACAACCCTACATCAATGGGATGGTTCCCCATCCACCCGCTTCTCCTGAGCTTAGGTATCGGCTGCTTCACCTATGGTGCGTATTCGACCGTTGGCACTCAAAGCATAAGCTCACTCTAGTACTTGTCTATAGGGATCCTGACGCTCCAACCAACTGCATACCCAAAAACTAAAGCAGCTGGCCTACAACGACACCAGAGAACGATGCTCTTCGTCGGCTTCCCATGCGTCGCCTTGGGCATCCTAGCAGTCGAGATTCAGAAATTCAACCTAGGACATGGACATTTCGCGACATGGCATGGGGTAAGTTCTTGTCTCTATTCTATTTCTGAATTCTGAATATCTTATCACAGATTTTCGGACTTGTTTCTGTCGGGTGGCTCGTGGGACAAGTGATCCTCGGCGGCGGAAGTGTGTGGTATGGAGGTGCAGCGTTTGGTGGCGGTATGAAGGCCAAGAAGTTATGGAAATACCACAGGTAACGTGGGTAATCAGGGGGATGCCAGCGAAGATTGCTAACACGTTTCGCAGGCTGTCTGGCTATGTCCTATTCCCTCTTCTCCTGACCACCGCTCACCTTGGAGGCGCGTGGTCCGTTTGGGTGACCTCCCATAGCCAGCCAGTAGTGCGTTTTGTCGGGTATACTGTTGCGCCGATAGTCGCAATTCTAGCTCTCTACGCGCGTGTCAGGTTAGTAGATCTACCGTGTAAGGCGCGTGTGTGTTTTGACAACCAATATCGCAGAACATCCAAATTGAAGTTCTTCTGATGCTCTCAAACAAATTTCTTTGTCTTAGATTAAATTATTCTAGCAGCAACAGCTCGTGTATGTAATTGTGTCCTATGCTGTAGAAGGTGCCGCAGCAGGCACTGCAGAGGTTGAATCTGGGATTGGCGTTGAAGGTGGCAACTGTAACTGTGGAGTTGGTATCACTTCTATTAGAAATCCCGGCAAAAAGCGTTCTAGCCTGGCTTGCGTGGCTGTCCATAAGGTACGCTGGTGTTCGTCACGTTGGTCTTCCTGGGAAGGTGGGACAAGAATGTTTGCTGCATTCATCACAAGAACCACGTTCTTGAGAGATTCCGAGACGGCCTCGTACTAGGAATATTTAGAACCAGACGTCATGTGAAACATCAATGGAAGGCCTACCAGCTGCTCGGTCTTCCCGGCATTGATTAGCCTGTCTAGCAGATCCAGAATTTCGATCCACAAGATTCTGATATCTGACTTCGTGCGATTCTCCCGGACCTCGAAGTGCATGAATGCCTTACAAAGCAAGGCCGAGGCTCGTAACCTAGTCTCCGATATGCCCTGTGGATCGAATTGTTGAACTTGGGGTTTCAGGAGCTCATCAATAAGGGGGAAGATGATACTGTTGAAGATCTCCTCGACTTGACCGTGATCGTTTTCGTCATACACAAATCGAGGACCAAGTAACAGACGTTGAAGTTGGCTGATAGCAGTGTGCCGGACAAGTCGTGAGGGATTCGTCGACTGCTTGCCTAACGACAACGCCAAAGGCAGGCAGTATTGGCGCCAAACTGCATTGCGTGGCAACTGTCAAGAATGACTTGTAATTGCGAGTGCCCACGTACCTTGACCCGTTTGCAGACCAGTAGACTCAGCAAAGGGTGCAATGAACCTTTTCATATCATAAAGGATATCAATTGCTCGCCTCCCGCGCTCGATGGGCGGTGCGCTGGGTAAATATCAGTAGGCAGGCCATGGTAGACAAAAACCACTTACTTGGGTGGTGGCTGTGAAGGCACTCGTCGTCCCCTCTGAGGAACCATGATTGACTGACCAGCGGAGTTTGCAAACTCGTCCAAGATTGTGATCAGACCATTGAAATTATCTGGTGTCATCCATTGCGACTGTCCGTCTGTGACAAAACTCAAAACCAAGTCGAATGTCGAACGAGCAGCCTCTGGATGGGAAGTCGTTGACCGAAGGGCTGCGAAGACAAGGTTCCACTCGGTTTGCGAACTGTTGGTATTGGTGAGCGATAGAAACGCAGGTACGATAACATTAATCGCACCTAACAATATCACGGTTCTGAAGAATCAAAGTCACGCCTGCGACAATTTGTTCGGCAACGGAATTGGCTACTATTGGGGGAAGCCCAGCAATCAAATCGAGTGACACATAGACTTGATCTCGAAGTGTCTTCTACGCGGGTTACTCAGTCATACGGGCCAATGCGGAGATAAGTAACTTACCTTTTGAGCGAGAATAAGACACAATCGAAGCAATGCAACGACCGCACGCTCGATAAGCAGAACGCTATAGTGCGTAGATGCCGACAACAATGCCGATAGATGCTCAAATAGAATCGGCCTAAGTAGAAATTAAAAATGGTCTTCGATGAAGATGAAGATACGTGCCATAAGTCCTCGATGTACCGCGAGGTTTGACAGGTTATGCTGACCATGGTCTCGAGAAGAAAAACGGACGCAGGATCATAAGGTAAAGTAAATGTGCCATCTCCTGCGGATGATGTGTTGAATGCAGTGGTCAGCTCATCCGACTCTTGTTTCCACTTCGTGATTGTCCGCTCATGAGCAAGAGCCTCCAATGCTCGGATTGCAGCCACGAGTGCCTCCGAGTCAAGTTGTCTGTGACAAAATTTTGAGAAAATAAGACTCATCAGTTGAATGAGACCCACATAGTTTGCGCATAAAGCTCATCCAACCGGCATGATGTTATGCAATCGATGGTGCACATCGTGCTCTCTACTTCTGTATCTGTAGCTTCAGGAACGAGGTTCTCTGAGCTGGCACCGTATGGTGTCATTAGGTATGAGGATAGCGCCGACAACAACCCCCCATCACTACGTGGCGCTGGTCGCGAGTGCTGGCCCCCGCGAAGGGGGATCATTGTGACACCACCTAAAAAGTCCTCCATTTGGAGCATGCGTGTGGGGAGTAATGAATGCATGAACAAGTTTTGGAACATTTCAAAGATCTGTATCTCATGTTCAGCAAAGGAAATGCTTGCTTTCCGTGTCAACTTACTTGCGTCCAGCCCTCGCGCAGGGCATTTCCGTTTCCGTTCACGATATTGAAAAGCACGACGGCTGCCAGCTGGCCTTTGAAGTTCGTACCAAACTTGACTGATAACGATGAGACCGTGACCGACTGTCCCTCCACTTCGACCACTGGATAGTTAGGAACTTGTGTCGGCAGATTCTCAGACAATAAACTAGTCGCTTGCGAGAGCGAAACGACCACGAAATCGAAAACATCTGGAAGATGGAAATGACCTGCCAGCGTGGCGCATTGACGGAAACCAGAAATGGCCCGTTGAATAACATAATCATCGTCAAAGCTGATGAATGCGTAAGCAATGGCAGATATCAATGGTTTCCAAACTGTCTTGAACATGTCAAGATCGAACAAGGCCGAATTGCACATCAAGAATGGGCCTATGAGGGATCCAGTTACGTCTACAATCACAATTTCTGCACGTCCAACTTACCCGATTGCCGTGAACGGGCGAGCAGTTCCTTCCAAGCGTATTCGAAGCCGAGTTGGCCAGTATGCTCTTCAGGCATGACAATTTCACGTTTGCGTATGGAATCGTAAATGCTTTGCTGCTGGGATTGAGCTACACAAATCTTCAGTAGAAGAAAGCCACCCACCAAGTACTCGGGCGAGAAGTTTGTGCCACCATTAACGCCTCTCAGGTTGCGCTTATAATCCTCTATCGTCATGCGCTTCTGTAACTTTGTAAGATAAAGAAAGCGCATAAGAAGTGCAAAGGCCTGACTCTTATTTGCGGGTTGTGAAGATCAGTGTTGAGCATGATCACGGAGTACGCTAGCACGTAGACCGCATCTTCCGTCTTGATTTCTGCTGTAATTTGATGAACAAACAGTAGCATACTCTCGAGTTTAAGACTCTACTCTACCTGGACCAGATGCAAAGTAGATCGAGGCAAAAGTTTCTGTAATCCGATTGATCTGCTGAGATTCTCCAGGAAGTCGGAAGCTTTCCAGCATCTCCCGCATGGCATCTGCAATTGGTTTCTATGAATCGCAAATGCTCATTAGTGCAAAGAATATTATAGATGGAAACCGTCATACATCTTTAAAGTCGAACAACCCAAGAAACTCCTTCAGGAGTTCCAAATTATCTGGCTTTGAAATATAATCTCCTAGCAGTCGCTTGTCCAAACGCGTGCAGCTCTTCAAGAAGATAGCAAGACTGCGCGTTCGTGATACCTCTGGGGAAAGATCGGAGTATATGAGCTTGTTCTCCTCAAGAAACGCAATGCCAATTTTTGGTTTGGAGTTGAACCGCGCTGCTCCGGTAAGAACAAGCTTCTTCCTGGATTTGTCTTGTATCAATGAATCTGGCAAAATAAAATCCTGTGTTGTGTTATAACCTGCATGGTCGAGGATGGAGGCAATGAGTACTGACGGAAGCCCATGGTTCACTTCGCTGAAATTTGAAAGCACATCAGAACATTGAACAAAGCGGGACAGTGAATGTACAAACACCCTCAGCTCGCGCTGTCATGTCATTCACGAACGCAAGCAACAGATCCAAACATAGATACTGGGAATGTAATTGTTGTGCGTCCGACGTCGAAGAATACTGCCATGGGTATACACCCTACACGCCAAGAACCTCAACAAAGAGTGCGCAAGTTTTGCCTAACGACCGACCTTTGTGAGAAATTCGATCAACCGTTCAAACAGATTCTCGCAGTTTATGTCGCAGTCATAGTTGACGTAGAGGTCCACCATAGAGCTGGGATGCCGGCAGAGCTGACTGAGAGTTTCCAACATCAAGTCGCGGGTATCTCCACGGGCCGGCTGAACAGGGGGTCGCGATGGAACTGGACTCCCCTTATCAAGCTCAAGCTCAGTATCAACCGGTCCCAGGATAGGAGTTCCAGTTGCAGGGGTGCCGGGACGTGGAGATGTAGGGTTATTCCTCTTGGAGCTTATTGGTTTCGATTGCGGGGGAGCTGCCAGCCTGTCAATACTAAAGGCAAGGTAGAGCTCTTGTTGAAGTTTAAGGTGTTTTCGCATGGTCTGGAATACTGTCGTGATAGTCCGTAAAGCAGCCTGCAGAACAAAAGAATTGTCGGAGCGTGCGAGCTGGAAAAGATATTTGCATCCGGGATCAAGAATAAGGGCTGACAAGGAAGGATAGTCGCCCATAACTGTTCCGGATGTCTCGACAGCAGCATTGAGAATTCCAAGCGCAGTCAGGCGCGTTGAGTCGGTGTGAACTTGATCATTGGGATCCAAAATATTGACAAGCACGCGAAGCAGTTCCAGAAGAGCTGGTAGACCATCTACATGACGTTGAGTTTACAGAAGTAGAAAACTAGATTTGGAGGCTTACATGGTCGTGGCGGCGAAAGTGCCTGGGATGGGCCCTCGACTTCAGGTGATGCAGAGCGCTCGGGATCCTCTAATGAAACTGCATCCTGCTGTATGGACGAGGGTACTCCTTCTGATGCCTGCAAATTACCGGCATCAGTGACATTGGCAGACACAGACATGCTGATTTCCCCATGCTGAGGCTCCTCCTCATTCAGAAGGAGTATAGCTTCTTCAGCAGTAGGATTAAGAGCATGCAGACGCCCGAAAATGGTCCTGACGATAGAAACCATGGTAGACTCGGCAGATCGCCGCAGAATTTCTGAGACATGTAGGATAAGCGAACATCATAGATGAACAGAGACTGTAACGCACCACTCAACCTCATTTGGCATGCTGTCGTCAAGACAGTCTCCAACATTTCGCAAATTTCGACGTCTCCGAGGAATGCACCCACACCGCTTGTGACAATGCAATCATGTATCACGGTCATGATCTTCAAGAGGACAACCTCGTCTCCTGAAGAATCACTGGCTTCGAATTTGCAGTGTGAAACCGTGCTACTGAGCTCGACGAGTGCAGGCTCTAAGGATATCGAGGTTGGAGATATGAGGTCGCAGACAAAAAAGGTGTGGAGTGCGGAGAGTGCAGCGGACGTTATAGGTCCGTTAGACAGAGGTGAACGAACTAGGGCAAAGAAGGGACCAATAAGCCCAGGTAGAGGTAGCGCCTCGATATCTGTTTAAAGTGATTGAATATAGGTATACATGTGCAGTGAACAAACACTCACCATCGACGTCCCAGATTGTACGTTTCAACTGCTGGAAGCCGCCCATCAGGTCTGCTTCTTGAGAGAGCCTCCCATTCTTTTGAATGTCTGTACTAGGTGTTGACCTACGCAGGCCGAGGTCTCTTGCTAACGCGGAGTCTCTTGCTGTAAGTGTATGAGCTCCTGATGCCCACCGTGAATTCTTGCGCATGACCGAGGTCACTGCCAAGATCTCTGACAGCAAGACATGTTTCTTCGATACCTGACAAGTGGTCGCAGGAATAGTCATGGATTGTTACGGCTAAAATTCCGTTGGGACAGCCTAATCTTTCGAGCAGTGCGGTTGATACGTCGACGCGACACCGCGTACTACTTATGTACTGGTAACACGTTAATGACACGCACTCGTATTTTGTGACACATCGCGTGACACGTTGCGACACCTTGTGACATCTCTCGATCAGGCACTTTGGTTCGAACTCTTCTGGTCATCTCAAAGTTGGCTTCAACTGCCAGACGTTAACGTGGAAAGGTAATTCTATGTTATTATCCGTCTCCGCCGCATTTTAAATCGCTTGCGTAGGATATAGTATCTTACAGAATACTAGTATATGCTGTAACAATGGCATCCAAAATATTTCTTCGTAAGTTCAGCTAACTAATCACTAGTTGGGCTTTCTTACGATGATTGTCAGGAGGAGTCTTACCTGTTGCAATCTTCATCCCGATGGGATATCTTGCGAGCCAAATTGTGTTTGGGCGTCACATGTACCAAAGTGGTACAGGACTGCAACTCGCTGAACACTGCAATGTCCCAATCGGAACGGAAGGGTACCCTTTACGCCTAGCATACACAGGCTATCCCGTCCTCGATTATCGCATGTGCTTACTTGTCACGCTCTTTCGTGCCCTGCTAGACCCTGTATACCGACCTCTCGTAGCAGAGCTCATGACTGCTCTCGCTGCAGTGACGATGATACCCTTTGTCGAGGCTGCACGTGAAAAGCGCTCCATCTTCCTTCGCATGCCTGCTGTCGTCGGAGTGCTCTTCCAGCTTTTCAGCTTTGCAGTCATCATGCCAATTTATTATGTTGCACTCATTCTGAGTGGGGCGGCGATTGGTAACCCCGTCAAAGGCCGCGCAACAAAAATCACTCAGGGGAGTGCCGAAGCTTTATTTTTTGCTCTGATAGCCGGCTACATTATCCCGACGGTGTGTATGATTGTATTTCAAGATATCACACCTACTGCACTATGGCAAGGCTACCCCATCATCATGGGGCTCGCTCAATTCGTATACCTCATCATTCGTCCTTCTTCCCGTTACGTGGAATCCGGCTACGCTACCATCCAAGCCATGTATGGCCTCATCTTCGTCACTTCTACTATCTTCCACATCTACTACACGTGGCCACTTTTCTTTGACATCCAGCAATTCCAGAAGGTCCTGGTGCCACAATTGGCACTGAGCAACCGTCCGTTGTCCTTACCCGAAGGAGTCGCTGCTGTCATCCAGTGGGACGCAGTGTTTGGGATAGGGTCGACCCTTCTTGTGACAGTCTGGTTCGCTCGGGGGTTGAAGGAAATGGTGGTTCTCTTCCTTTGGCACGTCCTATCCTCAGTGGCGTTTGGCCCCGGAGCAGCTATCGCAGGCGTACTGTTGTTCAGAGAAGCGAGACTAAATAGTCGAGTTGCTGCGGAGGATAAGGAGGACTAGGTTTGATCGGGAAATGACACCACCAGAATATCCAGTCTCAACGGAGAACATCTGATGACATCGCTATGTACAAATATCGACAACTCAACTTGAATCAATAATGGTACAGCCGAAAAGTAAAGAGAGAAAATAAAATGCAAAGCAGATACAATATTCATCGCAAAGAAATCAGGATAAGTCCACGTCAAGGATCACCGCTTCTTGTTTTTGCCATTCGCCTTGGGTTTACCTAGGAGCCTTCTTCTTTTTAGGTCGGTCATCATCCGAGTCGGAGTCTCCGCGAGTTCCCTTTGCCTCGGCGGCTCGCTTGGAATCGGCTGGTTTTGCAAATAAGTATCAAAAAAGAAGGGCGATGGTCAATATACGTACATTTAGCGGCTTTCCTTTCTAGCTCTTCCCAGTCGTCGCCGTCATCGCTATCATCATCATAACCAGAACCACTTCCTGAGTCGTCGCTTGCATCTGAGCCGTCATACTCGCTAGCATCGGCGCTGCTCTCCTCAGACTGCAGTTCCTCGGGATCTGCCTCGAACTCGGATTCGCTATCCGAACCCTCGTCTGCATCGCTCTGTGAACAATGGTCAGCCCCATGACGGACGATCACAACTACGCAATTACATCAACATCACCCCCACCGAGGAAACTTCGCCAACCGCCTTGCTGGAAGAAATCATATGGGCTCTCATTGATGGTCTTCATGATAGGGCCCCAGTTCAAGTTGACTGGACCTTCACCGAGAGGAATGTCGACCGAGCTGCAAACGCGTCCGATTAATATCGATGTCCTACCGATCACAACAGAAATGCATACTCCAGCCAATTCTTCACATCATCAAGTTGACCACTTGGTATCGAGTTGATGTGCAACGGCGGTTTGGTGAAATCCTTGAAGATGAGTACAAGATCGAACTGTTTGAGCGAGAATTGAACACGTTCCAGCGAAGCAATCTCGATCTCGTTGAGGGTGACAACAAGGAATGGAGGGTCGATGAGATGCACGAGACACTCTGTTGTGGGCTGCAATCGGACGTTGGTGCGGAATGGCACTCCCTCGAACGACAATTCACGGAAGGGAATGTCGACTTCGAGTGTCTCACCCATAGACGTCGATGCTGCCTCGGCTATTCGCTCGGCAAAGAGCTTGAACTCCTTGTTGAGCATCTGCCTTCGCTTTCGTTCTTGCTGTTCCATCTCGATTTCATCCTCATCGCCGTATCTGTGTTTTCTCTTCCGGTTGCCAGTCTCATCAAACTGAACGTCGGAAGCCTCGCGGAAGAACTGAATATCCTGTAGAAAACTACGTTAGAGGATGCAATTGCTCTGCGAACGGCACGACATACATGTGCTTTCTTCTTCCCGATCATAATAGGAGCTCTTAAATGAATGTGCACAATGACCATAAGTTCCTTGTCACAAGGCTGGAAGAAGAGGTGCTTGATGTTAGTGAACAAAACATCTAAGGAGCACACGAGTTAACAATATCCAACAAGAAACGAGACGTCATACCAATTTTCTGAGAGCCCATTGGAGACTGGTAGCGCAGACCGTTCTGGTGGATCTCGACCTCGCCGGGTAACCGTTTGCCGTCAAGGGCGGGGCGGACGAATACCTCAGGAAGCTTGTGCGCACGTCTCCCTTTGATCTCGAGCAGGACATCTTGCTCGATAACGTCAGCCATTTCCTTCTTCTGTTGCTCGCGTTTGTTAACTTCTTTCTTTAGGTCTGTGATTTGTTTGGAAATAGTGTCAAAGCGATGGCCATCGCTTGACCGATAGGTGACCGAACGAATGAAAGTAGAGTCGGGGTCTTCAAAAGGCTATTTGGCAATACCTTTAAACTCAAAAACACTCGTGACTGAAGCCATACGTACCGTGTCATCTTTTTTCCCGGCGAGCTGACCAGGGGTCTGGAAGTTGATGCGGAGATATGTGTAATCCCCTTCATCATTCTTGCTCACGTTCTTGATAGTGTTGATGTGGAAAGGTACAGCGAATCCATGCACGGGCAACACAATCGTTTGAGCTTTGCGGTCTACGGAGATCTGGGTGGTGTTGTTTTAGCCTGAAAAGTTCATATAGTAAGTTGATCTACTCACTCGGAGACTTTCGACTTCCCGCGGCAGTGCGCTTTCACCCTTATAACTTTGGAAGCGCTTCCAGGTTTTACCCTCCTTTTCACCGCCACCGCTAGCACCTTCAGAGTACTTCGCTAATCCAGCAGACTGGAGGCCTTCATGCAGTTGTTGCTGGTGGTCCTTGATTTTGGCGGCTGCGGTCATCAAAACTTCCTCCTGAGCAGCGCTACGCGTCTTGTTTCGCAACACCTTGCCACCAACTGTCTTGTTCTTGACGGGGGAACCGTTTACCAGGGGCTTCACAGGAGCCTTCTTACTGGGCTTGGACGGCTTGTCTTCTTCCACCTCAATTTCATTTTCGGGGTTCAGGAAGAAGAGGGTGTCTTTAGTGGATTTGGCACCTTCAGTCAGAAGAGTTGATCTGTCAGCGCCAACGCGAATAGTGTCGACTATGTGGAGGGCGTATCTGACATGCAAGTATGAACGGAACTGCCATGTACCAAAGGAGTGATACGTACTTCTTGCTGTTGTCATCAAGCAAGTCAGAGAAGCCAAGAGACAGGTTTAAAACCATATCCGTCTTTAGATGCTTGGAGTTTTTGGAAGAAAGTAAATACGCTGAATCACGGAACTCCACGCCGGTCTGAACGAGTTTGAGACTTATGGGCACTTGTTTGATAGAAGAATACTCACTCCAAACCCAGCATTCTTGACAAAGTTCTTCTCAAGCTCCGGCTTTTCCTTTTTCACAATGTCCAATGCTCGTTGATACACTTCACGTGCACTGACGCCATCCTTGATTTCCCTCAGCATCTCGCTTTGCATCGACAGCAGTAAGTTGTAGATAGCTTCTTGTTCCTGTGAGGTGGAATGAGACCAATGAGAAAAGGAGATCGCCCACACTAACCTTCGAGGGGTCAACAATAATACTCCGCCCAAGATTGGCACAGTAACCCTTGTATCGCATGCCAACAGCAATTAGGAAGACGCCCTTGTGTGCGATGGTGTCCGAGGATGACTCCGCAGTCGATCGCAAATCATAACCAGTGGTTGTTGACCGTGACTGAATGATAGGAGAGTAACAGAACTCCGTCGATGCCCAGTCGACCTGGAATGACCCATGAGACATATGAGCGAGTCTGGGAGGGCAGCTAACGCACATCATTGAGACCTCGCCCTTTACTCCACACCTTCATATCAGGTCCCTTGGCAGCTTCACCTTCGCCCGACCCAAGTCGTGCCTCTATCTGAGTGGCAAATTGTTCATGAGTTATCTTGGCTTCCTTGTCCAATATCATCTCCAGTTTTAACACGATGTGGTGAACGAGCAAGGTAGAAGTAAGATTAGCCGCCGTACGGATGCATTTCTGCACTGTGCATTAGAATACCGTTGACTCCCAGATGTAACGCGTGAACACACCATTTCTTCCTCGTCCTTGACAGCCATGAATGCAGACAACGCAGGGGCCATATCGACCAATTCGGGTTTTTTGTCAGCTTTTGAGACGCCCTGCTCCCACTCCGTCATCAACTTCCCCGTGCACACTTCCTTCACCAAGCTCCCGACGCGTTTGAAAGATGTGTAAGCCTCCACGAATTTTGGCAGTGCATCACTAGGTGGTTCCTTCGCCTTTGCTTGCACAAGTATCTCGACTGGAACAGGAGGATTCCCTTCTTTTATTTGGTGCAAGAACTTGGCTGCAAACCCACGTGTCGCGTTGAAAATGTCAGATCGTCGTGCATCGGACGATACAATACATACCTTTGCTAGCGGAGCATAATATCAGAAGCTTGTCCTTCTGGAAGAGGAGTAAGGTGGAGGGAAACTCATAACCAAGCAACCAAGTCTACACGAATTGGCGCGTAAGCCACAAAGCAGAGACGTGATTCATGAAGTTCTAATGAAGCTCACCTGAAAGGCAGTCCCTTTCCTCACGGGTTCATCCTCTCCAGCGGGATCTCCTGACAGTAACAGGAGGGCTTCCGCATCCGCTATTGAGCCGTACTCGTCATTTTGACTGGCATTCTAAAATAACACAACGCCCATTAACAATCCAACCTGCATCGAAGGCTGACAGCGTACCCTCCAACCATCGTAGACATTTTTTAGACGAGAACTGATTAGTTGTTTATTTAACTGGACCTGCATGGTGGACGTGAGCAGCGATTGACAGAATGAACTGGCGTACGACGCTGCAGGTGAGCAAGGAGGAGAGCGCGCGCTAAAGGCGGGAAATTTCTTGTTAGGTAATCAAGTGGTCTTTACTTGCTATCGTCCATACCGCAAGGTCAGCGCAAACAGTCCTAACACTCTTTTAATCGGTCACTATGTCTGAACGTAAAGGTAAGAACTCAACCTTAAGTCAAGTCATGAGCTGATATTTGTATTAGTATTGAACAAGTACTTCCCCCCGGACTTTGACCCGTCCTTGATCCCACGAAGGAGGGGTCCAAAGAACTCACAGCAGGTCGTTCGTCTTATGGCCCCGTTCTCCATGTAAGCATTAATATTTCTGTACCATACTCCGTATCTTACTATGGACACAGGCGATGTAATACATGCGGAGAATACATTTACAAGGGCAAGAAGTTCAACGCTCGCAAGGAAACGGTGGACGGGGAGGATTACTATGGAATTAAGATATTCCGGTTTTACATTAAGTGGTGTGTCATTGCATCGTCATATATCCTGGCGTTTACTGAGAGCCATCCTAGTACACTATGTTCCGCTGAGATTACCTTCAAGACTGATCCCAAGAACACCGATTATTCCGCAGAGCATGGTGCATCGAGAAACTTTGAACCATGGCGAGAGGAGAAAGTTGTTGAAGAGGAGGACCGTCTTGCCCGGCTGGAGGAAGAGGAGAACAATCCTATGAAAGCGCTAGAGAACCGCACCGTCGACGCAAAACGGGAGATGGATATCCTAGATGCCCTCCAGGACATTCGGGCACGAAACGCTCGGAATGAGCGTGTGGGGCAAGCGTCGGATCTGGTTTCTCGGATGACTGCGGAGGAGGAGGAAACGGAAGACGAAAGGGAGCGAAGACTAGCAGAAGAAGAGGATGAAAGGTTGGTGAGGGAAGTGTTTTCGAAGGTGTCGATGCCCGCACTTCCAGGCGACTCTTCGGCGGCGGCGGACAGTTCTGGAGATTCACCCACAGAAACCACCTCGCCACAACTGGTCACTGTCAAGCGAAAGGCGGATGATGTCGAGCCCGATTTACGCAGTCTCCTTCCAGAATCGACACGAGTGGTGCTGGGTGCCAAATCACTTGGTGCACCACCAGCGAAGAAGCCGAAATCAGACTTGAAGAATAAGTTGGGTATCAAGATAGCAAAGAAGGGCAAGGTGGCTGTTTGACATGTGCGATTCTTATACTTTGTCCTATGTATACTAAGTGTACATGATATTTGTAATGCAGGGGGTTTCACCAGTTCAGTAGGTCTACAACGATCGCTTTCTTCGTCACGGCCATGGCTGCATTCACGGACACGCAGTCGACCAGTCTGAATGGGTCATCAGTGTTGATTTGCGCTCCAGCACATTCGTGGATGTGGCCAAAGACATGCAGCCGGCAGTTCCGCAGTTCCGCTAATTTGTTCGACAGGACATGGCATCCAGCGTGCTTGCCCTTACTTGTTGTGTCCAAAGTCATGAAAGGAGGCGTATGTGTGATCAAGATATCCGTATCTTTAGGTATACGGTTATAAATCACTAGTAGAAGAATGGTTATTACCCGTAAACACTGATTTGGCCCCAGACCATACCTCGTGCCTCATCTGTAGTCTCGTACTGAAATGATCCTTGAGCGTATAATGGAGCAGCCTGACAAGTATATCAGTTCCATAAAGTACGGGCTTCGCAGGAGCGACTGGTGCTCACTGGTGATCCATAGACCTTCCATTCGCGCCCCGAAGGTAACATGAATCGAAAGGGTTCGTGTTCGATGTAGTGTAGACCTGCTGCCGCTTGACTCCGTACATAGGTCCGTGCTTGTTGGACCTCCTGGTATCGTTTCTTCGATTAGTTCGACTGATGCCTTGGAGAGATCCACACTCACTTCTGGTAGGAGGCCATATATTGGCTGAGCCCACTTCTTATCAAGACAAAGCTACAGAAATCTGGTCTGAAATCTGGAGGATGATGCTACCTCAACACGTACGTCATGATTTCCTGCGATCATGCTTGTCCCATTGCAAGTTAACACCATGCGCCTGAAACATCAAGTGCCAGCTCACATTTTCACGGGGTGATCCAATGATTTCAACCATTCGACTGTGATAATCAATTGCGAAAGGCTACCCCAGCTACTCAGGTCACCAGCATGCAGCAGAACGTCACCGGTGGGTATGCGAAAGGTGCGAGAGTGGGTATCTGAGATGCAGACGAAGCGAGTCCAATCGCTGCCTGGGTGAGGAGGGATAATGTCAACCCCGTCCCTGTAAATACGTGCAGTTTTAATCGTTGGGATCACAGGCGTTGGGATCACGGTGGACATATGAGCGAAGGAAAACATCGAAGCGCAGTTTGCTGTATTTGATTTCAAAGTGCCTTATCATAATAGCCTCGTAGTCGTTTAACTACAGCTTCGGATGCGCTGATAGCTGTGCCAGCGCGTGACTCAACCCGTCGAGCTCTTACACTAGTGTGACACGCGCTCTCGGCATGGCATGCTCTACTAGCAGAGATTCTAACTATCATTTAACGCGGACGAGCAGTTTAGGAGCTCGCCATCGCATCTTCTCACTTGCTCGTCATCTCGTTAGGACATAGCATTATCGTCACCCACCCTTATTTTCTCCCGCCGGAGAGTCTCTCGCACACGTATTCACGCATCCCTGGTTCTACAAGCCTCTTCCGAGTCTTTCTGGTTGCGTGTACTTTAGTTTTTCTTGCAATTTTCATTGGACCACCCGTTTGTCACGCCAGGCCGGGGGTCTCCTTGCTGGCTAATCCTCACAGCCTGCGCTGCCAGGTTACCATGCTACGAACCAAGACGCTGATATCTTATTCGCAGAAGCCGAGAAGATCGACATGCACCTTCATCCATGCCCACCCTGAAACCTCCCTGCTAAGCGCATTGTGTTACACAGGTTACCCAGTTTTGATTAAAGCCATTCATGGTTGCTGCTGCAAAGGCCGTGAATTACGTAGGTGCTCCCACTTGCATGTTGAGCACCCCGTCATAGAGATGATCACCGGCCTTGACCTTGTCGAGTGGCAACTGGAAGTTGCGGGCTGGTAATCCAATTTCACTTTCGCAAGCACAAATCCCTCTCGTTGGGCATGCATTTGAGGCGGATATATGCCGAGAACCCTCGGAACGATTTCCTACCTGACTCTGGGCCACTATTGTACCTTGATACCCCGAAACCAACTCATGTCTTTGCCCCTCCTATTCTATCACTCCCTCACAACGATTCGTGCTCAGAACTGGACTCGATGAAATGTTCACCTGATACCTCAACGCATGTGGTACTGTCGGTGCGCTTAGAGCAAGGGTTCATGCAGGGCGCACAGATTGGTGTGTTTTATGACCCGATGATTGTCAGGCTGGTGGTATGTGGACATAGCGCCAAGCCACTTTTCGACGCGATCCAGTGCCAGCGCGAGTGATGTGGGAAAATTACTGGACGAGCAAATAAGAAGGGCGGGCCGGAAGTAAGAGCATCTGCCTCGCGCTGAGAATCACACTGGTGACTGCATTATGCCTCATACACATCACATTCTCAGTCTTTCTAGTAGCAACCCTCGCCCATCTACACACATGCATTTGTAGCACAATCATCAAGACTCACAAACATTCCACTCCCCCGCTCAAACTAGTCTCTTTTCAAGTTGTCTTCGTTCGCTGTCCTCGTAGATTTGTGTGTTGTTGTAGATCACACGCTGGCGGACCTCCAGAATTCGAATTTGATTGCCCTTTTTTTGCCCAGCGATGCATGGTCGTCGAGACCTCGAACGGAATATTTGCCGGCGACCGCCGACGAACTTCAACTGACGAAAAAGGTTTGAGACAATGAGAGGCAATCGTGGACGCGTCACGCACGTGACCGTAAAACGGCTGGAATGTTGTGGCACTGTTTCCAGCCCTGTGTTTGCATCTCTGTTCTGATCGTCGAGGCTGGTGAAAATGCATATTCCAGACACGTCCCGCAAATATACTCCGAAGGAAAAAGAACAGCTGCTCCAGAATCTTGACATTGAAGGTGCGTTAAACTTGTTCTGCATTATCTTACTTTTACAATCACTGATTTTTCTGCCTCTATCCTTCTGCATAGTCGAACACCGTATTCGCCAACTCGAGGAATGGCTTGCAGACGCACTCAAAAACTTTCGCCTTCACCAAGAAGGGCTCATCGCCCGCATTCCCAAACTCGTGCGCGGTGTGACCATGGGCGAGTTTGCTGACACCTACAATGGCGATATTCAAGCCTGTCTTCGTGGTCTGGTGGGCGGTGCTCCGCCAAACCTCGAGATCGACCGTGAGACTCGCAAGCGCAAGTGGGAAGAAGCTAGTGAAGGTGAACGCGCCGTTAAGAATGGTACGTAGTCGATTTGGCAATGGTCTTTTCATTGACACGCTTCTCAGCAAGGACAATGCATATCACTCCCAAGAAGAAGCCCTTTACCACTAACACAGGAACTGCACAACGCGGCCGCACATTCTCTGCGGCAGTCCCGCGTACCCCCGGGCAACTCCGTCCAACCTTCCGTTTACCCTCTGTCAGTCCGCAGAAACCATCTGCCCTCCGAACATCTCCCTCTAAATTACATGCTCCATCGCCCCTCAAAGTTCTGCCGTCCCCTGGAAAATCGATGCCATGGAATGCCAAGCAACCATCCCAGGCAAAGCGCCCGCCCACCAGCGCGATCTTCGCTCCAACTCTGCCCTCCAAGGTCCCCGCTTATCCCACCCTCCGTGCACCCCGCCGCGACGAGAGCATGCTTAGTCTCAACGGGTCTCCGCTAGCTAACCCGTATAAGCTCGGCTTGGAGTGGTTTGCTACTGAAGAGGAAGAGGAGGATATTGAATGACATGGACGTGAAAACCAAAGGCAAAGGAAAGGGGGCGCAAGTAGATACGCGAGGCGAAGGCAAGACTCTAAGACGCGTAAATAGCATAGTCATACGGCATGATCCATCCGTCTCGCTCGTCCCCTCATCCTCCACCTTCCCCCAAAGTCACTTACGAGCCAACTCCCAAACTCAAAACCATAAGCACACACACTCACACACCAACTCACGCACGACAGGTCGTGTCCAAGAGCCACCGGTGCCCAAACCCGCTACGCCTTCTCTCATGCCTTCCAGCTCGATCTCGTCCGTGCCTTCCTCGTCTTCGGCCCGTGCAGTTGTCGCGATCTCAACCTCCGATGGACACGTCCTCGAGTTCGACCCGCTACAGACATCGCCACGCGCACTCGATGCACTCGTAGGCATCACCAACAGCGCAAAGAAACAAGCACGTGAGGAAATGGGGCGCTTAGTGCAGGCTGCGGTGAGCAAGTGGAGTATTGCATAGCACGCCTAAGTGTGAACCACTACACCACCGCGCCCCCGAACCAGGTTGATGTGGCTGATTCGGGGGACATCACAACTATATTATCCTTTTATATTTTTCGCTGTGCCCTAGCAGCTCAATCTCAATCTTGCTTTGAGGCCTTCTCAAAACCGTCCTTCATTACGCAATGACAGACGTCTCCCGCGTCTTTATGTATCTTTGTATTCAAATGTCCTCATGACTTCCTACCTTGTCAAGATCCCTAAGAATAAATACGGCTTCTTCCACCCTCATCTCCAGTACAGTGAGTTTCTCCTGTTTCGTCTCCCATTCCTTAAGCACGTCTCGCTCCATCCGCGACAATAAGTTTTCATCCTGAGCCACATCCGTCCGTGCTCGCTTTTCCAGTACCGCTTTCACAGTCGGCTCCTCTTGTTCTGCCTGTCGCCGCATGCCTATGTTATACAGCGTCTTGTACAGGTGTCCCAACAGCGCAGAATATGCTTTGTGTAGATCAACGTGCCTGGGTATCGGGATGCGTCAATGATCTGACAAATTAGAACATCAAGTACCATAGATAAAATGTCCGGGTGGGGTTACGATCGGCGCTTCTGGGTACCTCTTGAGTTGAGATCAAAAAGTCAGATGACAGCGCCGCAAGAAGTGGCCGAACAACATTGTTTGGCATCATGGCGACCTTCGCTATCTGTTCGGTATCAGAGACAATTCAATACGAGACCAACAAAGGAAGCACCTGCTTCTCATCCATCTTTCCAATATCGAGGAGTAGACGCACTATCCTCACGCCGTCGTCCCCGTGTCGTTCCCGAGCCACTGCTTCCAGCACGCGCCTTCGCAGGCGTTTGCTAACTATTCCAAACTCAACATATACTTTGTTGTCGATCAGGCTTATAAATGATGCCGCTTTACCAGCCGGCGTTGGATTGTCTACGGCGGACATTAGACCGAGATAATCCTTGACTAGTGAAGCACTAGACGCTTTTTTGGTTGACGTGACGAGACCAGTCGAAAGGTCGTCGTCATCGGAAATAAGTATGGCAATTGCAGCAGTTGATGTAGGATCTATTTCACCATAAGCAGTCGCATGATAAACGCATGCTACGGTACATCTTACCTGATCTTGCATCGGATACACTCTTTTGTCTGACTTCAGTCGCTTTTAGCGTGGCTCGCATGACAAGAGCAGCGCTTCGATTAAAACGTTCTCCTGCAGCCATCTCGATGAGCTGGCATATAACTTATCAGGATGAAGCCAAGAACGGAAAACAGGTATTCGTGGGACTGACCTTGTTACGGATATAGGTATTGAATTTGTCAAAATTCACCCGAAAGTAGACACCATCCTAGATATTTGAATTGAGGCAGCTGATTAGTACGCTGATTGTTGAACTCACGTCAACCATGTCTTCTTCTATTGCTTTTTTCTATGAGTCGTTCAGTAACCACCGAAAACAATAATCGCTGGAGTTCGCTCACCTTGGATGACCGATGACCGATCAGGTCTTTCGGCTTCCGCTTCTATGATTCTGCGTTTGTTCACGGATGTCGAGACTGGTAGGTGCGTGTCAACTCACCAAACCTACGCTCTCTGCCTCCTCCTCCTCCCGTTTCAGTCGCGCCTCCGCAGTCTCTTGGGCCTCTCGCAACTCCTTCGCTGTCGGGAAACCCGTTATTTTAGCTTTCTCTTCTGCTTCGTATTTGATACGCTTGTCCCTAGGTGAGTGGTGTGAGAGTAATGTAGATGGCTTAAGATATGCGCCCGATATGAGCTTGTATAATGTTTGTGAGTATAGGCTTGAACCTGGGTGTGCCATTAGCAACGACCACAGAGCAGAAAAAATCTCCCGACTTTTGGGGTTATGGATTGACAATCGTGAAATAATGTCTGGCGGCTGAAGTTTGCCGTGATCTAATATTAGCTGCACAATTTCTGCACCCTGGCACACAAATGTTAGTGGAGCTTGATGAGGAAGCAAAAGAGGAGGGTACGCACAGAAGGTCCAAACAATTGCTCCGCCTGCCACACGAAGCGACCAAATCTAAGCCGCATGAGACACTCTAGTGTATGGAACTCCAGCATCTCGCCCTCCTCCTCGGTGTTGGAATGCCATAAAATATTATGTTGCACCATAACCAAGATTGCTGCGCGTACTGTACGCGGTTTTATCATCGTGTAACGAATAAGCTGGGCAAGGGAAAGCCTTCCCCGCGTGAGTAGTGCAGATGCAACATTCTGATAAATCATTCAGGTATGAATAAACTTCTGGAGCTGATGAAAACCACATGAAAACTCACCGCCGTTAACGGACCAAAGTGTGACCGGACAATCTGAACACACAAGCGGGAAGTCTCTGCATCCGCCATTACTGAGTGCTGTAACTATACTACGGTTAAGAACGAGAAGACGCTGGAAGGCGTCACGTAAGTCGTACATACATCGGAGCAAGAAAAAATAAATATCTCCAAGACATTTGATGACGTAATCAAATAATTCGGTCATTTGAGTCTGGACTACCATAACACAATAGCAGTTAGCATGGGCACACCAGTACTAGCATGATGTTCCGGGGATGCCTGAATTAACGTTGTCTGATGTTGGATGACTTGACAATTGCGTGAACTTTCGATGTGCCTCTTGCCGGACAAAGCCTTGGCAAGAATGAGCAACATTTGTATGTGTGCACTACTTCAGTAGCTACAAGATCGGAGGAAACAGTATTGCATGGCCAGCGAAATGGGAATAAAGCTCAGACATGGTCAGCGTTACATTGAACGTTGAACCTTTGCAACCCATTGGCATCATTGCGCTAAAACCATTTACTGCTTTGAGTTGACCTCGTCATGCTTCTCCTGAAGCCTGGCCTGATGTTCAAAAGTCAGAATGCCATTAAGCGACGAAAATACTAGTAACTTACAAGCTCCTCCTTCTTCGCCTCGATCTACAGAATTGGGTCAGGGCAATGAACAATTGGAATTCTTGTGGTGCACACCTCAGCTTTCAGTTTGCGCAGCAACTCCGCCTCGTGTCTACGAGCGTACTCATCTGTGAATGGCAATCAGTGAGCGTGACAATAATACTAGATTCGTCCCAGGTGAATGTACCTTCGTGAGCTTTCTCCTTTTTGCTGTAGTTAGACACAGTTAGATACACATCCCATGTGCTGCAGGAGTTTACACATACGAGAACCCCTTGCTCTGAGCAACACTGCCTTCTTTGACACTTGAGGTGTAACCTCTTGAGAGGACGAGCCGGGTAAGTGGGACACGGCGGGCAATAACAGTGAGCATCGTGATATATGAATCGTGTGCAATATTGGAATATTCAAGGTGCAGCTGGCAATATATACCTAGACTTAACACGTGACTTTCAAACAACACGGAGCAACACCGCGTAACGTCACGCTCAATCCTCTTTTCTAGCCATGTCGTCCATGAAATTCCTCAGACAAGCGGTAAGCTCTTAGTTTATCAATGTTTTCATGGCATTGAGCTCATTTATGCGTCCACCGATAGGCCCGCTCTGCACGGACCTTCTCTACGACGTCTGTTGCTCGTAAAGGTTTGTTCCGCATTTCGCCGACTGGCACATCAGACAATGGACTGACGAAGTCTTTCGGCAGACCTTGTCCAGGATATCTATGTCAAGGAGCTAAAAGCTTACAAGCCCCCTGCTATAGTTCGTTTTTTTTCAGTAGCGTCTGACTCAGCTCATCCTGGCAACTTACCCATATATCCTCTAGGCAAAAGACGCACACGTTGGTGTTGTCAAGAATTTCTCACTGCCCGCCGTTCCAAAACCCCCCACTCTTCCCGTCGACCTCGCTGCCGAGTTGACCGCATATGACGCGACTGAGCCCACAAAAGCCGAGGCAGAGGTCACGAGCTCGAGTGTGCATGCAGGGGAGGATGTGGGTAAGGGTGCGGATGCATTCCTTGGATTCCTGGAGGCAGACGTGAAGCAGGCAGAGGTTCACCATTGAGTCGAGGATACCTCAATCACTTTCTGATTAGGAATGCATGGCAACTAGATTTATCCTGCAAGAAGTGTGCGTTAAGCGAACAGATCTGGACTCTATTGTGCATGCTTTCAATTTGCAGAATCTTCTAGTCAAAATTCACCAAGTAAGGTCTTACCCCGTGTCGATGAACCTCCCCAAGTGCCTCTCGATAGTCTCCAAGCAGTAGTTGTTGCAGAGCGTCATTATTGTACAGATATCGCTTTTGACGAGAATTATACAAGATTATACTGACGTACTATCGACACCGTCATGTCACGAAATCCGGTGGTTGCTCGTAAGGAAGCTCGGATCGAAGATGGAATGCAGTCATTAGGGCTCAGTGACGGTCAAGGAGACCAAAAACATAACCACACATGCCCATTCCCAGTTTCCACCAAAATGATGCTATCCTTCAACGCCAGCTCCCACCTCGCTCTGAGCCGGTAGCACGACCGAATATGCTGTAAAGGTGAGTCACGAGTAATGCGATGGTGAACTGAAAGAACGGGGGACATATAGAAACCTGAAGAACGGTACTTAGCCTACGGTCGTAATCTTGATGTTCGGGATGCGTGCGTGAGTCGATCCAGGGCCATGAAAATGAGAAAGTCTGATAAGGTAGACCCGCCAGGGGCAGGTAAGGAGACTGCGCGGCAGTAGCAGTGTAGGGGCGCAGGAAAAGAATGGCGGCGAAGAAGATAAGAGGCGCCGATGCTGTCTCAGTAATTGCGAGGTCGTTTTTCTTCAATACAGCGTGGTCAGTAGAGCGAATGCGTAACACAAGACTGAACCATACCTGGTGAACTATGAGATGTGCCAGCTTCAAGTTCACCTTCTTCGGGGTCGACGTCGTCGTGATGACGTTTTGCAGATGAATTGCTGGATAGAGTCACCGAGCTTTCATTGGACACAGCATCGCCAGGGTCCAGCCATTCTTCGTCAATTTCGCCATCGCCATCTAACTCATCATCCCAATTATCCCATTCCTCTTCCAAAACTGGGAACGTCTGTCCGCCACCCTCTTCTGTAGGGTTAGCATTGATGTAAGAGGAAGAATGATCTAGCTCAAAATCTGGGTTATGGGTCAGCGCAGTCCCATACAAAGAACCAGCCACCTCACCAGCCTCGCGTTCAAGTATTGTAAGTAAATTAGAATCCGACTCATCTGTTGGGAACTGCGTTGATGATTCGGGCTGGTCTGTATCCTGATCTACAATAAGATCTAATTGGCATCAGTGTCAATATCAAGTAACGAAATATTCGGACAGACCTTTGTCAGTGCCTTGGCTGCTCTTCTCTTCCTCGAAATATTCGTATGATGGTAAACAATCTCCTCGTTCTAGCGCAAGGTGAGGATACGAGTATATTCAATAAAATATCATTGCTCACCATTCGAAACGGTGTCTCCTGTTTCTGATCTCCGAGTGGGCTCAGAGTCAATGTGTTGTGCCGGTGGCACTGGTGTAGTCTCTTCTTCATGCAGGTCAAATACAGGCAAATCCGTCTGAGACTCCTCTATTGTTGCGGATACAGCCTCCGTTCCGCTTTCTTCATAACCCACCGTTTGATCATATCCAAATTCTGTGTGCGTGCCATCCTCTTCGAGGAAGTCTTCATAGATTTCGCCATACTCTTCTGGCTGTATGTAATCTTGGTACTCAGCCTCCTCCCCTCCAAACTGCACATTGATGTCGGACACGGTTGCAGCAGCATCCGTATCCACTGTTTGATGTATGGCAGCGGTGCCATGTTCGCCCTCTCCCTCTTCCCGATACTCTGTGCCGACATTCGTGCCTTCATAATTATCCTCCTCTTCGAGGACCTGTGCTACGTCGCCACTAACGCTGTGGTAGGCGACATCCACCACAACCTGGGGGATAAAAGCGACGTCCTTTGCGAGGGCATCATCGTCCTGATGCTGGTCCAGAGGAACTTTCGGCTCATGAACACCTTCTGCTCCATCGAGATCCTTTTGGCCATCAAGGAGAAGTGCTTCGTGTTGGGCATCTTCCTCGTGATGATCTGTATCTTCTTTCTCGTGATGATCTACATCTTCCTCGTGTTCCGCTTCTGGAGCGGTATCATGTGGAAACGCGGGGACGTATCCTACAGCAACGTTTAAAATTAATTTCGACGTTGTTGAAGAGGAATACAAACCTTCTGCTGCAAAATTTTCGTCAACGCCTGCAGCCAGGTCAAGCCGAGAAATCTGTTCTTGAAGTAAACGGTAACGTAAAATAAACCTAGGTATCGCCGAACGCAGATGGATGCGGAGAGGGCCCGTAAAATCAGAGCCATCGTGCAGCACATTTAGGTCATGCAAACTGATTTCCTGTGCGTAAACATTGTCCTACATGAAAATCAGCGCTTATCTGGCGCAAAAGAAGAAATGATGCCCACTTCTAACACAGCGAGCTGAAGATCGTACGCGTCCATCACCAACTCTCCCTCGAGAGAGTCAGGAATCCTGGAAATGACTTCGTCCTGCCGAAGTGCTTCGAATACGCAACTAAGGGGCTCATAGTACAACGTCGGCCGATTCTCCAGGAGCAGCGTATACGCCTGTTGGTTGCTAGCTCCTGTAGACGGACTGCGGGACCTGCGTTCCACTGGAGGCTGGTTGAATAAACAGTATTCTGGTACTTCAGAGGAGCCAATAGACAGAAAAACAGCGGGTGGCGGATCAATGTAGACGCCATCTGATATTTCATGTGGATCATTAGCATTGTCTACCCCTTCGTGGAGGCTCGCCGGGTGGGTTTCATCATGAGGCTGTGCGCCATCACCAGACGGGACATCTGGGGGGTGGAACGTCTCCGACTGCTCCTCAACTTGTGCTTGAAGCGTCGGTTCTGCCTCCGTAGGCTGAACAGACGATCCTGCTCTATCAGTGGTTTCCGAAACCAGAGCATCTGCATGTTTTTCTACACCATATGGATCCGCCGAAGCCACATCTAACTCTGCCGCCGTTCCATCGACAGCAGTGGCAAGATGAAGTGGATCCAACTCCGATAGTTGCTCGAGTGTTAAAGCGAGAGATTCCTCCTCTCGCAGAGAATTAAATTCAGTTTCTTCAGCTACAGGATGATCGTTTTCCACCGGGCGATCAGTGGTAGATATGTCGTGTTCAGCAGGAATAGTGGCTAGCTGGGGGGTGAACGGATCCGAGAAAGGGGCAGGGGTGGAAAGTGATGATATCTCCGGATCAATTATCAGAGACGGTAATGGGTGTGGATCAGGTATGGGCTGAGGCGAGCGGGCGTCAGAAACGTCGTAGACCTCCACATCGAGCGGCTCATGCTGATAGTGGCTTTCGTTGAACTCTTCTGTCTCATCAGCCATCTCATACTCTGCATTGCCATCATAGTAGGTCTCCATGTCGACCTCAACATCCTCCTGGTTATAAATCGTGTGATGACCATCGTGGTCCATGGATAACTCCACAAAAAATTCTTGCGCAGCTGCTGGGTTCATTGGAACATCGATTTCGGTCGCAAAGTCATGCATTGGTGCGTCCAATAGTTCAGGAAATGGTGAGACTGACATTGCAAGTGCAAGGTCAATAGCAGTCAAATAAGGGTCAAGGTCAAGAATAAGGCGCACGATGCAGACAAAGCTTATTCATCCATCCACACATGGTCCGTGCATGGCACGTGACATGTTGCACACCTTGTTCATCGTGTACCGCGACGTCTCCTGAATCGCTCCAGAAATGGGTCCAGAAGGATTATCAGCAACTCATGCCGCAGACGTGGAGGTCCTCATGCGACGAGGAATGACCAAAGGATATGAAGTATTTTCTTTACTCACTCCACCGGTATACGCTGCTTTTGTGCTCATGCGGAAAGGCAAAGGTCACTTCACTGTCAATCGGTTCCTTCGCGCGGCATGGGTAGGCGGTGCAGTAGGTATGCAAGCACAATGATAGCACATTTACTTCATGCTAATTCTGAGAATCTCACTCCCCTAGGATGCGCAGGAGGAGGCGCGCTCGAGTATTTTCGCTCTTCTAGGGCCAGTGAAGTTACTGTGACGAACCGGCGCCTGCAACACGCCTACGACGTATGTCCAATTAATGGTGAATACTACTTAAAGTTGAGGTTGTTTCAATTCCAGGCTGCTTCATTACGTGCTGACGACCACTCTACTATCGGCGCGATATTGTTTGCGGTGCTAACGCCTGCAATCTTCTGGAAGAGAGCGAGCACGGTGAACTGTGAGCAAAATATCTCACAAGTGATATACTAGTGCATGGCGCCCATTTATCTCCAACAGTAGTGCTTGGTGGCGCCGGGATTGGTTCTGCTATTGGGCTTCTAACACATTATGGACGAACAGTAACAGGGGATATAATGCCAGATGTACAAGTCCCCGAGACTCCCATCGCATCATCGTGAAACATCATTCCTTCCATCGGACAATTGACGACCTGGTCGAATAGGCGGCCAGAGATGCCCGCCAGTGATAAAATCTAGTATAGTCCTTAACACCCCAAAACACGCGATTGTACATTACCCATTCTTTAGCAGACCACGGATCCGCGAACCCCCACCAATGATCATATGGTAATTGGCTGATATATGCAGTAGCTTTATGTTCCAATTACGGGATGATCACTAGTATCGAGATTGTCTTAGTCCTCAGTCTCACTCCCCTCATGCACCATCCATGGAGTCCCGTGCAGATTAATGCTGTCAAGGTGGTGTACCTGGGAGCTTGCCTGCTTTGGCCCTCCAATAACCGCCCGCTGCCACTTGAGCGCGACTTGGTATTTGTGGCTATCCTATTCCTGGTATTCGCACGCGAAAGGGTTACTGCACTACTGTCGATGCAGTGTCGAAGTAGAGTTGTTGTATACCATATCTTCGGACGAATCATCCAAATGGGAACGCAGGTACCAGGTACCAGATTGTGCCACGAAAGTGGTGATTACTTTGGACACGACTGATCGATGATCCGCCGTGGGCAACCAAAGATTCACTCGCCATAAGCTTGCCATAAGCACTGAAGGAAAACATTGCCCGAGTACCTTTCTGACGTACGGGTCACCATTACACTGCATGTCAGGTTGACAACCTAAACCACGAAATGCGCGTGATGGGAATACACAGCAGCCGATGAAGCGCATCAGCTTGACACAGCAATGACATACCACACGTTCCGCGGAACGACCAGCAACTTACGGGGGTAATGTCTATTGCTGTCTACTGTCGTGGAGAGGCGATCGCAAATAGATCCGGCCCAGAAATGGCGTGCTTCATCACAGTGAACTTGTCATCATATACCAACAGGAATAAACCAAGTAACTCGCGACAAGAGTAAAATATATCAGCGCATGCATCGGAGCTGGGCGAGGCAGCATATGCGAGCTTTACCGTCGTCGGGCGAGCAAGAAAAGACCTGCACAAGCAGCGCCCGCGACAAAGCTCAACGTCGTAACAAAAACGCCAGGAGCCGTGAGGTTCTGTTTAGCACCATACGCCTGACGGGATGACCTAGCTCCCAGCTCGCCAGGAGATGGAACTGCATTCTTCTCCCAACCGTCATCGAGAAGCCTCCTTATCATCTGATCGTCCAATAGAGCAAGCTCCTCCATTTCCCAAGAAGTGCAGACATCAATCATCCACCGCATCCGTCTCTTCCCAATTGCACCGCCCACCCCAGGGGCTCTCTCCTTCAACTTGACTCTCAGCTCACCCACCCTGGTGATTGCATCTCCGGCGTGCTCTGGAAGGCTTTGCTCAACCTTCTTCCGTATGATATTAGCCAGTTTAGGGCTATTTCCGTTTGTCGAGATCATAATTTGAAGGGGGCCGTCACGGATTTGAGAGCCAAAATAAAAGTCGCATGACTCCGGGATATCAGCCACGTTAACAGGAATCTTGAGCTCCCTGCATAGGCCACAAATGACACGAGACTGCGCCACATCATCAATTGCCGTTAATACAAGATCAACGCCAGCCAAGTCTTCTACACCTCCGAAAAGGCGATCATGGTACGTGATGTTGTAAGGTCCATTGAGGAAAGACTTGGTAAGAATGTGCAGTCCGCTGCTTGGACTGATAAGTGTCACGCGAGCGTCAGCGGCTAGCACAGATTCGATACGACCAGAAGCGACGTCACCACCGCCAACGATGAGCACATGTTTTCCTGTCAGTTGCCAGGCCAGCAACAGAGAACCGCCACCCAGGCGAGACATGACTGAATCTCAAATCAGCAAATCAGTAAAAATAATTGATGAGCCTGCTGTGCAGAATATGGTGATAAGGAGCCGGTCAGTTATACGGAAAAGAGCTTACGGAGAGACTAGGTGAATTACTGAGAGCTCGTGAGAGCTGAGAACTGATACCGTTGAAGTGAATGAGCGTCTATGATTGTGCAGGCTCCAGGGTGCTCACGGTATACAAAGTTTTTGTGTTTGTCATGGAGACTGAAATTACATAATTGTCAATAACAGAAGCAAATTTTCGACTGTTCTTAAGTGTCCTTACTACGAGGACTATACTACCGCCTGCCACTGCCCTCTCATAGCCTTCCATGAGTCCTCCTTGACACTACTACCCGGCTTTTTCTCATCTCGAACTCCCCTGAATTCCTGTATAGCCGCATCAAATTTTGATCATCATCATTTCCTCGTTTCAGCAGCATCGCTATCTGCATACTACATATTGTAAGTGAAATTCTGTGATCTCCAATCTCTGGTTCACAGAGCGCTCACCACTTCTTTCTTTCGTTCTTTTTAGTTCTTTTCCTGCTGTGCAGAAGTTTGACGTTGATCGTCGTTTGACCAGTTTTTGGCATCGAGCTCTAGCCAGGTGCTATTGTCCCTCTACTCTCCGGAAGAGTAACTCCATCAATTCGATCCAGCCCACAAGCCAACCCATTCATTAGGACGTCTGTTCTCTCGATTCCCAGACCCTCTTCTACACAACTTCCTATCTGGTTCCATCATTCAGGCAAAAACAATCATGTTGTCGAAGAAATTGATTGGAGCATGGGCATTCTTTGATATATGTCTCATGGCTGCTGGTGTCCTCTCGCTCACCTTGTCCATCGTATGGCGTCAGCCCAACCTTTTGTTTAATTTGACGTTTAGTGGTGTGAACTTGACTGGTAAGTGCTCCATGTACCTCTGTGTATAACATCCCTCTGAAAGTGACATCTGAAGCTGGCAGTGTGCTTGGTATAACTCTCCTCGCCACGTTTGTTCTGTCACTACTTGTTATTATACAACGCGGCACCCTCGGCTTGAAAATTCTCAACTGGGTACTTCTTGCAAATGGCATCGTCATCCTAGTCATCGGCACATATATTTGGGTCTTCACGCTGCATGAACGGAATAATTATCATGCTGTATTTGGGCAACAGAGCAACGAGACCAAGATTTTGATCCAGGATATGGTACGTCCCACTCGGACCTGTGACTCGTGGTTATGTTGATTTCCTTGTTTTTCTATAGCTCAAGTGCTGTGGTTACTTCAACGCCGCTGATGAGGTTGCGTTTGGAGGCACTACCTGCCCTAATCAGGCCGCTGCAACTGCTTTGAACAATTTCTGTGTCACGCCCATCACCAAGTTTACAGATTTAACACTGAACAACGTTTTCAGGTACCTTTCCCTTGTTATTTCCTCAGACAGAACTCTCATACCCTCTGTAGCACTGTTGATGGTTTCATGGCAATTGTGATCGGTCTTTTCCTGGCAAATATGTGCGTTATCAAGAAGGTAAGCTATTATTTGTGTTAGCAACTGGCCGCACCGTTGATATGTTTCCCTATCAACCAGAGGCAGGAGTTCGAGCGCTTTGAAAAGATTGACTCGAAGCGTGGCGGGCACAGTTTTATTTAAAGTGCATTGCTACCGCTCTCCCAACTGTTATCGATTCATCCACCCTGTTCGTTCACACAATCAAGGCTTACCCGTCCGTGGTCCGTGACTGCGGATGGTGTCTCAGTCATTCGATGCTTTTCTTTTTAATTCGGGCACATTGTTCCATATTTGTTTTATTAGTTTCATTGTCTTGGATACGAGCCAGACCTACCTGGAGAGGGGAGAACAGTTATTTCGGTCTTGGATGCGGACTTCGCTTTAAGCCTTTAGTTTGTATTGGACCAGATGTTGTAACTATCGAGGTGTTCTGGTAATGAATGGGCATTCAATGGTTCGGAACAAGATCTGGCTGTGTAGTCGTGAACGCGGTTAGTGGAGCTTCGTACGTAGTGTCCGACGGTAGTAGCTAACGTAACGGCGGCGAGCACCAGTCCCACTCCGTTGTTCGGCAAATTCTTGATTCCTTCCTCCGAAGCACATATAATGCATGTTGTCTCACAAACTACCCATGTTCCTGTTTATTCGCTGAATTCACCCTGGACCACCCACCTCCTAGTATCCAAGCAATATTAAGTCCTTTTCACTCTGATCTCATACTGCGATTTCTTGGCAGTGGCGGAGTACCTGCAATGCCGGTGCTCATGATCAATCGCTAGCGCGCAAGAAGTTCATTCTGCTAAACACATTTTATACTTGAAGCCAAACAGACCCGGGCTCCTAATTTACACGAAGTATATTGTTACGTTTCACTCCCGCGATCTACAATCTCATTTGCCCTCACCCTATTAGTTCTCAGTCAAGTCCATGTCTCTCTCTCCGGCATAGCCCGCGCTGTCGTCGAACACCTCATCCACAAACTTTTTCTTACCCGCGTTGGAACCCTCGCCCTCGCCCTCGTCCGTCGCCTTGCGCTTGTCTTTCGCGTCCCTCCTGTGGTTTGCCAATATCTCCGCAATCATAGACGTGTCCGGCAACAGGATCATGCTGAAAAGCATGACCTGGTACCTTCTGGACGCGGTCTTTCTTGTCCTCTTGTTGGTCGCTATCTCTCCTGTTTGGAGGAATCGTCCACCTTTGCCAGTTGGTTAGTCTTGCTTTCGTGTACTGCACTCACAGTTTAAGCAGACCCTCCACGAAGACGAAGTCGCCGGTCCTCAACTTGGTGTTATATTCGCCAGGGCAAATGATCACGTTGGTTCCATTCCGAATGTTGGGTGCGGTGACCGTGGCGTCTCGCAGGCTGTACTGGGTAATCAGGGCCAGGTGGCAACCGAGGGGATCCGGCAGCTCGGAGAGGGGGGGTGTCCTGCCCCTTCGTCAGCTCCAAGATCATGGCTCTCTCTATGCGTCTTACCTGCATCTGCGGCTAAACTGGGTTGCCCTCTACCAGGGGAACCACCTGCCAATGCGAACACAAGTGCGTGTGCATGAAATCTTGCGCATAAACTGCAACATCACAACGATGCGCGAACAGCACCTGAGGAAGGACGAGGATTGTGAAACTGAAAAGGGCGGGACGAGTCGGACGACAGAGGACGAGCTTATATTAGTGCTCAGAGAATTAACGAGTATCTAGGGAGACTTCACTCAGTCAATGTCACATCGGACGTCGAGTGCTTTGGGCCATTTCAGAAAAAGGAAATCTTTTCACGCACACATGAAAATACAGGTCGATCTGACAGAAACCCTCCTACTTTGTAGAGTCGGGATGATATTACATGGTGTTGGCACGCACTCCGTAAGATTGTCACACGGTTATGTGCCCCTGCAGGTAAGAACCTCGATACATTAAGTATGCCGACATCTTGAAACCAGTACCCTTATAGGGTCCTGGAACGAACATCAGTGCAACCCGGGCCACCGCATTTCTGTTCGTGTGTGGCTCTGCAAATGGTACTAATGGACTTATCTCCTTCGCCTAATGACAAGGACATTGCGAGCTTGTGCAAGGTTAGTTGATATTCGATTCACAGGAGATACCCATTCTTACAGACTATGTATGAGTTTGTACCCACTTATCTGCAAAAGGATATGGAACACGGAGTGATGAGGTTGATGCCAACAATTCAGGACCATCGGTGACCGCTATCTCAGTAACCAGCCGAATGCATCACGGCGACACTATTTACTAACACTGGGTTGGCTGATCCTCAGGCCCCACCCACTCTTTCAGTGACAAGCAGGGATTCTGTCCATACTACTTACACCCACCCATGTCGACCACGATCACTCCAGAGGAAATCCAAGCTTGGGACCTAGACTTCCTGAATTCCCCAACAATCAAATACATCACCAGTGGGCCCTTATGTTTTTTCAAGGCTGATACGCTTACCTATTATTCGGATGTCATGTAGTTGCCGCTTTAACGCTCTTTACCTGGGACCTGAGTGAGTGAGCCCTCTTTGTGACTTTATTCTGGGCTGTTGACAGAGACACTAGTCCTAACTCTTCCTCACGAGGTAAGTTGTTCAACCAGATCTGAATTATTGCGGAGGCTCAGCAGTGACAGTTTAGACTATGGGTGCGTCCAGTTAAACGGAATTTTGGCTAGCCAGTGACAAGGATCACGTGTAGAACGCCAAATGGACGTTTGCAAAAGTTCTATTTTTTGTGGTGAGATAAGGTCTGCACATCGGTTGGGTGTTTTACCTCATGTTTCTCAGAATCGATACTTTGCACTTGGGACAGCTATCCTAATAACATTTTGTGAGTTGTGCACCGAAGTTTGCTGTAATACCCGTATATCGACGCTCAGCGCTCATTGCTGAGATGTGATGCAGTGACATTCGATGTTACACCCACATGGGCTTTGTGCGTCATCTCACCGATCACTTTACTGATACTAATTCGGAGCAGATGTAAGCTCAGACACTTTCATCCCCTAACCCCCCTCATGGAAATGTCAGGTTCTGCAAATACTTTTTTTGCTGTCATCGGTATGTAGCATACTCGATCGACTTCAATCAACTTTAGTCTGACAATTCCCAGCCTTGTTACTAGTGGCCAACATCGAAAGTAAGCTCTCTGAGCCATCTGACGTGCCACATACTCATCAAAGTCTTAGTGATCCTCCAACTTCGACTATACGCGCTGTACGCCTATGGTGAGCGGCAATGCAAATCCTTCCGGGTTGATGCCCAGATGATATCCAGATAAGAGAATTGTCCTCACTGTGTCGGCATTGTTCGTCGCGGTCTTCAGTGGCATGATGGTGATGGCAGTGTTCATACACCAGTATGAGAAGAGTGAACTTCATCAATATTACCAAGTGTGTACACTGATCAAAGTTTAGACTACAAAGCTCAGATCTTTGGTGCATGTGTCATAGTCGGGTCCGTGGATTGGCTGTATCTTTTCTGGTACTTACTCCCATGGACTGTCTCTGCGACCTGCTCCTCATTCTCTATTAGGGTACCACTGATGGGCTTAGACTCTGTTCTTGTCCTGTTAGCAGGCTACAAATCTCTTCAGCATTATTTCCAGGTACCGGACAAGACTTGGTTTGGCGCACGTCTTATGCATGCCTTCGCGCGAGACTCGATTCTTTATTTCCTCTGGTGAGAGCACATGCAACGCAGTGGGTCGATTCTGATCCAAGTACTGCTTTGCTATTTCCAGTAACTTTTTGATATACCTACTCAGCACCTTGCTGGGCAAATACGGCCCTGCTGAGTATTACCAACTGAGCATGATCATGGTCACAATTGTCCCACCTATATCGGCGAACCGTCTCCTCATCAACATGTATGATTTTGCACATGAGGACATAGAGCTCGCATCCATAAATATGGAGGATACTACAATAGATGAATGGGAGTAAGCCCCCCATGTATAGGGCTATGTTCGACATAGGGTCTCCGATAATAAATATGAAAAAATATGGAGGGTTTCACTTGAGCCTTGAGGCGCAGTCGTTTAATGATATCAGTATCGTAGCGGCGCGAGCGCCAATGCTTGACTCGGCCGACAAAGAACGGTACTTAGTTGGTAATCCATAAATCCTATTGTCATTACCAATGTCTTCATCTGTGATCTTTGTCTGTTGTTGGCACGCACTCCGTGAGATTGTCACACGGTTATGTCGCGATCTTGTCGCGAACTCCTCATGGTAAAATGGATTTTTAGACATCCATGGCTATGTACCGATCACTCATATTCCTTGCAGTATACACAGGCATATTCAGCAGGAGCAGAATTGTATCATCCTATATTTCTCACGGCTACCATATCATGGACTCATCAATTCACTGATGCAGCAATAGGAAGCACCGCGTCCAGTAACGAAGGAGATATGTTAGCAAAGAACAGACGGTAGTGGGGAGTGATGGAGGGCGGGAGTGGGCGTGCGGCCAGTGGGGATACATGGTTGACGTTGAGGATTATACACTGCTCGGTGATGGCTGCAACATTAATTTGAAGCGAAGATGTTGGGCAGAGTCTGGGGTCTTTTTCATTGTGAATGACGTGAGGGTGTCCGGACTTTGTTTGCTCACGGGTTCAAGTCGTTCGAAGGAATCTCGTAGAAATTTGCACGAGCGAATTACAACAATACCGGCGCAAACACTGCCTCTTCAACTAGAAGTAGGATTGTATTGTCGTCCAACAGCATACTCATTGAATACCAGCCTCGACCAGTTGGACATACCGTGTTTTATGATGTCCTCCAACTTCGACCTGCCTTCCATTTGTACCTTATGCTTGAATTAAAGAACGAGTGTTGCATAGTGAAAGTAGAACCATGGGCTACAGTACATGATGTAGATATCCTACATACCATGATCACGATTGCTCTGCTACCACGTTAGTCTGTCAGAAATCCGAGATGATACTGACAACGGACCTAAGCCAGTCAAGTGCTTCAATGTCTCAGATGTACACGGGAATCGCGGGACAATGCGGCAGGGAAATTCCTCTGGATGACTGAAATAACAAGAGATTAACATACTAGTCTCGGGGATAAATGAGATTCTACAAACATAATGAGCCCAGTGGAGAACTTTGGAACGACTGGGATGTCCATGCCGTGATCATCAAGAGCCTTATGGGCCGAGAAAACGGCCAAGAAGCTTGCCATCGCAATCCAGAGTGACGCGTCTGCGACATGTCGTCCAACACTGACCGGCGGCTTTCAGCGGAGAGTGAAGAAGCACTAAACATATGCTCACCACATCCGGCGACCCCAGCCAAAGCCTAAAGGCATCCTGTCGCTGGTGAGGGACCCATCATCATGGAGAAACCGTTCGGGTTTGAATCCATCAGGACTGGGGTACTTCGTTTCATCATGTGTCATCGCCCTGGATCATTGGTCATTTCGAGCGAATTCAGTATAAAAATATTGCAGGCTTTCCATGCGTTTTTAAATATAACAACCCCTAATAATGTGGGTCATTAGCTACCTTCGCTAGAACATTATGATACCAACCTTTGGGGATGAAATAACCTTTGTAGATGTCACTAGTCGTTGTTGTGCTCGGAGCGCCTTGGTACATCATCAGAACAAGGCGTAAAATTGGCGTTATAGTGGACGGACCGAACGGAACCACAGGGTGCCACCTGAGTGTTTCACGCAAAATAGCTTCTACGTAAGGCAACGCAGGCCTATCGTCGAAACAGGGGAGTCTATCTTTGCCAACGACTCGGTCAATCTCCGCGTGCGCTTTGGCTTGTGCTTCTGGGTGGAGTACCATAGCAAGAAGGAACACAAGCAACGTGGAAGTACCCTGAGCCGACGGCAAAATGACTACCATGTCAAACACAAACCAGAGTAATGCATACCGTCTCAAGTCCCCGCTGAAGACAAAAAAAGTAAAATGAGCATTGAGGGAATACGGTTCTTTAGCATATATACCTGCAAATGCGATGGCAGCAGTCTCTTTAATTGCAGTTGTGATGACTATGTCGTCCTCAACAGACAGCCTCGTCCTGTTCAAAGTATCAGTCACAAAGCATGGTGCCGCGTCGCCGGTGGACTGCGTGTCATTCGTCAGTTCGCTGCACAAATATGGATGAGGCGATTCACCATCCTCTCTTTGACATGTTGAAAGGGTATCTCCTTCACATCACGGCCTGCATTCAGACACTCCAGTGATGCTCGCTTGAATGTGGCACCGGGAAACCAGCTCGGTAGCCTCAAAACTAGAATGACCGTTGAGATGTAACCACAGGCTATCATTGGATGTGTGAACATACGGAAAGGAAATGTCTCCATTACCACAGTAGCACCTGGCGTCATCGCTTCAACCGCCAGTTCCACATACTTTTCTATGACATGAAGGATGGTGTCATCCTCGGCTTTCACTTCGTAATCATACACAATAGACAGTAGAAACGAAGCACCGAACCTGATGAAGATCAGCTTCAGCAGTGGACCAGAAGACTGTTGCAACCAACATATTAACATGGCTTGGATAATTGTCTGGGTCTTGTAGAAGACTGAACAGCATTTTGTGGGCGGAACGGAGTTGCAAAGCGTGATAAGTAGGTATCTCAGCTTGACGAAATGCCTGATGAAACATCCGTCGGTGCAGGCGCCACCTCCTGGACATCAGGAACACCAACATAACACACAAACAATAGCTTACCTGTCTCCATATGGCAAAAGCGCTATGTTGAAGTCCGACGCGAAGCTGACAATACACTCGTGATCGATTCGGAGCAATACTCAAAAGATGTAACTTACGATTCGTAAACGATCGACTGGGGTTTATCCGAATATATAGTGGACCGCCCTTCAAAAAGGTCTCTCGCAATCTCCTCAGAATTTATCACGATGACAGGCTTGTTGAGCAGACGAGCATATATGATATCGCCTGGGGAAAAAAATGAGTTAATGACGAAAAGATGTCCGTCAAGATGTACTAACCATATGTGGATCTCCAGGCGTTGAATGTCAGCCAAGGGCGAGCAGCATCAAGACTAAGAACATTTCCTACTATTGGGAGGGGGGTAGGACCAGGCGGCAGGGGAGGATGCGAACGATTGAGCCAATATTTTTGACAATACCATAAAGAAGATATTGTCAAGGCTGATGTAGCCAAGTAGAGTCCGGGTCTGTCGTCGATCATCGTCATGTGTCCGGGAGTCTATCGGGTACTTAAACCTAGGGGGAAAGTGCGTTGAAGTCTAGGTCTAGTATTTATCGCATGAGACTAAACCGAGGCAAACAAACGATTGGATCCAGGATGTCAAAAATCGAAGTCCCAACTGCACACCATGTGTGAGTGCTGGACGATAAGAAACTGACGTGTGAACGGGTCAGAAATAGTTCCTTGGCGTAAGTGCTGGAGATGCCGCAAGAGAACGGAGAGTCTCTAGAGAATTTATATATTTCTATACCGCAGCAAACAACGGAAACTGTTACATTGAGCCCAAGTTGAGTGAGTCTGAGACTCACTGGTTTTCACCACATTGCCATCAGTGTTGGAACTATTGACGAGCGGTCCAACGCACTGCCTGTAAGTCTTTGCACCTTTCCTCAATGCCAATGACTTTGACCTGTGACCAGATCAATACTTTTGGTCTTGCCCTACCTGCAATCTCGGGCCCATGATCTTGCTAGCGAGTATGCTCGCCTGGAACTTGGCTTTCAATATCTCGGCAATACCTCCCTGTCGATCGGAGTCTACCTGGCCCGTGCGCAGACTACTAAGCACAACGAGTATAAAGTGGATGAGCAATGTATCTTCACTATCTTCTTCCTGTTTGTCTTCCTACCTTCATTAAATTTTACTCGAGCACTCTCTTGCGAAATCTACACAATTTCCTATGGTTATTCAACATCGATAGTGTCGAGAGTGCGCGGACGGCCCCCGCTGCGTGTGAAAGGGTTGGTGATCTGACCATAGTCACGGTGAAGACGGAGAACATTGTACACTGTCCTCTCTGAGCATCGAGCAAGCTGGGATATGTCGAAAGCTGTCTTGTGTTGTTCAAACTGCTAGACGACCGTATTCCATTGCTAGTAACGGCGCCATAACGAATTGACAAAGGTTTCATTGTCATTCCCGCTACGTCAGGACTCAGTAGTGGGTTTTGCCGGTGCCATGGCCGTTTGGACCTCATTGACCAATTTTTTTTGGTGAAAAACGCAAGAACTCCGGCCCTACACTTTTTTGTCATGTGACTCATGTCTGTTCGTGGTGTTTATTTCGCACGGTTCTGAACGCCCGTCTCTAATTATTACCTCTGTGCTTTGTTGTCGTGGGGCACGGGGGTATGGCAGGCCACACTTACTAAGCGCGTGCCCCGGGGCACGATGGCTGTGACAAAGACCCCACGCGTCCAGAAAAGGGAGGTGCCGAGATTTTGTGCCGGCGGCAAGACGTATATCGACCAAATCGGGCATGTTTTGGTGGTCTTGCGTCACGCAGCGTCTTCGTCGAACCGAAACGTCGTCGAGCTCGTCGTAGTTGTCTCGCCGTGTCGCTTCTTCGTCCGTACATCTGCAAATAAAACTCGTTTCACCTCTGTCGTGACCTGTTCAGCTACCTACTGGACCCTTTTTTTTTCGACAAATGGCAGGGACCTGCGAGCTGCCTGATGGTTTGACTGCAGCTTCTCTGAAGGTGGCCAGAGGCTCGGAGATCGCATTCTGGATTTCGCAGGCCAATGCTGCCGCAGGGAAGAGAGTCATGACGAAGAATGGCCGCGTCAATGACCAGCGGCAGAGGCTCGCGAAGCATTATGGTCTTGACCTCGTGGATGGTGCTGGGACCAGCCCCGTTTCTGTCGCTCCGAAGACACGAGAAGAGGACATCAAAGAACGCCAGTTTAACTGGCTTCGGGAGCTTGGTGACGAGTGGAGCAGGACTGCTGCTGAGGGAAAGGAGTTTGTGCTGTGTGACAGGTCTTCTGGTGAGTCCGTGTTTCTTTGCCGTGTTTCTTTGCTTGCTTTTCTCTGAATTGACGGCAGTCTCACCTTTCCACTGCAGAACTCTGCAGCATAGACCTTCTTCGGGAGGCTGTCAGCCTGATTGCGAAGCTCACCATGCATGCCACACCATCCACCAGTGCCATCTCCAGCACTCCACTCTCTCTGGATGGCCGAACGCAGACCGAGAACAACGAAACTGTCTCTGCGTTCATTGGAGCTGCCCGTGGTGGGGACTCTGTCGCAATCTCGCGTCTTTCTGGCTTGGGCCAACTTCAGGGTACAACTGCCGTGTTCGCAGGAACAGCAACTCCTTCACCTTCCCCACCAGTCCTGCCCCATGTCACCAGCGACATGACTGTTCTCAACAGCTGCCAGCTTGACATCGAGAGCATGCAGTGTGCCCAGGACCTCCATCACGCCATTGAACAAGTCGAGAATGGAGCTGTCGGCCGCATCCGTGAACGTTATGGCCCCAGAGATGACAGAGCTGCGGAGGCCATGTGGGGCCGTCTCAAGGGCAAGGTCACTAAACGCGAGCGGCTGTATGGCCTGCTCACCTCCACTTTCCAAGGTGACAAGGACAGTTTCTTTCAATTTTTCACCGTCTCTGCTCCAGTGAATGACAAGAAGCGGCGATCAGGCAAGCGGAGCGAGCCCAAGCTAGTTGCCTTGAGGTTGGTTGTTGAAGCCATCCTGCACTGCCAAAGGGACTTGGCGGATGAGAGAATGAATGTCAGGTATATTGACCCAGCGAGTGGCTGGTTCTCTGAGCAGTTGTGGAGGGCAGTCTGGGGGGATCGAAATGACTGGTACATCTGGAGGAAACTCGGAAAAGAGTGGTATGGGGACAGGAAGGCGCCCTGAGGGCAATTTGGACAAGGTACTTGTTTTATTAGATGAATTTCGGTACATACTATGTAATACATTGATTCAAGTCCCAGTTTGTGTGTGAGTGTGACGAAAGAAGATGCCGGTCCCTTTGTGCAGTGTAAACCTTGCTCGTTCGTGATTGGTGATTGTATTAGAAAGATTAGGCTAATGTATCAAGGAATAAGTTCAAAGAAAGTGTGCCGAATATTGAGAAGGGGGAAGGGGACTTAAAACTTGACCCTCTTTTTATCATTTCGGTCATATTCCACCATGTGCTCATGGTTGTCATTGGGGGAGTAGAAGTACCGAAACATGGTCAATGCCTCGACCTGCGACCAGCCACCCCAAGCAGCAACCATGCTCACATCAAAGCCACAGTTGCGTATGCGGTGCTGACAGCCACCTCGTCGGAACGAGTGTGTACCATACAGTGCCCAGGATGAGTATGCGAGGCCCTGAAGGTCGCTCGTCAGGGCATGGCTGAGAATGCTGGTGGACTGCAACATGAAGCATCAGCTGTACAAACAAGATCTCCATGATCCCCAGGCCACCCACCACAGGCTGATCATGCAAGACATCTCCCAACTTCCCGATACGCAGGAAGAGGGAACCCTTCAACAGCTTGTGAGGTCCATATAGGCTTGCAAGGCGGATAAGGGCTCGCACAGGGCAGAGCCTCGCATCAGCATCATTCACCCACAGATGCCAAGTGTGCAGCACACCAGTCTGTGCTGACTTGCGAGTCTTCAGCCGAACCTCTATGTATGCTCCTGCAAAACAGCAATGTTCAGTGCTTTCAAAGAGAGGGAGCAAAGTCAACACCCACGTTCACCTGGGATGACCTCAACACTTGTGAATTCAAGAGTCACTACCTCCTCGATCCGAAGCAGCATCAACCATGCAAAAAGGTAGGCTGTCTGAAAAAAGCAACCATAAGGCAAGAGTATGAGGGACAAAGCCACACACATACATAGCGAACAACCCCCCACCTTCTCTCCTCCGGTGTGTGAGTGCTATCCATGCAGTAGTCATGGAGCCAGTGCATGTCTTCACATAGGAGTGCACGTGCAGACTGCGAGACCTCACCAGACCGTGCCTTCATTTTTTCCAGTCCAATCATGAATTCGGACACAGCTCAAGCTCGTGTTGGGAGGCCATGGCTGTTGAGAGGCGATCTGAGGATTAATGACCACAGAAAAATATGCAAGTATGTACTTACCAGACACTGGTTTTTTCGTCACAGCGCCACTCAGTGACACTTTCATTTGGCCGACAGTGCCAGTACCAGTAACTCAGTGCTGCGCGAGTGGAGACAGCAGTGGAGAACTCCAGCAACTCATCAGATGCTAACAGAAAAAATTGGAGGTGCAGAAAATATACCTTCTTGCCCTCGTATCCCTTGTCTTTCTCGCCACATTTGTGGGTAATGAAGGCACGGATGTCATAAGGTGTTTGGCGTGTGATGGTGGTTGGGCCCCATTCGGCATTGCGCTGCTTATGGAACACGATATAAGCCTTGATGATCCTGTCGACACAGTAAGTTAAATTGTGAGTGATGAGGTGATACTCACCTGGCATGTCCATCTCGTGTCCGATCTATGATGCTGCTTCGTGCAATGCCAGCTGCATAATCTGCTAGTTTGGACACATCATCATCTGGGAAATCTTCGAGGCAACTTGTCATCAGACTATCAAGGTGCTCATCAGACCATACAGCCTCTTCGAGGTCCAGCCAGACTTGCTCATCAGCAATCTGCAATGGGTCAGTTTGAAAAGGTTCAGCCTGTTGTTCTGGAGATAGAAATTGATTGAATTTGCCTCGCTCTCGGTGACCTTGCTGTTTTCGATTTGTGTTGTCTTCACTTTAGGCTTCCGCACCATTGTAATAACCTGTGAGAGAAAGAGGATGTCATATGTGTTTCCGTCGTCGTCGAAGGCAGCAGTGCAGGTGTCATTATATTATTTACATAGCAATAATAAATAATTTACAATTTGCTGCTGCTGGAGAAGTCCAGCAGCAAAAAAATTGGTTTGCAATGAAAACAGGCAGGACTGTCAAAGGAACGAGAACATACAGTAGAGGGAAACTTCGGCTATGAGGCTGTGTAGTGCAGGCTGCAGGCTCACCCGCTCAGTCGACTGTAGGTAGTGCTAGTTACATTTTTGCGTGAGGATGGCATGTTTGAGTTCGAGAGAGCTACGTACCTTGCAGATGCACACAAGACTGCTCCAGTGTCAAAGCTCAGGTGATGTCGGGGAGGGGTGATGCACTTATCTAGCGTGTGCTGGGACGACTTTCCGAGCAATAGGCAATCTGTCCTGGAAGTGAGCAGAATGGACGGCACAAAATTGTTGTCAGTGGTGGTGGTGGTGGGTAACGGAGCTGTGGGTTAGTGTGGCGCGGCATCCGTTGACAGGTTGGGTGCTTGCTGAGAGCTGTAGAATGTGATGTAAGTGACGAGGTGCACAAGTGAAGTGTAAGCGAGAGACATACCATACCAAAATAAGTACCGTGCCCCATGAACACCCTTGGTTCTGGTTTTTCATGGGGCACAATGCAAAGGGGAAGTGGGTGAAAAAAAAGGGAGAGAAAAGTGTGCCCCATAAAAGCCCAGTGGAGGGATAAGTCATGGGGCATGGTGTTTTGCCCTCGGTGTCTGTCATTAGTCTGTGAGTACCAGATACAGTGTGTCAGTACCGTAAACTTACCAAAAAGAAAAGCGACGCAAGGGGAAACATTGACGGCAGTCGAGGGGAACAGCCAGAAACAACTTCAAAGAGGCTCTCATGCCCTGCTTCACACGAAGCAAACAAGCTGGTGTCTTGCCAAAGACACACGGAAACGCTGAGTGAAAAACACGTCAATATCAGCGTATTTTTAAACACCATCAGTGGAGCCACAGACGCACCTGCTCGATGGTTGCACTGGAGAACTTCTGTCAGCTGCCGCAAATCGCCAAGTGATTTTCGGGGGACACGTCACTCGCGTGCTTGCCGTCAATGCTGCCATTTCCTTTTATATTTTTTGTCGTGCCCCACCTCGATCTAAACGTTGCTTATTGATCTGATTTCTTACTCTTTGACAACTCATGTCTCCTTATAAAATCCTCAGATCTTTCGCCGATATCCCTGCTGTTATTCGTGTCGACGACGCGAAATCTGATTTGACCAGACGTTGGTCGACTTTCTGGTGGTCATAGTTGGAATTTTTCAGCCTGAAGGTATGTGTATTGGTCCGAATCATTCACACATGTCTGAATGACTGTTTATAGAGAATCATTACTCTCTGTCGTCTTCTATTGTTACAGACCGAGAAAAAGCTTCAGCTACCCAAGCGGGTTTATCTACGTCATCTCCGTCATGCTTGTTTAATTGACATGCTGTTGATAATCTTTTTGATGGCTATGAAAATTTATCTAGATCAGTTTTAAGTGAATTGGCAGTTGCTCACGGCCTTTGGGTACCCTCGAATTCATCTATGAAAGATCTACGACAAGCTATATCTCAGCATGTTGGTACAGGATTCTGTGGATCTCCTTTATTGCGAATGTTCGAGGGGTGTGAATCCGTGCATCAAGAACTTGATATGTCTTGTGGTGATGAAGATGCCGTGCTTTCTGCCAGGATAGTGTTTTTGACAACTATGTATCTTGCCTTCATCTCATGGCTCGATTTCACCCTATCGATATTTATGGCATTCACCAAAGTTTACTTTGCATTTATAGTACACACCTCCATCTCGCAGCTCATTCTAGGTTGATCTGTACGATACTTGTAGCTTTTCACCATTCTCCGCGACTCGTCTGGGTTGACCTGTTTGATATTTGTATCTGTACGAGTAGCACTTCCAATTGATTTCACGTTATGATGGCTCAAAAAAGTGACCATAGCAGGCTCTGCCGCGTGCGGCCTTGTGCGTTATATCCTAGCTAGTGTGACATGTCACATTATTTGACTAATTTTGGATAATAAAAGCCCCGGTAAAGGTAGTGAGGCAGATTTTTGAAAAAGTTCCAGCTTTGTCTAGCTCTAGTGTCGCTGACATGTTCTAATAGGTTGGGCTGGGCCGAGCGTTAGCTTGGGGTGGTACGCAAGCAGGTGGAGCTGCTCACCCATCATGCCGGAACAACCTGCGGTGACAGCTGCTCAGCCCAACAAGAGTGGAGGCGACAGCTTGGATCAGAGTGCAGCGGTGTTAGCTAAGTGCTGTGAGGATATTTGCTTGAATGCCTGGATATATGTCTCATAGGGTGAGGACTTCCAGTGGCCAGCAATATGCATGATTTCAGGGTCAATTTTCTTTGCAAGGTAAAATGATGCACCACCAATGCGAAAGGAATGACCGAAGGTGGTGCCCCACCCCCATGCTACCAAAATTGAGTTAATTTGTTCCAGAGCTCTCACTTTAGCCATTGGGCAAATATTGCCTTTGCTGTCATGCCACAAGAACAGTGGGTCATTCGCGAGCACAGGAACAACACTTGCCAGGTTATGGAGGGCTGCAAGGGGGCATAAATCGCCCTGCTCATTGAGGAAAACTGACTGTATCTCCCTGGCTCGCGCAGTTTTGGCTGATGGAAGGTCCAGACGTGCATATGGCCTGTTCTTCAGGTCATAGTCAAAAAAGGCATTAGCACGAGTTAGGTGTTTGGATGGGGAGAAGGCTGTGTGGGAGGCCATGAGATTTCGCTGAAGCACATCATACCAAAAAATGCGCAGGAAGCCATAGCCCAAATGCATGCATTGAAGGGGTCTGATAAAATTAATGTGGCCTTAAGGACTGTGAGCATTGGTAATGTTATGGGTGGGCGAATAGGTTTTCAGCAACCACCTTGCAGGTTCTCGAGCCCTCAAAGAGACCAATTGATTCATTCATGGTGGGAATCTGACAGTGGTGGGGCCCATCCTTGGGCAATGTGCCATGACTGCACTGCTGATAAGTATTTTTGAGCAACTCCTATGGAGATTGGCTCAAAGGGAATACCACTTTCAGCTGAGAGGAGTGGGTTGCCCGGGTCCAGGTCAGCAACTGCCCATAAGGCAAAGGAGTGAAGTAATTCAAAGGATGCTGGCAGGCGATCAGACTTGGGAATTGAGAAGATGTTGCAGAATCTGTGAAACTTTCACAACGCAGCACCATAGCTAGCTGTATCACGAAGGGATGCACGAGTAGCCACATTGGCCAAATGGTGGATCACTGGGTGGTCTATGGTTGTAGGAGGGGGTGAGTTCGGACCTCGCGAGGTGAAAAGCCTCTCTGCAGCCTTGTATTGTGGGCAAAGGTAAGAAGGGGCATCGTGTGGTGTGGGTGATGCAGGGGGCTGGTGTGAGGTCAGGTGACACATGGTGCAAGGATCTCACAACAATTGAATGAGTTTGTCTGCTAAATGCAGAGGCAAGGGAATAGGGACTGAGGCTGTTGCACTGGGGAAGCCAGTCAGAAATGAATCAATATCGCCCCGTGACAAGGTGTCTGCCACGTTCTCGCGAGAGGGAACAAAGACTGTATGCAGGCGGATACCATTGTCGGCTTGCAAATGGTATATATGCTTCAGAATGGTGTTTGTCTGCAAACTGTGGGAGCGGCCTTTGTTGGCCACAGCAACTATCCCGGCATTGTCTGAGCAGACCAGGTAGACAGGGCTTCCTGCCATGCCCTTGGTGATGATACCTTGAGAAATCTATTGTCAATAGGCTCAGTAATTGGTATGACGGAAGCAATAATACCTAGGTGCAATGCCATGTGAAGGCCAAGTTCTAGTGCTGCGGCCTCTGCCCAGCCTATGTCGAATTTCTGTTTCAGGCTGACTCTGAAACCAGGTGCCCAATGCCAGGACAGCCCAGTGTGCACCACGATGCCAATTCTGAAGGACATACTCGCATCACCCCACCAGCCGATATCTAGTGGGGAAGGGTCTGATAGAGGGACTGACTTTGGGAGGCATGAAAGAAGCGACTGGATCCAAGGGAGATCTGCAAGAATGGGATGGGACAGTTTGAGATGTGCTCATGGTGACCGAAAACTCGCTGCAAAGGCTGCTATAGAGCAAAGGAATGGGCGAATGAGGGGTAAAATGCAGCTACATGAACAAGCTTGCTGTGTAGGCCAGCTGCCTCTTTGCTGTGAAGGAGGCTCCTTTGAGCAGCCAACAGGCAATTAAGTCTCGGACCTTGTCGAGCTTGTCCTCTGGTAGTGAGACTTGTTTTCGATCCAAGTCCCAGTCAAAGCCTATATAGTGCTGGATTGATGCAAAGCACCTGAGCTTCTCGAGGCTCCATGGCATGCCAAAAAAGGCTGTGATAGCAATGAATTCTGACTCTGTCCATGACTGATGTGGGAGCCTGATGACTAGGAAATCATTGACCCATTTTCGGATCTTGTCGAAGCCTGCTTTGCTGTAAATTGCAACAAGCATGTCGGCGACTGACCCAAAGACACCTGCACTTGATGTGAGGCCAAACACGAGGGCCCTGTCTACATAGACGATCCCTTTCCAGAATATGCACAGGGAATTCTGTTGCCAAGGAAGGACGGGGATTATACGGTAAGCTGAAGCTACATTGAACGTGGCCGCAACGCAGCCAGGAGCCAAGGAGAGGATGAGAGCGGCAGTGTCATTGAACGTGCCCCAAACTGTGGGAAAGTTGTCCGCACTGATATTGGCATTCATGGTGCAAGTTGATGGATCGTGCATGGGTATGAGAGATCTTGCACTATGTGGAATTTGTTGGAATGGGGTTTTGGGACTAGTCCCAGTGGGGAAGTACGAAACGGTCCAATTAAGCATTCCAGGTCTGCAGGGCTGTACTGATAGAGTAACGGCCTGCAGCCTACTCAGAGATTATGTAGTTGTCGATTATAGAAGGCTGGAGTAAAGATGAAGCATGATTTTCGAAATAAATGAGTGGAGCTTGGTGGGGCCGGAATGCCTACATTGAAAACCATCACAGATACCATTGACTATATGACACCAATTGTTGAAAATACCATATTTACGGAGGGTATCTTTGACCTTGAGATGGTCGAGGGGGGTTACACTGCACATGGGTCAGGCTCGGTGTGGGTATCACAACTGGCAGGCTGCTATGAAAATAAATGCTTCTACCAGTATAAGTGAGTCTTGGCTCTGCCTTAGCTGCTACACTTGCAGAATGCAAAGAGCGTTCGACCCCTAAAGGGGAAGCAAAGAAAGCAAGGATCCATGGAATGATGCTGATCACCCTGGTGAATGGCAATGAACCGTGCGAGAAATGTGCTGAAGGCGCGCGCGGTGTGGGTAACACAACAAAGGTGAACACAAGTCAGATGACAAGCCAAACACTCTCTATGTTGGGTCTTGATATGCCGTGCGATATGTTCGGCCCTTAAGGGAAGCAAAGAAAGCAAGGATCCACGAAATGATGCTGATCAACCCTGATCAAAGGCGACAAAAGGGCGATGTAAGCGCGAGAAACGCGCTCAAGGCGCGCGCGGGAAAGTGAAACGCGAAAAATGCGCGAAGTGCGGGAAGGCGAAAGTGCGAAAGGCGAAAATGCCGGAGAACAGGGATGGTAGTGCGA